CAGTGGGCTTCACACCCGACCTGGGCTAGTGAAGATTCTGGCTTCGTTGCTCACCGAAAGAATCAGTTTGAGGAGGGTCTTCATAGGATCGAAGAAGAGCGCCATGATTACGACTTTAACATCGAGGCTAATCTCAAGTGCATTCAACTTCTGGAGCCCATTGCGCAGCAAATGCTCGCCATGTCGCCTGCCGAGAGAGAAGCCTTCCATATGCCTGCTGCCCTTGCTGGCCAGAGCACTTCAATATTCAAGCGGATTACCAAGAAAATTTACGGTGAGAGGGGCATTGACGTTGTCAATGACATGTACAGCCATCCCTTTGACGTGGTACCCGTCTTGCTGGCCCGTATGAGACAAAAGGATGAAGAGTGGCGCTTCTCGCAGCGGGAGTGGGAGAAGGTTTGGCATGCGCAGACGGAGAACATGCACCTCAAGAGTCTGGACCACATGGGCATTTTGGTCAAGTCCACTGACAAGAGAAACTTGACTGCGAAGCACCTTGTGGATGTTATCAAGACCAAGCATGAGGAGCAACGCCGTGAGCGTGCCCTCAGGGGCAAAGCCCCGCGTCACCAGCTGGCTTGGGACTTTAGCAACAAGCAGGTTATTCTTGAACTGCTTCGTTTGATGATGCTATACAGCATGCACAATGGACAGCACAGCACGCAAGAGAAGGAGAGAATCTTGGACTTTTTTGAGACATTCGTCCCGGCCTTTTTTGATCTTCCCGAGGAGATGTATCAGGACAAGCTTCCCAAGATGCAGCCTGATTCCGGCGAAGACGATGTCGAAGATTCTACGCCTGCTGAACTGACCAACGGGCGAAGCCGCCGGAACGGCAGAAAGGGGGACCTGCTTAGGGGAGTTTTGGACCCCGGGCGCAACGGTAGCAAGCCCAGGAGTCAAAAGGAAGACAGTGCCGCTTCTGGTAGCAAGGAGACCACCCCCGACGTCACCTCGGCTAATGAGGAGGAGATGGCTGATGCACCAGAGGAATCTGCGGTGCCGGAGGTCTCGAACGAGCGCTGGATGCCAACCGTTCCCAAACCTGTTGTTGTAGGCGGAGATAATGCTCTGCTTGACGAGGGCGGCGAGTTGAAGGCGGACGGCTTCTTTACCCGTCCCTGGTACAACTTCTTCTGTAACCAGACCATTTTTGTCTTCTTCAACATTTTCCAGACCCTTTACAACCGCTTGTTGGATATTCAGCAGAGCCAAGAGCTTGTTGCTCAAGCAGTCGAGCGCCTCAACAGGCCCAAGCCAGCCAGAGATATTGGCTTCACAGAGAATCACATGACCTTCTTTGAGCCGACGGATGACCCTGAGACGTACTGGCCCAAGACTGTGGAGTTGATTGAGGAGTACATTACTGGTGACGTTGACGAGAACCGTTACCAAGACGTCTTGCGCCACTACTACCTTCAGAATGGATGGAAATTGTACACTATTCAGGATCTCCTGAAGACACTGTGCCGACTGGCCCTGACTTGCAGCAGCACCGATGCCAAGGAGAAGACGCCGGATCTTATCCATCAGTATCTGACTAGCCGGGAGAAGGAGGAGACGAGTTACCAAACGGAAATCTCGGCACGCAAGTTTGCAGAGAAGTGTGTCAAGGACGGCGACATTTTTGTTATTTGCTGGGTAAGTTGGCGATCTGTTGCCAAGTCGAAGTTCAATGCGGGGATTTCCATTTGCTAACACGCAGATTTCAGTTCCCGCAGAAAGCCGAAGCCACGGTGCGGTGGCTGCAGCGCGACGAGACCACGTTCTACATGGACGAGATGCAGGTCCGCGAGCGCTGGCAGTACTACATCTCGTCGTTTATCCGAGTTGAGCCCACAGAGGGCATCCCCCGATCCAGGCTGCAAAAAGTTGTTCTTACGCGAAACCTGCCCTCTGGCGATGCCGACTCAGATTCAGATGAAGTACCTAAGCCACTCTCATACAGCGAGAATTTGACAACCAGCATCTGCCTTAAGAGCTCCAAGATGGTCTGGGGCCCGGGGACCTCGGAGTACTTCATCTACGACCGGTCGCCCCGGACACAGGAGGAGCGCGAGCGGCGGGAAAAGTTCACCAAGGCCCTCAGCATGCACCGCGAAAGCAAGCTCCTGGAGAAAATGGTGCACAACCCATCGTGGACAAAGGACATGGGTCCCGAGGAGGTTCAGGAACAAAACAAGAACTTCCGCAAATGGATGGACGACGGGGTCGCGCCGCCCAACGGAGACGTCGAGATGGATTAGAACCTTCAGAACAAGAAGAGGGGCAGACGTGGGGGGAAGAGAAAGTAAACTCATCAGCATGGTTACATGTACTACATTGGGAGACGGCCGGGCTTCGGAGCACAGGAACTTGTTTTTATACCAGGGAATTATTACATATTGATCGACGTTTGTTTGTTTATTGCCGTAGTGTTAACGTCGGGGTCAAGTTTTATCTGGAGACAGCGTTTTGTTGTTGGGGTTGTTTTGAAAAAAAAAAGCCGATGGAGTGAATATGCATACTTGAGTAGGTGTACGTTGTGGTATTGCAAGGCTTAATGTTTTCCTTTGTTTGTATTCTAGATGATCAATTGATGATTGTGGGCTTTGTTCTCCCTGGCATGACATGATGGTTGCGTCAAATATGGCTGTGCAATTGACATTTGCGCTTTGCGTGTCGATTGCCAAGTTGCGAGGATGGTGATATTTCAATGGATGTATATTGAGTATAGGGGATGTTTATTCGGCAATGGCTGAAGGAGAATCCTGGGGTTGTGAGGCCGCAGGGTGCTCTGTGCCTCGGCGCTAGACGAGCACTGCTGAGGAGGAGGAGAAGATTAAACCAAGGATCAAATGCATTACTTGGGCAAAACGCCTCCTGTCGATTTATATACTAAAATGCTTGATGCAGTTTTGGCTATTTTCCCTCTTTAGCCAAGTGCCCTTTTTATGGATTTGAATCGCAAGACGGGCTGCCAGGGTAAAAGTGGAGATGTGGTGTATGTAAGTCGAGGTTCATCTTTTGGCGTGACAAGTGTCAAGACTGAACAACACCTCGAAACACCAACCGCAGCCAACTTGCCATTACGACTTCACGGACTTGCGTCTACCACCACCCGTTCCCAACACGGCCCAATAGTCTCCGAAATGGTACCCTCATGCCGCCATTAATTACCATGCTCGTCGGCATCCTCCTTGCGGTGCTCGGCGCATCCCCTGCCGCGGCCCTCGCGGCCCTTACTGACGACGACTTGCGCAGCATCCCCTCCCCCGGGGACGACTTCGACATACACAAGGGCAAGCTCCTGGCGCCCATACTGATCCCCCGCGTGCCCGGCACAGAGGGTAACTACAAGACTCAGAAGCATTTCGTCGACTTCTTCAAGTCCTCGCTGCCATCGTGGGAGCTCGCATGGCAGAACTCGACATCCAAGACACCTCTCAGCGGCACAAAAGAGGTGCCGTTTTCCAATTTGATATTCAGCCGAGATCCTCCCGGCTCGCATCCCGGCGATGTGTCGCGGTTGACCCTCGTGGCGCACTTCGACACGCTCGTCAAGCCCGAGGGCTTCGTGGGCGCCATTGATTCCGCCGCGCCGTGTGCCATGCTGATGCACGTGGCGAGGAGCATCGACGCCGCGCTGACCAAGAAGTGGGAGCACGACGACGGCGGCAGCGGCGGGCTGGAGGTCCGGCAGGGCGTCCAGATACTCTTCCTAGACGGGGAGGAGGCCTTCAAGCAGTGGTCCGCTACGGACTCGCTGTACGGAGCGAGGTACGTGGACCTGATGAATCGGTGGTATCAAACATTCCTCCAATACTGACGGCTTCGTGCCCTGCAGATCACTGGCCCAGGAATGGGACGAGACGTTCCACCCGGCGCTGTCGACCTTTCGCACCCCGCTCGAGAGCATATCCCTCTTCGTCCTGCTCGACCTCCTCGGCTCGCCGGACCCCAGTATCCCCTCGTACTTTCTCCCCACGCACTGGACGTACCAGAGCATGGCGGCGCTCGAGGGCCGCATGCGCGCCCTCGGCCTGCTCGAGTCCAGGCCCGCCAAGCCCTTCCTCTACAATGCGGACAAGCAGCCGCACCAGTTCTACAGCGGCTACATCGAGGACGACCACGTCCCCTTTATGCAGCGCGGCGTGGACGTGCTGCACATCATCCCGGGCTCATTCCCGTCCGTGTGGCACAAGATCGACGACGACGGCGACCACTTGGACCTGCCGACGACGCGGGACTGGGCGAGGATAGTCACGGCCTTTGTGGTGGAGTTTATGGAGCTGGGTGGGCTGTTGGACAAGACGGCTGCGACGAGCGCCGAGAAGACGAGTGCTACGCAGAGTGTGCATAGCAAGAGGACTGAGTTGTGAGGAGTTGCGGCTTGGGGTTTTTGGCGTTGGGGGGTTTGTGGGCTTTCAATGATGCACCTGTCTTTGAGTGTTTCACTGTATCACGTAGATCTAGATGGCGGGTTTAGTGCATAATACTGGATCTGTGCTGACAGAATTGCATTTGTGTTTGATGGTGGCTCTTGATGATGCCGGAGATGGCTTTCGGCAGGGTCCCCGAAGGGACGAAATGCCGGCCACTGTGTTCTCTCCGCTTTGCCTACCCCTAGGTCAATATTTCATTGGCATCAGGGTCATATATCAATTGTCTATGTCGAGCAATGCTAGGCATATAAAGCACCCAGGCGTGTAGATACGCGGGATTGCATTCGGCACATTGATTGCTGATAGCCACACGGTTCCATCTCCTCGCTGACTAGGATTATCGTCATGGGGTGGTTGTATGCAAAGTCTAGTCGTGGGCGGTAGTTTCAAGCTCTACTCCGTACCTTGGACTCTATGCTGCGTCGTCTGCGCGAAGCCAACGTGGTCTTGGCCAATTCGCACTGTCTTCGCACGGCCCCACCTCCAACCACGTATACCTCATCCCGCGACTCCATACCAGCTGTTCCTTTTGAAGCTTGCCATTGACAAACCAACCACCCGGCACCCAACACAATGCGCTTCTCTATAGCCTCGACGGCACTGGCCCTTGCCGGCGCAGCTCACGCCACTTACTGGACCTTCTCAGATGCCTCTGTCTCCGTGGGTTCCAAGACGTCTGAAAAGACGGTTGAGACGTAAGCTTTTCCCTTTACACGGCCTCCACTGCGGGCGGCAGCGACAGACGCCCTGTTCCATTGCGCACGACTGACGATTGCTTCTCTCTTGCAGATTCTCTGACACCGACCGGGTCAGGAGGACAGTCAGCTTCGGACACCAAGACACCCTCAAAGTAGCACTGACTACCAAGGAGGGATCCAAGGCCAAGAGACCGCACCAGGCGTTCCTGGTTCTCAGGGAAGCTTCCGGGCTGGAGACGCCGTTTGCCCTGACCGTCAAGGAGTCGGGCAAGGGCGTGGTTCAAATCGTATGTCGGGCTTGCAGAGCCGTGCCGATGCAGCAGGTTTCGCAGGATGCTGACTTTTCCCACAGAGCCACAAGGACCTCCCCGCGCAGCTCCTCACCGCGACCGCCCCCCTCGAAGCCAGCCTCGTCCTCGGCTCGACCGGCTCGACAAAGGGCTCCGTGACGCCCGCCTTCGACATCGCCGTCAAGTTGGACCCCGGCCATCCTACGCCCAGCCCCGACGCTCCCCTGCGGTACGGCAAGCTCGCCGAGATCCATCACATCTTCCGCGCGGACCCCAAGAACCCGCCCAGGATTGTGTCGCTCGTGTTTTCGCTTGCTGTCCTGGCCACGGTGCCCGCTCTGTTCATTGGGGTGAGTCTCTTTTTTCGTCCTGGCCCTGGGTCGTTACGTGCTAACTGTCGTAGTGGATTGGTCTCGGCGGCAACTTTGGCCACGCCTCCAAGGCCATTGGCAATGCGCCGCTCTCGCACGCCCTCTTTTTCGGATCCATCATCGCCATGGAGGGAGTCTTCTTTTTGTACTATAGCGCGTGGAACTTGTTCCAGACACTGCCGGTGATGGGTGTCGTGGCGGTTGTTGCGTTCTTGAGCGGCACCAAGGCTCTTGGGGAGGTCCAGGCCCGACGACTGGCTGGAGAGAGGTAAAGACTGGTGAATCTGCGCGGGGAACAGTCTGGGGAGTGAAGTCATGCGGTGGATGTTATGGTGTCAGTAACGTTATAGAGCTACTGGGCGGGACGAGGGGGCGTATGCAAGACATGTTATCAAAAAAGATAGACTCAAGGATGCTATGCGGACTGATTTCTGTGCTTTTGTGACTGTAGATGGCTTGCACGGGCTCGCGAGTGAAGCAGTTACACCAATGCTGCGTAGGTTTTTGCGGGGACGAGTGAGTTTCGTTTCTAATATGTGTATATATATATACATTAACGGAGGAGCCACGTCCGCTAAAGATTCTCGCAAGTGTCAAGCGCAAGTCTACTCTTCCCTTCCCTTTGCCCCCTGACCAAATGTCGAACATAAATCATACATAGTTATACGCCAGCGCATGAAAAGAAAAGCCAATAATCAAATCTACACCAACCGCTTCTACAGGAAAATAACAAAGTCATCAGACGGCACGCACATGTCATGAACCCACCATCACAGCTTGGACCAAGCGTGCAGCCTCTCGTCCAAGAGGCCGTTGAACCACACGCTCCTCTCGAAGATGGGCGCATGGCCCAAGTCGTCGACCAGCATCGCCACGCCCGGCTCAACCAGGTGGATCAGGCGCTCGCCGTTCCTGACGACGAGCATCTTGTCCCCCGTCCCGTGCATCACCAGGATGCGGTCCCTGCCCACGCCGTCGGCCATGCCGCGCAGCTGGGCGGGCGACTTGCTGTGCCCCGCGGCGGCGAGCAGCTGGCCCAGGAAGCCGACGAGCGTAAAAGCCCCCGGGGCGCGGCGCTTGTGCAGCTCCTGCGCCTGGAAGCGCTGGAAATTCGACCCGAAGCGCGGGTACTCGCCGTCGGGGGTGTCGGCGGGCGCGCACATGGGCTCGGCGGCGGGCTCGGGCAGCGGCACCTCGTCCGGGGCGAGCAGGAAGGCGGGCGGGAAGACGGCGAGGGCGGTGTCGCGGATGGCCTGGGCGTCCGTCTTGGGCCGCAGGAGGGCGAGGCGGTCGAGCGCCGCCTGGGGGAGGGTCTTGCCGCTGTCGACGCGGGCGCTGGTGCTCAGGAGCGAGAGGGAGCGCACGCGCGAGGGCGCCAGGCACGCCAGCTCCTGCGCGACCATGCCGCCCAGCGAGATGCCCACGACGTTGAGCTGCCGCGGCTGCGTCCACCCGACGTGGTCGGCGACCTCGAGCACGTCGGCCGCCATGCCGCTCGTCGTGTACCGCCCCAGCGGCTTGTCGGACCGCCCGACGCCGCGGTTGTCGAGGACGAGCACCGAGTTCTGGGCGCCGTGGACGTGGCCGAAGTGGTGCGTCTGGATCTGCCACGACGTGAGCGTGCCGGCGAGGCCCATGATGAGCTTGTTGTCCGGTTAGATGGCGTCTTGGGACGGCGCTGGGGGGGGCAAGACTTGCAATGAGCTTGGTTGGGCCGGTGCCGTGCACTTCCCAGTAGATCTTTAGGGGGCCGCCGCGCCCCTTGGCCACGGGCAGGTGGCCGGAGGAGTGAGGCTTGAGCTTCCAAACGGTGCCTTTGTATGCTGGGTGGTTGGTGGTTTCCTCCACCGAGGGGAAGTTGTATGTTCTGTGAGGCGTCGAGGGTTTTGTCAGCTCTGGTTTATTTTATTGAAGCAGGCAGAGGGATATGGGACGTACGGTTCCGGCATTCTTTCTTGGGGAAATCCTGCGTCTTGGTGGTGCAGTGACGATGCCGAGGTATGGAGTTGAGGGATGCTTTCTCTTTTCTGGCGGCGAGGCGGCGGGGTTCGGGGGAGAACAAGACTTTGTTGGTTCGAGACTCGTTTCTACGTTGTAAAAGGGCTCTCATGGATGATATGAGGCTGTTTTGCCCGCGATGGCAAGTTCGGGCTCATCTCGTCTTGGTGCGCACGCGACCGGAGCGGATTGTTGTTTTTGCCCCGTCGGAGTTTTTGGTGACATGTTGGTTGTTGGTGTGAACCCCAGACGCCTCATCCGTCTTGGGGCCGTTCAGGCACCCGGCGCTTACCCTGTACGGAGTACTGTCTTGAAGCTCGTCCTGTGAATATGCTTCCATGTCTTATTACACCTAACCCACGATTCAACTTCAAATGTTCCAGCGCACAATCTGATACCATTTTGTGCGCACCGACTGTTGATAAAGCACATATTTAGCTGCGAAGGTACGCTTCCGACTTGGCGCCACAGTGGAAGCGGATGCGTGCAAAAAACAGCATGGCTTGAATCATCAGCTGTCGTTATCTAGAACGGCATGCAACTTTGTATTTTGCCAGACTATCATAGCGCACGAGGCATCCCAACTTCATCCATGGACCGCTTCACAACTACGAAACACGGTTCCGGGCGCCTATGCTCGTGAATGGCAATGCTTTCTTTGGCTACCGTCACACATCATCTACTGCTACTGTCACTCCCACTCTTACGGCATCACCAGCCCAATACCACTCAAATGATCCTCGTCCAGCTGATTCTTGGCATTGACCCCGCCGGAAATCGGGCTGGCCCGATAGTTGAACAGGTAGTAATGGAGCTGCCCGTCGCCGGCGCCAAACTTTTGCTGCTCCAGGAACAGCGCGTTGTCCATGAGCGACAGCGCGTTGAACACATCCAGCTTGGCCCTCTTGGCGAGGATCAGGGCGTCGTTGATGAGCGCGTTGAGACGAGTCTTGAGAGCCGGCTTGTCAAACGGCTCGCTGAGGCCGGCCTCGCTGGCGTAGTAGAAGAGGTAGGCGACGCGGAGGACGTCGTTGTTCTTGATGATGGAGGATTCGACGCAGAAGAAGGAGAAGAAGTCGGTGATTTTGCCATTGTCCTAGGTTGCGCATGGTTAGACTTGAGCCGCTGTAGGTGCTTGGCACGGCCTTTGGGGGAAACTGTCACGTACCTCGACCACATAGGACCAAATCACCTGCTTCGAGTCCTTCTTGGGCAGAAACCAGTGGCGGGCTTCTTCCGCGGCAAACTCTGGCGCCATGTTGTACCGCCCCAGGTATCTCTTCAGCAGGCCTACGACGGCATCCACGTCCTTGTCTTGCATTTCGCGCAGGCCCTTTGTCGCCGTGGTTTCCGGCAGCGCGTACTTGCGCACCTGGTATTCCGGCTTGCTACCCGCGGGAAGGGGGCTGAACCCGCACGCGTGCAGCTTTTTCCAGTTCAGCGCGCGGTGGTAGTACCGGCTTGTGCTCACGGGCCGGGGCAGCACGACGCCTGCGGTGTACAGGCCCTGCCAGACGCCGTCGAGGTTGCTGATGCGGGTGACCTCCTTGATGAGCACCGGCGCGAGGCGCTTGCCGCGGAGCTTCTTGTGCACGCAGAGGAAGTTGACCTCGGACGACGTAAAGGTCTTGTCGCGCACGCGAATTTGCACGGGGATGGCGGAGATGAAGGCCACCAGCTTGCGGGACTGCGACGCTCGCACACCAATGTGGTATTTGCGCTGCCAGCCTGGAGCCATCATGGCCCTGAGTCCCTTGTTAGACAAGTCCGTAGAAATCTCTTGACCTTTTACCGTTTTCCTTTTTCCTTTGGGGGGGACCACCTGGGAAAAACGTACCATCTGAGCACTTCGGGGATATAGTTGAAGCGGAACATGGCCTCGTCGTCCTCGACGTAGTGTCCGTTCAACAGCTCATACACCTCCTTTATTTCTCCGTCATCCATCAAGTCGACCGTCACCCACTCGAACCCAGCCACCAGAGGTTGTGGCTCCTTGTCGATATCCTCGACCTTTTGCATCTTCAATGGGCCGTCCTCCACCTTGGCTCCCTCCTCGCCAAACTTGGGCACGGGCTGCGTCTGCCAGAACTTGTACGCACCCATGTCCTTGACATTCTTGCCGCTGGCTGCCAGACCAGTCATGATGTCGGCGAGGTTCATGTTCTTGAGCATATTGGCGACTTGGTCGGGGGACGGGTTCGAGCTTCCAGACGCAGCCGCAAGCTCTTGCATGAGCCCCGGGTTGAGGGACACCAGCTCCTTCATTTGCTGAGGCGTCAAGCCCCCTATGGCCTTTGTCACCTCGTCGGCCTGCTTCTGCTCTTCGGATTTGCCCGTCAGGAGCTGCTTGGCCTTCTTGCGCTTCGACTTCTTCTTTTTGCTAGCAGTTGACGTCCCTGCCGGCGTGTCGGCGGCCGAGGTGGTGGCGGCAGGCTCGTCATCTTCGGACTCGGATTCGCCCTGGTCGACTTGTTTGCCCTTGTCGACAATGGGCTCGGCCATCTTGGACTCTTCGGGCGGCATGATGGGAGCGGTGCGCTTTTGCACGTGTGCCACTGGTGATGGTGCTGAGCTGAAACGTTGAGACGAGCCGGAGCTCTTTTTTGGTGGCCTGGGGTTAGATGGTGGGATGGTGGGGGGTTTTGCACGGCTCAGTTCAACAATTGACATCGATGTCGGCGGTTGCGGGGTTGCGCCATTGTTCAAGCCCGCTCCTCCTCCATGCCCATGTCCCTCAAGCCTTTGTTCTCTTTGTAGTCAGGCTTGGTCGCTACGATGCCGTCCTCGCTAAACAACACGTTTACAATATGCTTGCGAGCTGCGACAGGGATATTATGATATTATCCACTTGGCTGCATCCGTAAGCTGACGCTTTGCAGCTGTGTATGTATGTATGGAGGACAGGCAGATGCTGTACTTCTCCTCTGGGAGGTTGCACACAAGCCAAAGCATCAAATGGCATCTGAACAGCTGCGAATGATTGCGGGTCCAGCTACATGGTTTTGTAGGCTGATGCCTCCTACAATATATAGTACATAGTCTTCTATTCCATTACTCCTCGTCAAAACACCTCATTACGGCTCTCAGCACGGATGAAGAAGCTACGATTTCGTTATGGCCTAGGCCCATGTCAGCTCCCGCCCGGGACAGTCACCCCAACGCTCAAACACTTACCTCCGTGAAGAACCAATTGCTGCCTGATTATGGTATCTGGGTTAGACTTTACAGTCACTGAAAAGCCGTCGCCTCCGGGGCTGAGCTTCATGTGCTTGTCTTTGAACTGGTCAAACTCGGTTTGGGTGAGACCGCTGGTCGTTGCATTGGCTGCTGCCTGGAACAGAATCTCCTCATGCTGCCACGGGATGTCCCAGTCGCTGTAGGCATGGATCAGCTCAAGGCGCAGCCTCTTCTTGGTGTTGCGCACGATGCTGGCAAGTCGGTCCGCGGAATGCCACTTGTCCACAACGTACGTCTGCAGATACTTGACGGCAGAGGGCCAGGCCGCGAGCGGTCCCACGACGGGGAACACGCCGCTAATGCGATACCCCGTCAGCAAATTGGCGAGGTCGCTGAATCCAGCAACAAGAACGAGGCCGGCGAAATCAACACCCCGGCGGGCAAATCGCTCGGCTGCACCGCTTGCCACCGCCGTCCCGAGACTGTGACCAAACAGGACGATCCTATGAGACGGAATGCCAGCCACGTTCATGGCCCAATTGACAAGTGTCTCTGCGTCCTGGATGAGGCCCTCCTCGCTGGGGACGCCTGTGGAATGGCCGTAGCCACGGTAGTCAATGGCAACTACGTGATAGGATGACGTGTCTGTTAGTGAATGGTAGCTGTCTGCTCTGAACATCTGAGCGATATGACCGGCGTTCTAGGACAAGAATCTGTTAGCACGGGCGAGTAATCCGGGGCCAAGCCTCGGCAACGGGGAACAAACTCCATGAACTATTGACATGTTAGGACAAATGCGCGTAAACTGAAACACAACAGAAAGCACTTACAATACAGAATCAATTTGGCCTTCGGGTCCGATTTCAGTAATCGGAACGATTCTGTGGTGGTAATGTCAAGGGGGACCGTCTCTGATGAAGCCCCTTGCACGATTTGGTCTTCATGCTTGTGATACAGAGGGAGAGGCAAGATGTGCCACGCGTAGAGATTGTTGTCGTCGGGTGTTTTCAAGTAGAAGGGTGCCACTTGATGCTCTGGCGAAAGTCAATTACTCTTGTTCGAGATGTCATGTCCATTGGCGAGACCAACTTGCGAACCCCCATCTCTCTGGCTCGTTCACATCAGACCAGAATAGGGTATTGAACTTGTGCGCGTATAAGAAGCTAACGGGCAAGTTAGCCAGAGCCGAGACGAGACGTTTCCTGGTTCATGAGATGAAGCCACGTACTGTCGTTGGAAGAATGGTATCACGGCCAAACTCCAAAAAACTGTGTACAAGGCCAGCGGGCCAAGGACAGCCAGGGAGGCCGTCCGAATGAGCGACTTTGCCATGGCAAATGAATGGGGCCTTTGGGTAGATGTAATTTGTTTGTAGGTTGTCAAACCAAAGCTTGCTCTTGCTCCTCGTCTTATATGCTCGGTGAATTGGACGCGGGCTGACGAGTCACAACTCACGATAGGCGGAGATGTTCCGTGGCAGCCTCGGCGAGTCGGCGGTTTTTTGAGCAAGGGGGGCAGGCTGCAGCAAGGTCACCGGAAGTACCGGTGACTATTAAACCGGGATGCAGCGAGATGGCTACGGCCAGTTCTACTCGGTGGACGAGGATCAAATGTTAACAGCTCGCGGTTTTCCCTCGGTGACGTGCTATGCTTCGGCACCAAAACGGACCAGGTACCAGGTACCAGGCACCAGTTGACCACCTGCAGGCCAGGCACCAACCAGTGAGCAGGCAGGCACTGATGGTTGATTGATAGGCTGACTGGATGGGTCGCTGGTACATTTGACAGTACAGCGAGTGTAGCTGGCTGGCAAGTTGGGGCTCTGCAGTTGCCTCAGACTTTCTTAGTAAGCACTCAGCTTTGTGCCAGTGTGACAAGCCAAACTCCTTCCTCACACACAGAGCCTCCAAGCTCAGGCAAGCCCCGCCTCCTGCTTCCGCGTGAACTGATTGGATTTGGTCTGGTGTCCTTGCTGCTTTTGCACCCCTAGCAGGTTTAGCTTGGCTCAAGTGCTAGGATATTGATATAAAATGATAGGCGAAAGAAAATAATAAACCAGACGGCTTCAAATTTGCGTCTAGTCTAGAACCTGCTTCCTTTCCATGTCCTCTAACAAATCGTACTTGACAGGTCAACTGGCTTATTTCTCCCCAACCACATACGCACCATGACCACACAACCACCAACGCGGCCGCCCAGCATCCCCGCAGGCTTACTCTCACCAGACAACTTCTCATGCATGATTCACAACATTCGAAGCCACCACCCGAAACCCATCTGCCACTGGTGCTCTGCGCTGGTAGTATTTTCCGAGTCAAGTTGACTCTTCCACGTCCTCTATCAGGGAACATCGGCATTGGGCAGCATATAGACGACAAGAAGAGCTAGGTGTTCCGACCCAGCATCCAGGTCATCCGAAACGTCACGACCACGTCTTTAGTGGCTTTATCGAGGCAAAGAGCCAAAAAGGAGCATCTTGGTACTGACAGCTGTATCTGGTATGGAGTGCTATTTTGGGCACAGGGCAATGGGCTCTTGTGCGCCCAGCCATGCTGACTGCTTCGTCGAAAGCAATTTCAGCAACGGCATCACAAGGCGCAGCAGCGTCGTGGGACTAGAGAGATATTTATGGATTTCTATCATAGGAGGTCAATACCGGCATTCCTGCATGGTGTGTGGAGCAATGGATGCGCATCTTGTTTCTGTTCTTCGAACCAAGAGAGACAATAGCAGATGGACCGGCTGATGACTCGACGAGCATTGCCCATGGGTGCTACAGAAGCAGAACAACCTCACTTTGTGTTACAGACCCGGCCCGGCCCGTCCGGGCCATTATCTCTTGTGGCTTGGGCTGCCTAGGGTCCCCTCCCTTCCCGTCGAATCTATATGAAGAGGTGAGGCTGTCTGTCTGGCCTTGTATCTCGCTCTTAAAGTGGTTTCTTTTATCGGCTAGATGGACATGCTGTCTCTCTAAAGCGCCCCAGTTCCGGCACACTACCTCTAAATAAGACACAACCTATCTATCTAGATACGTTACTTGCCGTATGTCTTGAAAAAGACGTCCCCCCCCAACAAGTTTGTATTCTTTGATTCATTTTCGACTCCGCCCACACACCCTCTTTCGCGGCAAACTGCAACACAATGGCGGGAATCTATACAAAGCTCGATTCTCAGGTAGACCTGCACGGATTCACAGATGCGGACAGAGAGGCAAAAACAGACTCCCCATCTGCGGAAATACCGGTCGAAGAATCAAACAAACCAGATACGGCTGCGCGTGATGAAAAGTCTACTACACACACCCGGTCGGCGTGGTCGCTTTGGAAATGGGAAATCATCTCTATTATCCTTGGCGGCGGCGTCATTGCAGTCATTTTCGCCCTTTTGCGCATTTATGAGAACAAAGCCCTTTCTGAATGGAGGGCTCCTATCTCTATCAACACTGTTGTGGCAATTCTAACCGCCCTTTTCAAGGGCGTGCTGGCTGTGCCTATTTCGGGCGGTGCGTATGGTTCATCGCCGGCCTTTCAAGGACGTGATTCTGACTGCAAGACACAGGATTGGGCCACATAAAGTGGCTTCTGTTCTCGAAACAGGATCGAAGTCTGGCCGACATGGACAGGTACGACCACGCGAGCCATGGTGCGTGGGGCTCCGCCATACTTGTCTTTAACCAGTTCCGTGGACGAAGCGTGTCGTAAGGCTCCCTTTTACTGAAACTCTCATGATAATACACGGAAATCCTGAGTAACGAGGTGGAATAGACTTGTCGCTAGTTTTGGTGCCGCTCTCGCCATTCTCTCCCTGGCAATCGATTCTTTTTCTCAAGCATCCGTCTCAATTACTACGTGTGTACGAACTCTTCCGAATTTGGCGTATATTTCTCGCGTAAACCATGCAAGAGATACAACAAAAGGCCAAATTAAGCAAGAAGGGCGCTATCTTTCGACTGATATGCAATTTGCTATCCTCGCAGGCATCTATTTACCACCGGCAAACAGCTCTGTTAGCACCGATGTTACTTGCTCCACGGGAAATTGCACATTCCCTGTTCCATTCACCACACTCGACATGTGCCATTCTTGTAGGGACATTTCTAATCAGGTTCTGGAGCTTGACAATATCACATGGTTCCTGCCTGGCTACGGGTCGACGATAAGAACAACCTTCCATGACGATTACGGGATGCATTTGGTCAACATGACAACCTCTAAAAATATAACAGGCCCCGAAAAGCCGAGGACTAGCCTGTTTGATTTTCAGATATTGGCTGTGAAATGCAAAGGGCCATATGGCTGTAGTCATAACGTGGAGACATCGACACATGTAGGCATGGCCTTTGAATGTAGCTTCACGCCTTGTGTCCGGACCTATGTGGCCAAGATGACAAATCATGTATATGCAGAACATGAAGTCATATCTAGTAGACAATTTCTACATCCCTCGGTAGATCCTGCTCATAGTTTCCTCAAGTACTTCCAACTTGGGGTGAATCGGACATTCTATAATGGCAACTGGATCGACTGTGACGCATCTCAGAATAAAACAGAAACGCACACGACGGATATATTCTCATACAAGAGCTATACGGAATCCCTTCACGAAAATTCCACTTATCATGAGGACCCTCTTTATTACCGCCCAGAATGTACCTTTCAGGTTGGCCATGACGAGGTATATACACTGAGGGTATTCGCAGACAACTTGTTCAGCAAGGAAACGGTGCTTTTACCATATCGCGCACCCCTTTTCGGAGAGGCCTGGATACAGAAGCTCTGGGATTGGGGGCATATGGATATTTCCACAGTCGACGCATTTGCCAAGGGTCTTGCAACATCCATAGGCGCAAATTGGCGAAGGAACCCAGAAACTCTCGGCATCGAGTATGTAGAGGGCCATACACATCTAACAGAGCCTTGTATAAAAGTTAGCTGGGGCTTCCTCTCTTTTCTAGCAATCCTGGTTGTCGCAGAATTGCTCTTCCTCGTTATCGTCGTCACAATCAGCCGCCGCAGCCCGTGGAAGGGAGACTGGAAATCGTCTATTCTGCCCTACTTGTTTCAAAAGATTACACTGCCGAACTTGACTGACAAACAGACTGAGTCGTATCTGAACAAAGCTGCGGAAGGTGTGAGGGCGACTTTTGAGCCGGTGGATGGACGTTGGACCTTGACCACGGGCTAGGCAACCCAGGCATATTAGATGTCCTGCGCAGGTGGGCGCTCATTGTCTTTGCAAGAATTGAGCGCCGAGGTACTTGGGAGGATGTGAAACGGCGAATTAAGTATGAGAAATGACACGGAAGGTGTGGGAGACCGAGCAACAAGATGGGGAGAATCTACATGGCACTTTTCAACGCCTACGTGACATATCTAGAATTAATGTTAACGGACTCTTTGATCTAGCTTATTATGGCTTAAGATTCCTATTATAGGTTCGTTACAATGCGGCTTCTTATGAAGCAGTTAGCTCTAGACATGGTGTACTCGACGCTGTACTAGTATTAAACTACCTGGCGCAGTAACTTGTATTAAATTTGAGACAATCAAACGCAATAACTACCTTTTTAAAAGAGCTAGTAGTCTTTTAAAGTTTCATTTACCACTGTACGGCTCTATTTTCACTTTGTGGGTAAGGCGGTGATATATACATTGCAAAGGCGTCTCAAGAGACCGAGGCTCAAGTAGTTTGCTCTCCCGGTGATAGCTTCTCGACTACTGCTCTCCACGCTTGCACCATGAGTTTATTTGAGGACAAGTGTACCTATATTATGACCGACTCATCACGCTAGCTATCAGCTTGTATTTATCTGGGGTAAATCTTGCTCGTGTTACGGAGACATGAATTGTCAGCCTAGGATGTCTAAGCTACAGGATTTGGGGGGCATTTTCGCATCAGCCTGGCAAAGTTGTCGGTGTTAAGCGCATCAATGCACATTAAACTACGATTGGAACACATCTACGTCGTTTACTTTGACGACAGTTGAGGCTTCAGAAGAACATTGTGTAGCGGCCACTTCCAAACCCCGCCAGGCCGGCGTTGTCTTGCGATTCTATGGTATGATTGGCCATGGCGTCGATGTGTATGGGTTGATTCGTACCGTATTCTGTATTGAGCAGTGGCCATCGATGGACGGCTCATTTAACACTCCGAGACTTGACTGCTTGTAAAGCCATCAGTCTCTACTGTTGTGTTGCTTGAGCCGCTAGGCGCCGCTTCAGTTGCTTGTGGCACCACGAAACTGCGCTTCCAAGCCCACATCGGCGAATAATTGCACCATGCTGCCCCAGCGTTTCTGGTCAGGGTGGTTGGTCATGTCAGGAAGGTCAACTAGGATTCGCCGGTTGGTCATCCGTTTGCTCGTCCATTGGCGTTATGGACCTTCACTCCCAAGACCGCTGCTAAGACAATGCAGAGAAGCAAGAAGCCCGTCGAGGAGAGCCATTCGAGGCTGCTGGGGTTTCACAAAGACAGGACAAGCAGCCCAAAGTATAAGTACACATGAAGGTAACAAGGTCAGTGATGTAGACCACAATACTACCCATAGCCACGTAACTATCGAACGGACAGTGTACGTTTTTTGTTAGGTCGACGCCTAGGGAGGAAGCAGTTCCACACAGTTCCATTGCGTTGTTGTGGCTGACCTGGTTTTAGCCTATACATATGTAGTGTATCGGCATTTGGATCCTGAGATGAGATCAATCGTCGACGCTGGGGAAGCACCGCGAAGATCAAGCGGGGGTATGACGCAGCAGGCCTGGCATGTAGTATTGAATGGAGACAAAGAAAGTCGGAGACGTTGCCGATTGCTTCAAAGTTACAAGCTACGCACCTTGACAACATATATAGACGGACCCCGAAAATAGCCGAGGACCAACAATCGTGTTGATGTCACGATCCCAGCGTACAGCCTTGGACTAGGTTTGTTGAGTCTATGTATAATTGGGAGCCAGGAAGAGTGCGAAAGCAGTATCGAACCGTCAAATCCGAACATCCACCGTACTCTTGCGGTCGGACAATAATGACCAACAGAGGCCCAGGTGCCCACCATATGTTCCCGACGTCGAAAATGCTTCTCATGGTGTGATATTTGGCAGTCATAATTGTGCAGCACGTATTGTATCTCGTGGTATCTGCAAACGACTCACTCATCAGCAATTCTAGTGTGAATTAGCATGCAGAGATCCTCTCCAACTTCCAATAAGGAGCGAAACCGCGCCAAAGATTGACAATCTCAAAGTCCCATGGACGGGTTCGCTCTGTTGAACCAGGCCCATTCCCCTTGCCGCCACAATCTATTCATGGCCCTTACCGCTCGCCCATTTGTCCTCGCCATCCCTCTTTAATATGAATGAATTGCATATTGATGTCTGGCCTTCTGCCCAGGCATGACGTCGTCCATCCGAATTCCAGGGTTAATTTCTTCCTCGCATATAGTAGAATACCAGTATATCAGACGCGAGCACGCTGCCTTCTGTCGCCTCCAGCGTGAACTTGTCAACACCCACGAAATGACCGATACGGGACACCTTCCATGCGGAGCCGTCGCTAGACTGCATCTCGTCTCCGACTCTGACATCGCCGGGCAAAGCGAAACGCATCTCCCCCAGAGGGTCGACGAGGAGCATGCCATGTTGAGAGGTAACCTTCAATGTGGTGATGGTATGATGAGACCGAACCTCGAACTCAAAAAAGTCAAAGCTTCCACTCGACTGGACATTTCGAATAACGCGGGTTGGGACAAGCCGACCTTCTGCCATTGTGAGTACGGAATCACCGTTACGGACAGCAGATATGGGTTTTTCCAGCCTTGTTCCGTCGGGCGCGTCCATGGCAATGGTCGTGTCGTTGGAAAAGCAGGCCGGCGGAACCCATACAAGCGTGGCACAAGCGACCATGCATACGCCAGCGCACCCTGTGACGCCGACTGCAATGCCTAATGGACCGGCAAATGCGGCAGAACCCCCGGCGCATTCGCAGCAGGCGACTGAGCAGGCGGAAAAGCCTGCCATGCCGGCCAAGGCCTACTTGGCTTGATGGAGTAACTGCGTCGACAGCATCACCACGGAGATGGGCACATTTCGTACAAACTTCATCTTGAAGTAGGCAATAATATCGATAGTATTATAATGATATTACGTGATGCTCGAGTGGAGCTGTTGCTAGTAAAGTAAATGGCATGAGAGGATGGAAAGCATGGTAATAGACGGGAAAACCAAGGTTATTATAGGCACACAGCGGGGAACATGATGAGAGAAATTCTACAAAGAGGGCTTCCCTGAATTGGCTGATTGCATTTCTGGTCTAGACTGTTAATGACGCACCTAGGCAGGACACAGCAAAGGGAGGAGCCTGGAAAAACCAGAGACTTCAATGTTGTGACTGGCTCAAGGGCGGTAGCCCGACACCTCGATCGCCAAGCAATCCAGCGATAAAATGTCTGGAACGTTGGGCAGATGAGGGGAAGTTGTCACTCGCATCAGCCTCTGGGTTGTACAGAAGAAATGGCTGCATTGAGAAGGATATATTTCTTCAGGCTGCTTTGCTGTCTGAACCATTTCTTCTGTCACATATCGCACGCTCAAGCAGTGTTTTGAAACACTCGCCAGCCACACCGTGCCTAGTTTCCCTGGACTCGTCCGTCAGGCTTGCCATCCTTGCGCAAACCGCCATGCTCTGTGGGCTTATAATCGCCCCCGGAGCCATCAGCGCCCCCAGAGGATGAACCATTTGGTGAACCGCTACTACCACGTGCGGCCGCCTTGGCGCCTTCCATGCCAGCGAGGTGAGGATCTACTTTGCCGTACGCAAACCCTGCGACATGTTAGACGCGGGGTGTGTACGAATTATGCGTGCCGACATACCTCCTGTGCCGACTCTTTTGTCAGGGTTGCCATCCTTCTTTAGGCCGTTGTGTTCTAAAATAGAGGTTAAATAGTGTTAACATCATCTGCGGCACGTCACCTACCTGTGGGTTTATAGTCAGACATGATGGCAACTTGACTCGACGATCTTGTTGATGGTTTGGAGTTGTAACGATGAAGCCACGATAATTTGTGAGGAATGATGGTCGTATATACATAGACACTTTTAATATGGCACCTCGTAGTTACCCGGCATCATTACGACCGACTACAACTGTCCAACCTTGAACGCAGGGGCGGTATCCGGGGTAAGCCTCTCCCCTGTAAATGACGACTACACTCGAGCCAAATGCGATTCTTCTCCACCGTAATTCGCAACGCTGAATGCCATTGTCTAGTATTTTGTAACGGTGTCACCGCGAAACAGGCTGCAAGTTCCGTGAAGCATCGCAAAATCCAAGAGCTGGCATGTTTTGCTTTTGATGCAGGCCATGAACAGGGGGGTGTCAGAATCGCACGCCGGGCTCTGCATCGGTGGCAGCTGCCAAGCCTGGCGCTTCACCGCTTTTGCAATCCCCGTGGGACTTTGAAATGCGTTAATTTAGATGCCTTGGTTTCAGTCATCCCGGAGCTCATTGAGGCCACTGCTTGGGTATGACATAATTGACTCTTCGATGACGACACCAGAAGCAGATACTATGCCGTAACACTGTCTGCATTAACCCATGCTTGAGGTTGATCCAGGCAGCATATTGGCAGTGAGACAAAGCGAGTTTGCCGATGGCTGCGGGAACTCGCAGAACACGGAGAGGAGCGGGAAGCGCGGACATAAGCGGGGAACCGGGGCTGAAGTGCGGCTTAGGTGACGGGGAGTCAACGGGGTTCAGCAGCTCTGTTGGTAGTAATGGTTCTTGTTTTCTCTCCATCTTTGTGTGCCCAATACGTCTTATTGGTAAAAAGCAGCGAGGACCCCTTACTTCCTGATTCCTGGCGACCGAGGCCTGGAATTAGGTCTTGTGATGAACATCCTCGTGTGATCGTTGCCGGGTTTAAGGGCCGGTCCGTGCCGTAATATTGTGGGGCCCGTGTGGTTACCGTTGTACCGTGTACGAGAGAGCTCCTAGTGCAGAAGCTCAATACAGAGCAAAGGAACTTGTCTAGTTCATCAACCCGTTGTTCGTGGGGACTGTTCAAGAAGCGGTAGCGCAATCGGTCACCAGACTAGTATTCACCAAGCTGCCAAGCGAACGCTCAGGTAGTCCTTTGCCAGTTGCAAAGCCATAGCCGACGGTTGAGATGCAGCTCGTGTAAGCTTCCAATGATCTGCCGTGGCATAGCTAGATCAACAAAATCCAACTCAATACTTTTGTTGTCCGTTTTTGGGTCGCCCTGCAGCAGAAGAGGATGCGGGTATACAAAGAACGACATGCAGGTGCAATATTGGATCAAACAGACCCCAATCGATGATCCCCTCTTCTAGTCTTCTTGCTAATTATTTTGCTGGGCGCTCGTGGTTTTACTGTGAGCCTGAAAAGAACCGAGCGGCGCAATTTACCTCGAAAGAGACAAACAAGCGTCTTTGCCCGAGATATTACTGAACGTCTGGCTCCTGAAAACACGCGGAGGTGCGATGGATGTGTCCATGTATCTGTTACTTTGGACTGAAGGTACACTGGTTGATGGCTTCGCGTAACTGAAAATGGCCTGGGTCAAGAAGGAGATGCTTACCTGGGATACATGGGCTGCACATCAAACTGCCGAACCAATTCGCCGAATGCAATAGAGGTACTTCTCGTATCGGGATCAGCTTATACGGTGTTGCGAGCTAAGAGGAAGTTTACCAGTTTCAGCATCTATTGTGAGAAATATTACTATAACATGTTTATCTTCGCCGCGGTCTCCTTTTCGTCACGTATGTTTCTAGAAATAGAAACCAAGGCTTACCCTGTAGCATAGCCTACACCTCTCGTGACTTATAATATGGCAGAATGTATTAGTCCTTAAGAGTGAAACCGGCCAATCAAGTCCATAATCGGCTAGACTGCTCCGGCATTCAGTGTTAGCGTCTAGGTGTTAGGCTTGGTCATAGGTCGGAGACCTTGACCGGTTTAACTGTTCGAGCGGCTTTAGTACGCCCTCAGCAAACCGGCCTAACATGTGTACACGTGCAGACGCAACGAAAATGCCCCCCATATGCGACTCACGCTGCTTGTGAAAACCTGGTAGATTCTTAAGGAGAGTATATTAAAGTAGCCGAGGAAACATGAAATTCCTTTTATACTTGGACACGGATTACATAAATTAACCACCAAGAATACAAAGAATACACAGAAACCTTCCTTGAGCAAAACTCTAGAGTAATATCTAGAGTTATACGTGGAATATTCGTCCTCAAAAACCAATGACTTTTTCAAGGCGCTCCTGGCAATTCTTGAGGTGCCGGCAGGTTGAGCTGCCGTTCTTGCCATCATCCGCACTTTTTAATACCACCCATCATAATATTCATCATCATATTCAGCTTCAAATACCCGTGGATACGGTCCCTCCAGGTAAACCCTGAGTTCGACGCCGTCCCTGCACGTAACTTGCGGCGTCGCTGGATGTCCAGGCAACCACCTTTCAGGACGGCATTGAAGACGATCAGGCTCAACGCGGACGACTCCGGGAAACCCGCCGCCTTCAATCGGCTTGATGGCGTAGTTATACGTGCCTTGGTTACCACTAGTATAGCTCACTTCCACCTGATTGTGAGTTGCTCCTTTCACACGGAGCTTCAGGTCGGCGGATTGGTCAATGGCCTGAATTTGGAGTGTTTCATGGGCAGGAATGACGGTCTCTTGGTCGCGGGATACTTTGATCCCGTTGGCGAGTGACTTTCCTGTTACTTTATCCAGCTGGACGGGCGTATTCATATTATTCGTGATGGAGATGCGGCCAGGGCTGGATCGGCTCCCCCAGTAGAATTCTGGGAAACCTAGAGAGGTTGCCGCGAGAACGGCTACAGCAGAGAGCATGGAATACTTCATATTGGTGGTAAATAAAGTGTAAATAGTAATGTATCTTGTTTGCAGAGTAGATTAAGTTGCAGAGAGTAGAGCATTCTAGGTCTCGAATACAGCTCCTATTTATATTTTTTGAGTTCTACTGTATAGCTAATTGCCCTCGGTATTGTATATGACTGGCATCAAGTGCCACGATTGACTTTTTTTAATAATTTAATTTTTTGCCAACTTTTTTTTTCTCGTAAATCTTGGAAATTGCTACACAGGCCCAACTTTTTCTGCTTCTCATTTGTCTGTCGACGATGATGCCAAAAATTAATTTATTTCTCCGCAAGTTAATTGCCACGTAGTTACTACACTTTCAATCTAAAGTATGTAGATTTCATACTGCCATGAGCCGAGACTCCCAGAATCGGTACCAACCTAGGTTACAAACGAATGGTGTCGCGGACCGAATTGACGCCTTTGGATGGGCTTGACACGGCGAGCGTCAATTCCGACTTGGACTGACGCGAGTGGCGTCACAAGGTCAATGTTGAAGAAAAGCTAATTGATGTACAATCCGTGCATTCTATAAATGTTAAATCTACTCTTTCATCCGCTAGCTCTGCTCTGTTGTAAGCTGTTCTTGCTACGCGGCTATCTCACTCAAGTGGTGTCAAGTCAAAGTATGCTGCTGTCTAAAAGCTTCTAGAAATTTACTTTTAATGATCAAAGCTTAAACTAATTCTAGACTGTGGGCCGTTGTATTAGTTGAAGCTATTTACTTGTAGGGCTGCAATTCAAGCTTCAAGCCACTTGCGTCGTCATCTCCCCCTCTTTTAAGCAAATACTTTATTCGCCACATGCCAAGCCGTTGCAACCGTGATTGGCAGTTATCATCGTGGAGGTAAACGAGGAGTCAGAAATGACATTCCAAAAGGGCCGCTAAATTTACATGGATTGACTTCTGCATATGTAAGCATGATACGTGCCACCAAGTACTGCAATGTCTGAATTTCACTCTCCCTCTTCCGGAATTCAGGACACAGCGCCAAGGTTTATAGAGGCAGCAAGAACCAACACAAATCATCAGAGCGGCCATGAATTACAGCATTGTCTGGAGCAACTCAAGGTTATTATGGGGGCGGGTGTGGATTTCCTGGAATCGGCGGAGACATATGAGACTCCGACTGTAAGCACCAGTTGACTGTGATTGAACCAGTCCATTACAATCTTGTCAGTAACTGGTGGCTTTCGTACACGCCAGGGTATGGAGGCCGCAGTGAAAGAAGGCAGGGTGCTTGTGACTTGTAACGGCCGGCGACTTTGAGCCCACGTCTCCCCAAAATGGTGTTGAATGAGAAATTGTCAAATGACAATGCAAGGCTGTACGCGAGGAGGGTCCCATCGCCCTGGCTTGCAGAAAGACTTGGTATAACCGCCATTACCGGTGGTGTGACATTGTAAGTCGATAGGCAGACGTGATATGTTGCCTCAAAATAGAATCAGCTAATTATAGTGACATGTAAACCCGGTACTAGGAGGCAACACACAAAATGATCACAATCAAGCACGACGCTACAACTTACACAACACCAAGATACGTACATATCTATAACCTACCCTATAGGCTAATAACGATCTCATTATTGGTATAAGGGAGTGAGGAGTCAGTAGACCTCAGGTATGCATGGAAACTACGATAACTCATAGATATGTTCCATAGAGACTAGAATGTCTTACAGACTGCTGCGTTTATCTGTTCTTCGGACAGTACTCGGTACCCGTTGGCTATTCTAGGAGCACATTGTTAGTGGAATAACATCGCTGTCGCACCTGCTTTGTCTCGGAAGTTTATGGAGAACAGGTACCGGTTATATCCAGAGAAATAGAAGGATACATACGTAGAGGATGTAGGTCTAGGCCAGCCTTGTCACAGTGAGATATAAACTTGTTTCACAGTCGAAATACCCAGTCAAGATCAACACCCTGATAAGGTAACATCAAGGACCACCTTTCCACAGCCGACACTCCACAATGCTGCGAGGTCTCGGAACAATGCAAGACTCAGATTTGTCACGCCAGCCCAGCTCTGAGAGCATTATTACCAATCATCCCCCGGATAGCCCCGGCGGATAACACCCGAAGTCGACCAGGGTCAGATCATCCTAAACGCGACCCGACGAACGCGGCTTCTTTGCCTTGCTCATCGTCCTTGGCCCCCTTTTGTCGACTCAATTCCTTGCCTTGTTAACCAACGTCGCCCAGGACATCTCGCTCATTGACCGAAGAAATGCTCTCTTTCCTCAGGCGTGGAGATGTCGAGCGGACAAACAGCGCAGACAATAACCCCGTCATGTACGAGGGCGGCGCCTCGTCCGTCTTATTCCACCCGCCCAACTCCAAATCCGCCATGACACACACCATCCCCCCTACATCCGCAGAAAACGGCACATCCATTGTCCAGCCTCCCTTTCACTATCACGTATACCAAGCGGAAACGTTCCGCGTTCAGTCCGGCATCGGCCACTTCTTCCGCGGGATAGATGCCGGCGTTTGGAAGGTCCTCTCGGCAGAGCCGGGCGTCGAGTCGACGGCCACTGTTGGGCCATGCACATATCACCGCTTCGAGAATGCGTCCAAGACGGAAGACCTTGTTGTAGATATTCAGCTCGACCCCGAGAACTACGAGGGTGAGCAGCGCTTTTTCCGAAACTTTTTCGGCTATCTCAACGACTGCAAGCGCGCCAACAAGACGCCGAGCTTTTTCCAGCTCATGGTGATACTGCACAGCGCTGATACCCCGTTGGCATTGCCGCTGCCCAGTCACAGGCTTGGCGTCCTTGTGAGCAGGCTGTTCTTGATTATAGTCGCCTTTTGGGGGCGATGGATCATGGGCTACAAGTCCACATACCCCGAATATTATCAGCCGAGGAAGTCGATTTGAAATCTGGTGGCGGTTCGCAAGTGCTAAACTTGGGGGACTTGCCTCGTGTTTGCGGTTTCGGTGTTGAAACGCGTGTCTATTTGGTAGGACGGTGACGCGTACGTGATGTCAAGTGATGCGGTATGCATCAAGAGATGGAGGCATGAGCCCGAGCCGAGGACCTCAAACGACTAGTATATGAGTACATGATGGGAAATGATTCAATTTGCTAGCACAACTCTACCATAGCGCTGCTCTATTCCTTCTTGTCGTATTTCAACTTTGAAACCGTCCAGACCTCAATGGCCCAGTTGCACCCTCGGGTTCCGTAGGAGCTGAATTCCACCGTGACTTGCGAGCTGCCCACGGTTCCATTATGCATCTTGAACCATCCATTGCTAGTATCATTCCAGTACGAGTTGACGCGGAAGCCCAGGATGACATCCTCGCTATCCCCCAGGGTAAAGGTGCCCTTTTGACTCGCAGCCAACGCATAGTCCCTGGCAAAGTCCTCGCGGCGATACTTGACATCACTCGCGAGAGCGCTATACTTGGCGTTCCCATGCACGCCGAGGATGCCACTGGACCATTCTTTGGTATTGAACGCTTCTATCCAGTCACTACCGAGTGTCAGTCAATATCGATGATGAAGCATGAAATCATGCAGGGAACACGACATCGTGGCAAAAAGGTCTATACCTACCCTGGGCTAAAGTTCTTTCTCTCAAGCTTCTTCGCATCGTCAATGAGGTCCTGCCGTAGTCGCCAGCGGTCCGCCTCTTCCGTGCATTCGTTGACCCTGGCCTGTATCTGCGCAATGCCACCTTTATCAGCGACGTCAATGGTCTTGATTTCGTCGCAGAGCGCTGAGATTTTGATCGCGAACCCTGCGGCCTGCGTCATGGGCGATGCGAGCAGCTGCGTCTGCGCCATGTACAGCGACTGATAGAGAAGCTCCAGCGCTGGGCCCAAGAAACTGAACTGCTTCTGGGGGATGGGGATCCTCTGGTCGACCACGGAGTAGTGGCACAGCATGCCAATGTACGGCTCGGTCTTGTACTCCTTGACGAAATGGTCGTATGCGGCCTGCACTTCGTCAATCTTGTTGGTCTTGCTCGTCGAGGCAGGCTGGCCCTTGACTCCGCTCATGGCAATGTCGATGTCGGTCGACGCCCATTCGCTGGAGGACTTGCTGAGAGATTCAAAGACGGCGGAGAGGCTGCCGGCCTCGGTGAGGGTCGCCTCGAGCTTGGTCTTGATCTGGTTTCGGATGCTGGCGCTTGAAGTCCGGATGGTGCAGACGGCGTTGAATCGGGCGCGCGACAATGCGCCGTAGACAAAGTAATCGCCGTAGCGTTCTTGAAACTTGTTGATCCCGTCGGGACTTTGCAAGACGGACAGTGCGGCGGCGCTGAGCTTCAAGTCGGAAGTGTCTACTAGAGCGGGAGGATCTTCGACTGTGGCCGTAACGACCTGGACAAGGGAGGTGGAAGACGTCTGGACATTTCGAAGATAAGAGTTCTCAGTCTCGACTGATACCCCCTCCAGAGGAATTGTTGCCTTGACATCTGCCTTGATGCGAGACTTGAGCTCTTCGGCCGTGGTGATGAGATGCTTTTGAGTTTTGATACCAATGTGGCTGGGCTCCGTTGTGGCATGCGGGAAATTACTAAATGCAGAACTTCGCAATTTGCGATGCTATGTGCTCATTAGACGACAGATTCGGCATGAGACGGCATCTTTTGAGGACAACCTACGGCAACATCGTAGCCAGAGCCGAATGTGATGTGAGGGCCTGTCCAGCCAAGATTGAGATAGGTCTCGCTTTCGTTGCCTTGCGCCATCATGGTAGGGCTAGCGTTACCAAAGGTTTTGTCGAGGTTCTTTAAAGAAGGGTGGTAAGCTTGAGGTTGAAAGAAGTATCGTTGTTGAGTGGTATACACTGATTTCTTCGTGGGCTGTCGACTGGTTTAATATAAGATGGTATTGTCATAGACCAGCATCCCCGGCTTGATGTAGATTAATGTTGAGATCTAGAACGTCCAATAAGTCTGCCATGAAGTCCATATATTATCCACTAATGTAGCGCGCTCTCAGCCCCTCGGCAGGACCGTGAAGGCTTTCAAGCTGAAAGCTGAACTAATCTCCTGTCAGATATTATTCCAGAATCATCCGTGTGACGCTAGCGCCAATATTGAGGGCTTGGATACCAGCTGTAGGTACGGGAGGCATGGCCCTTTTCGCGCCCAGACTGCCAATAGACATGCAAGGCAGCCTTCAGCCCCGGCATCGGGCGTCTTGGCTCCGCCCGGACGGGACGGGCCGCCGCCGGTCACGGCACCGGAGAAGCCGTTGCAAAAGACGGGTACGTATTGACTTTCAATTCTCCACAATGCAATGTACGCAAAGCTGGGCAATTCGCCACCGGTCAGAGACAATAGTTGATCCTATAATCGCACCGCAGTCTTTCAGCAGCTGCTGTCGGTCATTGTGGTCTAGACCCCGTCGCTCTAGAGTTCCAGCCTCAATCGGCAGAGCTGATAAAACCCATGGCATTAAATTTCAGGCTCCGTAACTAAGATGCCGTGGAGCACCATATTCGCAGCCGTCGCGTCTGTCGCAACACAGTACACCTCCGTTGAGGAGCAGTTAAAGTTGGGCGTGCGTTACGTTGATATACGCCCCGTCCAGCACCGAGGCCGGTGGGTTTGCGGCCACTACTCCTAGATAGCATTGACTTGCCAGTTTTTATGCAGGGGGGGATGGTAGCGGACATGCAGCTAAAAGATGTTTTTTAGGAGAGTTTCACGACCGACGTGGCTCGAATGGCACTCACAGGCTAGTATAGCCGATGCCACTTTAAGCGGAGGAGGAACGGGAGCCTAATGGAGCCACACGATCTGAAAGATACTGTCGTGGTATGGGGTGTTGGTTCTTGGAGGAAGCAAGTCAAAGGCTGGACCTTCTAAATAGATGAAATTACCACCGCCGCTATGCATTACACATGCCTCTAGATCTGAAGATTGGTACCGTTGTAGTAGTGTTTTCGTAGAACTAATAGCACACAACTTAACTCACCCACATCTCCTTGATGAATGTTCGTGAGTAACGGGCACCTATAATTGCTCAGGCTACATCTGACCATGGTTTTAAAGTGGACCTAGATTCATTCACTGCATTTTAATGACATCAGTCTGTATCCTGATGGACTATTCCGTCATCCACAACATGATAGGCACTCGGCAAGCCGCCAATGACTATTTGATGGCCCTCCCGCTCAGCCTGGGCAACGGCGCATGACATACAGCAGTCGTCTTGTTACAGCTGTTTGACATTTTTCGAATTGTAAAGGAGCTGAGATTATTGATTCCGGTGGGCCAGCGTTACTCCGATTGCATTGTCAAACGATGGGGCCGGTTCAATGTTACACGGAAAAGGTCGAACCCTTGTCACATTTAATCACGGTTTTGGCTTTCAGAGGCTGCGTATAATCTGAAAGAACCAGGGGTGTCGAAAGACTCTGCCCACAGCCCTCCGCTGGCCTGAGATTCAGAATCCCAAGTGAATACCCAAAAAGTTGACGTCAATGGCGCTGGTGACTTGCCTTATCTAGCACTAAAGAATGTTGTAAAGGAAGTGAAGAAGACCAACCAAAATAAGACCTCCACTTGTAAGAGGCCTGCCCCTTTGGCAGAGTCGCTAAAACAAAGAACAAGGGCGGCGTCCTCGCGTCAAGCAGGACGCAAAGTCATCAGAAGGCTTGCTGTGCTCACCAAGCCCCGATGGAGTGATTGTAACAAGGGTTCAATGTGAAGGCTTGGAGCAAAAAGGAGCTCAATTCAATAATAATCTCGAAGGGTCTCTAAGGTCTTGAGTTGCTACGAGAGAGGAAGAGAAGGGTAAGCGCCTTATATACATGAAAGGAACGCCCGGGCCTAGGGTCCTTACCTAGGCACGTGTTCTAGCTGTGTAACTAACAAGTCCTGTATCGGCGAAGCCCCTTTATTGGGCTTCACGATCTGTTGGGCCTTTTCCGTGTAACAGTGATCGCACCTTGCTTCATAGTTGACTTTGCCTTTGGTCGACCCGACTTTGAGCAAATGATTGAAATCATAAAAGTCAGAACCGTAGTGTAGCATTTTATCGACCAGGTCGTGCTGTACAACCCGCGGATTGGTTAGAGTTGGGTGGGCAAGAGTACTTGGGTAGATTGTTGAAATACCGCTGCTGCTGCCTGGGTGGCCAAATTTGAGTGGGAGGTAGACTACGGAGTATATCTCCCGACATTAGGTCATTTACATGAATGAGAGCAAGGGGGTGACATTGTCCGCAGAAACGGCGCGCAAAAGCCCTTGGGCAGAACCTGGTCCGCTACGGCAATTGGACCTTTGCGCGTTCAAAGGGATTGGGCTGTGAAACACCAGGCCTCTGGTCACATTACATGAATGCAAGTAATTAAGAACTGGGCCACCGCATTGTTATCATGTCTCACCGAGTTCCGAGACTAGCTGACGGCGTTGGGTGTGCGAGCCGCTGCAGAAGATACATCCGCGCTGCAAATGAACTCGGCTACAGAGTATTTTCATTCCACTTTGCGACTACAACTAATGTGTTCAACATGGTTCGTATGAAGCCGCTGATAAAATTGGGATTTGCAAACTTTAAACAACACAAGGTGCTTTGCAACCCCTAGTGGGTACTTAAGATAGTTTTAACCATATTCCACTAACAAAAGCCTACAAGGCCGTGTAGCTCAATGGTAGAGCGTCTGACTACGCAGCGCAGTATTCCTAAAGTATCCTTATCCCGTAGTCAGAAGGTAGTGGGTTCGATTCCTGCCATGGCTAAATATTTTTGTTCCCTCCGCAATGAGGGCAAAAACTATGACACAGAGCTACTTCTTATTGACTAGTTCCATGGTATTTACTGATTTTCGACTTCCTTTTTTGTTTTTGACTGCAGCAACCATTGATTGGACCGTAAAAAATTACAATATGCTTGTTCAAGACATGTGTCTCGCGGGAGGGGTGAAAATGCTACCTCGTTCAGGGTCTAGGCGACTGCTCAACAGGCACGCAACCCCTATTCCAAGTAGCTACTTGAGATGCCACTGTTTGCTTTAGTCTGGCAAAAGACAATTCGTTTCTTCCTCAGCTCCAAGCAGACGAGCCGGAACATGAGCAACGTCCGACAACTATAAAAGGGTTCCTCTCCCCATGTGTTCAGCGGCCAGTAATTTCCAGAGACAGCCTTCCTTTTATCGCGTCGCCGAATTCCCACAATCCACTCTTCCCATTATCGCAACATGCATTTGTCTACATTTGCCGTTGTTGCCAGCCTCTCTGCCGTCTTGACTGCCCCAGCAGACTCGCCGGATGTTGCACTTTGAGACCCGAGCGTTTACTTCTGCAAGCATGGCGACTTTGAGCCACCATGTATTGGCATAGCGGGACCCCGGGCAGATGCGGCATGTTTGAAGCCATTCACCTGCAAGCAACGCTATTGCGCTCCTCTGGCTCTATGTCAACTCTGTGCTGCGCTTGCCGCTGTCAGATAACTTGGCTCAAAGTCAACCTACCGAGTGCATGGAATGATGAGGTGTCTTCGCTTCGTCCCGACCCGCAGGTTGAATCATGCCGTTTTTTTCAGTGAGTTTGTCCTCTTTGGCACTCGGGGCGCAGTTTTGCAACTTGGCAGCAACTAACGAGGTTACGTATTACAACTGCCAAGGCCCTTCGTTTGATGCCTCCTATCCTGGCTACAGCAATCTGATCTACGACGTCCCCGGATTCAACGACCAGATTAGCTCTTTTAGGTGCGACTACTAATCGGTCCGATTCAACGGCGACTCTGGCAGAGAGCAATCATCTAGAGACCCCGCTTCCACTACTCTGGCTGACACGTACTCTTATGGTTTATGTTTCCTCTGGATATGCGGCGGTTGGTGTAATAGTTTCCAAGGGCGGGCAGTCTCATGATGACTCTCATGGTTGCAAGGAGTTCTCCGCTGCAGTCTAAGTTCAACCGGCGAGTACTGTCACATAATAAGAAGTAATCTAAAATAAAACTGCGACAAATGGATATTTACGGCCCGATATCTCAGCGGAAGTGATTAATGCGTCGAGTACTCAGAGGACTTGCGTTGGATACATCTGTGTTGGATAAATCGCCTCTGTTGATAGAACAAGCCAACTCGGCGCAACTTCAGGCTCTCACAACGTCGGCTATCATGGTAATGCTTGGACGAAAAGAAGTAGTTGGGAAAATTTACAACATGGCCGTAGACAGAGCCTGCAGCACGAGGCACAAGAACAAACCAACCTATACGCCAACAGCTTCCTTCAAGTACTCCCTAATGGGGTCAAGGTCTGAGTGTAATGACAAGTAGAGTGATATTGACCACTCCCGCGTCTTCATCAAGCTGCTTGACCGTCCCCGAGTGCAGCACCAGCACCCTCGTTGACGCAGTTGCGGCCGGCGGTACAGGCCAACTTGTGAGACACTGTGACAAGGGCTCGGAAGGAGGGCTTGGAGCAATAAGGGCTCAATTCAATAATAATCTCGTAGGATGTCAAAGGTCCTGAGTTGCTAAGAGGAAGGAAGAGAAGGGTGACTGCTTTATATACATGAAAAGAACACCCGGGCCTAGGGTCCTTGCCCGGGCACGTGTTCTAGCCGTGTAACCAACAAGTCCTATATCGGCGTGAAGCCCCTTGATTGGGCTTCACGATCTGTTGGGCCTTTTCCGTGTAACAGACACGCCCACCTACAGTCAAATAATACCAAATCTGCAGCGAATAACAGCACCCTCACGGTCGAGAAGCAATGCTACCAGACCCTTGTCGCCCAGGTTCTGACGCTCCGTAGTTACTATAGAGCACCAACCTTTACCCTCCATCACTGCGCAACAAGAGATAATTTACCGTGCATGAGTTCCTAGAACTCGCGAAAACTTCAATTTCATCGTCATCTGACTTTCACTCTATCGTATAACCCAGCGAATCTTTAACCTGTTGATAATGTATCCAGTCTCCCCGTTACATGGGGAGATGCCGCGCAGGGATATTTCGCACAAACGACACGCTGGTATACATTGTCCCGACTCCCAACAAATCGCCAAGTACCACATGTACCCAAAACAACAATCCAGCACCCGGAGAATCGAAAATCTTCCCCAAACGTTCCTTACACCAGGCATAGTCTTTACCCCCAAAGTGCCATTCTAGTGTCGAGTGTTCATGTCGCCAACTTCGTCTTTGGCCCCGTCGACTGGGCCCTTATACGCTCCTGCACCCGCAGGATTAATTCCAGCGGCAGAAGCAAGGGCTCATCTCGCCCAAGTCGGCGATGCACGCGATCATCCGCAGTGGCTTCCCCTGCAAAGCATTCGTGCGCAAACAGCGGCACATTTAGCTCCGTCTCCATCGGTAACAAGGTGCTGCTTGCTGTCCGTCGAAAGGAGTCTTTTGCCATTTTTAAAAGTATTCGTCATGTCAAGTTGCACTTTGGAGCTTCTGATTATTCAGGACCGACAAATCTCAAGGCTTTTATGCTTCTTGTTACCAAGCCGTCTGCTATGAGATGAGGAGGCGAGAAACACACGATATATATTTTTGGGACCTTCATTCGCCATCTCGTTGGGTAGAGGGGCGACGGGGCCGGAGCATGTGCTCCGGTGGCATGACGTCTCAATAGTGCAATCCTTTGCAGTTTCCTTGATTCGATACGCCGGCCGCCAACATCATGCGTCCAGTCGGATTGGTCCCTGACCGCGCGATGCTATTTTGTACCCTGGCAGACGCACGCCCAACAGGAAGCCGCTCGCATCGGAGCTAGCTCCACGGAATGTGCTGGAACCATCTGCTCACAGTTCCTCAACTGGGGTTTCGCCATAGGAATCGGAAAGGACCTATCATTTTCTGCAAATGAACAAGATTTACGTCACTCGTAGATGCACCGGACGAAGCTATTGGACGCATGTGGAAGGAGCCGACACGTGCGGGCAAGATTACAGCTTCAAGTCGGCGGGTTTCAGAAAATGTACTTTTCATTGCATTGATTCATCATGCATCTTTTCGACTTGATAGGATTAGTTGCCGAGTGGCTTTGTATACAACACTCGTAGTTCCATTACCGGTGTAATTAGACAAAAACTCCTGGCCCCCGTAGCAAGCTTCCCTTGTAACTCCCCGTTATGAGTCCCTATGCCGAGGGATCTAGCTCGTATAAGAATGACAACATGCATGAATATTAAGTCAAAATCGAGTCGTCAGACTCCTTCATTCACAAACCGTCCACCTCCTTCTCCGCCACAGATCGAATAAGACGCTCGTACTTGGACTGTGCCTCTTGCTCTGGATCTTGAAGCTTTACTGGCAAGGCGGAAACAGTCGCCTTGTTACTGGATCCGGTGGTCCACAATACGCCGGGTTTTGGCGTCGTATTGTTATCTGTCTCCGGTTCGGATTTGGGTGTTGGGCTGCTTGCTTTGGAGTCCTCCACCACAGGGACAGCTTCCTGGGGATCAAAGTCCACCCGTGGCAGCCGCATGGCGAGCAACACGTACTCGGCTCGCGTCATGTTGTCCATCACATCGTCCATGTAACGGCGAACCTCGTCCTGTGGAGCAACAACGCGCGCCAGGTTCTCCAAATGTCGCCCCGTCGTGGTTTGCAGGCGGATCGTAACAGGCTGATAGTAGTCGAGCTTTGGATCACCCCCATACTCTGATGCGCTGCCCTTGCGAACAATCAAGAATGATGCAACCACATGCTGCCCGGACTGCGATGGCAAGAATTCCAAGATGCTGTATCTAGGAAACAAACATCTATCTCCTGACCCAAAATCAAACACTACTGCTGAAAGATCCGGCCGATTTACATGGCTTGATGCTTTCGATTTTATCTGCTGGTTCGCTTGTTGAGCCCCTTGCGGTGCTTGGGTCTTCGGCTGGGACGCAGCAGGAGACCCGTTTACGGGGGGCTGTCTAAGGGGTGAAGGTCCAGGTGTGGTGGTGGCCTTTGGTGTTATTTTCGCATCTCGATGTAGGCGGTCCAAAGTTTGCTTCAGATCCGTGGCATCGGTGAATCCAGGCTTCCCCTCGGCTATGCGACGAATCATGTCTTTTATCCGCTGGTTTTCAAGAGCAGTTTTTACCAAAAGGACGACCAACGGATCGCTTCGCGGAGGCGGTCGAAGTTCAGATGACTTCTGGTTCGGGTTTGAAGCAAGCACAATATCCAAAATGGTGCGAACCTCATCAGCGAAATACTTTACGGTTCGACCATCCACCAGTAGCCTATCGGCGGACGGGCCTTGCTGGCCACCTCGCTGCCGATACTCTGCATTCAGCTGGTCGATGATCTTTTGGAACTTGGCCAACTCCCCATCCTTTGCTTGTCCAACTGCGACCCTCTTCATCAAATCTCGAAGTTCGGGATCGGCAGAGGCCTTTTGGGCAAGCAACGCAATCACCGGGTCATTCGCCGCAGGTTTTGCTGCAGGAGCTGGCGCGGCTCTTGGTGCTGCTGGTGGTGGTCTATTGCTAGGCGCAGGAGGTTGGGCCTGATTAGGCGTGCCAGCAGGGCGAGACGCGGTGCTGGAGGATGGCCCAGCCGCTGGACTAGAGACAACAGCCTGCCTTGGTGGAGCGTTGGCCACGGGGCGGGTAATAAGTTGTGATGCCCCAGCAGGTTGGAGAGGAGTTTGTATTGTTGAAGATGGTGGATGTGCACCACTCGCAAGGGGAGCCGTGTTTGGAGGTGGAGAAGAATGTTGTGAGGCCTTGGGGGCTGGAGTAGGCGTCGGAGTGGAAGCCACCACCCCTTGTGACTGCGCTTGCGGCTGTCCTTGTTGGGGAGCAGATGGTTGCGCAGGCTGGGCAACGCTTGGGGGCCCTGGATTGGGAGATGATGTGGCTTTAACATGCATCTCTGCGGGAGAAGAGGCCGGCGGCACGGCTGGCAGAGCTGGGGATGACGACTTTGGTGATACTGGAGCAGCCGATGTAGGCGCCGCCGACGTAGAATATGTCGATACAGGTACAGCCCCGGCAGGAGTAGCGCCCGGGGTAGAAGCTGCTGGTGTCGCCATTGATGTCGGAGTGGTTGTAACAGGACTGGTAGGGATTGGCGGGGGCCGCATGGCCCCATTTGGAGGACCATATTGAAGAACAGGCCGTGCGAGAACAGGTTGTTGTGCCGGCGCTGAAGGGTTAGGGTGTGGTTGCTGCTGCTGCTGCTGCGGTTGTGGTTGCACAACGGTTGGTTGTTGCGGTTGACCTGTTGGTGTCGCTTGTCCGGGTGGCTGAGGGTTGGGTTTAAATCTCTGCTGCTGGTGAGGTAGCAGCTTGGACGTTTTAACAGCATACATGGTTGCTTCCACGATGTGCGGCTCGATGGTAAGCGTGACCAATCCAACTTTCATCATACTATCCTTGGGTGGATTATTTGGATCCTCTTGCAGCACGCCCTTGCGTTTGTGTGGTTTTGACCAAAACTTTTCGAACAGGCCTTCGCTGATCCACTTGTGCCGCGATCTCGAGAGCGATTCCGACATGACACCGCTGAAAATGCACGGTTAGCACAGGGGGGCATGAGAGGGGGGCATGAGGGGCAAGAAAGAGAAACTTTTTCTCCTGCTGAGTATGCTGGATGGATAGCCTTACCTCTCAGACACGGACTGGTATTCTTTGCAGGACAGGTTCGTTGGTTGAGGCTCTTCCACGGTAGGCAGAGGCTTTCCGACTTCGATTGACTTGGGCAGCGGAGGAGGAGGAGGCGGCGGCGGCGACGGTGTCGGTTCGCGAGGAGGCGGTTCTGCAACAGCTGGTGTTGACGACTGTCGAGTCGTAACATTTCGTTTCTTGGCCGCCTGCTCTTGACGGGCGGCGGCCCTTGGGGGCAACTTTCTTTTCCGCTCCATCACACGCGGCTGTGGCAGGACCAAGAAGTCCAAGAGTTCGGGTTTAATCGGCCAGCATGGAGCAATACATCATAAAGGTGCCATACGGGTCGGAGGCTGGCTTGTTGCACTCGTGATGGACGTTTCACGACGGCGGTCAGACGGGCGAGGCATTCGACGGCGACGCAGGGCTCGCAATGGACGTGTGTAGGCGCCAGCTGCCGCGGGACTCGATCAGAATAAGCAAGGAGAGAAATACGATAACCAAGTGCTGGCCCAGCCAGGACGACGTCTATGTTGTGATGCGTGATTGGTCTGGCTGGCCGAAGGAAGGCGGAGCCGGGTCAGCGAAGCGTGTTGGCGTGTTCGGAACGGCGCCACAGGCGATGCAGAGAGACGGCGAAATGACCGTGTCGATCAATCGAGGTCGGTTCAACGCTCAACGCACAAGGACGCAGCAGCCTCTCTACCCAGTGCTCCGGCTCGGTCAAGGGCGTGCAGGCTGGAGAACAGAAAACGAAGGCCAAGATCAGCGCGGCCAACAGGTCTGGTGTCAATCTGTCTGGTTGGTGTAACTGGCTGGTGGGCCAATTGAGCCAGTCACGTACCAGACCTGCTTGCAGCTGCCAGTGGCAGTGGCAGGAGCCTGCGCGGCCTGGCGCCGCTTTTACCATGTGACCAGCTGCCCTGGCTGTGTCGGGGCGCTAATCCTTTTTTGGGCAATGTTGGTAACCTACATTTTAACCCCAGCTAATCATTTCAAACAAATGTTGGGAGTTTTATGCGCCAAGAAATATTATTCCCTCCATGCAAAGCCTCAAGCGCGACAACGTTGACCTCCCGTCCGAGTTAACAATGCCTATTTTAGAGCCGCACAGAGCAACTGCCTTTCTGTCGTGCTCATCTTCCTCGGTAGGCCACAGCGATAATTCTGGCACATCCTGAATTAATTATTGTACTATTCTTCGTTCTATTCTCTGGTTCTTCCTTCTTCAGCTTTGGATATTTGTTAGAATTATCTAGTCAGTTGTCAATACTCACAAGACCGTTATACGACTGACTGACTTGTAGATTTGCTTCGAGCATCTGGGTTTTGCTCAATAGCCCTGACTAATATCCAGAAAGAATGTAAACATTATCTCTTGTGTGCAATTATTGAAGTCAAGTAAATGTTAGATCCCATTCTACCGACACACTTCTGCTATAATACTACGTATTAATATAATTCCTCCTACGCGTTGCGTTTGTTAGCGTTTCAAGTTTAAACTTACTGGCGTCCGCTAATAAAAGGAGGGTTTTAGTTTTCATGTTTTATTCACGCGGGAGTAAGTGCTGAAGGGTTAGGAGACTGAAAGTTGTCTTACACCGACTGGCAGTCGAATTGCGAGTAGCCACTCTGAGTAGTGTGAAAAAAGAAGTAGCAATAATGCTATGTAGCTTTATGAGTAGGAATAGGACCGACAACCATATCCAATATTGCGTACCATGTCAATTTATTGGGCCTTCTATACAAATGCTACATGTAACATCTTGGTTAAAGGATCATGGGCTATTGCTACATGTCGTGGTGTTATCAATAGTCTTTCGCGTTGGTTGACTCCTTTCCTTCCTTGTCGCTCGGCATAACTCATGTGATCGAATATATGCACAAGGAAGTGCGTTTGATAGCTGAGTGCGTGTCTTCTCCTCTTGGATTGACAGCGCCTGGCTCAACATTTTACATTCAGATGCCAACGTCCAATATGAATATCTTGGCCGTAATATTCGTTTTGCTATCTGTCCTTGGTGAATCTCGGATCCTGGAGCGTCCAACTCCTCTTTTATCAGGGTAATCTACCACTAAGTGGAAAGAAACGAGGACAGAGATGAGGCTAACAGACGACTGCAGACGACATATCCTTGCGGCGCACAAAAGAGAAAACAAGCCATCTCCTTGCCAAGTTTGCCACCCAGGCAGCTGTGGTTCTATGAGCTGCAATGTATCGAAACGTAGTCCGGTTACCATGGAGGAGCTTTTCCACGGCACTGCAGAAGAAAATCCCAGCATGAGACAAGGCTTGCTCAAGCGCCTTCTCCCCAACCCTCACCAAGATAAAGTAGGCCAATATCTCGAAAAGCAGAGCGAGAAACCCACGCTGCAGCCTCTGTGTCCATTCGAAGCCGGTGGGTTTGACTCGCCCAGCTTCTGCTATCAGACATCCTTTGCTGCAGCCGAGCTAACCAAGGGCCAGTTTCTCGCTGGGACGGCTCGCACCGAGCTTGTAGGCTGCACAGTCTTGGCCGTGGTTTCTGCTCGCGCCGTGTATATTGTCAGACGTGCCCTTGGATTCCCATGCCATGTATCCTTCATGCCTGCGTCGCAGCTAACCTGGGCTTGTTGTGTCACTTTTGGGAAGACATTCACTACGCACCACGGAGGCACCTGCGTGGTGCGTATGGATTCCAGCCGGTTCTCAACATGATCAGAGGCGAACGCAACACGACATATACAGCTGGACCGGCTCTCGACAGGTCTCTCTTCACCGGTCCGGATGACCACACACGGGCGTTTATGACGACGCCGCGCAACCGATCCACCGTCAACGACGAACTCTCGCAGCAGTATCCGGCAGAATACAAAAGCTTGTACGTAGCGCTTGGCTCGTGTTGGATATTCTGCAGTTTTACCTGTGACTGATAAGCCCGGAACACATAGGGTCGAGCTGCTCCAGGGAGTAGTACCCAGCATTGGCATCACCAAATACAACTATAATCCCGAACGAGAGAATGGCAAACCTAATGCTGGCGTGAAAAAGGCGAAACCATTCTGGAAGGGTGTTGCACTTTTTGAGTATGATCGCAATGCCGACGGCAAGAAGCACCCGGATTGGCGAATCTGGTTGGGGCAGACGAGCTTTAGGGGTAGCAACCTCGAGTTGCAGGTTGCTTGGGGGCCAGTTCATGGCACGCAGATGGAGAGTGTCATGTTGGTTGGCATGCCGAATGGTACATGTACAGCGATGAATATCCCAGCCTTAACCATATTATAGACATTGTCTCCGCTTGTACTCGGCCGTCCCCGGACTGCCAATAGAGATGGGCTTGGATACAGAAAACGAAACCGGCTGCGTGATTATACCTTGATCCCGCTGGCTGAAAGGCCTCGAAGCGTACACCCAATCAACTTGGGCAACTTGCCCAGTCCTACAACATATTGCAAGATCGTTTCGGAGCGAAACTCGGAAAATAAATTTATTTTCTGCTTGTATATGTGAAAATAATGCAGATCAAGGTATTCGAGATGTGGACACAGCTGAATAAGTTGCGAGATGCCTATGACGTTTTCTAACTTGGCAGCCTTGGCCAGGCAACTTTTGTGCGTGCCGGCATCGAAGACCCTATCGCAGATAAGGTCGTGGCAGTGGATGTGTGAGTATTTTGAGAAAATCTGACTTGCAGAGCTCAGGTCAGTGCAGACTGTTTATGCATTGACGTACAGAAGTGCTTGGCCAAACTCCATATCATTGATTGGTGTTGTTGCATATGAATCCGTCAAGACCTGCAAATGGCGTGGTTGATACAATTTCGTAGTTATGCTGCCTATTTCGGTCGTGTGCATAATCGAGGGTCTACGCTGTTGATATCCAATATACATACCGCTCGGGAGCCTATCTATGTACATACATTAAGTGTGCTCTCTTGGCTCTCTTCTCTCTTTGTAGCCCCGACCAACACCTTTTTTCCACATCGTTCGGAATCGATGATTTCCTTCCACTAACTCCTACTTGCTTATAATCCTAAACCTCGTTCTACTTTTCCTCTATCGATAAACAATGCTCTACATACTCCGGCTCTTCTTAATAGCCAGTTATGCATAAACAAAAATAGAACTACTTTCGTACAGGGACTAGAGGACAAGCAGAGTAGGTGTATTGCAATTATCCTGCATATCATGTTCTTTTCTTGCAACTGCCTAGGGTACACCATAAACCTGGGTTGCTACTGGGCCCGATTGGTTTCGGATACGGCAGAACTCAACCTCGACTCCTCCGACATGTCTGGCAACATGTATGTATTTACGTCTTTGCCGGTAGCACCACTATGTTTCCTGCGGCCAAAAATGATGCTGACACAGTAAAATAATGCGACTAATCCAGCCACTACGCAGTAGGTAATAATAAACCCTTGGGGAGCGCGGGCTAGCCAGAGACCAAGGCCACCAGCCACTATGCCAAGGCCCATGAGGCAGCGGCCGTACCATACATGGATGTGACTGACGATACCACGCTTCCGGTACTTGCAGTAGTGTACGTGGTGTAGCCATCCTAGTACAAATTGTATGGCCATGAGAGCAAACACTACGACGCCAAGTCGAGTATGGCTATCTTGGAAGAGCTATAATCCCAGTTAGCCAAGAGATTAGTATATCTAATGAAGGGGGAAACTTACTCAATTATATCGCGGGGAAATAATAACTCCAATGGCAAATCCGCAACACAACCCAATAAAGGATAGTACTTGCCAACCAGCGTGGATTTTCCACCGGCCAACCAACAACATGATGAAGGATCCGGCCGGAAAGCCAATCAAAAACACCACGCTCATAACAATACCATGAGCGCATAAAAGAGCCGCAGTCTCACTCGTTTGATCCACAGTATTCAGCCCAGAGACCGCCGACGAGGGGCCCGAGTGTGTATCGACAGAACTATTAGCCGAGAGGAAAGGGTTCTCATCCGAGGCGATGGCCGCCTTGGCAAGATCCACCGAGAAGCTGCTATACCCATCGTGATACGCGATGGCCTCTGACAAATCTGATGAATGCAGAGGCGGACCTTGTTTCCAGGCCGTTATCCAGTTTGACGAGCCGCCGACGCCGACGTCAGAGCATTCGCCACATCGGATGTTGGCTCTGAGAGTCCCGTTTAAGACACCAGAACCCTCGAGGAGTTGGACATCGGGGCGTTGCGCGTACGTCGGCATGCTATGTCCGGTGCTTTGTCTCGTGCTTAAGGTTACGTTACCATGGCCATTTTGGTACACAACCAACATGTTTGACCCTCGCATCCTGCTTCCCGTGCCGAGGCCAATCCATTGGTAAGACAGGGACGCTTGAAGCTGCAAGTACATGGCGCCTGATTCGGAGCCGCTTGACGATTCGGGGACACCCCACTGGAAACAGACGGAGTCGCTGGGACATACCGAGGCCAGTGCAGCCTCACATAATGAGGTATCTTGAGACGGAAAAATGACTGGGGTTAGTGAGTGATGGAGTTACATGTGCGGCAACTTGGCTGCCCGGTAGGCGGCCTTCACCACTTGGGGACAGAACGTACACGCTGCAACGGCAATGACGATGATTTTTGAAGTGGAAAAACCTATCATGATGTCGACTTTCGGGGAAACTACTAGGAACCGAATGACGGGAAATGGTATATACAGGAGAATGGGAGATGGTAAAACATGAGCTTTGATTAGGATTTCATGATGACGCTATGGCCAACAGAACATGAAAAAACAATCTCCATTTAATGCCGGGTTAATAGCCTCTTTTTGAGGATCCATATGGCCTGTAGCAAAAGAAGACTCTTTTCTAATGGCCACGCGTGGACTTGGCCACGCCGATTGTTGATGGGCCCGGTTCGCCACCTACGCCTCATTTTCACGTGGCTTAAGTGGGAGATGGCCGTTATTATTCCCTTATTTTTATCAGTATAGCTTTATACTTGGGTGTGAATCATGAGCAGCTAGGTTTGGGGGCGTAGATAGGTTAGATGGCATCTTTTGCCAGGGAAGTAGGTGAAGACGATTGCTTTTTTCCAACATTCAGGTCAATTTTGATAGGAGAAGCGCCGGAACTTCTGGGCAAAACAATGGCAAGTCTGAGTCCTGACATACTGTCAAGTTGTGATAGGTTCGAGGCGGAAATACTTGCCGAAGTGGAGCGTGAATTGGGCGTTGAACGTGGCACCCAATTATAGAGCCACGATATGGAATAGTCGGTCACTTATAGGATCGTGACGACTATTCGTGGCTGCAGCGACGATCTCTTGGCAAGCATTGGTGCTTCTCGTCAAGCTCAATGCGTCCTTGTTGCGGCACAATATGCAACAACTTGAGCTTTGAAAGCTACGCCAGGAGATGGCTGCGATGTGTTTTCCCAGAAGAAAAAAGCCATGCTGTCATTTGCTCTATACTACTGTGTTCCTTGACCCAGACAAATTGGTACTAGTTCCTCAACTTTCTATAACGTTGCGGATAGACAGTTACTGGGTAATAGGTACTGATATGTTGGTATTATATGAATAATTGACCCTAACCCTATTTAGCATTTAGATACTGTCTAGTAGTTTTACGATATGTATCAATCGCGCCCCCCCTAGAAGTCAGTTTTTAGTTGGAGCTTTATCTACTAGGTGTATGGTAGTATTATGCCTTTTCCTGTCTGCTGGCGCAGGTTTCCGGATGCGATTCTACCAGCATTAGCTCATGTGCCCACGCGCCGCCGTCTACATATGAGACTCTACTCCATAATCCAAGACGCACCTTGTGTTACCCTGTCCGCCTCTCAACAAGTCAACGCAGTGGCATCCCTACGATGCAGCTCCCGGCAGCTTGCTGCAGACGGCATCTTATCAACTCACCTGACCCTCGGCCCGCGGCCAAGTTGTCAACTACGACAGTCAATATGCTCCTATCCGATATCGCGGGCCTGCTTCTACACGTCGCATGCTGGTTCCTAGCATTGGATTTATTTTCTTTTCGGACCGGGAATATTGAACACCTCAGGCTGCTAGATGCACCACCGGATGAACTGCGCGCCGGCCTCGACAGCGGCTTGTTTACGAGCGTCGATCTTGTCCGAGCGAATATCGCTCAGGTTGAGGAAGTCAACCCACTCGTCCACGCAGTCAATGAGATGGATCCAGAAATTGTTTTCGCCGCCGCCGGCAAGGCCAATGTTTCGCAAAGGGCTGGGGTTGCGCGGCACAAATGTCACTCACGACTCGTCAGCGTACAGAGGTGACGCGATTGGCGCCTACTCCTCCGATCGAGAGCCATCGGGTCAATCTTTAGGAAGCGTAGTTGCCTCTTCTGTTGGACTTTGTTGGGGGTGTTTGAGGGCGGATTTCCTGACCGACCCGCCGCACACATGAGCAAACAGAAGACGTGCATCAGAATGAGCTCGGGACGAGGAACGTGAAGGAGCCGAACTAGCCGTTTGGATTAGCATTTACGGGCGGCCTTTTCGGCAGGGAGACGTCGAGATTGTCAATTCGTTTAAGCACGACGAGCTGGAACAAGTTGTCGGCACGAGAGGGGATCTATGACGTGAATGGGATGCGCGGCTGGACTATGTGTGTGCCTCCATGATGCGAGGCCAGCAATTTAAACACTTTCAACCGGGTAGACGGGCATTGTTTGGCGCATGAAACGGTGCGTCAAACACGTGTTGATTGATGGTTGAAGTTGGTCGGTCGCAAACGTGAGAAGGTGGCGGTGTCTTGGCTTCCCAATTCGTTTGACGTTTCCATCCTTAGCTGACGTGCACAGGCTACCAGACAGCTCTACTCGATGCTACTCGCCACGCACTCTTCATCGCATTCCGCTCGTCATCCATCGAATCCCCATTCTCATGGTTGAGGAGAATCATCCCGTTCTTTAGTACGGCATGTCTGCGCAATAGTTGGCTGCACAGCAACAGAGTCACAGACCATGGGCCAGTCGCAGTCGGATGAGCAGCCGCGCCGACGCTCCCGCGAGGATTTGGCGCATGATCTTGTGAGAAGCATCCCCGTTTTGCGACTGGAAGACCGATTCCGTTCTAACCTCGTGTTTTCAGGCGCTTCGATTCAAAGATGAATGCTTCACCTCACTGGAATTCTATTCTCTAAAAGATGTCTTCAAGAGCCTTGCCGACCAACAAGGCTCCGTTCGGTACCTCAAGGAGGACACCATCGCACGCTTCCTCGAGTTGCCTGATATCTTGGGGGCTTCCCCCGTTGTTTTCCAAATGGTTTCCTACCTTGGTGCATTCCCCTTTTTGCAAGACGCTCCCGCAGTTCTCGAGCTGCCGCAAATGGTCATGGTCATTGTCATCATGACCGAGCGGTACAAGCGTGTGCTGGCGCGAGGATCGACCGATTGGACCAAGCTCATCTTCAAGAGTCTGGCCGTCTACGATCGTAAGGCTTCAGACGCCGGAGTGTCGCCGCCGTCAGATGCAGCCAAAGATGAATCGGCCGCTACTGCTGGCAATGGCGGCGGGTTTGCCCTCGATATTCCTGGCGAGGATGAGCCGTATGACGATGACGATGACTTGGTTCTCACCGCGTATGAGCTGCTCGATATCAAGGAGGCTGTGAAGCAGGGCAGCGCTCCCGAATTCCACGGCGCCATTGTACCGACGGACAACTTTCGAAAATTGGTCATGCTATTGCTATTAGCGGCGCCGTTGGACGCCCAAGAGAGCTTGTCGCAGTATTCTGACCGGGTTACCGGCAAGGAACTCGAAGTGCTTCGATCAACAGCCGAATGCGTGCTCATGTCATTCGTCGATGTAGAATCCTCACCCGGCATCAAGTATCGTCAATTTCAGACGATTATGCCTGTCCTGTTTCCGAACCTGTTCAACAGTTTCAACGCCCTATTCGAACACTTTCTCTTTTCCAAAAATCTCGACTTCTCCAAACACAAAGATGCCAACCCAAATATGCAGAAACAGTCGGCGCCAAAGCCCGCTCAACCACTCCTCTCTGATAAAGGCGACATCTTAAACGACCACTTGCTCGCTCAGATATCCCTCTTCCTCCCCGGTTCTTCACTCTTTCGCCGCGTACGACGTCTGTACTCTGGAAATGAAGCTGGGTTTTCTATGGGCAGCTTCGAATCCAAGGTGTTCAATTGGCGTGCACCCACGATTCTTCTCGTCAGTGGCACACTACTAACTGACACGCCACACAGCGGCCAGGAAACTGCCTTTGCGGACACTCTGCCAACCAAGCGTTTCCAGAATGGCAGCCGGGATGCATCTTCCCGTGTCACGTACGGAGTGTACGTCCGCGAGCCGTGGAAGCACACGCACAAACAATGCTTCGGCGACTCTGAAACAGTTCTGTTCCAACTGTCCCCTGTTCACGACGTATTTCCGGCATCGACGATAAACACCGACTACGTGGCCTTCACAAAACCACCCGGCAACCAACCTTGCGTCTCATTCGGATCCCCACACCCGAGGCCATCCAAATCCAGCCGCAGAAATACACACTACTCCATCGGCGCGGTATCTCTCCTCTTGAATGACTCCTTCGAATTCGGTGTCTTTAATCACGATTACACCTCTCGCGGAGGCGCATTTCACACAAGCATATCACGGAAATTCGATTTCCAAGATCGGTTTGAGATTGACCAGCTGGAGGTATGGGGCTGTGGAGGCGACGATGAAGCGAAAGCACAGGCCGATAGATGGGCATGGGAAGAGAGAGAGGCTGAGGCCCGAAGGAAGATAAATTTGGGGTCGGGCGATATTGACGCCGACAGGGCCTTGTTGGAGATGGCTGGCTTGGTTGGGGCAAACAGGAGTGGAGGGTCGATGGGGTGATTTTGTGTTTAAATGGCGTTTACAAATTAGGGAAACAGCTGAGCTGGTCCCGTATCGCAAGTCTTTGTAGCCGTTGGTCTCAAGATGACCACTAGTCTTTTGTAAATGATCCAGAGTCGAGGCGAAGACACTTTATACTTCGACATCCATTGTACGTGTACAACTGAGTAGAGCCCTGATTCCATAACATATCGTACATTCCGCTGATCTTATGCCGCCAATTCCCATCAAAATGCCTCAACATACACTTTCGCCCGATGTCGCAACCATCACTTCTTCCCTTCATCGCCCTTCTGCTTCACCAAAACCTCGCTAATCGCCCCCAACGAGCTCTTTGGATTCTCAATCTTCTTCGTCTCTTCCTTCGCCCCCTGCTCGGCCTCGGCAGCCTCCTGCCCCTTGGACCACAGCCCCATCTTGCCCAAAATACCACCTGTGCCTGCCCCCTCTTCACCACTGTTGGCCGCGGTATCCGCAGCCTCCAGCTTCTGCCGCCTCTTGTCTATACTGGCCTTGATCATCTTCTCCTCCTCGTCTCTGGCCTCGAGCTCCTTGATCCACTTCTGTCGCTTCTCCTCTGCGTCCCGCTCCTCCTTGAGCTTTCGCAATTCCTTTGTCTTTTGTCGGTCTTGGCTGTAGTACATGCTTCCGGCGACCATGGCAATGACGGTGAAGCCCTGCGCGGCGACTCGCGCGCGGAACATCTTGTTGGCTTGGCGGGAGTCGCCGCGGCGGAGGGCGCGGTAGGCATTCACGAAGGCGAAGACGGTGAGGCCGACGCCTGGGGAAGAGTCAGCCGTGAGCTAATTGGAGGCAGTTGGGGCGCGTGGAAGGGGTTGGCAGACCGAGGGGTACGAGCGGCTCTTCCTTGAGCTTGCGGACGACTTTCTGCATCGGCCGCTCGTTGAAGAATTCTCTGTAGTCGCGTGAGCATGGTGATGCGGAGAAGGGGGGGGTGTATTGGGATATCGTGGCGTACTCGTTGTCGTCGAATGACGAGGGCAGGTGCCCCGGCATGGGTGGTGGTATTCTATCTCCCATGTTGGCTGTGGTGATGGGAGAAGGGGATGTAAATCGTAGGTTTTCGGTGCCGGTAGCTATCGGCCGATGAGCGCTTAGAAACGCATCATGGAGAGATGGCCTGGGAGTTTGGATGCCCCACCTTGTTTGCCGACTGCCGCCTGCCCTTTCCGCCCGCGGAGCCACAATTGGACCCACACATGCACATAACACATGCACATAACGCCTGCACCTGGAGCTTGGAGCTGGCCAACTTGGAATTCTCAACATCCACATCAACAACTTCTATTACCTTTCAACCCGGCATTGCCTGCATCTCGGCGTCGGATACGGCTTGCTTTATCAAAACACAGTAGTCTTTTATAACGCCCCCCCGTCACTGCGCCCCGCTAGCAGCAGCCGCCTGGCCACCCGCTTCACCACCAAAATCATGCTCGCCAGGTAGTCATGTGGCCTTCAACTCCTTCGGCCGACTCCCTCACGCGGCCGCGGATAGCTGTGGCCGTTGTTTCGGTGGTAGCAGCGGCCTCGGTAGGGTACTATGCATATAGAGCCCACCAGAATGAATCTTCGCGAGAAACCCCGACCGGCGGTGGCCTGCATCGAAGTAACGCCATACGACGTCCCCGCCGCACAACCTCAATTTTCCAGTATGGGACCCCTCTCGATGAAAACACCGAGGGCACAAACTTTAGGGTCCCTGGGGATGCCGAAACCGTCGTCGACGTCGACGTCGAGACCAGCGACGACTGGTGGAATGAGCCTCCCGCCACTACCGTTCCACTCTCTCCGCGAGCTGGACATACCATCGTCTCGCTTCTCTTTAGGGTGTCTGAGGATAACGCTCGGCGTAACGGATGTGTTCACAGGGGATGCCAGTGTAATTCATGTGGCATGGTACCTATACGCGGAGTGCGCTATCGATGCGCCAACTGTGCCGACTTTGATCTCTGCGAGACATGCGAGTCCCAAGGCGTGCACAACAAGACGCATATATTCTACAAGATCAAGGTTCCTGCACCGCCGTTTGGACCCAGGCAGATGCAGCCCGTCTGGTACACTGGTGATCCCGACACTTGCCGCCGCAATATCCCAAAAGGGCTGATTGCACGCCTATCGAGGGATACTGGGTTCGAACGACCCGAGCTGGAAGCCTTCTGGGAGCAGTGGACCTACATGGCCAATACGGATTGGCGCGATGACCCCGAGGAACTGTGTGTTGCCATGGATCGTAAGACGTTTGAGCGATGTCTGGTGCCTACAGGCGGATCACGACATGCAGCGCCCAATCTAATCCATGATCGCATGTTTTCCTTTTACGACTCCAACAAGGACGGTTTGATTGGATTTTCTGAGTTTCTCCACGGCTTGTCGTACAGAAAACGCAGAGATAAGCTCAAAAGAGTGTTTGAGGGATACGATATTGACGGGGACGGCTACGTAAACCGACGCGACTTTCTCAGAATGTTCAGGGCCTACTATGTGCTATACAAGCAGATGCATAAGGACATCCTGGACGGACTTGACGACCAGCTTCTTGCCAGCACCGAGGCCCAGCAACTAGTGTCTAGTCGACAGCCGCTTAGCAGCCTTTTCGGCAGGGAGGGTAGAATCCCCTCGGCCGATTCAGGCTTCAGGATTGAGGGCAAAACCAATCGAAGAGATGGTAGCATCGAAGTGGCGGATGGTTTCAGTAGTGTTTTCACTGAAAATAGGGGCGATACCGCCCCCAGAGAAGACATCTTGGCCAGCCTATTTGCATACGACACAGATACACGACAAACCCGTCGATTGGTCTCACGCAGCGACGCTGACACTAACTGGCGGACGGTGCGGCGTGTGAGTGGCGGTGACCTAGATAGAGCATATTGGTCATCACTGCTTGATCCTCCAGCCACACTGGACGATATTCCCCATGTTTTCAATAACAATGAGGACGAGGATGTTGATGCTAATGTGGATGAGGATGAAGATGAAGACGAGGATGATGGGGATATGCAAACTGGTGAATCTGGCCGTACCTACAGCGAATCGCGGGCTCGGGCTATTGCGCGAAGTCGCAGGCTGGCGCCCAAGTTGGAGAAGCAGCGTCTTGACATGGCACGGAAGCATCTTCACGACCGGTGGAAGAGACGGCAGTTTTACTTGGACGAGGAAGAGGGTGGCATTGCACCGGATGATTGGGATGCCGAAGAGGATATTCTCGCGCGAGTCAACCTGATAACAGAGGACTCCAAGGCCAGGGATCCAGCACCCATCACAACTAGATCCCGCTCTAGCTCCAAGGTTCGATTCGCCGAGGATACGGACGACTATGAGATTCGATCCAACCCGTCCACGTCGTCGAGGAGCGTACCTGAGCGGTGGGGCGGCATGGATATTCCGGATGCCGAAAGGGATGCCGGCAAAGAAATCCTCTATCAAGTAACGCAACAGGCATTTAATGAGCTTCTTGACACCATATTTAAGAAGGCAGAAGACATGGCGGTTGCGGCAGCAGAATCTGCAAAAGACCGGGAAAAGTACAAGGCGCAGATTGATGCCATTGACCTCCCCGAGTCCCAATCCCAGGCACCGCCAAACCAGCCCAGGCCCGAGTCGCAGCCCACTAGCAAGGCTATTTCTGAGAAGTCACTAGATGAGCTCCTGGCCAATACCGGATACACAGTAGTCCCAGATGAGCCCCGTAATGCGGTAGACTTGGACGGTTCTGTGGAAATCATCCACGAAGAGCAGGTAGACGGTGCAGGATCCAACACAGACGACGAGCGTGCAGAATACCGAGACCCAACGTTGCCGCAGTTCCGCCCAAACAATATCGCAGAAGCGGACGAGCTGGCTGCCCGACAAGGGGCATCTGAACTTGAACACGTCCCGCGATCATCGTCGCATCAAGCAGCCCAAGAAGAGCCAGATGCCGCCACCCTCCGAAGCTGGAAGCGTCTGACCATTGCCGAGGCAGAAGCTGTTAAACGTGGAGGCTGGGGGCGTCTGAGCTTTGAAGAGTTTGAAGACATTTACAAGGGTCAGGAGGATTTGGGGTATAGGCTGGATTATCTGGGCAGCTGGATTGACTTTTGCATTCCCTAGGGGGCACCAAGGTTGATTGAATTTTTGTCGATTTCTTTTCCGCTCGAATGAGTTTCGGGTTTTGTGAGTGTATCGATAGTGGCAAGACGCACAACAGCGACCATAGACCATGTTTGTACTTTTATTTGTATCTCATACTAGGTACCTTAGGTAGGCGGGTGGCGGTTTGATGACCTGGTTGACCAGAGCGGTCCTGGGTCTGCAAGCGGGTCTAATGGAGCGGTATTTGATTCAATTGTATTCATGGAGTCTCCTTTCCTGACGCCTTTTCTTTCTCTGAGTCTTGATGTCACTTTAGAAGTGTGTTGCCTTTTAGCGGTTTGTTAGGATTCTCAATGGCAGTGAATGCCATCTGCGTAAGGGAGCTATGAGCAGGAGAGCACCCCTTGCTGCCAAGATTGGTGCCAGATGCTATCACCCTATTTTATTACTGCGGAGGTGATTCCCGGAGGAGCATGGGTGATTCACCGAGTTATCTACGTGTATCTTGGGTGGATCTGCGTCAGCAGGACGGATGCTTACATCTAGGGAATTGGCGACCGACAAGAATGTGCAGTTGAATAAAGGTGTTGAGAGTAAAGGGGTGAAGATTGGATAAAGAAACTTGACGTGTGTGCAAACGTCTAGATTGAGGCAGAACTCGTGTCCATTGGCGTAGAGGCGGGCTTGGCAGGCATTTTCTTGTCTGACGGTTGGGAGGGCCGAGATTGGGTTTGGCCGGCCGAGGATGGACTTGGAGGGGTTTGGTGTCTTTTTCTGTGCGGCAAAAGGGTCAATGGGATTTGGTGCTTTTCTCGGGATGGCGTGCCGGGGCATCTTTTGCAACGGGCTGTGAAAATGGATACATGTAGGTAATTATTTATTGGGACGTGTAGTGAGGTAAATACCTTTTTGACCATCCGGTACCCGGTGCTACGTTGCCATGGACGGTGGTGATTTGACAGTAAACGGTCCTTGTCGGCTGTGCCTGCGGCGAGCAAGCTAGACGGTCAGAAAATAGTAGTCACCGCCTACAAGATACAGAACGAGTATGGAACTCAATCAAGTACAAGGTATACACGAGATGGTATTGATCAATCACAATGTCTTGAGTTGAAAAATATCGAGTGGATTCTACCCAGCAATTCCCTAGGAGATGACAAGCCATGACTGTATGGATTTCCCGCCCAACGCCACGCAATGCAGTATACAACAAAAAAAAACACAATCCTTCCTTCTATCATTATTTCTTAATTCCAAGGCCAAAACCTCACGTCTCGCCTCTATCCAAACTCTTGACAATGAGGTAGCTCGTACCAGCAGCCAGGACGCCAATAACCAACGTCTGCAAAGCGCCCCACGCACCAGCGCGATGATTCCGAATAGCAACATAGTTCTTAACATACCCGAATCCCAACAAGATAACAACCGTCACAGCAACACTAACCACCAGCGCGTCGCGGATATTATCCAGCAAAAAGTAGGGAACCATGGGAATCAGCCCGCCGACGAAGTAACTCAGGCCCATAGTGACGCCCGACACCCAGGCGCGGTGCGCGGCGGGCCGCTCGGCACGCAGGTCAAAGTCCATCTTGAAGCGCAGCCAGCGGCGCTCGTCGGCGCAGAGCTCGTCGACAATGGGGCCGGCGGCGGCGCGCGAGACGCCGTAGCGCTCGAGGATGGCGTGCGTCTCGGCGCGCTGCTCGGGGGGCGGGCAGGCGGCGCGCTCCTCCTGCTCGGCCTCGTAGGTGTCGCGCTCCGTCACGGCGGCCAGGTACGCGCCCAGGCCCATGGAGATCATGCCCGAGAAGAGCTCCGCGAGGCCGCCCATGATGACGAGCTTGGTGCTGCCGAGGCTGGACAGGCCGGCCGTCAGGGCAAACGGCACCGTCACGCCGTCCGAGAAGCCGATGATGACGTCGCGGAGCACGTCGCCGTAGTCGAAGCGCGGGGAGCCGGAGCCGCCGCTCGAGTGGGACGACGTCGACCGCGTCTCGAGCGACTTGGAGTCGTAGGCGCGAGGGAAGGGCGCCTCGGTGCGAGGTTCTGCGGGGAGCAGGGGGGATGATTCTGTAGGCGGCATCTTTTTTTTTAATTCTCGGCGTTGTTTTGTGTATCTGGTTGGTTTTTGGTTTGCTTCCTCTGATGGGGATTGGTGGATGCGTTGGGGGGACGGAGAAAGAGTGAGGGTGGTGGATGGCGGTTTTGTGTATGAGAGTCGAGATATGTCCTTAAGTATGTGTGTGTGTTAGACGGCTGGTGTAAGTGGCGCTCGAGGATGCAGTGTCTCGCGCCCCGGCCGGCAGACCAGAACGCAAATCCAGCCAATCCCGCAGCTTGCAATGCAGTGCGTCAAGTCGGTCTTTTCCCTTTTCTGCACACCGCGTTGCGCAAGAGGACGAACCACGGACTGTCGACTGTCCGTCTCAGTCAGAGGCGCAGAGTAGTCGTTCATCACTGCAAGGGTGTGGCGGCGGGCACGGCCAATCACAGGCCTTGTTTTAGTCAGCGTCGCGTAACCATCCCACGGCAAGTCTGCCGAGAGGATGGCACCTGGAAGCAAATCTGACCGGCCTTTGCGCTCCGAGAGCAAGTGTGTTCACCGCGGCCTCTCAGATTCATGCGTGCCGGGATGTGCTTGGCTGATGGCGATAGCGGTGCGGTGCACCCAACCTCTGCTCGGGGTTAGACGGTCTTCGGGTTTTGACGCTCTTTTCTTCTCCCGGCAGCGACCGTGAGCATCCGCACGGGTTTCGCTGCCAGCCATCCATCCATGTTGTCGGGTCCTTATTGTATCACGGCCCATGTCGTAGTGCTCGGCGGCCATGCGCAGCGCAACCCCGTTGCAGAACCCAATTCCTGAGCCTCGCGCCCATTCGCCTCGTCATCCCGTCGCCTCATCCGGCCAAACCAACAAATCATCCAGCTCCAGCCCCAGACTCACACCCGGGCTCTCGCCAGAACCGTCTGTCTCCAAGCCCACGGTGCCCACGGTCCAAAGATTGAAGTCGTCCAAGCCAAACGCCCCGGCCATCGCAGCCTGTCCCCCATCCCACACTCCCTCGCCATCCCCCGTCGCGCTTCCCCAGGCAGCCCTCTCGTTCCGCAGGTACTCAAACGGCGTCACGCCCACGGTCCTCTTGAACACCCTGTGAAAGTGCCACTTGGACAGCCCCGACCTCCCGGCCATCTGGCTCAGGCTCAAGCCCTCCTCGCCCGCCGCCGCGCCGGCGCGCTCCAGGACAAACGCGCGGATCCGCCGGACGGCGCGCTCCTCGGGCATGAGGCCCTCCATTTCGGGCCGGCAGCGCTTGCACGCCCTGAACCCGGCCGCCTGCGCCTGCGCCCCCGTCGCGTAGAAGCGGACGTTGGACCGGCGGGCCAGCCGGGCCTTGCAGATGGGCCGGCAGTACACCTTTGTCGTCTTGACGGCGTAGACGAAGAAGCCGTCTGCTACGGCGTCGCGCGTCTGCACGGCCCGCCACCGGGCTTCGTCATCGTCGAAGAGGTTGAGGTTTGCGTACGCGACGGGGTACTCGCAAGACATGGTGTCAGGTGAGTGCGTAGTGGTCATTGTGACTTTTCACGATGCCGTGTGACGGCGGGATACTTGGCTTTATATTTCTCATCACAAAGCACATACGCTACCAGTGGCTGTTCACGAACAGTCATGACAAAGTATCCTGCTAACGGGCTGCCGTGGCCAATTGTCCGTCATGCGATGGCAGCTACTTGTGCTGAAACCCTGGAGAGCGGGGGCGTTGCTGGCAATATGGCCAATGAGATGGACCGCGCGACTACATCACGAGCAACAGGGCAATCATACCATGTTCATCTTTCACTTCACTTTACTTCACCTTACTTCACTTTGCTTCATGAGCGTAAAAAAAAAAAAATGTTCCATTGTTTGTCTTAAACACCGTCGCAGCTGTAATTCCAATTACGTGCAATAAACAGGTCTGGTGTGTTATGTCCCAAGCGCCCGTTATCAATAATAACGCCAACAGAAAAGACAAATTCGCAATCCCAGACTCCCAAGTTCCCATTCCCATTTCGCAGTAACAAAACCAAAACAAGTCCCGCTGCCCTCTTTAAAATCCAGTGGGAAAAGGAGTAGCAGCCTTCAGCAATATCCAGCGCAGTGTCCCTTCCCAGTCCCGTCTCCGTCCAACCTTCCCAAGTCCCCGGAAACCGGTTCCCAAAATCTTCCCAGTGCCTTCACAACGAGGCCCCTGGCACCCTCGACACCACCCACTCAAGGATGACCTGGGCGACCGCGTCGCTATTCTTCTCCAGGTACATGAGGTGGCCGTTGCCACAGACACCCGCCTCCTCGAGCTTGATGTGGTCGACGCCGACGCCAGCCTGCCGCATAAACGCGACCGTGGCCCCGTCGCACGTCGCGTGGTGGCTCGCCTCCGCCGTCACCACGAGCTGGCACACCTTGCCCAGCGCCGCCAGCTTCCTGACCATGCCCGGGCGCGCCTCCGGCGGCAGCACCCTGCCCGTGGTGTCGGCCTGCCTGAGCTCCGGCCCGCCACGCTGAAGCAGGCAGACGCCGTTGCTGGTGCCCACGGCGGTCGCAAACAGGTCCAGCGGCGGCTGGGTGACGCCGTGCTCGTCGTAGGCCGGCTCGGGCACAGCCGGCTCGAAAGTGAGCGGGATGTCGGCCAGCCCGTACGGCCGGTGCTGCGCGAAGTACCGGACCTGGTTGGTGAAGACGAGCGCGTTGTCCTTGAGCGCGCGGCTTGTGCCTCCCGGGGGGCCGGCGGGCTCCACGGCCAGGACGGCCTTGACGGTGTCGGGGAGCGCGTCCGCCGCCAGGTACGAGAGCGTGGCGCCGCTCCCTTCGCCGAGGAGAATGGCCGGCCCGGTGCGCTGGACGAGCTTTGTCAGGGCCTCCTTGCCGATGGCTTGTCGTTCGTGTCGGCGGAAGTACAGGGGCACCGTCGAAGCCATGTACGTTTCGAAAATTCCGTCGTCTCGCAGTCCATTCTACTTTTAAGTTAGCACGAAACGGTTGCGGAAAACGAAATTGTCAACGGGAAAATTGGGGGAAACTTACTCCTGGCCATTGGGTGTGCTTGTGGGCGTCGGGCCATCGCTGGAACTTGCTCGCCGCTGTACACGTGGCTTCGGCATTGTCGCGGGTGAGCTTTGCCGTGCAGCTCGCGTACTTGCTCCATTGGACGATGGACTGGTCGAATTCGATGGATCGTCCGCAGGCAGGCAGGTCGACGACGTAGACGGTGAAGCCCTTGTTGATGAAAAAGGCCGCCCATCCTTGCTTGCCGTCGGGCTTGGTGGCCCAGATTTTGCCCGTGTGGAAATCGCCGTGGACCAGGACGATGGGATACGCCCATTTCGGCTCCCGAGGTGTGTACTTTTCAACGTACATCTTGGCTGCCTTGGGCTCGCGTAGGCTTCGGCTGGGCGGCAAGGGGCGATAGTCGAACTTGATGTGAAATTGTTCGAATTCGTGACCAGCCGACGAAACCGGGAAGTTCGAGGGCTGGTAGGCGTCCCATGCGCTCCGAGGGCCCAGCTGCCATGAATTGGGCTGTATATGCTGGACTTTTGGCGGCGAGTAATACACCAGCGGGTCTACAGCAGAGGTGTCCAGATTGCCAGCGTTGTCCAGATTGCCGGCGTTGTCCAGATTAAGAAAGATATCTAGATGACTAGTGTCATCTAGATTGATAAATTTACCCGAAACCAGAGAGCCGTTCAAACCGCCAAGGGGAGTGGGCAATTCGTCCTGATGATCAGGAATGTTGTCCACGTCCATGGGGTCCGTCATACCATTGTCCAAAGGTTGAAAACCAGGAAGAAAGTCGCCGCCAGTACCGTCCAAACCGAGCATGCTGGGGTCCACGAAAGAGGCGGCAGCGGCGGCAGTGGCGGCAGCGGGCTCCTGTTCGGCCGGTACGTAAAGGCCAATCGGGGCTTGCTCAGGATCAAGGACAATCGGTATTGACCCAGTGTTGGCATCTGGGTCTTCCGAAAGCCAGGACTCCTGGAACAAGTCGGTCATCTCCTCATCAAAGGGAACGAAAGGCATGATGACTGGTTGGCGGAAAGTAACAGGTGTTTATAAGTGCTGTAGTGCAAAAGGCGGCACGTAGACAGCAGTAGGGGAACAGGGACTTCGGGGAAGATGAAGGCACTGCTGTGTAATAATAGATGCTGTTGTGCAGTAAGGTGGCACGTAAACAGCAGGGGTAGGGGAACAGGGACTTCAACAAAGATGAAGTGTGTAAATAATAGTTGCTGTAGTGCAAAGAGGTGGCACGTAAACAGCGGTGATAAGGGGGGCAGGGACTTCAAGGAAGGTGAAGTCAATGTGTAAATAATAGGTGCTGTGGTGCAATAAGGGGGCACGTAAACAGCAGGGGTAGGGGAACAGGGACTTCAAGAGAGATGAAGTGTGTAATAATAAATGCTGTAGTGCAAAAGGCGGCACGTAGACAGCAGTGGGAGGGGGAACAGGGACTTCAGCCAACTTGAAGTGTGTAAATAGGTGTTTGTAAGTGCTGCAGTGCGATAAGGTGCACGTAGACAGCAATAGGAGGGGGACCAGGGACTTCAGAAAAGATGAAGTGTCTGGTGTAAATAATAAGTGCTGTAGTGCAATAAAGCGCACGTAGACAGCAGAAATAGGGGAAGCAGGGACTTCGATGGTGATGAAGTATGCAAATAGTTGTTTGTAAGTGCTGTAGTGCAAAGAAAGGCACGTAGACAGCAGTAGAAAAGGGGGCAGGAAGTTCAAGGGGGGGAAAGTAACAGCAAGTTCAGGGGGAATGAAGTGATGTGTGTATAGATCGGGGATCAGAAGGAAATACTTGCTTGTATGTGGGTTCTGTACTGCAAAGTGCTGGCACGAGCAGTGATGAAAGTGGCAGCAAGTTCAAAGAGAATTGCAGTGTCAAGAAACTCAAGGGGAAATGAACTGTGGGAGGACAAATCAGGAAGAACAGAATCAAGAGTGCAGGCCCCGGCTACATTTATATAGAGGAATTTCAAATTCTACGGGGTTCCAAAGGCCGGGACGCCTTCCTCGCTATCAAAACTCGGGCAAAGTCTATATCCAAGCCTTATGGATACCAAAACTACATCGATGTAATGACACACGATCTAAGGCATCCAGAGGAGGCAGGCCTTGGAATAAGCGAGATGGACTAGTATAATGCATTTTCAAGGTTCACCGAGGGGGTCCTCGATGCGCCGACACACGACCCAAGGCATCCAGAGGAGGTCCAGCCTTGGAATACGGGAAATAGTCTAGAATAATGCATTTTCAAGGTTCACCAAGGGGGCCCGCGGGCCAGGTAGTCCGAGCCCACACTGTACAAGACAATAAGGTTTCGATACAATGGCGTCCTCGCTGTCTACGTCGAAGGACGTCGAATGTCAAGATGAGAGATGTTCTTTGGCTAGTCACGGCAAAGGTATTGTGTGTCCTTTTTCACGGGAGTGTTCATCAACGAGCAGCTCACTTGTAATGAGATGTCCTTGTGTTGCTATCTGAGCACTACGTGTACAAAAGCCAGCACAGATTCGCCATTATTTCACCTTACAATGGCAGGTCTGCCCTTCACAAAGGCTGACGGCGGTACCTGCTCAAACAATGGGATCGAGATCTCTGGTACTCAAACCAAAGTGTAAATGATGGCTAAAAGATCCCCAGCCACGACGAGATGACGCTTGAAAAAGAAACAAGGAAGAGCAAACCTAATCGGGGACGACTACGACAGCTAAAGCAATATACGAGAATCTTGGTTTTGGCAGCATGTATCCGGGTTGTTCATTGTATCGATGGCCTACATGCACTGTGGCATGGGACTTGGCAGGTACAGACACGGTAACCACGTGGCGCCGATTCAGGTACACCCGCAGTGGGCTAACCCCAAGGCTTGGACGGCATCGAAAGTCAATAGAAGACCGGCCTATCCAAGCTTTGTTGTAATGTCCTGGTGCATTTTCTGTATACACTAAAGGGCCAGCTTGAGGACGCGGCATCCACGTGCTCAGCATCCGTGGGCCTCATCATGCTCATCAAAGGCGGTCCATGTCCATACCGAACCCAAAATAGTCCATTATTGACTTTTGGCACATGGTTAGAAAGGCAAAATAGGGAAATGCGGCTAACACACAAGGCCCCAGCAAAGCAAGAAGCATATTCTGTCCATGACGGTCTGCATACAGCATGATCCATCATCTTCTCCCGGTTTCTCAACAAGTGTACCGCTCGCCAACCTCTCCAACATGCCCACATGGCCACTGCCCCAAGAAGTCACAAAGTGCATCTCTCACATCCCTCCTTGCAGCGTCAATCAGGGACTCCCGGCCTCCACGTCGTCCTTCATGTCAGGCACCCACCCCTTGGGTCTCTCGCTCCCCCTGACAGCAAGCCCGTAGCCCAGCTTCTCCACCTTGCTCACGCTCTGCCTCATGGCCTCCATCTTGTTCCTGTAGTCCCTGGTGGGAATCTCCCGCAGCGCCTCAAACGCACACCCCAGCTCCTGAATATCGCCCAGTATGTTCCGCCCATCCTCGCCGCCCAGCATCTCCCCATGCTGCGCCGTCGTCACCGTCGCAAACCGCATCATTTCGCCAAAGAGGTCAAAGACGCCAAACATGTAGTCGTGCGGCGTGAGCGCAATGTCTCCCGGGGTAGAAGCCGCCGCCTCCTGGGGAGTAATCAGCTTCTGGTGGCGGAGGTAGTGCGCAAACGAGAGCGCCTCGACCAGCTCCTCGAGGCATCGAAGCGACCAGCTGTATCGGTGGCGGTTTATGGACTGCACATCCGGGGAGATGGATTGCAGGAGTGCCGTGATTTCAGCCATGCGTGTGGTCACGTCCTTTTCCGTAGACGGGGGCAGGCCTTGGTTGATGTGTTTTACTCTAATTCTTGTGAGCCAAGGTGTCGAAAGTCACCACGTTTTGTATGTATGTTTGTGTGCATGTGTAGCTGCTCATCTCATCTTACCGTTGCAGCGCAAAAATACTTTTTTCCCCAGAATTAGTACAGTGTGTATATATAATACATTACAGTGGGAAGCGTACATCTTCTTACTCTGGGCGGTGACGTCCCTCGACGCCTTGACTACCCTCTCCTTCCGATCATAGTGCTCATCCAGCTCATCGCGAAAGTTTTCAAACAGGGACTGGAATCTGGTGCGGGGCGCGTCCTGCGATGATCTGGAGCGCGCGTTGCCGTCTCGGTCTCTCTTAGTTCCCGCGGGCATGTTCACGCGTCCAAATTTTGATACTTTTGGTGATGGTTTTCAACGGGGCCAAGTGAGGTTGTTGTTGATGGATGTGGGTTCGCCAAACGCATCCCCATTGAACGGTCCGGTCTGGTGTGACGGATTGGGAGCCGCACTAACAATTTGCGCCCCACGTTTTTCCCCATCCCCCCAACTGCATCCCACCAGACACAAGGTGCCATCAAGCTCCAAGCTCCAAGCTCAAGCTTGCACGTGTGAATCAACACCAAGGGATGTGAAGAGCAGGGCGGAACGCACTCCGCCGCCAGCATCGACATAAGCTCCCCCTCCCGCCCGCAAGCATGGGAAACACCTCCACCGACGTCTCTCAATCCTCATTGATCGTCGCATCGCCGCCGTCGCCAACGCCATGGCCATGATGGCATCGCTCCTCCGCCCAACGCCGCTCCTCCTCATCGCCGCCCTCCTCCGCGCCGCGCTCCTCGTGTACGGCACCTACCAAGACGCCCACTCGGCCATCAAATACACAGACATCGACTACCTCGTCTTCACCGACGCATCCCGCTACGTCTGGCACGCGCAGTCCCCCTACGCGCGCGACACCTACCGCTACACCCCTCTCCTGGCATGGCTCCTCCTCCCCACCGTGTCCTTCTTCTCCTTCGGCAAAGTCGTCTTCGCCCTCGCCGACCTCCTCGCCGGGTGGCTCATCCTCCGCATCCTCCGCCGTAGGGGCATCCCCCCCGAGCAAGCGGGCGCCTTCGCCGCCCTGTGGCTCTGGAACCCCATGGTCGCGACCATCAGCACGCGCGGCAGCGCCGAGGGCCTGCTGGGCGTCCTGGCCACGGCGCTCGTCTGGGCCGCCGAAGGGCACAGGGTCAACCTCGCCGCCGCGCTGCTCGGCCTCGGCGTCCACTTCAAGATATACCCGTGCATCTGGGCGCCCGCCATCGCGTGGTGGATGGACGACGACCGCCCGCGTCGCAAGCCGGCCCGCCGCCGCGCGCGATTCCTGTCCCGGGACAGAATCCAGCTCGCCGCCGTGAGCCTCGCCACCTTTACAGGACTCAACGTCCTCATGTACGCCGTGTATGTCTCCCCCCCTTTTTCGTCTCCTCGTCGTGCCGCAGTTACTCAAACAGACTTCCGCAGCTACGGCCGCCCGTTCCTCGTGCACACCTTCTTCCACCACCTCACTCGCATCGACCACCGGCACAACTTCTCGCCCTACAACGTCCTGCTGTACCTCGCGTCCTCGCGGCCAGGTATCCCCCTGCACGCCGAGTCGCTCGCCTTCCTCCCGCAGCTGTCGCTCTCGTGCGTCCTCATTCCGCTGGTACTGGCCAAGAAGGACCTGGCGACGACCATGATGGCGCAGACGTTTGCCTTTGTCACCTTCAACAAGGTGTGCACCTCGCAGGTAAGCCGTTCCCGGCACACTAGAAACTTCCTATCGACGAAACGGGCATCTTCACGGGGCGGGCTAACAAGCGTAGTATTTCCTCTGGTACATGATCTTCCTGCCCTTGTACCTCCCCACCTCGACATTCCTGCGCAAGCCGCGCCTGGGCATGACGGCGTTGGTCCTATGGCTCGTCTCGCAAGGAGCGTGGCTGCACCAGGGGTACGAGCTGGAGTTTTTGGGACGCAGCACCTTCTTCCCTGGCCTGTGGGCGTCATCCGTGGCCTTCTTCCTGGTCAACTGCTGGATTCTGGGCGTCATCATCAGCGACGGGGGGGCCCACACAGCACCCAAGGCGCGTACAGAATAGCCACGAGCAGCTTGTGTTTGCAAATCGATGAAGACGCCACTTGCTTGATCTTTTAAAAGTAGAATTCTCATTATGGGTATCTATCTCGCATATGCGGTAACCACCAAGTCCAAAACCATCAAAAATGTCCGAGGGGGGTATTGTATCATCCTTCAAGCGAGCAGATTCCCAAAGTAAATCGGTTCTCAGGCCCTTGCCGCATAGGGCGGGCATCATGTTCGCAATCGAGCTTTATGTGACGCGTGTTTCCCAAACTCCGTGCTCTGTCCATTTGCCAATGTCAGGCTGCTGTACTATTTCGCCCATTGTGTCGTTTGCAAGGCCATAAACGCCGTCTCCAAATATGCAGATAGGCCATGATAAATGTAACAAAAGAAAAGGGGGGGAGGGAAAATAAATTTACGCAACCTCTTGTGCCTTGCTATAGTGAGCAGTACTAAAATCTCCGAATCTGCTGCTCTCCTTTATTTCTTATAGTATCTTCTTACTTTCACAATCTGCAATATTCATTGCTTACTGGATTGTGATTCTCGTTGCGAGCGATCGATAGTTGGAAAGCTTCAAGGAGGATATCCGTGTCCGTGGGTACTCGGGCATAATCACCATCCTTCCGTCCTTGCTGTACGAAATATTGCCGAAACTCTCGCAGAGTTCGGTGAACTGGACTCTGGGCCGAACTCGCGAGAGTTCCGCCACAATCGCGTCACTCCAGACGCCTGAGCACTCTCCGTTCGCCATGAGAAAGTATGGGTTCAGTGGCGGCAGGATGGAATCTGGAAAAAGTGTTAGCCAATGACTCCCACACAATCAGACAGCGCACGCGTGGCACGGGGAGGAGGGGGGAAGGTACCTAAATCTACGAAGCGGATCCGGAGGTACTCGACCTCTTTGAACTTGTCCAAGGACCTCACCGCAGATAAAACCAATCGTTCAAAGGCCTCGATAAAGCCCAATTCCTGTATTCCGGATCCAGAATCGTGATAGCTGCTCGAGTGGCGACAACAATTCTTGACAGTCAAGTCAATTGACCTCAACCTTGTGGTCATTGGATTTGCAAGCCGGCCAGCCATGTCAAAAAAACGGTGGCAGACGCGGCCGGTATATGAAAAGTGCTCCAGCCGAGTGGTGACCTCGGCCATCCTGGCGCAGATGTGCGTCTTCATTGCTACTTTGGCGTAGAATGCGGGCATCACACCCTCCCTTCTGTAGTCATTCTCGAGGCACAGGTTAAAACTGGTGATGCGCATGGGTAAAGACGGCACGAATTCGGACATGGTAATGTAGCTCTTGGATTTTGGCTTGCTGTATGAGGCCTGCCACTCCTTTAGATTTGGCAAAGCACCCAGGATGGCGTGGAAGTCGCCGGTCTCTCTCATCAGATTCCATTGCCCCCTCGTCACGAGCGTCCTCACTGTCGGGACAGGCTCCAGCGCCCGTCCGGAGAGCAGGTGCTCTTGGTGGCGGAAGCAAACCACCTTGGGTGCTTTTCTTCGTTCGCCGCCCTCCAAAGACAAGACCTGCACGCAAGGCAGTGCCAGGGATACAAATCGAAAGACCTCGTCCAGCGTGCAGTTGTTTGCCGGCAGGGTATAGGTGGCATTTGTGAGCCCGTCGGACGTCACGGTTGGGAGGACGAGGGTATTTGACAGGGCGAGTGGGCCAAAGGTAGGCTGAAACACAGGGAACCAAACTTCGACGTGCTTGATGTGGCATGACAGGTGCGGTTTGTCGGCCAGGTGCATCATTGCATTTTCAATGGATTCGATGGTGGCCTTGAGCTTGACGTGGCGGTAGAGACGCTGCTGGACCAGAACTCTCCATACTTGGTTTACCAGAGCCAAATCAGCGAGTTCTCGCCTGCGGCAGTGTCGTTGGGCACCGCTCCAGCACTTGGCTAGGCTGGATATTCTCATGGCACTGCTAGAGGTTGGCGAAATGCAGTAACCAAAGAGGTGGTCCAGAATGGCTTCGTGGACTTCAGTTGGCAGCTCGTCAAATGGCGTGGCACGTGAGGCATGGGCCATGGTATTCTCGGTCGCGGACGAGCTGGACTCGTTGAACATTTCGATGTCGGTGCCATAGTCAGAGTCGTCGAGGCAGCACACGCGAGTGCCGCGGTTATCGGGGAGCGGAAAGGGCGTGCTGCTCGGCCTCGCTGGTGGGACAAAGAAGGAGTTCTTGACTTGGTCCAGCGGAGGACTCGACTGGCCAGGAGACACGGGGCTCGAGGCGGTGTTGAGCAGCGTGGCCATGGACGAGGCCATTAAGGAATTGAAATCGTCGTCTGCAGATTCGGGGGCGTGCATTTGTTCGTCATGGCTTCGGAAGCCACCTCGGACGGGCAAGGCAACATGGCCATCACCATGGCCTTGGGCGTCGGTGTCTTGTCCCATTCCGGCTTGGAGCATCTATTTTACAATGTCTGCGGAACGGATGGCTGGGTCGGCAACGGGTGCATTCTCAGCGGCGGTTTGATTGTCGAAAACGTTGCGATTGATATGGGTGCACGCTGCCCAGTGTAAAGTGCAAAGAACGTGCCAGCAAGTCGAGGCGGAGTCGAAACGGCGATTCAAAACTCGGTTTGAGGTGGGCGTGGCAGGGGAAGGGGAAGGAGAAGGAGAGGGGTCAATTAGATTTGACTGGCTCCAGGCGAAGAATGACACAAGGCAGAACAAGGAACGCTTTCTTGGGAACACTGGGTTTAGGTATTTTCCAGGACGAATGGATGGAAGCACCAAGTATCGACGTTTTGGCTGCGGCCAAGTGGCTACTGGGTAGGTGAGGCGCAGAAAAGGCAACGGGGGGAGAAGAAAAAGAGAGGGATGCCGAGAGAGAGAGGTGACGGATTTGCGAGGCGGGCTGGCGTCAATCCAGTGACATTGACTACAAAGGATCAAGCCATGACCCCGAGTGCGTGAAGAGAGGTGAGTGGATGGATGGGAGGAGTTTGAGGCCGCCCGCCCTTGGCAGATTGATCAAATGTGAGTCGGTTGATGTGAGAAGATGAGCAAATGAGCAAATGTGAGGGGAAACATTGAGTTGGACCCTAGTGCCAAACCTTGCCAAATGCTTGCGGCCTTGAACATTGAATTTTCAATCTTCCCTTGTGCCAACTAGTCGGGTGGATAACTATCATGGCGGCGCCCAAGGGATCGATCTTGTCAAAAAAGGGATCAGACATCTCTTTGGGGTGGTGGAGATGCTCAACATTGGATGCTTCAATGCGCTTCTCGCACCTTGGCACTTTTCGTCGACCCTCTCCAGTCGCTCACGCGGCACAGCACCACTGATGCTGACGATATATTGCAACAAGTCAAGTCATCCATGTCCTGCACCGCCGCGCCTTCCCGCCTGCTGCCTAGCCGCATCCATGATGGGCACGCCGTGACGACGGAGCCCAATGTTGACCATCACGCAACACACAAGCCACGTAGCTGCGCCTCCGAACCGAGCCACAGTCCGACTTGACATGTTTGCTACCACGACGTTGGGCTGATGGAGTTTGAGTGAGACGGGGCCATGAAGAGGTCATCGCGTCAGTCAAAAATGCCCTCCACCGTGCCCAGATGGCGGAGGTGCCGGCAAGTTTGACATTCAAATGCATTGATGTGTCAACATTGATTTAAAAAAAAAGATACAATGGATTCATCTGGAATTGCCGCATACTACGGAGTACGGAGTACTGACTGACCCTGGCTCCTCCAATTTCCGTCGATGAGAAACATTGAACCAATGCATTTGCACAGGGGACTGGCGAGCCTGCAAGCCGCGGTGGGCCAATTTGATCGCCCTTCTGGCTCCGGCACCATTTGTCATTTGATATCACGACATGGATGCCACGCGATCCTCGGCCGTGCCTCAGCATTCTCCCTCCCTCGACTAGTAGTACGTATTTTAATCTTTAAAATCTTCAATATTGTCATGAACCGGCAGAGCCACATGCATGTTCCATGTTCATATCCATTGAATACTTTCATCACAGCGCCAGCACGGTGGCGTTTACCAGAACCCTCGACAATCCTACGCCGTAGTCACGACTCTGCCATTTCTGAGACGGTTTCTTCTGGAACAATGGGCCAGTCGCCGCCACGCGCATGTATTACTAAAATCCTTTCCACGCCCAGGGTTCCCAACTGCTGCGTGCCGAGCACACGAGTCAAGATGTCGAGATTCCCGTCTTGGGGGGGAAACGAACACGCCACATGCAGTGTTGGGCATGCGCCAAAAGACTTCAATTGGTCTTTTGGCATTGTACACGTCGCAAATTCAAAATGCGAGCTGGGCCCTCTTGAGCGGGATCAAGGCCAACGCCACGTCTTCAGAGTAGTAGCTCTGCCGACGCACCACGTCGCCCGTCAAGATGCCCACCGAGCCGAGGGTTTCTTGGTCCGTGGACGGCTGGTCGGGCACGCCGGGGAACATGCGCGAGGAGCCGTCGCGCGCCGCTCCGATCTTGACGGGGTTCTCGGAGGCGACGATGACGAGCTTGGTTGCCGAGGGCGCCGCTGCCGCCAAGAGGGGTGTGCTGTCCGGACGCCGGCTGCAGGTCGAGTTGTGTCTGGTGCGTTGTGTGAAGCCGTCATCATGTCTGGCAAAAGTCTGCCCCTAATGCACGGGGGTCCGGCGCCAACGCTCGTCAGCTCGAGGTAAATTGTGCGTTGTCGGTTCATCACGGCGACGCTGTCAGCCAACTTGACTCGACGTTTCAATGGTGCTTTCATCAAGAGCCACTGGCCAGCTTCGTCCCAACGTTCAGCGTCGCAACCAAGTCGCATCTCTCTCAACCCAAGTAGCATCAATGACAAGTACACCCCGATCCCGTTGCCCGCGGCAGACGAAGCCCCTCGCAGCCCGCAAACAAAGACACCAGAGTCTAACTGCTGATAAAATCCATCAGCGCAAACAGCGAAGGCGGCTGTATCCTGCCCCCGTCCGGCGCGCCATACGCCTTCTCGAACCGGGGGTCGATCCAGTCCCGCATAGCAGCAATGTCGACGCCGTCGTAGGATTCGTGCGGCAGCTCCTCTGCCGGGCCTTCCTCCGACGCCGCGGTGCCATGCGTGTCCAGGCTTCCGCCCTCGCATGTGCCCGGCGTCGACTCGTCCGCGCACCCATCCCCCCCGACCGCGGAGCTCGACGAGGCCGCCGGCCCCGTGTCCCCGCGCTCGCCGATGTTGACGCCCTCCAAAAGGGCAGAGCTCCACGAAAAGTCCTCCGGGTTGGCGTCGTTCTCCCAGGGGAGAGTCAGCTTCCGCACGTGCTCCTCTTGCCTGCGGGAGGCTGCCTCGGAGAGTTGCGCCGCGCGCGACGACGACGGGTTGCTGGTGAGGGGCTCGGAGCTGCATCGCCGCGGCTGCAGGCGCTTGTTCTGCTCGGCGACGGCGCGCAGTCCGTCTGACAGGGCGGATATGGCGGACAGGGCTCGCTCGAGCCTGCGCTCCGTGGCGAGGAGCCTGGACTCGAGGTCGATGATGCGGTGCTTCACCTTGTCCTTGTGCTTGCGCTGGCTGCTGCGGAGTCTGGCTGCCCGCTCGGCCGGACGAACGGGCCGCTTGGGAGCCGGTGCCATGACGGGCTGCTGCTTGTTGCTGGCGCGTCGCGAGACGTTTCTGTGTGATTGTGGAATGGGCTAGTCGATGACGTTTAAATTAAATGTAGTTTTTGCGTAAAACGTGCATGTGTCGGGGCCCGAGGGTGAGGTGAGAAGAATCGATCCAGTTGCACCACCGTTGCGACGTCCAGTGGGGGGTTTTAGCATCGTGCGGGCGAGCAGTCCGGGTCCGGCCGCGTTGCCGTCATAGTCTTACCGTCGACTTCTAATTGGTCGTCCTACCCGGTACCGATATCGTCGTCGTGGCGGCTGGGCTCCAGGTGATATTATCCTCTGTAAGGCGAAATCAGTCGACTTTTTCTACGCGTGGCGCACGTCAAGCTTCTGCTATAGCTTTATTGGAATTTATATAATTCCCATCGCAGAATATTGGAACAGTACGTTTAGGCCGCAGATGAACTGACGAGAAGAATGGGATCACAGCAACAAAGGACACCTACCCCTTGATAGGGACTCATCAAGCTTCCGACACAATGAGAACCGCGTTTAACAATGGAACTAAATAAGAAGATTCAAAACAGTCTGGTGGCCTTCAGCCCAATATACCCTATGTAAAGCTGGCAGGTTTGCCACTGCGCTCTTGATACCTCCTCTGGCGGGGTTCAACTTGCCCTTGCTTAGCGGCACATTATAGCCCCGAAAAACCTGGACAAGAAGGCTACATATAGATACATATGTATATATATGGCCGAAAGAGTTGGCCCCAGGTCCTTTATCATTTGAAATTAGTGCACTAATATTCGACGTTGAGAAAAATAAGCAAAGGCGTACTTGTACCATTAAGAAGGATACTTGACCGAAACCGTGTTCCAAGTATCATCTATCCCAGGGTACAGCCTTCGACCTCGATTCTTGTGTGAGTTAAGAAATGTGAGAGAGATGATTTCTCGTTAGATTTCCCAATCGCTGTTATGAATATAGTCAGTTACTCATGCTTTACCAACTTTCTGCAAACCTGTACGCGGGCGGTCGTTTCAAAAGCCGTCTGGCATGCTGTCGACACGGCCGTCTGCGTCGTCCAGCATCTTGCTAAGACTGTGAGCAACGCTCGGCCACCGACGGAAAAGCAGGCGTAAAGTTAGGAAAATGGAATGACCGAAACGCAAATAAAACTGGACTGATACGACCCATGGAGATTTTCGAGAAACATGCATGCGGAATTTTGCGGATGCCCACAGTTGATACCTGGCGCGGATGAGTTGCAAACCCAAATTGGGTATGAATAGCAAGCTTTCTTCCGCAATGTGTCAAAAGTCGCCTAGAAAGAGACATCTGCTGGGAGAAATAAATCACAGGAAATGGGATAAATGCGATATGATGCTTCCGCGACTCTCGACTCGAGTCGTAATCGGACACCTGGCACCCCAAGCATAAGCAGGGTCGTTCCGGCGCGCCCCGATGAACCACGCCAGCAGGATTGTTGGAAAAAAAAAACAATTAATTCTCTTTCAGCTTCACTTGGCCGTCTTTTGTGCTAGTGCCTCTGTCTCCCTCAGAAAGCAGCGAGCGGCGCTATTGGGCGATGCATTACGCAGCCGCGGCGCCAAAGGACCCCGTTTGTGACCAAGGGATTTTCCCCGCGGTAGACTGATTCGCAGGGCGCGCATGAAGCATTATAAAACTGCCCAGAATTTCGGCAACCTCCACGGCATCAATTGTATACACTTCCGCGTGGGCGGATCAAACCAAGGGCCAGAGGTTGACGTCATTGGAGGAACATGGCAACAGGAACCGTTCCTATCAGCATCCACACGCGACAAGAACACTCCGAAAAATGCAGCCCAGTCCCAGGAATTCAAGCCGGATGAGAAACGCCTTGAAAACTTGAAAAGCGGGAAAATAAAAAAGTCAAGTTCTGCCCTGGGATACGATGCTAGTAGATCGGGCGAATGGGGTCGTGCTTGGAGCATAAAAGCGACTGACTCTACTTGACACAAGTGCCTGCGATACAATTGACCATCAGACCGAAAACTTAGGACGGCCGGGCTGAAAGGTTGGCGATCAAACCAGTGTGTCAGAGCTTCTTTCAAGTCATTGTGTCGTGCAGCGACTCGCTAGCGCCCGGCCGTGGGCTTTGCTGACGTTTTTTCGCGTAATTACTTCCTTTTTGCATTGTTGTTTTATTCCTTGGCTTACACACGGGGAACCGGCTCCCATTATTGCACACACTGCGCTTGCACGTCGTGTCTTGCATGAAGTCCCTCTAGGCCAAGGGGAGAAAACGCTATTTCGTGCCAGGGAGTATATCCGCTTCCAAGAACCCCCCTGCTGCTTGATAGTAAGGCCGAGGCACAACGGCGCGGGCATACACGGAGCTCAGTTCTCCGAGCGCTAGATGGCTCATGACTTGAATAAGGCGAACTCGTCCGAGGGGTGGCAAGGACTCAGGACTCAGGAGGGTTTCCTCGCTTCGAAATAGGCAGCAGGACAGAGTTGGGGCCGCCCATCTTGTCTTGGTCGGGCGGGCAGGGCGTAAGCTTTGATAGAGGCTGCGTCTGGCAGCTGCAGCTTGCCATTCATTTCCATGCACTGGGGTTCTCAGGAAGATGTACGGATGCGAGGATTCACGAGCCGCCTCGTGGATCGAAACAATGATCATCGCCGCATCACGGGCTTGGACACTTCAGAGGCGTGGAATGACGACAAGCTGTTGCGGAATCATAACAAAAGGACTGCACGGGCTGGTTTCCGAAGCAGGTTTCAAATAGGAGCGCACCTCAATCTGCGACAAAAACAAATGAGGCCAGCAGTCCCCAAGGTCTGGCGTCGAAGCGTGCGGCGTTTCTGATGTGTGGGGTTGCTGGTTCGTGAACAGAGTAGACTGGACCAAGACGGACTACGCTGCCCATGACGGCGGAGAAGCAGAATATATCGATTGATGAGCCGAGTCACCAGACGCAAGGAGAGATTGATATTGGCCTTGCCCATTCGAGCTGGGTCGATCGAGGCAAAACCGCAGCCGTATGAGGGGATGGCTTGGCACGGGGGCACGGGGGCACGGGGCACCAAGGGGCCATGGAGGCACTCATGTGCAGCATGCCGCGATTTAGCTCCACTTGCCAATTAACCTTGGGGACTGCCTTATTTCTTTAATTTTTCTCTTGGCGAGGTTAGATTCATCAGGCGCTGTGGCTGAAATATGCAGAGTGCGGAAAGGAAGCATTAATAGACGTAAATTTCAGAGTAGCACTTGGCACATCTGCGCCTATCCGACGGCACGAGCAAGGTTCCATGTCCGCCCCGGCTGTCGCTCCTTCCCAGTGGACAGGCTGGCTCACCAGTCTTGACTCTTGACTCTTCTCCTGCTCCGCCTTTCCAATGCGCCTCGGCCATCTGTTATTGCACCGCGCAATAAACTGTCTGGAGCTGACATCTGTACATACTCGGCGAGCCGGCCCCTGATCCGATCTCGTCGCTGCCACCCTGGTTGCTCACACGCGCCCGGCGTTTGGACCTGGTCCGCTTGGCCGGGTCAGCTATTGTCGAGTCTTGGCATTGACTTGACTGGTCCGGCCTTGACGGCCCCAGCTCCATCGCCATCGACGCCGCCCAAGGCCTTTTTCGAAACCATATGGCGGCGCTTCACGCCGCAGCCAAGGAGGGCTTGCCTCGTGCTCAGTCTCATCCCTGACAACTACTATCCTTGCGAGTTGCTGCCGTTGGAGTGCTCCGTCTTGGCAGGCACGTCGTGCTCAACCCGTGAGATACACTCCATGCCCCAGATGTCCCAGATGCTGCCTCCATGCGGCCGCGATTCGGCCACATCATGAGACGTCTTACCACGTGGGCTCAGCACTTCATTTGCTGGGCTCAGCACTTCATTTGCTGGGCCCAGTCAGAATTACTGGCAGAGCCATGTCGTCCATCGCGAGATTGAGGCCAAGATGCGACAATATCCATCTTGTCTCGAGGCTATTCGGCCCCCCCCATGTCCACCATGCCTCTCAATCATTCTCCTTGTAATTCAAACCCTGTTTCACGTCATTTGTTGCAGTATTTCTTCCCTTGGATGCCCATGTTTTCTTCGTCCTGTCCCTCTGTTTGTTGCGATTCCTGTAATCTGATAGATCCGGCAGGTCGGCATCCATCATTTTCTTCTCTTCGTCAAGTTGTTCCAGCGAGTTCCGAGCAGCGTTGAACGTTGATTTTTCTTCTTTTTTTGTCGAATTCCCTCTAGACCGACTCTAGGTGGATTGTCCGTCGTTTGGTTTCTTGTTTTCGCCATTTATACATACCGGCGGAGCGATCCGCGGGATCGGCCGTCACTGTTCATCACTGTCAATAAGGACTTTGTCCGTTTACAATTTTAGCCCGTCATGACGTCCATCAAGAACATGGTTCTTGGAGCTGTCCTCCTCTGGGCACAGCTGATTGCCGCCTTTCCCACTCCCATCGGCGGCGACGGCGGCCTCTTGAGCCTCCTCGGCCTTGGCTCCAGCCGGAACGGCGACAAGAATGCTTCGCCCACTCCAGCAAAGAGCAATGTCAAAGCTAAATCAAGGATCGTCCCCAACAGCTACATCGTTGTCTACAAGAATACCACCAGCGCCGCGGATGTCAAGGCCATGACGGCCTCCGTCTCTTCCCAACTCAAGAAGCGCAACCTGAACAAACGTGGATTCGAAGGCCAGCCACTTTCGACCAACGTCCGGTCCTTCCAGATAAACAACTGGCATGCCATGAATTTCGAAGCCGAGGAATCCATGGCGTTGGAGGTTGGCGAGTATGACGGGGTGGATTATGTCGAGAACAACACGTGGTTTTCGACACAGGAGCTTGTTGAACAAACAAATGCCCCTGTTGGATTGCAGCGATTGTCAGAAGCGGCTCCCGTAGGCGAGCAAGCAAAAAAAGGTGAATAACCCCCCGACTCTAGGCTTTCGTCCTTCAAACTTCCTGCGACTGCATCGACTGACTGGAGAGGGGAAAATTTGTAGGATCTTACGTGTACGACTCATCTGCGGGCAACGGCACTACTGCCTACGTGGTTGACTCTGGCTGTCGAACCACCCACCGGGATTTTCAAGGGCGTGCTACTACGATTGCCAACTTTGTTAAAGGCGAGAGAGTATGTTGTAGACCCCTCCAAGGACTCTACGTGGCCGCTTGGCATATTAATGATGCGTAGGCAACCGACGCCAACGGCCACGGCACCCACGTCGCCTGCACTATTGCTGGCGCGAGGTTTGGTGTTGCTAAATTGGCCACGGTCAAGTGCGTCAAGGTCATGAATGCCAAGGGCCAAGGAACAAATGCGGACATTATCGCAGGCTTGCAGAGTGTTGTTGAAGACGTGAATAAGACCAAACCCCAGGCGGCAACTATGAACATGTCCTTGGGTGGAGGCCGGTCAAAGGCCTTGGACATGGCCATAAACAATGTCTTCAAAGCCGGTGTTCTTCCTGTGGTGGCAGCCGGAAACGAGAATGCATGTCGCTCCAAATGGCCAAGTCTGCCACTGTCATCGAGATGAAACGAGCGCTAACATCGTCCTACAGCAAAACGCAAAAAACGTATCGCCAGCCGCTGCCCCCAACGCCGTCACCGTTGGCGCCGTAAATGCCACCACGGATCAAAAGGCTGGCTTCTCAAACTTTGGCCCGAGTGTCGATATCAATGCCCCTGGTGTGGATGTTCAGTCTTGTGGCATCGAGTCTGACAGTGATGTGTCGACTAAGAGCGGGACCAGCATGGGTAAGAGTTCAAGCATCAAGACCGTTGTCCCCCTTGGCCACAACTGACCGACCTCATCTATAGCCTCTCCCCATGTTGCCGGCCTTGCCAACTATTTGATGCGGTTGGAGAATGTCAGCGACCCCGCCAAAGTAACCGCCCTGCTGAAGAACCTCTCCAAGGACACGGATGCTACGGTGGAGGGCGGCCGAAGAGACACAACGCCCCTGATTGCCAACAACGGAAACCAAAAAGATAAGAATACGTTCCTGGATGAGAATGGCCCGGTCAAGGGGGGTACACAGGGAAACGGCGCCGCCTCGAATTAATCCGCACAGCTACTGTAATTGGAGTTGGTCATCTTTTGTGGGAGTATCAAGGCCTCGTAGCTTAACCAGAAGAGTTGCAAGAGTACTGCCACGTTTTCCTTGCAGTCCGCCACGGACATGGTGCATCCCGCGTTGGCAGAAATTCCAATCTATTAACATTGAATGTCTCTTGTAGTATTATTGGACCAAGTGTATTGAGTTGTGCAGTCAGTTTTGTAGATATAATCGGGGTCTTTATAGCACCACACCTTTCCGCCATTTGTTTCCTGGCGGTGCTGTTGATGCGTATCGGACTGGACTATTTACCACCTGGCGTTTATACGTCAAACACTCTATTCGAGCTGGGCTATTCGAGGCGCATCCCGGTCCCGCGTCCCCGGGTCCGGACACAAAACTCCCACCGGCGAAGCACAGCGTAGGTAGTCAGTAATTATCGGCCAGTTGTTTTTGTCAAAGTAGCGCATGTTCATGCACAGCGTATTGGCCAGGGAGCTTCAGGGTTATATTGGCAGCAGTGCTGGATGGAAACATCGCAGCGTCATAAAGCCAGATTTGTATTGGGTCACGGACATGGAGAGGTAGACCTGGGACGCTAGACACGACGCAGCAGCAAGCTTTGGTGGTATTGGTCTGTCTGCCATACATGCATCGACAAGAAGGGCCTAGCCACTCCATCTTCTTTCAGAAGCATAGAGTCCACGGTGAAAAGGGGGTTATAGAATGTTGCTCGCCACCAGAGTCTCGACACCTGTCAACCCGTCGTGACAAGGACTCAGTTGGGCCATTCCACAGGAGAAGCCTGGAGCATGGGGATTACTTTTAGCACTTCTTCGGCACAACCGTGGTCATCAAAGGACCAGATTGCAATTTGACATCCGTGCTGGGCTGCGCCCCATTTACGTACGTCTTGGAGATGCTGGGAAAAGCAGAGAATCAATCAGTGGGTGGCCGTGGGATCAAGTAAATTATTCGTATTAGAAGGTCGTATGTAGCTCAAGAACCTTGTCTCGTCCATTAAATGCTCATTAGTAGGACAAGGAGATGCATGAATATTTGTCCGAGAAACAATAGTGATAATAGAGAAGCAGCTTTAGGGGAATTCAGTCTTTACAGTTCTTCTCTGGCGGTCGTTATGGCTGTCGTGACCGCTGGTGCGGGATCATTTAGTTTTTGAAGCAGGATGCTTGCCTCTTTAAAGATATTGGGGAATTGAGCCCCTAATAACCATGCGGTGCCGATCTGTGGGTGGCGCGTTAGTTGGGAGCCGCATCTTGTGTTTGTAGCAAGGCGGGCATCATTTACCATTAGGCCAGAAACAAATAGCAGACACAGGGCAACAACCCCAAACATGACCAGGGTCTCGCTAGTGTCCATGGTTGGCTCATTCCGTTGCTTCTGGTTATTCTCCAAGTTGAGCTGCTTGGGATCTTGACGGGGGTAAAGTGTCTCGATGAATTGTTCAATCTAATTGACATGTCAGCGGGCTCAACTTGAGAGTAGAGTTGGAGTTGAGCTGGCATACTTTGGCGCATCGCACGCTAATGTTGAGGTAATTGGGATCTCTGGGGTCATTCTTCTTCTGAATTCTTCGGGCATATCTGCGGAATACCTCGCATACAGTGTAGAGGTTTTGTGTGCACTCGGTCATGAGCTGGCAGGCGTCGCCCTTTGTGATCTTGACGTTGCGCTTCAGGACGTCAGGGTTGCGGAAGACCAGCTCCAGAGTAGCAATGGCCATGCCTTGCGGAATAGCAACGAAGTTGAACACACTCTGTTCGCGCATGCCGGCCATGTAGAAGAGGCATTCCTCACAGTGTTTTAAGGCATCGAGAACCATGTCTGATATGCAATTCAGGGCCTTGTCCTCGTAATTTGGGTCAAACAAGTCCTCCCACTTATCCACGTGCCTGCTCCAAATCTCCTTGGGATACCAGCGGCGACCGTCGCTCCAGTCCTCCCGGAGATCACGGATAATGTTGGTCTTCTGGAGGAACTGGCCCATGGACTCGGTCAGGGAGGGTCGCTCTGCGAGTTTGGGGTTCCCTAGTTCTGAAGCGACAAAAAGCCTGGTCAGACCCTCACCAACCAAACCTGCGACGTAGTGGCAGTACAGCTCATAGTCGTCAATGGTGTTGACACCATTCTTGATCATTTCGTCGTTTTGGGCGTAGTCAGCCATGCCATGGCCCATTTTTACGGTAATGTCCTTGATGATTGCATAGTAAGTTGGCTTAATCTTTTTGAGCTCGGTGATGACGACGTCAAATTTTTCCAAGAGCTCCCTGTCCTTTTCTTGGCTCTCGTGGTACTGCCAGCCATCAACCTCCATGGTGTCGTGAAAGTTGCGCAGCAAAGGCACCTTCTTGCTCAACGGTATCGTCATGTCATCTTCGATGGTATCGAGGCCCCGCAGTACCAAATAGAACAGACTAATGGGGACAAGGAGCTCATGGTTGAGTTCTTGGATGACAGCGGCAAAGCTGCGACTAGTCAAGTTGAGGAAGCGGAAGCATTCCTTCAAGGTTTCCGATTCTGTGGAAGGATCGCGCCTGTGGACAGGGTTGTGCCAGAGCTTCCTGTAATCAAATGGGTGTTAGCAACAGCCATGGTCACCGTCATGTTCTGTAGAATGCATTGCCAAAGCATCGTATGGCGCTGTACTGAGGGTGACCATCAAACATACCACTGGATAATGGAGCGCAGCTGGTTGGGGTGCAGAAGGTAGTATATGGCGCCCATTGTGTAGTATTTGCCGGCCAGCCAGCTCAATTGGCGGAGAGGACGTGGGTGTCTGAAAGGACAAGGAAATTCTCATAAAAGGGGGGTTGCGCAGAGATATCCAGACGCAGCAAAGCGCAGGAGTACAATGGCCAGCTTTTCTGTGCGCGGTCGTGACGCGGGTGCAGCAACCGGCTTCAGAGCGGAAAGAGTTGTTCAAGCAGACAGCGGCCGGTAAGGAAACGGCCTCTAGAGGAGAAAAGAAGCTGTCGAGATGGCAGAGGAAGGATGTGGAGGAAAGGTTGGGGAGAGGGAAGCGGGACGCGTGAGGCGTCAGAAATTAAGAGGCCCAACATGGAGAGTTTTTGTATTAGCCATTAGCCATTAGCCAAAGAAGTGTCAGAAGGGGTTTTCTCCAAGCGGAGATTGCCTCCACACTGGGATGGGTCGGCTGTGGCTTGTGCAGGCGGCTTCTGCAGCAAAAGATGCCCGAAACCCGGCCAAATGTGGCGGACAGTGGCTTGTTTCTCTGTTCTTCATTTGAGCGGCGTACGGAGGTGCGGAAAAGAAGGATTCTGATTCGCTGGGGCACGCGTTTGCCCTGAGCACGAATACGCAAGAGCGCCTTCCGGTTGCGGGATGAATACGCAGCTTCTCACCAGTGGTTTGAATGGCCGAAGGGTCCAGCGTCACCAAACACCATATCCTCCAACCCCGGAGTAAAACTTCTGTGTTAGCTCGAGCGCAAGTGTTTGCTGCTACTGGTTTGACCGTGATAAGTCGGTGTAGAGCTGTGCCACGACGGTTCAAGGCGGAGAGCCCACTGAAATGACTTTTCAACCGGCGGAAAGCTGCCAGGTTTGTCTCAACAAAGCTCTTCGTTGACACGTGGAAAGTTACTAGGAACCGCGGTGTTCGCTTCGACTCGTCTGGCAACGGATCAATCCTCGAGCCTGCCGTCGCGTTGACTGCACGACTGGCACTGTGCAGGATATCATCTGAATCCACGTCGCTGAGCCATCAATCAAGTCCGATACACTCTTACAGCCCAGCGCGACGGAAGCCTGTCATTCATGACAAGGGGAATGGCGAAACCGGGCAACGCGAAGCGCGGCAGGCCAGATGTGCTATACAATGGCGCCCGAAGACAATCAATCAATCGATGCGTCTCGCAGTCGGCGTACGGACAGCTTATAACCTGGGCTTGGCGAGAGTCAAGGCACAGGAATTATCGTGGCGTTGAGGCCAGCAGAGGCTTGTGAGGGGATTTGGCATGGCCAAAGCATTTCTGCTAGGTTCCATGCCAACGTGAGCTCTTGCCATATATGCAGGCAAAGCTGTATAATGTGGCCAAGTTGGAGCTTTTGGAGCTGTTCAACTCGGGCCTCTTGGGCTGCTGCCGCCGCATATGAAGCTTTTTGGCTGGGCTGATGGAAGCTGCTTCAAGGTTAGCTGGAGCTATCAAATCCCCCAGAGCTTCTTTTTGTTTTCCCCTCCATGTGCGCTTCGGAAACCCTACCAGGGATTGCCTGCGGCGCTGCTTGATGACGTTATTGTGAGATTCAATGTGTGAGGCTGGCTAGAAGACAAAGCTGCTACGAAGGTGCCTAGCCCTAAACTCCCGCAAGGCAGCATTATATCACAAGACTCTATTCCCCTTCCCCGTTCTTATGGAGTGGCTTTCGACCCCAGGTGTCTCGGGACAATTTCGACCTCGCACAAAAATTCCAGCCCGTCAGGTGGACAAAGGCTCGAGACCAGCCAGTCATGTCCTCACAAAGCCGACCCCACGGCGTAATCAACGTGGAGAAGAACCATCTGCAGGTCGGGACGGGGTCCGGTTGTCATACTACATTTTGAACCATGACTTTCGTACTTGTCTCTCGGTTAGAGAAAACCGCCATGGTGAGCCAATCTCCATGCGGACGGGCGACTGTATGTAGTGCTTGCAATCCTTGCTTGAACCCGCGCACGTGTCCAATACAATAATCAGCCCTCCACTTATGAATAGAGAGCGCTGTTCATTCTGTCCCATCTGCATCATCATCTTGCTGCGGCCAGGGTTCGTTCGGGACTCGGCACGGCTAGCCTGTAAGACGCTGATCTTCTGCCCCAGGCACGTGTACGGGATGAAAGGTTGGCAGGATTCTAGTTATGCGGGGTTGGACTTTAATTTTCTTCCATATTCGTTAGTTGGGGGGATTCGTTCTTCCTTTTCGCGTCCATTCGCGGACCGAGAAGCATCATCGTGGTTCGGCTTCTCCATACTTGCTGGGATACTAATACCCTGTGCCTGTGCCCGTGCCTGGTCGGGCAAGAGAAAAGAAACAAAGTTGAGAGCAGCCGCTTGACACTCATTTGTTGTTCTATGACTTGTGTCCCGGCTACTCGTTGTTGCGCATAATGGACAACGAGGCCGTTGATATCGTTCCCGGGGAGCATCACGATGCGACGACCAAGGGGGACTCTGAGGCGCAAGTCGCTGCTGTCGAGCGGGGTTCCAGCAAACGACAGAGGTTATCTGATGTATTCACAATTGTAAGCCCGCATTATCTTGACTTGTCACAGCCTGGAACCAATAGACGTGGCCGTTTGTCGGTTCCCATGCCCGCTTGCCCCTACTCTACTAACGGTTGTTAGTTTTGCTCCGGCTTCGCCCTCATCTCGGATGGCTACCAGAACAATCTCATGACCATGTCCAACGTGCTCTTCAAGAAGGAATACCCGAACGAGTACACCCCCCAAGTCAGCACCCGCGTCTCCAACGCCCTGCTCGTCGGCGAGATCCTGGGCCAGGTCGTCGTCGGCCTGACCTGCGACTACATGGGCCGCAAGACGGCCATCATCATGACGACGCTGCTCATTGTTCTCGGCGGCATCCTGGCCACCGCCTCTCACGGCGTTACTATCGACGGCATGTTTTGGATGCTGACTGTTTCGAGAGGCATCGTCGGTTTCGGAGCAGGTATGTCTCGCATATTCAACCACCCCGTCCCCAGTTGATGTGCCCACTCCCTAGATCCTCGTACATCATGATCCAAGCCAATTTCCGCGACTCTGACGCCGTCTAGGTGGCGAGTACCCTGCCGCCAGCACGTCCGCATCCGAGGCCGCCAACGAACACACGCCCGCGAACCGCGGCCCCGTCTTCATCCTCGTCACCAATCTCCCCCTCTCGTTCGGCGGCCCGTTCGCCGTGTCCGTCTTCCTCATCGTGCTGTCCGCCGCCGGCGAGACCAACCTCTCGACCGTGTGGCGCGTCTGCTTCGGCGTCGGCGTCGCGCTGCCCCTGACCGTCTTCTACTTCCGCCTCAAGATGCTCAACTCCAAGCTCTACCGCCGCGGCGCCATCAAGAGGCACGTCCCCTACGGCCTGGTCGTCAGGTACTATTGGAAAACGCTGATCGGCACCTGCGGCGCCTGGTTCCTCTACGACTTTGTCACCTTCCCCAACGGCGTCTTCTCCGGCACCATCATCTCCAGCGTTGCCTCCAGGTCCGGCAGCACCCTGCGCAGCACGGCGGAGTGGCAGCTTCTCCTCGGCGCCATTGCCCTGCCCGGCGTCCTCCTCGGCGCATTCCTCTGCGACAGGCTGGGCCGCAAGAACGTCATGATGCTGGGCTTCTCAGGATACCTGGTCTTTGGGCTGGTCATTGGCTGCGCGTACGACAAGATCACCGCCATCATCCCGCTCTTTGTCATCTTTTACGGCCTGATGCAGAGTTCTGGCAACTTGGGCCCGGGCGATATGCTCGGCCTCATTTCCTCGGAGAGCTACGCCACCAGCGTCCGTGGAACGTGCTACGGCCTCAGTGCGGCGATTGGCAAGACGGGTGCTGCTCTGGGGACACAGGCGTTTACACCGATTCAAGATAGGTTCGGCAAGAGGTGGACGTTTATTGTCGCGGCTATATGCGGTGTGGTGGGCGTCTTGGTCACGTACTTTTTTGTGCCCAGGTTGACGGGCGAGGATCTGGCCAAGCGGGACGAGGAGTTTAGGGCGTACCTGTTGGCGAATGGGTGGAATGGTGAGATGGGCGAGGCTGATTTGAAGGGTTTGGCAGAGGATGTCGACGAGGGCGTGGTGTCTGGTGATCATGGAGAGAATGGGGCCAAGGCTGCTGGGTAGGGATATTGTTATGGAGCGGTTGGTTTTTGAGAATGCCCTAACGACTGGGTGACGTCTCTGTTGGCTTCTTGATGTTGTTCATGTTTCTGATCCAAGCGGCGTTGCTCTGTGTGCGACGTGCTGGGAGACAAATATTGACATCAGCCAGTCGCACGGCAAGCAATGAATCAGATCCGAGCACAAATCTAACGGACAAAGTCCCAAAGGTGAATCACTTTGAGACAGACCCACCGACAATAAATACCCTGACGCAATATGCCCTCTTTTCTCCTGCAACATGGCCTAAATCTCAACTCCCTCCTTTTGAGAATATCCATAATAACAAACGAAATATCCTACCGCTAATAGTGCTTTTTTGGGGGGGACTTTGATTCCCTTGTGCCTCCAGCTCCCGAAGAATAAATCTACATCAACATGGGATGCACACTGTCGGTAGAGGTGGAATTTCCCGCCAGGAGGAAGCGCCACAGGAGGCATAAACGCAGACACCACATCCCCATCTACAGCACGACTCACCCCGACGGATTCCTAGAAGCAGTACTAGGCCCTGGGCCCGGTGTTTGTCGGCAAACAACTCACGGCGGGAGACAAACAACCCCCCATTGTGGCACAGTCACACACCCTCGGCGAGCAATGAGTCATGAGCTTAATATCCTCAAGCCGCGGGTGGACGAAAAGGCCAAGACTGTCGATGCTGAGGAACCCGCCCCTCACAAGACGGTAAGTGTTGACGTTCAAGACCTTGCTAGTAGCAGAAGGATAATGCTTCGTAGGAGACGGCGCCCGAAGCAGACACGGGACAGGAGGCCACAGAAGCTGCGTAGTATGGCGTGAACAATTTTATTGGCACCAGTCTCCCCTGAGATATACTGTCCCGTATATATATACAAGCACAACGCTCGTATAGCACAGCATGCTACAGTGCGGTCCGCAGCAAGATTGAGGCGTGTGTTAGACATGCCATCGAAACACTATTCTCACCGATGGGGGAAGCTCCCCCAGCACGGGACCCATCCCTCTCAAGGAACCTGGCTCGGATACCTGAAGGGGTTGAGTAGTTCCTTCAGTGTCCATCGGTTTACAGGGGTTCTACTCGCAAAGCACAGCCGATGATACAAACCGGCCAGAAATTATAGGCCTTGCGCCGAGAAGACTGGCTGGTCTAGCATCCCCAGCACATTAATTCTTCTAGCAAATATTCCCAGATCCTCGTCGTCTTGAAACATCAGTGATGAGAGCGTGATTCCCACGTTAAACCCCGCGCTATCCAGTGCCGCAACACCAATACCAGTCACCCGGCCACCATGGCAAGGCTCGAGAACATCATACGGACACGACGGCTCTGCGGAATCACCAGAATTCCGTCCATCATATCGGCAAAGTGTTGCGTATGTCAGCCCCTTCGGTCCGCAGAATCCCTACGACGGACGGCCAGCCCGCGCAGGCCACTCACGGGAGGAGGCCAAAGCGACGCCGTTGCGCATCAGCACATCGACCACGTCGTCGTGGCCCCGGAACGCCGCCTGGACCAGCAGCGTATTGCCGACGCTGTCCTTGGTGCAGATGTAAACGCCCGCGTCGAGCAGGACCTGAACAACGTCAGCGTGCCCCTTTGCAACGGCCGCCAACATGGCCGATTCTCCCAAGCCCGGGTCCGCCTTGATGTCGCTGCCGCCGCCGTGCGCGAGCAGCACCTTGACAACCGCCGCGTGTCCCTTGCGGGCGGCCTGCACGAGGGCCGGGTTCCCGTTTGGATGCAGGGGACTAGCGCCGCCCTTGTCGAGGAGCATCTCGAGGATGGCAGGGCACCCGAACTTGATGGCGTGCCAGAAGACCGTCTTGCCCCGGGCGTCGGGGGCCTGGACGTCGGCGCCGCGCCGCATGAGCACCCTGGCCGCGGCCTCGTTTCTGACGCGGACGGCGGCGTGAAGCGGGGTTTCGCGGTGCGCGCCGCGGGACGAGAGGATCGCGCCGGCGCCGGCGTCGAGCAGGGCGTGGATGGCGGCGATGTTGCCGCAGGCCGCGGCGCAGTGGAGCGGCGTCGCGCCGACAAAGTCTGCGTCTGCGACGTCGGCGCCGCGGTCGAGCAGCAGGCTGAGCATCTCGGTTGCGCCGCCTGTCATGATGGCGCCCGAGTTGATGGCCGTGTGGAGCGGCGTCTCGCCGTTGTCGAGCCGCTGCGCGTGGACGTCGGCGCCGTGCTCGAGGAGCGCCGTCGCCGTGCCCATGTCCCACTGGGCTGCGGCGGTGTGGAGGACGGTGCCTGCTTTGCCGTGCAGCACGTTGGGATCCGCGCCCTTGGCGAGGAGCAGCCAGACCATGATGGCGTTTCCGAAGCGCACGGCTTCCACGAGAGGCAGGGTGCTCGACGGAGCCTGCGGTGTGTTGACATCGACGCCGGCTAGTAGGGCCTTTTCGGCAGTCAAGACTCGTCCGTGCTTGGCGGCCCAGAGGATTGCGCTCCTCTCAACGTTGGGGGCGGTTGCGTTGTGTCGGTAGAGGTAGTCTATCGTGAGGTTGTAAAAGCCCCGGCTGGTGCGGCAGAGGGCGTAAATGTCTCGGTCTCGATCAAGGGCTTTGACGATGTGTAGCAGCAGCTCCGTTGGCAGATTGGCCAGTTCCATGGCTGGCCCGGAGCCGGCACGGCATTTGCAAGGTCAGGCGGGCTGCTGGTGAGGAGAGCAGGATGGGGATTGTTGTGGTCGGCAAAGGATGACGATGTGACACTGCCGTCGGAGTTGGAGATTTCTCCGCATCTTACGAAGTATAATTTCCTCTTTCGGACACTGTACAGACTTCGGCACACCCTTTCTGCATTGGGCACTTCCGTCGGACAGCCTAATATGGGGCATGGCAGCTCTAGTTATGCTTGAAGGTAGTTGCGCCATGGTGAACAACTCCGGTGGAAGCTCCCGGGACACTGGATGCTTCGCAAATTTGGGCCACTTTGGTACCTGCAGCTTGAAGACAGGGGCAGCTGCGGCGGAAATAGCCATTGACAATAGGTGAACTGTGCAAATTCCACAGGCAGAAAGTGAATGGACCTTTGTTTAAAAAAAAAAAGCTAGAGCATGGAAAAAACGGAGATGCTTTCAAAGCCTGGGCGTTATTTTCTTCTGCAAATGCCCCGGTCGGCAGTTGGCCTTGTCCCATTTTGACATGGACGCCTACAGCGATTGGCTACATGCAAGAGAGACAGGGGCGTTAGGGGCGGACCGGTCCGTGACCTGAAGGCGGCTTGGCATTTCGGATCACTAAGAACTTGGTGCCGTCTTCTAGTATTGGCAAGAGGAGAGACGGACTCCAGGGGGCAAATTTCCCAATTAAGATATAGTAAAGCTATATAGCGAGTACTGGACTACATCTTGGAAGCGAGGAAATTAGCAAAAACGTACACACATCTTGGCTAATTTGCTCCATAATTAATGTGAAGTTAAAGGCCAAGCAGAATGACAACAAGCCTCATGAAAATTATGTGGCTTTGCGTCTCAATTCTGTTCCACTCATCCTCACTATAAGTGAATTTATGTAGCGGTAGATCAGGATAGCGACTAAATGACTTGTTCTATTAAAGTTTTACAGGGTAATCCGGCGTCGGCCCTCGCGAGAAGGAGGTATGATCCGGTCGGATTAGAGCTCAGAAGGCAGCAACTCTGCGCAAACATGACCATCGGAGACTTGATCACTCTTTCAGAGTGGTCAATTAAGAGCAGGGAGCTCGTAGAAGGGAGTGAATCCTAGCATCAGATTGCTCATCTGTTAACATGTGGCAAATCAACAAATAAATCATAGACCCACAAGATACCATAACCTTGAACGAAGCAAAGAACGTCGCTGAAAGGCTACTCAACAGTCTTGCTAATGTACAGATTGCAATAAGGAAGGCCGGTGCAACTTCTCGCCTCAAGAGGGTGGACCGCACATTCAACAGATGAAAGCATTGTTATGCGGCGCTCTTGGAACCTTCTGACTTCATTCTCCGTGTCTCTGGAGCTCCTCGACTTAATTTTACCCCCGCGAATCGGTGCTCCTCGCTATTTGTTAAAAGGGTATATGGCATGATAGATTTGCATCTGATTGAGGACGTCAGACTTTTGGCAGTCCAACACTAGCTAAAGTCACGAAAGTGATGTCGAGTCTGCGCCTAACGAGTGATTGGGAGACGAAGTCCCTTTGCGTTCTGAGCAGCGAATACTCCTCCTTACTGACATACAGTGCACCAACCGTTTCCTGTTCTGTGAGGATCGTCAAGATCAGTTACGCCCTCAACAAGTGCAAGCGCCTTCTCAGGCCGGACTTGTCCCGATCAGATCAGCTCACAACCAACCCTCAGATCCTCCAGTCAAGGGCTATAAACAACTCGGGCAATCACTACAGCCTTGGACGCATGGGCATGCTCTATGGCCTCGATAATATCATTCTATAGGCACAACTGATTAGGCATCGCATTGTGTGCTTGGTTCATCTCTGGGAAATAATGTCGAGGTGATATTCCCGGGTGTTGCAGCAACAGCAACGGCCCTCTGTGCCCACTATGCTAAAACCTCCGAATTTTTTCGTCTCCTAATACATGGTCCTTGTCTGGATGTCGCGGCAAGTGATCTCAAAGTTCTACTCCTAATCTCTGATTGCCATCATGCCAATGAGCCCGAGACGTTGTACAAGTAACCTCTCCACCATATCGCCAAGCTCGCAAACATTCATCCTCTTGCCAGTTTTCTTATCAATGAATACAAAGTCCTCTTGCTTAGACAGCCAGTAATCTTCATTCCAGAATCTCGTACATCCGCTCATATCCCCAACAACCACATGACATTCCACCAAGTTTGGGAACCATGACTCTTCGTAATCTTCAAAATCCCACTCGTCATCCTCATACTCGTACTCGAACTTGAACCGGCGTACACGGGATTTATTGTGGACAACGTGATCGAGAAAAGCTCGGCCAACCGCGAGCATGTCCAGGTCAAAATTGACCCAGACGTAGCGTGGTTCAGTTTCTTGAAAGTAAAACATCTTCTCATATTGGCTTTCCTTGCGACTTTCCCGACAGGTATGTAGAACTGCTGGTACAGGTGTCGGCGATATCAGGTACAAAATTTCCTCGAAGCGATCATCGTGCTCGTACTTGGCTCTGATTGGAACCTCGCGAGGCTCAGCTGCCAACGCCCATACCTTAGCACGAAGTTCGTATGGTAGACGAGGGAACGGATGAAAAGTGGCCATGCTGGAACCAGATATGACATTCGGCGTGGGATGGTAACAACTGTGATGATGTTTGGGGATTTTGGTAGTAGGAAAGGACTGGTGTGAAAAGAAAAGAAAAGAGAAGAGAAGACTGGAGAAAAGAAGAAAAGGGCTGGGGCGTTTAAAAATCAAGTGGAAGGAGCCTTGGTGGATGTGACTTACGCCCTCAAGGTAAAATATACGCATAGTCATGTACCACGCACAGCTTTATCCGATGGGCGAGTGGCAGCTTCGCAGCCCAAGGTGGAGGGAAATATGAAAATCCCGGGTAGTGCAGGTTTTCAAGTCTCTTCATCACAGAGGTGACCTGTTCTAACTCTAGCTGAGAGTACTGAAAATGGCAGATTGACGTCTTCTAATCCTTCGGTTATCCCTACATGCGACGACTGCAAGGCCGTTGCTCCCGAAACAGCATCTAATTGCAACATTTCTTGACCTGGAACCATAAAGCCGCTGATTGAAAGGTATGCCAGTTGACGCGGAGCAAACTGTTCCAGCAAACCAGAAGTCCCACGAGCTGACAGTGAATGCTGCCTCTGCGTTTGTACAAGCAGTGAATTTACTCGCAGTGAAGCTATGCCGGCAGGTCTGAGTTTGTCACTTTTATAGAATCATCCTTCACCCTTCAGAATGTTTGCATCCATAATAATGCTAACTGATGTGCGTTTCGCTTTGTCTAGGTGCATTCGTTATTGGGATTTCCCTTTTCAAGAAACGATCTCGCTATTTCGAACCCCAAGCAACCCTTTGTCCCGCTTCTGTAACGGTGTTCCGGATTAATGTATTTGCCATGCCCTACGATGATAATAATGTGGAGATTTTCATGCCAAATCGAAGCTGCGCTATAAGAAACGAGATAATACCTCGAGTTCAAGCTGGGTTATAAATGGGAAAACTTCAGTCACGCATTGAGGGACTGGTATTTGAATATCAGCCACCAAACCCAAGAACAACGATTCAAGCACAATGTTGCTAGGAGCGTGAAGTAGACTAGTCTTGACTGAAACAGATGGCTCGCCAGTACTAGCATGTTACCTGTCCAGCACCGTGACCTTGCGCACATACAACTAATTTCCTACACTTCTTGCGGCTTCAATCTAAAGAGGGAATATTTTATCCGCCCTGAATACTATACTTTGAAATGTTCTCAAGTATGCTATACACACCACTTTTACTGTGAAAATGCTGATATTCTGGCGCCGTAGATATTCTGGCCAAAACAGATGGCCAGATTCTTACTTGTCTACTTGACGGTATGCCACTCGCCATGCACTCTCGTTACCTTTATTTGGACTGGCCGCTCTCCACCTCCATCTCTCTAAACCACGTATCAGACAAGATTTCCGCAGGCGAGGGTCTGTTGGCAGGATCGTACTGCAAAATCCGCCGAATCAACGCCTTGACTTGGCGGCCTTCCTCCTCATCAAGATCCGGGCATGCCTGATCGAACCAGTCCTCCATGGACGTCTGCTCCAGCATGAGCGGTTCTCCGCCTTTCGCAACTCCTCCGAGCTGACAATTAAATAGCTCCCTCTCAGTGAAATAGAGCGTCGACGTCTTCCAATGCGTAAAAAGCTCATCGGGTAGGGCGCCGAGCCTGGCAGTAAGAGAGAGGAGATGGTTGTCATCTTCAAACTTGGAGCCTGGTACACAGAAGAGAGGTTGTCCAGTGATGAGCTCAAAAATAAGGCAGCCGAAACTCCAGATATCGAGGGTTTTATTGATGGCGCCGGTAAGAACCAACTCGGGAGGCCGAAGTCCGAGAGGCGTAATGGACTTCGTTGGCGGGTTCGTAAAGAAGTATGCTGTTTCAAGCGTAAGTAGACATCTATAAAGAGAGGTCGTCCGCAACTAGAGGTACTAACCGCCACCCATGTCGGATAATTTAATCTTGAAGCCTTTGTCATACTCGGTAAAAGGCGCCAGCGGCTGCGCAATACAAAGATATCGAGGCGCCCACTTGTCTTGTTTGCCGTCCAGCCTCTGCACTGGCGGCGAGATTGACTGGGTTTGCACATTTTCCTCTTGGCGCAGCGCGTCCTCGGGTTGCATGTCGATATTATCCACAGCGAAGAGCATGTTTCCCGGCTGAAAGTCTCCATGAGCGATACCATTCTCGTGAAGAAATGCCAGTGCTTGTAATGATTGCTTGAGGATGCTCTTTGCCATCCGAATCGGATAGCGAACCACCATCCCCCACATTCGAGGTTTGAACTGGGGCAACTCCTCGACCATGGTATTCACATTCGGGCCCATGGGCTCAAGTACCAGGCACGTATGGACGCCATTGGGTCCGCGGTGTTCAAACTTGTCCAGTAGCTGCGTGATATGCTGGGCTGCCTTTGCTGGTGCGGCTTTGGCAATGTGGTGCAAGATTTGCAGCTCAGCTGATGCCCGGTTTGCCGAGACAAGAATCTTCAAGGCGACATATGTAGAGTTTCTGGGACGGAATGAGTAACGAGGATAAAGATGATGCAAAGATGGCCATACTTCAGGTCACGAGCCAGCCACACAGTCGAGTAAGAGCCCTCGCCGAGCTTTCGAATCACCTTGTACTGGCCATTATTGAACATATCGCCGAGCAAAACGGGGTGGTAGCCACCTGGGCGGTAGTCCTCCACCCACTCGCAAGGCGAAGTAATTGTTTTGAACCTCCATTCATCATCTTTCACGGGTCCTGTTGGTGGTGTGGGAGGACGGGATGCGCTCATGCCTGTGGTAGAGGTGCGTTGTCCGAGAGGTACCTGATGTGGTGTTTTGAAATAGATGCAAGGTGGTCATGGGAGAGTTCAAAGTCCTGAGAGACTGGATGAGTAATCAAAGGAACGAGAGAAGCTGCATGATGGTGTCGCAGGATATAGGGGGGTATTAACAGACAATTACTTGTGGCGTGGCCACGCCCATTTTTTGTGCAACAGATGGCACATACTCGAACCATGACTAAGAAGCCAGCACTGGCATCTCTCACAGACCACCAGACATGACGGCCACGAGCATCTCGCACGCTGCAATAGGCGCCCGGTACATGCTGTTGGTTGTCACGCTATAGAATGGTGTCGAGAGACTGGTCGATGATGTACCTGGCATTGACCCAAGAGCAAGTTAACTGGACAGTTAGCTGTGGCCGGCCAAGCAAAACCTCAACATTGACCATGATGGTACCACCGCTCATGCACTGCAATCACCAACGCAGGTTCTTTGAAAGGGTGGTGGTCTAGCTGGACAGCAAGAATAAATTGATGTGAGCTCGCCAGAGTATTGTTTCAAGATGTTCTTATTCTCAACCAATACCAATACTTCTCTATCCCAGCTAGAGCACGAATCTATGTTCATCATGAATGCTGACAATGTTACCTTCAGCCCGTTTAACATGTACTCAAGCGATGCCACGGAGAAGACGGATGTCATCAATTTGGTTGTTAGCCAAGCACCTGCCGGGGCTGTACGTGCCACAGTCGTCTAAGTTGACGGCGGTTCTCATCGCAATCAAGCCACTGACACCAGCCTTTAGGAAAGGCTGGCACACTAGCCGAAACGATAAGCGGAATCACTGTACCGTTGATTACTACGACGCCGCTGGTGCCAAGATCAGCCGGAATCATGTTGTTTGACCTGGCATGGGATGGTGTGACCAGGGCTTGGATACAAGGACCCGGAACGAAGGGCTCAATTCTATCTCACCGCTCTCTTTGGCATCAAGGACGCTTGGTTTTCTTTGTGCTATTTGTAACAAAAAGGTCTTATGTACCTAGCATGCAAGGAGCGGTGAGATCTGCGGCCTGACTGGCTTGTGGCCCTCCTCGTGCAACTATCGTTGGGATCGAGAGTCGGCCGGTGCTGTGATAGTGATATGATATGTCCAATGTGACAGATGGTCGAGTGAGAGCGATAGCTCCGACTTTGGGTCCATGAAGCTTGCTCCACGCAGGTTGGGGAGAGGCGCTGGGCTGGATTGCTTACTTGTTTATTGCGCTGGGGCTCCTAGTCAGAGAATCTCCTGATTACGAGTACAATCATTGATGGGTTTGCGGGATATGACTTGGCCAAAACGCCTTTCCATAGACGGGCCTTGCCATTTCCATGGTGCAGAGAACCTGGTCGATAACTTGTGGAAACCAAAAGTTACCAAACGATCCGGACATTTTACAGGTACAGCTTACAGTCTTTGGTACTAAAGGTCCTTTGTTTTCCTGAAGGCCTAGTCGACAAAGAGCTCTATTTATACAAGAAGTGGTGCGAGCCTTCTGCCCTAGGTCTTGGGACCGTAGCCCTCGTGTAATTGTGACATTTAAATTCACTTCCAGTATGGCGACTTTGAAGCCTGTCTCGGGGGTGGCACAGCGAGTCGCAAAAGACGGAATCTTGATCATCTCTGACACATTATACAAGAATTATGGCATGAATAATTACTGGTCTCCGATTGCAGGCCTCGCTAATCGGAGTTAAAGCGCCAAGAGGATCACGAAATCGTTGGGAGGCGGCCTCTGCGACATCCTCAGAAACATTCACAAACTGTCTATTAAGGGCACTATTTAACCCTATTTCAAGGAACCCCATGCATTCCTTGCAGCACTATCCCAGACGCTTTACGTAACTACGTATAAATCCCGATAGGTTTCTTGCCGTGCGTCGCGGAGTCGCCGACAGATGGTACAACAGTCGTACAAGACGAGTCCCAACAATCATGAATGCGCCGACAGTATGCCCGGTTTTTCTCCGATGAATACAGATGCAGCCTGCTTACGTGGCTGTTTGGCTGGTGGCGGCGGCTCAAGAGTCAAGAGTCAAGACGTGGAGCTATCTCCGAAACTGTCTATCGCCGAAAGCTTGCGTACACAAGTTCCTCCCATTGCCATGGCCACGATTCAGCCTCGATTGAATTTCAAGGCCATTCCCCGAATTTTATGACACGCTTTGACCGTCCGCCGCAATCTGACAAAGTTTAACGGTTACACTGCATCGGGGCATGACAACAGTCCCTCCCGACATGTAAACCATGTGAACGGATTTTAAATATAAAAATGCCGTGTCTTCTCCGCAAAGGACGACAATAATAGATGATTTAATCAAAAATCAGCCTACTCCTTGATACAAAGCTTACATTTCCTCCGTCACCATGGTCTCCCACGGCAATTATAAGGTGCAGAAGGTCACCTACCCATCCAACGGGGAGACAATCGCCGGCATTCTCTACAAGCCAACCAATGTCAGCAACCCCCCCGGCGTCGTCCTTCTCGGGCCGTATTCCTTCATCAAAGAGCAGGCGCCCTTGCAGTACGCCACACGACTTGCCGACGAGGGCTACGCCGCCCTGATCTTCGACCCTCGGACCGTCGGCGAGAGCACCGGACAGCCGCGCCGGCTGGAGAATCCCAAAATGAAAAACGAAGACGTGGTAGCCGGACTGGACTATCTCCAAAGCCTGCCAGACGTTGACAGCAACCGACTGTTCCTGGTCGGCATCTGCCAGGGCGGCCCGGAATGCCTCGACATTGCCTCCTACGACCAGCGAGTTCGCGGCGTCGCCTCCGTAACAGGCTACTACCGGGACCGCGAAACCGACATTTGGATGATTTGCTCGGGCTGTGTCAACCCCGAGCCCGGCGTAGACGTGGGCTCGATGAAGATGCCCACCCAGGAACAGGGCGAGGCCCTCTACAAGGCCAGGCTGGAACGGGCCCGGAAAGCCCGCGAGTTGTACGACAAGACGGGCGAGGTCGTGTACCAGCCGCTGGTCGACCCGAAGGCCGCCGATCCGGAGGTCGGTTCGCTCGCTGGGCTGCCGGGCCCGGTTGCCTGGTCGTGGTACGGCCCGTGGACTCTCAAGAACTTTGACAACCGGTACGCCGTCATGAGTGACGTCGATCACTTTGGCTATAGTACCGTGGACGGGGTGGCCAAGCTCACAAAGCCTGCGTTGATTATTCACGGAGATAACTGCATGAACGCGGCGTCTGCGAAGCGCCACTATGACTCTATCCCCACGAAGAACAAGAAGCTCGTTTGGGACAATGGCGTGTCTCATTTCCAGCATTATGAGCAGCCGGACATTGTCGATCACAATGTGGCGGAAATTGCGGCCTGGTTTGCTGGCGTGAACTGATGGATATGGTTGGGGAGTGCACGTCCACAGAGGCTTTCCCAGTGGTAATTACCAGACAGATCACGGCGCAGTGAATATTTGTGCAGATATGCCATGGCAATGTATGCTAAAGTTGAGAGATATCGAGATAACTGCATTTACGCGGTCAAGATTTCTACTTATCGCTGGTGTATGCGGCTACTTGCACAGTCAAAAATTACGGCCATGTTGTCAATTGGATTATACGTCAGTCCGTTGCTTGAGATGTCATCATTTCTTGTAGTCTGTGAGGGTTGGCGCCGCCCCGATCGACCAACCCTTCATAGATCGATCATCTTGACCTCAGTCTCTTCTTCAACTGATGCTTGTTTATCCCTTACAGTCTGCTTACTATCTTGGCTTTACATTCCGTGAATCCCAAACAACTCGGGTCCTCCCATTTCGCCGCCCGGTTCATGCGCTCCATCAATGCATTAGCGGTTATGGCGGGCCGGTATTCGCTGAATGGTCCCGGGCGTACAGCTTATAGCTTATGTCGTCTCGGCCAAAATGGACAGTACAGAGAGACCAAGACCAATTCGACACGCGTAGCTCTCTGGAAGAGTGAGTCAAGCTTGGTGCCACGATTCAGGGAGCCTCCAGTTCTGTCATATATTTTTCAGCCCTCTTCCAAGGCACCGAAGAACTCCTCCGAGTTGCTGCCACGCCAGTCTCGCAGCGCATACAACAGGTAGCGGAAGTCTTTCTACCAGGATGGCCACTTCGTAGCCCGGCGCGGCACGAGCCGCGTCTTTCAGTAGCCTTGGGATGGAGGGAGCGCCTTGCCTGTTCGTAATTAAATCGACGGGGCCGGCTGCCACCAAAGGATCAGAGGCAATGGAAAGCCATATGCAGCCTGTTTGTCAGTTTTACAGCGACGTAACATGCACTCGGCCATTCTCCTTCTTTGTGATGGTCATTTTGTGAATGCCAAATAGAGTATTGGCGGGACTGCGCGCAAATGAGACTGCCTGGCCGCTAAAGCAATGTGTCCGACCGTCTCCTCGTCTTCCTCCCATCCGATCATGTCACCTTCGTTCCGAACAGTCGCCAAGAAGTAGGAGCTATTGGGAAGAGTTGGCGAGGGTGCGCTGTTGAAGAACGGGGGGTAGCACACCTTATTAAAAGGGTGAGATCCGTCCAAACATCATTCTCCCCTTCAAAGCTCTCAAAGACAAACAGCTGACGACCACTGAGGTCCCGAGGAATGACAAGTTTTGGCCCTTGGTGCTGAACCAGTACGCAAGGGTACAGCAGACGAGACGCCAAGATCTCCGTCTCCCATCGCAGAAAGTTGTAGACGGCTACCTCGAAACAAACCTCCTCGGCCTGTATCTCGATAGTTAACCCGTCGAAATCTGGCATGTTGACATGGCCGCGAGCTAGACGAGCAGCCATGTCGGGCATGTTGGAAGTTTTGACATGGAAATACTAAGCATGGTTAGCAAAATCGGGGTCATTAAGACACATGGCAGCAATGGAAGAAGCTGACACTGTTGTTGGGCCCCTTGGTGATTATGGGAATGATTCCCCCTATCTCGCGGATGAGTCGCCCAACGTCCCAGACGCCCTCAAATGGACTGTGGCCACTGCGAACTAGATTCAGAAGATTCCTGCCATGCATTGCTTGCCGCTGGGCGTGGAAGACCACTAGTCTCGCCAATACATTGTGATATGTCTTGATAATCTTGATTGACTTGTATGTAGTGCGGCTGCGTACAAGCTACGAGGTGCGCTGCCCTAATGCGAATGGGGGTATCGCGATGGTTTTGCCCGTGCACTGCGTTGAACAACTACGCAACTCTATAGCCGTGAGATGCTTGCAAAGCACCAGACTGCAATTAACCGTGTCATCGGAGATACCACCACCCGTGCTGGCCGCCTTGCCCCCGTTGCGGTAGCCAGCGGAAGCTTGAAACTAGCCAGGTGTTTGTTTGCGGTTGGAGGAACTAGTTTTTGCATTGCTCATGATGAACCGCATCGGCGTTGGTCCTGCACTTGTACTTTGCGCCATCGCGTTATAGCTTGCCGTGTTTCGTCATACAGTGGGCGCATTCTGGACGTTGGAGAAAAGAGGCCAAGAACGAGTCCGTGGATTGAGACCTGATACGGCTATTACATGAGAAAGTGATGGCGCAAATGTGTGTACATTCTGTACCCTGCGAAAAGAGATGAGCATGAATTCTAACCATGCATGACACGAACGCCCATGACGCATCACCAGTTGTCGTGGACAGGATGGAAATTCCGAATTCACCTCACGTGGACGCCTTGGAGGGATGCAAAATTCAGAGGTTGAGGCAATCGACGCCCAAAATCCTGACAGCCGACTCCCGACACTGGCGTCCCGCTTTTCACCAATCAAATCCCTACCTCGCCCTTCGTTCCTTCTGAATCCAGCTGCACCACCTTGTCCACCAGAGACTTGGCATTTTCGCACCCCAGCCAAAATCTCCACAGCTGCACTCCTTCAATCCAATACCACAGCTTGCACGACCAGGAAATTTGCTCAAATACTCTCAGCATCACCTCATAACAGCCGACGACCCAAGCCCAACGGCTGGTCGCATCTCTCCCCACAAGACCAAACAAAACGAAACCATGAAGCACAGGCCTTCCCGGTCTGCCAGAAGCGCAGATTGCGCTAGTTTACACACGACTCACCACTCCCGACTCAAGGTTTCACCAAGGCCCGGCGAGTCAATAAAGTTCCGTGGCCGGGGCAGCACCGAAGCATCGTCAGACACGACTCTGTGGTCCGTTACTCGTACACAGGAGATATTTTTGGCCCATGAGCCTTGCCTTACCTGCTGCTATAAGATCGGCCGGGCCTGCCTCTGCCTTGGGCTGGGAAACCTGACCCCTCTTAGTCTCGCTCTCTACACGCCCACACCATCATAGACCCAGCCTCACAACACCATACATACATTGAGCACCATCGCAACGCACATTCACAATGGATATGGATCATTCTACCATGCACATGGGCATGACTGGCACCCCGACCGCCATGTCCATGCCAACCTCAACTGCCGACAGCCACAGCCACGGCCACGACATGGAGGGCATGGGCAACGGATGCAAGATTTCCGTACGACTCAACCCCCTCCTCCCAAAATCCCCATCCGGCGAGACCACAGTCCAGTGACTAACATGGAATCCCTCAGATGCTCTTCAACCTCAACACCGTCGGCTCATGCTTCCTCTCGTCCGAATGGCAAATCACATCCACCGGCATGTTCGCCGGCTCCTGCATCGGCGTCTTCCTCCTCGGCATGGTCCTCGAGTTCCTCCGCCGCTCCATCAAGGAATACGACAGATTTCTCGTCCGCCAGCACGTATCCAAGTTCCAGTCCTCGGCTAGCCCTGCCGCCGCAGCAGCCACCGGTTCCGTCGGCAGCAAGGAGGGCGCGGCCATCACCTCGTGCGCCGTGGTCCCTCCGTTTCGACCAAACGTGTTGCAGCAGGGCATCCGGGCGTTTTTGCACCTGCTAGCCTTTGTCGTTGCCTACATTCTGATGCTGGTACGTTGTCCTTGCATGCGTGTGTGCGTGCGTGTGTGTCTGTGTGTGTGTTGGGGGGGGGGCGGGGGGGGGTCATCCTGCTCGAAAATGCTTTGCAAAATGCTAACCAAACCACAGTTGGCCATGTACTACAACGGCTACATCATCCTGTGCATCTTCCTCGGCTCATTCTTCGGCGCCTTCATCTTCCAGTGGGAAACTCTTCCCCTCGGGTACGTCCTCTCCTCCTCTACACAATCTGCAGTGCATGCACTCCGTCACTTCCCATGACTTACGCCAAACTCGGCAGCGGTCAACAAACGAGCGCCGCCCAGGAAGCCACCGTCTGCTGCGGGTAATTGCTCAACAAGGCATTTTTGGCAAAGAAAACCTCTCAGGACGACTTGCTTCGCGAACAGGAGAACCCCGCCATCGTCCCTAGTCTACAACAACAACAACAAACAGTACATGTAATACGACGTAACAGAACCAGAAGATATCCAATGTTTGAATGCCGCAGCATTATGGAAATACGCAGTACGAATGATTTAGAAGCGCATGCCCGAGATGGTAGATATATGTAGCTCTGGAGCACTACAAGTGCAGAGCAGGCGATGGACGTTGCATTCTCAACGCTGCTTATACCCCCAAGACGCAATAGTTGCCTCGTCATTATGCTTCAAATATATAGTTGCAGAATCCAAATTAGTCCACTTCAGTAGAAAATTATATCAAGAGTAAATTAACAGCTATGCCATTCTTCTACGGAAAATACAAAACTCATTCATTGTATGATCCAAACGCCAGTATGCCTCTGCCAAAATGAAATCGCAACCGCGTCGTCCAACACAGCCCTGTGCAAAAGACGGCTGGATCAAGGAGAAGAGAGAGAAACAAGGAAAAATCTACATAGTTAAGGATGATGTTCTTGTTGAACACGGGCTTATCGCCATGCCGTAGCTCCTCTGGTCTCCTGGCGTCGATGAGAGGCAGGCGTCGACCCGACACTAATAGTAACGCGACGTGGTGCCTCTTTCAAGCCGTCTCGCGGGCTACTTGCTGTACTCTCCAGTCGGACACTCCCTCCTAGGTTCATCCGCCTAGCCTGGCCAGCGGTCAGGTTTCGGTCGCCTTTAAACTCGGGCGGTGAGCAGGTGAGCGGAGGGCTCTTCCGTCGTTCCAGGCTACCACGACGAGCCCTCGAGATGCCATTTGTGCTGCTGGCCAACGCCGACGGCATGCTAGGGCGTGGCATAGCTCGTTCGGGGATGGTGGATATCGACGAGACGCGTCTTCCATTAGCAGCGACTACTCCGCCCAAGGCACTCGGCCTGCGAGCTTTGGCTGATTGTATGGCACTCCGCAGCTTGCGAACATCAATCATGCTCGACTCAGAGTCTGAGCCGGAGCTAGGTGTCCCTTGGATCGGGGGATTATTCTCGTCCACAATGCCCCTCAACGATGTCGGCTGCGGGGGACTTAACCTGCTGCGATGGGCGGCTGGCAATGACGGCGGCGACAAGTTGCCCGTCTTAGAGACATCCAGTGTTCGCAGCGGCGACAACCTGCCAGAGTTGGGGGAGCTGGACGACACGCTTCGGCTGAGCATTGGGGCTTGTAGCAATGGTGAGCCTTGTGGCTGCACTGACATTCGGGTCTTTGATAGAAAACCAGCCTGGAATCGCCCCGGCTTGGAAGCTGGTGTGGCCGCCTGTTCCTCCTCTGGCGCCTCAATCCTGGGGCTCGATGTTTCGCGGTTTTGTTCATCCTCGACAAGATAGGTTGGTTGCGGTGGCGGAATTGGGGTCCTCTCTGCTGACGACTGATCAGGGGTTGCGTCCATCTGCTGCGGTGTGTTTGCAAAATCGGCCAGAGTTCCGTCTTCGCTTTCGTCATCTCTCCATCGGACACTCCTGGGCTTGGATTTTTTGACTGGTGTGAAGCTGATTCCCTTCTTCGCCGTGCCAAGCACCTTACGTCTTCTTGGCGACGATTTCATCGGGCTAGCAAACACATGCTCGCTCTGAACAGCAGCAAGCGCTAGAGGAGCAATGGGTTTGACGTACGCCCCAAGGCTCTTCTTCCGCTTCGGTGTGCCTTTCCGAGTTGGCGGGAAGATTTCTAGCACGGGAAGAGAACCGTCAGGTTTCACCACCTGCCCCGCAGCAGTATATCCCGTGTCGAGAAGTTTGTGGATAATCTGTTTCGCCTGAGCGACAGCGCTCTCCTCATCCATGGCCAGAGTATCGGAAAGCGACGCTAGCATCTCGAACTGGGCAGTAAGAAGCATTTGCATCATGGCTGCATCGCCGAGCTTTTCTTGCTCGAGGACTTCACGGTAGGCTTCTCGACCAAAGTTGGCTTTGAGGAGCTCTGCCTCCCGGGTCAACGTAGCATGTTCGCCGCTGTCGATGCCCTCTAGGCCTTCGAGTTGTTGCAGACTGTGGGAAAGTGCGGTATCGATTGCCCGCTCCCACGTTGCCTTTTCAAGCTTCTGGTGAATATGTTGGCGACTGTTTTCAAGCTCCACCTGAATGCCTTGAGCAGTCTTTCGAATAGAAATCAAGTTCTGGGGCATAGAGTCGTTATCTGCCCTCTGCTCGCAAACGGTATCAAACGCAGCAATCCAACCGGTCAACATGGCAATTCGTCTCTCAAAGGCTTTGAGCTTCTTCATAGTAGCAATGCGCTCCTGGCGCTCCGCAGCGGAGTGGTCGTAAGCTGCGCGAAGGCGCAACACACCTTCTCGAGCGACGCCATCTCGCTTATCGCATTGCTTGCGGAATTTGGCAAAGAACAACTGTTCCGCATCCTTCTGCTGCGCTTTGAGCTCATTGATGAGAGCCATCTGTTCATCAATCTTAACCAAGAAGTCCTTGACGTGGCGATTGACGTTGAAGACGTTGCGAGTAACCTTGGTTTGGATGTTCTTGGCCCTGTTTGCATAGCGCAGTGTATTCTGCGTCTCATCGAAGTGGGCACTAGAAGGGGATACGCACACAATCATGACTGTCTTGCAGTTTCCGCCTAGCGAAAACTTTAGCAGTCGAGTGAGCTTACTGTTACGATAGGGGACATGGGCGCGCTGGCGCTTGTCGCAAAGCGCATTGATGCAACTGCCCAATGCCAGGAGAGATTTGTTGATATTGGCGCCTTCGGTCAGGCGCACGCCGCGGTTTTTCGTCACCGATGCACGCTCAGATCCGGCCAAGTCGATGATGCTGAGGGTGGCCATGGTATGCGGTTCATTGACGTCGGCGTTTCTGTCCTTTTGAGATATATTAATTTGCAATACCGCGTGCGACCGAGACGACGTGGCGTTTGCTTCTGTTGGCGACACGGTTCGATACTCGTTGCCTTGGATAATCATGTCCATGACTTCTTGGACATTCTTGGGGTGATGGCTTGTTAGACCGAAGACCGTTACAGCTTGGTTGCTGTCTTCCCTGAGCATCAGACCACCTTGGCTTCCACCAGGGACCAAAAGATCCCGAATTGTTTCATTGTATATTTCGAGGTAACTCAAGCTAAGCTCTGTCGACTTTTCCTGGCTTCGCTCGTCGATTTTCTCGAACAGCTCCTGCATGGTCAGGAAGATAATACCCGGATGTTGAGCGGTGCCAGTGATGGTATGTGTCTTTCCGCAGCCGGTAGCGCCGTAAGCGAAAACAGTGGCGTTGTAGCCGTCAAGGACACTGTCTAATAGGTTCTTGGTTGTCCCTTCATAGACATCGGACTGGGTAGTGTTTTCGTCGAAAACGCGATCGAACGCAAAGACTTGGTCTTTGACCTTTTTGGACGTGGGGACGACGGATCTGGAGAATCGTTGCACGGGGTTGTCCTCTGGGGGGTCGAAAACACTTTTGCTGAGGATTAGCATAGGCATAGTGGTGCAATGAGGGAATGATGCCACATACAGACAGCGGTCATCTACGACCTTGATCACGCTGCGTAGACCTCGCTGGTGCAGCTTGGGGGCTGGGCCTGCGAGGGAGCCATCCCCGAGGAAGACGGGGCTGTCATCGGTTTTTTGTCTGATGCTTCGTCAGTGCCTCTGGTCACGGTCTACAAACGATTGCGGTTGTCGTCGGCGCAACATACAGTTGGGCTGCCTCCCTGATTGTGAATGGCCGTACGCGAACTATGACTGCGTTAGTTCCTTGCTGATGGTGATGATTGCAAGTAGCTCTCGCGCGTCTTGCACGACGTGTTCTCGTACCAGCAACAGTGATGGATGATTGTCCCGCAGCCGCCATATTGCAGAGCTTCGGGGACTGATGCTTGTCTTTGGTGAGGTGTGCTTCGTCTATCGCGTGCACGTCACCGGTGCGTGGACAGATGGCCCCTTATGAAAGAATCTCGGTAAAGGGGTATATATTCACGACGGGCGTTTGAGCGGGCCGTCTGGTACAGCGTGGATTCGTGAACGGTATGGGTAAACACATTCGTTTCAGAACCAGTAATCCCGGAAATCGACAAGAACCCAAAAAAAAAAAAAAATCTCCCAGCGGGTATCACTTGATATGGCCAATGGTGTCGTCCAAACAAAAATTCTAATGGTCAGAAGAATGTTCAAAACGCAAACAAACATGTGCAGAAGGGGATGGAGGTGACGAGGTCGAGTTGAAGAGCAAGAGAAGCAAGAGCGTGATTGTATCGCATTGCACGGGACGAGTGCACGAATGCACGAATGCAAGCACCCACTTGGTGACGTCTATTCGTTTGTTGTTCGACCCTTGCCAGCTGCTGCCGCTGCGCGGGTGGCTGAGGATAAATATGGTTGCTGTGGTGACAGTAGTGCAACGACCAAGGGGCAGAATAGCGAAAATAAGCCAATCAATGCGAGCAGTGGGCAGGACCCGCTTCTACAATACTGGCACTTGGTTACTCAACGTACGATCCACCGGGCCCACATTAGCCTGGAGTCTCGTGGAGACACGTCTTTGGGGTGCATAATCCCTACCCTACATACAATTCTGAACTGGTGGGATTTTTGAAATGGCTATTGTCCGCGGAAGACAGTTTGAAAGACGGGCAATTGGATATCGCGGTTTGAGTGGGTTTGATTGCAGGGCCATCGTCATAAGATCGGAAGTCGCGATGTCATGATGTAACGTTTTTACCTGCCGCCTACTAGGTACTTACGGAGTACACGAGGCAAGTTCCCTGTTGAGTAAGCCAAAAAGAAGCAGCCCAGGCTAGTCCAGATATAAAATACCCCGAGGCCTGCAAACCACAGCCTCACATTCCATGTCGTCATCGCGGCCAGCCGACGCGGAAGCAACAACGGTCAACGAAACTCAATGGACGTCCATGGCCAACCATTCTGTGTCTCTAGCGCACTTTGCAGACTCTGCCAGTTTTGGTTTCGCGATGGAGAGTCCGTCACCGCAGGTATGTTGGGTGTCCCCGTCCGCGCAGTTGAGTCGCATGTGTCTCACGGTGCGAATTGTCAGACCTAAGAGACACCAAGGCCAGAAATCTGGTTTCTTTTCCGTTCGCGCAGAATGGGACACATGTAGATGGGCATGTGACGATTCACATCGCCTGCACCAAGCGAGGCTGCTGGTGCCAGCCGGGGATCCTTTGCTTCCACACCTCGTGCTACGCCTTCTACTCGGCCAAGTTTGGCCAGACATCGCATCTACTCGTGGATTCCATGTATAGCGACTACACTCCAGCCTTTTCTCTGCAACGAAAACGAACAGCATACATCCTGAATCTCCTGGAGCGTCGAACGACATCAGGCGCATTAGCCACACTTCCACCAGAGCTGCGTCGCCTGGTTGCGCGGGACCTTGTTCGGGAGTACGCCGTGGTCAATTTGCATCACCTGGTGCATACTGCGCCGACTGTTCCCAACACCGTCACCATTGACCTTGAGCAGGACGTGTATGCGTCCTATGTACGCATTGAGGGTAGCACCTATGTCCAGTCTCTTCACAACAAGGCGCCCCAGGGAGCCCGTCTGGACTGCAAGCATATCCATTCCCCGCACCCGGGCCAGATCGTACGCAAGATATTCTTGGAGTATGATCACCTGGGCATCCGAGGGGTTCACGTGTGCGCTCCCAGAAGTGATTCTCAGCAGACGGCTGACAACGTATGGTGGGTGGAGCTTCGACGCCAGCAGGGACTTCGACATATCCTGGCTGTATCTGATGTGAGTTTGCCACCATGGAGAGGACGGACAGGCTTACCAACACGCATTCAGGGGTTGAAGGTCAGGGGCATCATGGATGGGATGGAACAAGATGCAACAGATGGTTCCATCCGCGGCCCTGCTTGGCCGGAGCCAGCCACGGAATGCAAAGTGATAGACCTCGAAGGACTCAAAATTTCCACCTTTCCGCCCCGAGGATTGAGAATGAGCCATGTCGAATTCAATGCGCCACATGTCCAGGGGTATTTTATTGCTATTTTCCGACGCCAGGTCATAAAGTTGCAGGCACACCGCCAAACAGCAAGCCGGCATTTCTACCATGATGCAGACATTATTTGCAAGGATCTAACGTGGATATACATGCCTGTAGATCCGGGAGAATACGTCAAAGAGATTGGGATTCTGCGGTGCACACTTCGGCCGCCAAGCCAGCTGCATTGGCCTACAACGTTGATGGTGAGGCAATGCGTGTGCGATGTCGCAACATGAAGAGACAAAGTTAATAACTCAATATAGCTCGTCACTAACCGCGGCCGAGCATCGATTTTGGGAAAGATCCCCAGTCCTCGGCATACCTATTCCCGAGTCCATGAGATTGGAACTTCACCCTCAAAAGTATACGTTAACGAGGTAGACAGCGTACGAGACGGGCAGCGAGTTAGGTACGTAGGGGTGCAGGCCACGATTCCAAGCTGCTGGGAAAAATCGACCAACTCAAAGTTTTGGATGCCAAACTCTATCCCCCATCGATTTGGTCAAACGCATCTTTACTCGTGCTGTCGACTGGAGAATGTTGCCGCAGTAACGCCATGCCGTGGTAAGCGTCTTCGACACCAACCCATCATAGGCATGTTGCTCCAATACCATGACGGAACTCGTGCCTGTGTCGGTCAGTATCGATTGGACTGGACACTGGACACTGTAGCCATACGACCAGAGCTGCCAATGTGGCTTAGGCAAGGAGAGATAGAACGCGACAAGAAATATGTCAGTGAGGTTCGACTCAACGGACGGCAAGTCGTTGACGGCGCGCAATCATGGCAAGAGATTCCTTGGCATGGCAAGTTGGAGTGGTGGTACTTGCGACAGGAGGCTAGGGTGATTCATGTCGCGTCAGAGCCCGAATAACCAGATACGGGAGGCTCGCCACAAGCTTGTGCCCCAATTCTACACGGATATACGACAGCAGTCACTTGAACAACAAAAAGGGGTGCTTTGCCACTGTTCCGCGGAATTCCATGAATTTATTCGTTTGTTTCTGCGTCAACCTGGACCGCCCAAGACGTTCCAACGCTCTACTCCAAATGGCCGTTTGTACGTGCCACGAGATGGTCCAAAAGACGCTCCCGTGCATCCCTCACGTTTCTGGCCCCGTTCCTGGCCAGTTCAAAGAAGAACATCAACAGATCTGCCTTTTCTGAATCAACATCGATGTACTGCCCCAAATTTGCGACACTGGGGCTCCCATAGAGAGAAGTGAGCTGGTCAGCACCGTCTTCGTACAGCCATACCCGAAACGAAACTCCCACGACGGTGAGGACGAAAACAGATGGCAAGCCACTCGTTTCCAGACACGATTTTGCCGACTCGACGGCTTGTCTTTCCAGACCCTCGACAGTACCACCACGTACCCTGCATTCCACCCACAGCAACGGGGTCATTGTGTTTCTGGCGGCATCGTATCGGCTGACGACAAGGGTATCGCGCGGCGGTCTATCGGCTGGTGGGATATCGCATATCACAGAGTGTACTCCTGGGCTTGGGAACCGCTCATGTAGTAGGTTTTGCCAGAGAGAGAATGCGTGGCGGTCAGGATCTTGAGATGCTTGCCGGAACATGTGCCGGAGAAGCGGCGTCGAGATGGGGCCCATGAGGAAAGTCGTGTACCCAGGTAGGCTTGAGGTTTTGTATCGGAGTTGCCGGTGATTGAAGTTTCCAGACGAGTTCAATTATGTCTTTGCAGGAAGGAGAAGCGCGAAGGGGGAGGCGGAAGCCGAGGCAGCGTTGGCTGCGATGCCGCCACCCAATCGCACAATGGGGTTGGTGCCTAACGACAGGCTGAGCACGGCAAAGGCTCATCTATCAAAAGTATCTTGTACATGGATCAAATTCCGGAACGAAGCGACGGCTCGTAGTCATTGGAGGAGGAAATCGTCTGGAACATACACCGGGTAGCTGCTGAGCGGCTTACGAGGTGATTCATGTCTACTATATTGTATGCATATCGCTCTTGGCAAATACCCAGGTACGCAGCTATACATTACTCGAGCCCATGGCAGTGAATGCGAATGTGACGAAGATGACATGTAGTAGGTGAACAAACGAGGTGTTGGTCTACTTGCCCAAATCATTTGTCATGCTGGCCAAAAAAAAAAAGAAAAAACCTGGCACAATATATACCGGGTCATGAAGCCCCCAACTGCCATGGCCAACATTGAAGCTACAAATGGGCAGTCTCCCCCCTCGAAGCAACAACCTCGTCTAGCCACGACTGCAACCTGTCGCCCTGCCCCGTGGGCGCACTAGAGTGAAAGTTGAGGTTGACAAAGGGCGCGATGTGCGCCTCCCGCTCGGCGACGTAAAACTCGACGGGGCCGTAGCCAGCCTAGGTCAGTAGTACAGTACGTCAGCCCGGTTCGCCAGACGCCCCGACGCAGCACACACACACATACCTCGAGGGTCTTGACAAAGGAGTCAATGCTCGGCAGCAGGATCTCGTTGCCGCCCGCCAAGACCAGTATCCTGCCCACGGGCAGGCCGCGGAACCACTCGGCGGGCGCGCTCGACGCGTCAGTGTAGTAGTCCGGGGCCCGATCACCCATGTACTTCGCAGCCCAGTATTCGAGGGCCCGGCGGTCGAGGATGTCCGCGCCGTTGTAGCCGGCCAGCCGGGCGTTTGTCGCCCCCCCGTCCAGGGCGGTCCAGGGGGCCATCATGACGGCGGCGGCGAGGGGCCCGGGCAGCGGCAGGGCGTCGATCTCGGGGTGGCGGTGCACCAGGTGCGCCAGCACGCCGGCGACGAGATTCCCGCCGGCCGAGTCACCGCCGAGGAGGACGCGCGAGGGCGGTCGGGCGGCGACGACGGACCGCAGGGCCTCGACCGCCTGCCGCAGCTGCGCGGGGTACGTGGCCGCCGGGGCGAGGCCGTAGGCGACGAAGAAGACGGCCAGGCCGGGGCGCGTGCGGACGAGGCGCATGAAGAAGGCGAGGTGGCCGTTGAGCGCGGGCAGGTTGAAGCCGCCGCCGTGGTACCAGACGAGGACGGCGCCGGCGTCCGGATCGCCGATCCAGAGGCCCTTGGCGCCGTGGCGGAGCTCGACGGTGCGCGGGGCCAGCTTGAAGGACGCCGCCTGCTGCTTGTACACGGCGTCGGTGGACGGGAACACCCATCTGGGAATAGGTGTCAGTGGTTAGCCGGGTCGGCATGGAGCGGGTGGGAGGTTCTCGGGGGGGGGGCGTACTGCTGCTGCGGCGAGGACAGCCGGACAATCAGCTTGCGCACGGCGGCGTACACGACGTGCAGGTACAGCGAGGGCTCATCGTTGGGCCCGCGCCGCCATCCTGTCAGCAGCGCGGAGAGGGTGGTGAAGACGAGGGATCCTAGTGCCGGGAGCAGGTCGAGTTTCTCTCTGAGCGTGGGCGTGGCGGCTGCGGAGGGGGCCATGGTGTTTTTGGCATGTATATTTTCTAGTACTAGTGCGCGGTAGTATTATTCAGCGTCGAGGTGGGCATTACTGGCGTTGGAGAATGCTTATTTTCGAATGGGCGGGCTGGCTGTGAATAAATGTCGACTGGGAGCAAGACGGGCGAGGGTGACATGTTGCCGAGGTTTCTCGACGGGCAGCGGCGAGGGGTTGGGCGGATTGGCTACGTGCGGGGTAGGACGAGGGAGTGTGTAGCCATGTTCTGCGAGCAGACTAGACGGGCCAGGCACATTTATTTCGATTTTGTCTCATGAGGTGAGACACGGCAACGGCAACACGGCTGCATCGATGAGCAGACGTGGATGCATCCCGGCCCGGGCGGGGCCACAAGCAGCGTGTACACTATACTACATACTCGGTAAATGGTCAATACTATATTCCATTCGCTGCGCAAGAAATATATTGATATGGCCTGGGGAAAATAGAACAAGAAGGAAAAGGAGGCCAAGAGAAGAAGAAAAATAAAACCAGCACTCCCCGTCTGAAACAAACCACCCACCAGACTCCAATACATGCCCCTTTGGCGCCGTTCATCTCAGACCCCTGAAACAACACCAGCCCGATGCCGTCCCGTCACGACTTCACCGCCTTCGTCCAGCACGCCTCGGCCTCCGGCGCCTCGGCCAGTCTCGCCATCTCCACGGCGTCGGGGCTGCCGGCGCCGTCCCACAGCGCGCTCGCCTCGACCGCGAGGTGCGGGTGCCTCAGCGTGTCCCAGCGGCGAGCACCCAGCCCTCGTGGGCATCTGCCCCGGACACGACCTTGGCATCGGTTGACACGTCGTGAGGCGGTGGAAGTGACTCGCGGCGGCTTGCCACGGGGACATGTGAATGTGTCGGTTGGCGATTGACTGATGCGAAATGTCAATTGGTTGGAGGAAACGTCCATCATGTAAACAGGTTAGGCGAATTGTGCTTGTAAAGATGTTCTCAACTTGAATCCCGAGACACGATCCAGACATCAGCCACTGGCCGAACACACATGTATCAATGATCCTAAATAGTATTGGCTCTAGTCTCTGGGTCTCGCACTGCAGACAGAAATTATAAAAATATTCGTGGATAGATATAAGAAAAGTCAAGTACGGCAACATTTTGCAATTACAACTGTCCTGCTGGTTACATACAGCCTGGCGCCATGGCCACCAGGGATCATGTCGCTACACCAAGTCAACCATGTAATCGCCTACACACGCTTCCATATTGACCACCGGGCCCTCATGCATCTCGACACCCAGGCAAGACCATCGAGTCACAAGGGCAGAACACCAGCATGTTTGTATATAAATACTGTATATTTTGCATCCCACTCGTCTTCAGCAACACATGTTCGCGCAACCAGCATCCGTTGCAGCCTGGAAGCCCACTCCATGAGTCTGATCTATCTACTATACAGAACTGCTTTATCCAATTGCCTCGGCACGACTTGTACCTTCCTGCCCTGTTGCAAAGCGACCACATGGGCAACCTTTCTCTCCTCTCCGTCTATTCACAGCACCCATTCTTCATGGACCCCGTGCAGCCGCCCCAGACCTGACGTGTTGCCTCAGTGCCAGTTCACGCTGGGGTATATTGGCCTACAGTACGGAGTAGGACCCGTACGTCGGGGCAGGCTGAGTCGTGGAAGACTTCGTCACGGCCGGGGGCGCCCCGTAGCCTGGGGCCGTGTCGTGTGCGGCATCAGTCGTGGCGGCCTGCGTCGTCGAGGACTTGCTAGTGACGGGCTTGGCCGAGGTTTGCAGCGTAGTGAGGATGGAATAGACCGGAGCCTGAAAGGTGAGAGTCGGCTTGCTGAAGTGAGTCTCGAGGGACGGTGTGAGATATGCAGGGGCGCCGTATGTAGGCTGGACCTGCTGCGTCGTGGTGCTTGGCGTGTGTTGCACAGGGGGAGGATTCCCGTATCCATACGGATTCTTGTCCTCGGTGCGCTCCTCGAGCTGCTTGGGCTCTGCGAGCAGTCCCTTGGCCTGGCTGACAGCGCTGGCGATGGCGCCGCCGAAAGCTGTTGCCAAGGCGAGAACGGGTGTCAGTCTCATGGTGATGGGGGCTTGACGATATCGCGAGTGTAAAATAGGGTTGTAAAGTATAGAAGGGTAGAGTATGTGTCGACTGAGCAAGTTGCTTTGGGGCTGGATGAGTTGATGGAAATACGGCAGGATGGACTGATGTTTTTATACCTGTCTGTCCTGCGTAAGAATTGTCGTGTGTTGTTGTGAGCCGAATTGGTTTCCACTTCCGGCCATGATAAAACCGCGTGTTGGCACGGATGAGTGCAAATCAATGGCATACAATCTATGTATGGCTCCAGGGACCGTTTGCTACCGTCTCGAGCGACATCTGGGACGATTGTAGCGGATTGTTAAAGGCAATGGCGGCATGGTGCGCAATGTGCCCGGCAATGCGCACTCCTGGGCCGTAATGTCTTACTTTGTAAAACACGTCGTTTTTGGAACCCATTGTCAACCAGATTTGATAGGGTACTTTTAAAATTATGTTCTCCACTGTCTGTCTCATTTTGCACGTGCCAACGGGTTTATTATTAGGTTCTCGCTGTAAATGTTTTGGGTGGGAGTTGTTTGCGGTTTGCGATCTTCCTTTCCCTTTGTTACAGTTTAATTAAGCCGTCATCTCCGCGATCCGTGAGCGAATCGTGCCAACAGTTGTGTTATGGTGCCCAGATGGGCTGAAGAGTCTGGAACTTTTCGTGCCACCCTCTGCTGGAGCACAGGCGGTCGTGCAGGATGGGTGCCTGGATGATCAGCGCGGTGTGGCGGTCTGGTGTCTGGTGTCTGGTGTCTGGTTGAAGCTTGTTACAAGGAGAGACAAGAGTGCTAAAGACAGCAGAGGCGACATTCTCACATGAGTGGTATTGAGATGTGTAGAGGACGAAAAGACTGACGCCGAGAAAAGCCTCGAGACGTGGTATCGATCGCAAACCACTGGCTTCATCATGTTGGTTGTTGTGGCCTTGTACATCCATGTGAAAGCTGTTGGTTTTTATGTAGTGACTGTGACCATCGCATATTACTGCTACCAACGAACCATGCATGTTGGTTATGGTATGTAGATCAATAAGCGTCTGCTCGAGAAATGCCGTGTTTCTTTGTTCGTCACCTCGTTGCTCTAACCCGACACGGTACATGAGACCTCTACCGTTGTCGAGTGAAAATGCAGTTGTTTTGCCTATTTTTGGCGCATTTTTCGTTATTTTCATCCATTCTTTTGCAATTCACCTGTTTCAGAGGGTTTCCAAAGCACCGCGATCGAGATTTGGGAGGCCGAGGGTTTGATAATTGTCGCGAAATTGGGCCCCGGTCGAGCACACATGGTGGGAACTGGGCGTAGAGGCGTACTGCTTTGCCTCTTGCTTCTTTGCCTCGAGCTGTTATGGAGAACCACGGTATGAGTGAATGACTTGTGCATGAACTGACGAATGGAAATTGCGAGGTACATCCACGTGCCTGGTAAGAATCTGCTCTTGTCCAGTTTCATAACGTCCCTGGATGTATATTAATCTCTGGCCCAATGATGACCGATGTTGGTTTGATATCCAATATTGTGAGCGACTACAAAGTTTCTCCGAGGTCCAGCTGTAGCATTTAGAGCCATCTAACTTACCTGACTCTGACGTCTGGTTTAGGCAAACAGGTTGATTGACTTCCGCAGAGTTGAGCATGGCAGCGTCCGATACAGTAGGATCCGAAGCGTTTGGGGAGCATTTCAATTGGACAGCCTCTGCAGGACTGCTTTTGGCCTTTGGCATGAATATATGCCATAGCAAAAGGAGCTGAGCATGAGGGCCATGGCCAATACCTGAGGTCGACGCGTTTTCAGTCATGGGCAGTTTGCAAACGCGTACATAATCACTTCACTTGACATGTCAACGGTTAGTAAAGCCACATGCATCGACCCCCGTTGACAAACGCGGCTGGCAGGCTGGCAGGTGTTGACACTTGCAAGGACTATGAACTGTCGGAGGCCCCAACAAACAGAAATCGCAATGCGTCGAGGTATATTTTGACCGTGGAAAATGGTTGTCTTCTCCGACTGGCAGTTCTTTGCGCTTGCCTCAACTGTCACCACCAGACACATTCCCGTCTACAACCACAACGCAATCAAAGCTTTGCATAGGAGGTAGACGGCTACTACTCATTCAAGTCTGAATACCATCACTGCATGTTAGTTCCCACTAGAGGTACAGCCCTTCATCATCTACATTTTGTCCATCTAGTCACCTTTCTCATCCATCTTTTGTACAGCCCTTCCGAATCTTACCCCGAAAATGGATGACTTGGTGTCGGCAGCGCTAGACTGGATGATGCGCATGCCCCCTGAAGCCAGGGATTTGTTTTTCTCATCCGAAAAGTTCCAGCTGATTGCCCCTAACGCCAAGCTTTTCAGACCCGAAAAAGTCCCCGTCCATACTCTTCTTTTCCAGGAATGGTCACGAGCACTCGTCTATCTTCTTGCTGTCCCTGTCCCACAGCCTGATATCTTCCAAGTACCAAACGAACGCGGCAGTCAAGATGAGGCCCGTTTCTCTACTGCGATCCAAAGGGGAAGTCGCATCATGGGCCAAGCAGTAAAACCCATCAGTGGCCACGGTGCTACTATTCTTGACCTGCCCATGGAAATTATTCTACAAGTTTTTGAAGAAGTTGAATGCATGGAAGACCTTATTTGCCTTGGCCTAGCCAGACGATCTTTCTGGGCTATTGCTCGGCGACGCCTCCACGATTACTACATGTCGCTCTGGGGTAAATGGGCTGACGAGAATATTGTTTATGTTGGAGAGTACACGCAGCCAGGGGATGTCCCCCCTGGATTGTTTTCGGAGGAAGAGATAGATGAGCAAATCTCAAAATCAATCCCACTTTACGACATTGGCAACAAATCTGGCTCCAAGGAACAAAAGATAGAACTCATCCAAGACGCGTCCATACGCCTATATGAGGCGTGCAAAAAACGAGACAAGTCGCATGATCCAGCATTCAACTTGGCCTACTCGGAGATCGTTTGCGAAGACTCAACCTACTTCCCGGAGAATGAGTCGTGGATTCTCAGAAATCTCACTATAAAGGAGTTTATTCGCTCTGAGGCCATTGCAATTAAACCAGAATATATCCATGGCCCTTTCATTGAGTACTTGGGTTTTCACGAAGTCATCGTGTCACGCGCCAGTTGGTCAACATTTTCTCCAACCGTGATGGCAGACCCGACGGAGATCACCCGGGGAGTCTGGGCAGGACATCGCTTCGACATCACAACTCTTGCTAGACACAACTTGGACCCTCAGGCTACGGAGTGGCGAGATGTGAGCGAAGAGGTAGCAAAGGAAACTGCTTCTATCTGGCGGGACAATCATGGCCCTAATTGGCGTAAGAAGTACGTGCAACTTAAAAAATGCCAACAAGCTGATTTCGATCTTTGGCTCGGAGATTTTGATTAGTATGGATTGCAAAGAGATTAGTGTATCAAGTACGGCTGGCCATGAATGTTGCAAGCTAATGAGTGGCGTGAGCAAGTGGCAGAAGGGACGAAAAAGGGGAAGTCGGATGTTGTTTACAGATGAGTGGTTTTATGGCCAAGATATTTCATATACAGTTTTAATGAGATGATGGTATTGCGAGCCGCAAGGGATACGTCAAGTGGGTTCAAATCCTGTGGTGCATTGGAAGTCGGCTCCTTGAATTGCTTGTTGGAAAGCAGGAAAGCAAACCACAGTTACAACCTCATCGACAGAGGCAGTCTTACACGGTAATTGTTCAGATCGCAAGACGACTCTTGCCATCACCTTGTGCCAACGCTCCGACTATTTTTCTAATATGGGCCTTGTCCCTCCGCGGGGTGGCTCATATAGTCGGCCCATTCTGCGACCTACACTGCAGCCTGCGGCTTGGGTCGTAACACCACAAGCCGGAGGGCCTAGAAGTCAACGCATTATAAAGCTACTGTACACATCTATCAGCTCAAGGTGGCTTCTAAAGTGGAGCGACTATGAGATGAGTCCTTGAACGCACGGGGTTTGCCGAAGCCGGTCCCTGTATCTGACGCGTCATCCCAGGTATTGGGCCCTCATGGGGCATCGAAGCTACGACATCCACGTCTTCTCCACGCCCCTGGCCTGCTCGTTTTTATATTTTCCAAGGTTGAAGTGCTGTGCCTGTTCTTCAGAAAACTCAGGCGCATCCGAGGTGGAAGGGACTTGCCACCATCCCTCGACCACATCCCAGGGAACACGGGTTAAGGCGGCGAGCTCTTGCTGTTCTGAGACAGCTATTCAACGCAAACATATAAATAAGTATATAAATACAGAATAGTATTATAATATCATACAATACTACTGATTTATTTGCAAGTCTGATCGTAGCTAGATGCCCTAGAAGCAAGCTTCTCTCAACCTTGCACCTTCTTGTTACCTTGATTATCGTATTCTTCCAAGAACTTTTGCCACTTGATTACTTCTTCATCAATACATTGAAAATATTCCTCGTGCGTTTGATTGGGCTTCTTTCGTCGCTGCGTATCACAAGGCTTTTTAGCCTCGTAGCAGTCTAGCCTAGGCTGTCCGGTCCTATCGCAGTGCTCGAAAACCTCATCCTCGGAAATGAACTTCTTGGCAGCCTCTTGGAGAAGCTTAGCCCTAGACGGAGCATTAGGATCAGGACGACCGTTAGACCCACGATATTCCTCAATAAACGACATGTAGCTGCCAACATTAGTAAATGTCCCTGGATATTTCGCGTCGCTCATCGCTTGCGACACGACACCACTCAAGTATCCAGTGTCCTGGTCAATAAAAGGGCCGCCGCCATCATATCTTGTTGTAATCTTGCCATCTCCACCAGCGCATATTTTTGTGTCTTTATTATCAGGAACTAGAGAGTATTGCAGGCACTCCTCAAGTGGGCGAACAGGAATATCAAGCACGCGGAGGTGGTCGACTGCCTTCGGAGAGCCTTTTCCGCTGATCGTTGGACCCCTTGCACATCCATCAGCGTCTTGTCCAACATTGAAGCTTCATAGCACTCACCAGCCTGCAGTTCTTCCGGTGGACTTAACCGCGGGGTGCCAGCCGTCTTCGGGCAGCGTGGCATATTCGATTTTGTCGCTCCTGTTAATTGGAGTTGATAACTTGACGATTCCAATGTCATTAACAGCATAATAATTGGCGTCTTTTGTAGTCAAGTTGAAATCAGGGTGCGACTTGGCGTATGCTACCTCTGCAACGTCCGCGGCCTCGCCAAGGTCCTGTCAATCTTCTGTTATTTATCCTAAGTAGCCAATGGGGCAGCCTGATGCAAAGTTGTTTACCTGTGTTCCTGCTCTGACGTAGTAGGCAGATGCAACGCAATGGCCAGCAGTAAGAACTGTAATGTTGTCCAACAAGCTGCCGGCGCAAAAATGGCTCTTCCCCGAAGGCGTCGAGCCAATACTAACAATAAATGGAAAATCGCCTGGTTTAGCCTCTTCCCCGTTGACAATCCTCTTGTCCATAGCCGCCGCGGTTGCCGTAGCAGAAGCAAACGCGATAGCAAGTGTAGTAACTGCCTTGCGAACCATTGTAAAAATAGGCGAGTTGTTAGTCGATAAAGCAAATAAGAAAAGGAGGGATGTATAAGATAGCACAGGCTGAGATTGACTGTTGGTAAATTGTCATGTAATAATCTATAGGGGGGCGGCTTGCTATGTTCACTCTTATATATATATATATATATATATATATATGTAGTAAGATAGCAAAGAACAAAAGACGCTTACAAATACAACCAAGCATAAACTTTGTACCGGTCCCTATCCTTATGTTCAACCCAAACGTTTCGTATTTAAGCGAAATGGCAAATTCATGCATCCAACATGCGTTGACTGATTGTTCTGCATAGATATGGCGTGCGACGCTTCCGAATCGTATGGCTATCCCACCAGGCCGTGCCGATAATCCCTGTCTCACGAACACAAGGACCGGAAAGCTAGGTTCATACCTGGCGTTTGAGTTAACTCAAACGGCATCTCATGAGTTGGCTCATGACTCAAAACTTAAAAAACTCACGTGAGTTGAGTTTGAGTTTTCGCCCTTGACTCATGAGTTAACTCACAACTCAAAAATTTTTTACCGCATCTTATCGCCCCGGTTACAATCTTATAGCCCCTTCCCACTTCCAGAATATCTAATATCACATGCTACCAGCTAAAGGCCAGTCAGCGCGAATGCGATCCAGTATTTACTACGTAGTTATGGCGGAATATGGTCGACTTAGATAACTAGGGCACTTGTGAAGTTGTTGCTTTTGTTGACCCCGCACCATGTTTCCTTTTACCAGTTCATATTAATTAATATGTCGAACCAGCCTCCGTCTTGGGCTTATTTGCTCTTTGCTTGTTCGCCCAACCACAGAGCCTTTGCGAACACCGCAGTCCTCCATTCCCAAGTGACATAATTGGGAGCTTCCTCGACTCATGAGTCTGAGTTAAACTCATGAGTGAGCTACGGCTGGGTCGAAACTTATATGAGTGAGTTATAAAGGCCGAAACACATGAGTTAACTCCAATGCCCAGGAATGCGAGTCTTCAGAGGCGCTTCATGTACATATTCCCAAACGTTTATCCAAGAGGATAATAAAACCCAAAGTATTTACTCGTGCCATTTGACCGGCTTGTAGGCACAGACTGCATGTGGTCTAGTGCGACTTGGACAAAGCGATTGTTTATAAAGAGAGCAAGAGGTTCCAAAGGAGACTCTGACTCGGACTATCTAGGTTCTAAAGCAAGGATATTTCTTGACACATCTCCAGGCTTGAGGCGTAGCTAGGCGCTCAAGTATAAATGAATTTTCCTCTTTATACTTGCTAGCCTACGCCTTATTCTTTACGCAGTCAACAATAACATTTGCGTCATCAGTAGCAAGATTGTCAAAAACGCAAGCCTGCTTATATTCTTCGCAAAGATGAGCTTGTTCTCCGGTGAGTCCTCGATCATTGCAAACCTGCTGTGCTTGTGAATTAACCTCTCTCCAGAAAGGGTCTTCAGATTCAGGGATCTAAACGTCGTTAGCCCATCAGTACACTGTGCTCAACTATAATATATACAAGGTGTAATAGGGTTGTGTATATACTTACAGGCTCCGCAGGCGGCTGGGCAGCCGGTTCGTACAAAGTATCCGGGCAAGGAGCGTCAAGATTTTCGCAAATAAAGGGGATATAACTCCCGACCCTGGTATATATCAAGGTTTCTCGCCCTTGTTCGTGGCAGGCACTCCCACCACCTGACACTACACCGATCAATTGTCCCCATCGGTCGATAAGAGGACCACCGCTATCCCCATCACACGCAGTCTTGCCATATGCACCAGCACACACTATAGTGTCTCTGACGGCACCTTTATCAATGTCCGAACAGTCGTCTCGTTTGTGGACGGGGATGTCAACCTTGTGAAGATTGCCATCATTTTTACTATGGCCTTGGGCACCCCTTCGATATTGGTTAGCGTTGATACTATCCAGCGGTGGTTAGCCAACGACCAGCACTTACCAGCCTGCCACGGTTGCCATGGACTTGACCACGGGATCAGAGCCGTTTGCTGGCAGCCTCGCATAACCAATCGTATCGCTCTTCTCAATCGGGGATGATAATTTTACAATGGCAATATCATTTGGGTGAAAAATACCATTTGGCAGGCGACCCCTGATGTATTCTGGATGCCGTTTAATAGATGCAACTTCTGCAACTACTCCGCCCTCTCCTGCGCGCTATGATTATTATTAGCTTCATACCAGACTGCTTGTAAACCTTTTGCTAGCCGCACTATGGTACTACTAAATGTCCTAGCAAAAAAAAAGGTTCAATGGTATTTACCTGGAGCTCTCCTGCCCTTACGGAGAGCTTTCCCGCTTCATCGCTAACGCAATGAGCAGCAGTGAGGACTGTAGTCTTGTCCAATAAACTGCCGCCGCAATTATTATCAAAACGAACAATAAATGGAACGTCGCCTTTCTCAGCTGGTTGTCCACCAAGAATTCTCTTGTCAATAGTTGCTGCTGCTGCTGCCGAAACAGCAGAACACGCGACGACTAGTGCACTGACAACAGGGCGGACCATTGTGTAGAAGGTGATGGATTGTTAAATATAATTCTTGTAGAAGACAAATGTATAAAATTGTTGACGGATACAAAGGTAATAGTTTGGGTAGGCAGCTTGCTGTATTTATTCTCGCTCGCACGCTCTGCGATAGTATCCACACTATCCTATGTACATGATGTGCCTGACTCGGAACGGGCTATAGAGTTTAATTATCTACTAATGCCTAATACTCTGTAGCTTTTACCCCTGCTGCGATTCGGGTACTTGTAGCAATGGTAAACTATAAGCTAGCTAAAGGCAGTCTCAGGACAAGGACGCCTAAAGACATGAATCGTGATAAATATCGGCACGCGCAAAATCCATGACCTTGTAATTCAATGAAGCGCTCCACAGTTGATACATATGTATATTTACAACGGCGAGGGTAGTAGATACAGGAGGCCCTTATTCGCTGAATCCCGCCGTACACCATCGCCTTCCTCTGCCTGCCGCTCTATCTCATTAAAATCGGCCAAGGGGTCTTAAGGAGCCCCCGAGTAAGGTGCTCTACCCACGCATAAACGGGTCAACGGTAGCCTTTCTTCCCTCCCTATCGGGGTTGCCCTAGTCCACCGACAGTAGCCTTCGGACCAGGATTGCTAACTTGTTTTCACGACAACAAGCGGCCTTCAAGCGCATAATACCTCCTAGCCGGGCTCGTAGCTATCTTAACCTTGAAACTGTCCAACCTTGTCCTTAATACGCCTACTGTTGGACTGTTGGGGTATTGCTATGTCGCAGTGCGTTCGCTTATAAAAACATAAGGGTATTATATAATATGTTAGCTTAAATAAGACTTTTTAGCTTTTATATAATTTTCTTAATACTTATTAAATATTTCTTATTTTAATATAAGAATATATATTAAGATAAAAATAAGGCTTTTTATAAAATATTAAGGTTATTTAATTATTAATTCCTTTAAATAAAATTAATAACTTATTTAACTTTAATTAATCTTATATTCTAGTTAGTTAAATACTACTAATTCTTGCTGTGAAAGTCTCTAATTAATCTAATCCAAGGGTCGGATTGGTTGAGTTGGTTGGAGGGACACTCTGGGCTGAGCCCGATGTGGCTCCATCGGTTTACACTCGCCTTCGGCCCTGGCCTGCCGGCCGGGACCCGAGCGAAATTACTCACGCGTTCGCAAACTCAAGCCTATCCTGGCAATCGTTGACAGGCATCATTTGCATAACTACACTGCACATAATATTTGGAGATGGGAGAGCAGCCACCCAGACGCGACTGATTTGGTCGACCCCGGGCTGCGATGAAACCCTAGGTAGTCATGAGTGCAAATATTATTACAGGGAGTCGTCGTTGCTTCCTTGGAAGGCTACCTGGAGCCAAGTTGGTGGTGGCATGGCGCCGTGATTCTGCGGGTGATGCCGTCAAGGGGGAGTCTTGGAAAGTTTAATGCTACCAACATTGAACTGACAACGGCATGTTTATGCAGTCTGCTCTGTTAGCTCCCGCGTGCGGTCCGGCACGGACTTAATAGGCGATCCGACACGCATCCCACGAGCTATCCGAAGCGCATCCGAAGCATCCCACGAGCTATCCCGCGCGTATCCGGAGCATCCCACGAGCTGTCCAATACGCATGCTGCAGTTGTCCATGGCAAGCAGTTTATGGCAAACTGGTGTTTATTTATTCCATTATTCTATTACTCGCTCCGCGCGAGCGGGTCGAGGTTCATACCACTAATTTCACCCGCAGGACCCTGCTGCTCCCCCTTGGGTTATTTTAAATTTTTATAATTATAAGGTCATGAATCACCTCTTGAGCTAGTGGATTTGATGTACTGCGATGCGTGTACACAGTGTTTTTTGAATTGTGTATTACTATTAAATTAGCTAGGTACAACTATTAATTGTGCTACTAGTGGGCCCTGGTAATAAGCTAGCCTTTTTTTTATATTAATTTAATTAATTTTTATAATTAATTAAGTAAAAACTTACTTAATTACTAACAAGTACCAGTAATTATTACGACACGATAGCCCATCTAGTATTTACTTGATAGACTTGCGGGATTTGATCAAGCCCAAGGCCTATCTTACTAGCCATGTATCCAAGAATAATAGAAATCTCGAGGACAATAAATGGAAAAACACCGCATCCACCTTGACTTACTTGACTAGGTCCGAGGTGGCCCGAAGAGGTTCTGCCAAGTACCCGTAGGGATACGAAGGCGCTTCGTGTCTCTAAATAGATACAAGTTCCAAGCTCGAGTCAGTTCATTAGACCCCCTTGCCAATATCGGGCCCTATGAGTAATCGTCATAGGCGAAACGTCTGGTGCTTGCAGGGGTTGTATTGTCGGCATGAATTATCCACTCTAATAAGCAGTCTTTATAAACGCCGTTTAATTAAATTCCCGTACCCTGACAAGGATCTCGGCATGAATCCCTTGATATTAGACAAGAGTCAGAGTGCCAGGGTTCACTATTCAAATATGTGCAATACTAATGCTGGTCCTTTTTTTGCGCAACCGCTCGTCTTTTCCCTCGTTCGCTGATTCGCAGCCACAACATGGTACTCGCCTATCTGTCCAGGCCAGCCTTCTCCATCAAGCGCTTGAAAACTGTTGTTGCTATTACGGCTACTCTCGTCATATTCACCTTTGTATACAAGTCAGGTTACTCGAGCTTCAGCCCACGATATGCTTCCAGACAAACTCTATTGATTGGGCAGAAATGCCCACCAGGCATTGCCAACGACGATACTCCGACCGGATTTCTCTGTCGCATACGACAAGCACAAGAAAAGGCGCAATCTCGACTCAAGAACCAGTCGTCAAATGTAGGAGAAGCGGTTGCCGAATACAGGCGTCGATACCGAAGAAGTCCTCCCAAGGGTTTCGAAGAATGGGTGGCATTTGCTCTGGCCCACGACTCCAGGATCATCGACGACTTCGACCAGATTGATCGAGACCTGGAGCCTTACCGCACGCCAGAAGCGCGGCAAGCGTTTCTCCGCTTGAAAGAACAAAGCGAGGACTGTCCTCGCACGACGCGCATCACGATCCAAAATGGAACCATGTCCATGTCTGCACCGTACATGTATGAAGGGGCATGGAGAGGACTCATCCAGCCGTTTCTGCATGCGCTGCCCGACAACCTTTTGTTCTTAAGTACCATTGATGAGCCGAGAATCCTGGACTCGTCCAAGCCGCCATCCCTAGTGGCACAGTTCAATGAACGTTCCGGAGAGTCAATTGAAGATTTGGTACTGGACTCGTGTGCCCATCGTGCGCCGCAGTCGGCCGGCACCCACGCAAGATACAACGACGTTTGTCAGTCCTCTCGTCCGGCAGACCTCCACGCTCTCATCGCATCGCCGAGCACATTCTCGTATACGCACACCCTCGTCCCTATTCTGAGCTTTGGCCGCATGTCTGCTTTTCGAGATATCTTGGTCCCGTGCCCGTGTTACACAGGGCACCCCGTCGTGCAGCAAGAGCCGATGGCCTTTTCGGAAAAGAAGCGTATGATTTACTGGCGCGGGTCGACGACAGGAGGCAAAGCTACTCGATTCACGTGGAAGACCGGCCATAGGGAGCGCTTCGTCGCGTTTATTCAGTCCCTTCAGAATACGGCCAAGGTTCTTCAGACGGGACAATTCTTCGGACTGCAGGTGGATAAACTAGACAGGCAACAAATTGCACTATTCAAGGACGTGTTTGACATTCATTTCGGCAGTTATATTCAATGTGACGAGGAGTCTTGTAAGGACATGGAGCGCGTCCTGGGGCCGTCGGATGTTGAGCCGGAAGACACGTCTTCCCACTATCAGTACCTGTACGACATAGACGGGAACAGCATGAGCACCAGGTTCTACCGTCTTCTGTCTAGGCAGGCCGTGGTGTTCAAGCAGACCTGGTTCCAAGAATGGCACGATGACCGTCTCATCCCGTGGGCCCATTACATTCCCGTCACCATGACGATGGAGGAACTCCCTGCGATGGTCAATTTCCTGGTCAATGACCCGGCTGGACAGGTGTTGTCCGCTGAGATTGCTCATGCTGGATCGACTTGGTCACGGCAAGTTGTACGAGAGATTGACATGTCTATTTACTTGTATCGTTTAATGATAGAGATGGCAAGTTTATTTGATGTGGATCATCTTGAACAGGAGGAAGCTACAGGTGGGCGGGAATTTAATAAAAAGATGTAAATGACGCAAGTCAATTAAATATTGTAGATAAATAAAAAGTTATGATGATTAAAGAGAAAAACTTATATAAACATGTGTTTTTATGATATATTCTGGCTGTGTAATTCTCGTGGACTTTCCAACAAGACAGTTGTCTGCGTGTTCCATTCGGCGCCACAAATGGAAGAGCAATATACAAACCCGATCAAGAACTGCATCCCAACCTCTCATAATGCTTGTATTCCGACTCTAGACAACATGCCTACCTAGGTACATCTCGCTCAAACTACATTCTTAGACAGCCACTCTTTCCACTGGTCCAAAGTCCACCCAGAGCTGGTATCCTGCACGACCCCGTCAAACACCACCGTCGGGGTGACGTGGACCCCCACCAATCTGTTCATCTTGGTAACAACCTTGAGGTCGTTCGTGACTTGGTTCCCGCTGTTCAGCGAGCCATTTTCGGCGGGCTTGTCGGAAATCTCGAGCAGCCGGTAGACCTGGGCCTCGTCGACGCCGACCTTGCCAGCAATCTTCGCCAGCCGCTTATACGTGGCGTTTCGCGTCTCGCCGACGACGTTGGCGTCGAAAAAGTCCTTTTGTTCCTCGAACAGCTGGCTGCTAAAGGCCCAGAACTTGCCGGGGGCGAGCCGCAGCACCGCGAGCCCCGCTTCGTGCATCAGCGTGGACGAGGGGTGCCACGGCTGGACTTGCTGGCGGAAGATGAGGGTCAGGTTGGAGGCCCAGGACTTGTTGTCGCGGATGGCGGGGATGACGTCGTTGCTGAGTGTGCGGAAGAGCTTGGCCGAGAAGGGGCAGCAGTAGTCGACGTAGAGCTCGAACGTGTGCTTGGAATGGGGGGCGGACGAGGTCGATGGCGAGGGGGCGAATTCGAGCTTGTGGCCCGCGAATTTGGGGGGGACAGCCATGGTGGTTGATGGAGAAATGTCTGGTGCTTGGCCGGGTGAGGTCAGCTTGAGAGCGAATTGAGGGTTGGGCGGGTGGCTGTGTTTGTTGGGAGAGAGGTGGTGCCGAGGTGAGGAAGAAGTGACGTTTGGGGAGAGGGGCAGCTTGGAGATTGATCAATGCTGGCTCACCGTCATCTCAACCAACAAGGCGTCGTTGAGCTCGCGCCATCACCCGTGTAACCACCCTTGAGCTCCCTGCGCCATTTATCCGCATGGATTGTGGAGCAGTTGACTGACGACATTAAGGTTCTAACCTTGATGTCGGCAGTTGTACCTTGTGGGCCAAGCGATCGGCAATGTCGAATTCGGAAACAACGGACTCGATTCCTCACAAGATGGTTACCGACTGCAAACAACTATACGCACACGATGTAGGCTGGATACGCAGAAATCGAGGACAATGTCCGTATATCAAATTTCACAAGCTCATATATCTTCAATATTCCGTCAAGTTTCAAGCGAAATTTCCAAACGACATGACATGAGCATCAACCACGCCCGCGGCCCAACAACCAAGGTCTTGATCAACAAATGTATGGTACCAGATGCAGCACCTACCCAGAGGGGTTGCCATTAAAAGCCAAAAGATTCAGTGTCCCCGATGGCACATTCGTCAACACACCTTTGGTAGCCAATTCCTGCAATCTCTTGCACAACTTCTCCCCACCAGGAAAACCTTCAAGCGCAGCGATATAAGCTCCCAGCCCGGTAATATGTGCAGCCGACATGGACGACCCCGAGAGAGTATTCTGCATCCCTCGCGTTAGTCAACGACAACAGACAGCAGAGAAGCAACTTACCGACGCGCCATTCAGCCAAGTGGACAAAATGCTCACACCCGGCGCAAAAATATCAACCACAGGCCCGTAATTGGAATAACTAGCACGCTCGTCCTTCTCTGTACTACCACCCACCGTACAAACAGTCGGCTCAGACGCAGGAGACGTGTTCTTGGCGTCGGTACCCGAACCGCCCGCTGCCACCGAGACAAACACGCCAGAGGCGACAAGAGAAGCGGCAGCTTTGTTCACCGCCGCAGAGTAACCCCCTCCCAGGCTCATATTGGCCATTGCCCCCTTGGGGCATCCGCGCGTCTTGGCGTCTTTGGCAACAAAGTCCATTGCGGCAATGACGTTGGATGTCGTGCCTGAGCCTCGGTCGTCGAGACACTTGACGCCGTAGAGTTTCGTCTTCTTGGCCACGCCGTAGATGGCGCTGCCTATAATGCCGGCGAGGTGGGTGCCGTGGCCGTTGCCGTCGGTGGCTGTGTTGACGAACGACTTGATGTTTTGGGCGCGGCCGCCGAATTGCTGCGGAATTTAGTGTGTGGTGGTGCGGAAGGGGGAAGACGAGCTTACGGGGTGCGTGGCATCGATGCCAGTGTCAATAATGTAGGAGCATGTTCCTTCGCCGGCGCTGTCGTCGTATATGTACGATATCGAACCTCGCTGGCGGTGAGAGATGCGGGCTAGATTCCAGGGAGCGTTTTTCTGCTCTACGAACCCGTTTATGGTGAAAGGAGCGTCTTGTTCGATGAATTCGACCTGCGTGTGTTAGGAGCGGCGTCTTTACTTTATGACTAGAGTGAACATACGTCGGGATGGCGTCTTAGATTGCGAATCGCAACGGAATCGAGGGTTGCCGAAAAACCTTTGAACACAGCGTCGTAGTCGTGGTGGCTGTTGTCAGTGAAGGAAGCTAGGGTACTGTCGAAGCCGGTCGAGGAGATGCCGTCCTTGAACTTGACAATGTAACTGTCGGGAACGCTGTCTTTCGATTTAAATAATGGTGCCAAGTTGTCTTGTCCGATGTTGGCATCTGTTGTTGCCACGGAAAGCAGACTGAACAGTATGAAGCCGCGCATTTCTCCTCAACAAGAACCTGGGATTGAAAGTGAACTATTGCAAGTTTGTACGAGTCTATTCCAAGGCCAAGTTGGACTCTTCCCGGCGGCGGCAGCTCGTTGTTATCAATCAGGTGGCCGTTACACAATGTGAGAGGGCACTCGTTAGTTCCATCGCAAAGCAACCTTGATCACCAACAAGATGAGTCGTCTTGTACTAAATATATAAAGCGGCAGATGCTGCGTTATGGACCTTCCTATTTCTACACCAGCCCGAGCGGGGTGGGCTACACTCGACCTACCGAGTCTTATATACCCCAACTGGTCTTTGCATACTCCGTGAGCAGAGGAGGGAAATAGTTGCAGCAGCTGAAGTAAGCCTGCAGAAGGTGGTTACCTGTGGCGCACCCTCGGCGCTTTCGTGGTATAGTTGAACGAATCATGCCTTCCGGTAATGGTTCAGCTTCGGTGATAGTTTAGCCTTGGTAATACTAGTTTAGCTCTGGGAATAGCTTAGCCCTGAGTAATAGTCCAGCTCCTTCGGCCGTTACCATCCTGCCATGGCGTGTCTTTGTCTTGGAAATGGCATCATTACCTAGGTAGTTTAGTCAGTCAGTGGTAGAAGCTTCGGTATTCTAGACTACCGAGTGCCAACCCGTCAACTTTGTAGCCACCCATGAGTCTGACATAGACATTGTGCAAGATACTGACCTCTTTGAAGACCTGCTGAATCCAAGCAAATGATCGAATAATGGTATTTCACACGGCTACACGACGATTACGATCATGGAACCTGTCGTACAGACAAATGCCATGACCATCCTAATAGCCGATCCAGACTGCAACACCATAAAGGATGCATCGTCACTGCACACAAGGTGGTCGGGAGATAGGTCGGGGTATACAGGTTAGAAGCCTTAAGCACTCGATTAAAAGAAACCAAGGACCGTAAAAATTATGATAATCATTAACTGAATTTGAAGCTATTCACAAACCATGTTTGAGCTCTTGTCACAGAACCAGGGGCAAAAGGCTCGCACCACTTCTGGTATAAACAAAGCTCTTTAGTCAAGTAGGCCTTGAGAAAAACCAAGGACATTTCATACCCACGATTGTTATTAGATGAATTGAGTCATTTCTCCAAGTCTTCACTGAGCTCTTTTCACACGATGCAAGTTTATTCTGCATGTCGACATCTGGTTTTTGGCTTCGTAGAGATATATGGCTCGCAACTCTTGTGGTAGATGGCTCGGAAGACGCTTCGGAGAATGGGTTCGTGAAACATGTCTCTTCATGGCTGCGTTGAGAGGCTTTGTGCCTAGTTTTGTCATATTAGCTTTGCGAGTTGTTTGTATGCAGTGAATGTCCAAGGGGGGGATTGGGGATATGAAGTTTCGTGCTGGTAGGCTCGTTGAGTAAAGTCTGAACGATGCCGGATGTGGAGGGTGAATTTACTCCTGCTCTCTAGGAAACCTCCGTGACGTCGTGAGGGGTGCAGATGGGCCTTAATGAGAAATAATAAAATGGAGCGGCTCTAAATTCAGTGAAACTCCACGAGAAGAGGCTATCATGGTGCAGAGCCTTTCTTGCAGACTTACAAGGATTGTTTTTCCTTGCCTTTCCCTCGATCAGTCTTCTGCTTGCGAGTCGTAACTTCTTGTAAAAGGATTGCGGTTAATTTTAAGCTATGTCAAGTCCACTAAAGACTTTGTATGACCTCGCTTGAAGCTGTTTGAGGAGAAGAGCATGGGGCCAAGGATGTGAGACGTTTCTAGTTCGGCAATAAACAGGCTGGAGTTTTCGAGAGGTGGCCAGAGCGATATCAAATTCACTTTTCCCGAGCACGCGTACATCCACGTGAGTCGCTGCTACAATACGTCCATGTCTCTTGAAAACCAATTCCAGCAATAACCAACAAAGGTTGTAGCATTACAAACTCAAATACATTCACGTGAACACTCTTCAGATCCCGCTTACTAAGCCTTCATAATTTTACCCCCTTTATATTATTTATATTAGAACTGTTCAAATTCTAAGCGGAACTACAAAAAGTGAGCGACAGATTACGTGCATGTCTCAGGCACACCCTGATTTAGTTTAGCTAAAGCCTTTTTGCCTTTTACGTGAAAAGAAATTAGTTTGGCACTTGTCAGGTCAAATGCCAACCCATCCACACAGCCATTTGTTCAGAATCTGTTCATATTACGCTCACTTCCGAACGCACTCTATAGACTCTTTTACACCTTTTACACCTTTTACTCATCTCAAGTCATTCAGTTAATCTTTCACGTTCACCTACCTTTAAATTAACATTGCCCGCAGTTTAATCTGCATTTTCACTCCTATAGTACAACCATGGATATCAGCAGGTTTCTCCCAAACGAAGTCTTAGGCATCATCGCCGATCACCTCGTGTCAGAGGTCGACTTATTCCACCTCGGTCAGACCAATCGCCTATTTAGCCAAATTGCCATCCCTCGCTTATATCGACTAGCAGCAAACAAACCCGAAGGAATCCTTCACATGGCTTCACTAGAAGGACAAGTCGATATTCTCCGCAGAGCGGCTTAGAGTGGCGTCTCTGTGAAAGGATTTTCGCTAGCCTTTAATGCCGTTCGTAGAAACCATATTGGGGTCTTGGACTTTATCGCGCAAAGTCGCGGCGAGGAGCCGTTCAACGCTAGACAATTGTCAGTATTAGCCAGGGCATCATGTACTTATACAACCATCCATTTTAACATATTGAGCCATCTGTTCAATGATTTCGGCGCCTCCCTCAACCCGCAACAATTTGGGGAATGCTTACGAAATGCTATTCACACTCGAAACATCGAATCTGTGCAACTATTGTTAGATAAAGGCGCGGATCCTTCCTCGGCAACGAATGGCCGAACGCCTTTGGAATTAGCTGTGACGAAGGGCAATTTAGACATTATCAATATGCTGCTGGAACATGGCGCAAATATGCAACATCAAAGCCACGACGGCATTACCCTACTACATATAGCAGCAAATTATGGGCACGTTGACGTTTTGAAAGTATTGCTCAGGCGTGGCTTCGTCCCCCCTGTTACAACAGCTGGTGTACAAACTCCTCTCCAGCTTGCAATTTGTAATAAAAGAACAGCCGCCGCATGCTTCCTCATCCGGAAGACAACGAATCATGGAGCTAGCATGCAAACCTTCCTTAGTGCGATGCGTCACGGCGCGCTAATTACACTGGCTGTATTGCACCTTAAAGCGGGTGTAGCGAGAGACGGGTTGATCAATACTCGGGATCACGTTGGCCGAACGGTGCTATTCATGGCAGCAAGACAAGGAAAGCCCAAGTTAGTTCAGGAATTCCTACATCACGGGGCAGACCCTTACATAGCCGACCACTTCGGTACAACACCCATCTTCGCCGCTGCCAGAAATGGGCATATTGACGTAGTTAGACAACTACTAGTCATTGAACCAGGACTAATTGAGTCTACGGACAACCTGTACGGGGGCCATAGTCTCTTGTACTGGGCCCAACGTTCCGGCAATCGCCAGCTTGTTGATCTTTTAAGGGAGGCTCTTTGGCGGGCTGGCCTTGAGGATCCCAAAGACGTATTAGGACAATCTTATATAAGAGAGGATGCTCATGGGCGGCAATGGAAGCGTGCCTGTGACGTCTGCGCCCGCCGATTACCCATGGGAAACATAATGAAATGCGAGGTTTGCTGTGGCGGCCATTTCTTCATATGTCCCGAATGCTACTGCCACGGAAAATGCCTTGATGAAACCCATCAGGAAGACTATTGGACTCATTGCCGAGCATGTGGTGATCGTGCGAATTGCGGGTGCAACTGGGTGTCTATTGTTGAGTAATACACTCACGTTAATTCTTACAAAAACCGACCTATCACTGGCGGACCTGCTTTATGGCCTGCAGAGTGGTTGGAGAATATACTTTTAGGGACGACTCAAACAGCGCATGGCTTATTTACGATTACTACATTATCTTGGTACGTAAAGATCCCTAACTAGCAAGCCGCCATAGCCTCAAACTAGTGACAACCGCTCGCTAACTACTCCAAGACTAGATAGCTGCGACACAATCCCCAGCGACAGACATATCTTATACGAGCTTTCCCAACCATTGCTATGAGAATTTTATACCAATTGAGAGTGAGATGATGGAGATTCTGGCGGATCGTGCGCTGGCCTCTGCCCATCAAGTATAAGGAAACCGGCGACGAATGCAAGGACATTGGTGGACAGGCTTACGAGTTTCATTCTGAGTGTTTTCTTTTTAAGGTCGGTTTGTGTCCGCTGGTAAGCCCAACCGCAGTTCAATGGTAACGAGAGAGATGAGAAATTGGGAGATCGCCACTGGAAGTGAGGAGACGCATGCCCAGTTGCGATCGATGAGATTCGTTTGGCCCAAATCTCAGGTTATAGGAGATTCAATATTGCTACGTTAACCGTTGACGCAGTTCAATCGTCACCAGTACAGAAGAAGTTGCTAGACTCAGACACTGTTTTCAATGAAAAGTTCAACATTGCGCACAATGTTTCAACTCGTATCATTACTGTCTACAAGGGAATTTCCCGTAGCCCCAAAAAGGGAATGACACCCGTGACAGGCAAACAATTCACATACTCAAAACTGGCCTCGCCCTTCTTGAGAATCGACACCTCATGCCAGGTTCTAAACTTGCGCTCGTCTCCAAACTTTTTCGCATGGCGAATAGCACCAGTGTAAATGGCCAGATGAGAAGGGTGGCTTTTCGCCCAGTCCTCTAGATTCTGCAAATTACAGAAGAAGCCCGCGCCACACGTCTCTTTCAACACCTTGTCCGATCCGTCCGTGTTGCGGAGGTAGCGCAGCCCCATGGCTCCGCTGACGTCGCGGTTGTCCCAGAGATACTGAAGCCCCTTGTCCAAGGTTGGCTCGAGATTGTCCTCGTACGAGGCGGTTTCTTCGGGACCACAGGTTTCCCAGTATTGCCCGGAGCGGATATGGACCATGTTGTTGTAGTTGGTGCCGACGAGGCGTTTCCCAGTGGGATCCTGGACGAATTCGGGCTTGGTATCGGCCGCATCTTCCTTCTCAAAAAGATCGTGGGCAGAGTCGGGAATGCGGTCTCGCGCTGCGCCCCAGTATGCTGTCAAGTCATGTTGCTCTGTCGTGGTGTCTGGTAGCTTGGCTATGCCGGGCAAGTAGTCCAAGCCGGTGTAATTGGTTTCCAATCGTGATACCGGAGTTGCGAAGCTCTCGCTCCAAAGCCCGATGGCCGACGGCTCACTTGTGGACAAGGTTGAGTAAATGGACGGCAAGTTGAGACGTTGTAAGCCCTCTTTCCCATGGGCCTCGTTGTCCCAGTAGCATGCCCATACTCTGGAATCTCGGGTGTCGTCCCCGTTGATGACACCAAAGCTCTCAAAGGCCTGGGGCTTGAAGGCGCTCGGCTCATCTAACCAGCTTTGTATGTCTTTCACTGCCTTGTCCACCGCTGCCTTGGGAGCGCCGAGGGGTTGGATGCCAATATATGCTGTGAAGACACGACGGACATTATCGCCCCAAACCAATTGCCACCTGGGGATGGGAGGCTTGTGGTTTGGCGGTTGTCGGAGGGGATATGTTCTTGCTGGACATGCCATTGTTTGAAGACTCCTTAAGAACGCGCGTGGCATATTCAACCGCTACTTGGACTGGACAATGCGATTGTAAAATAGTTGGCACGGGTACACATTTGTAATGGTGGCGGGGTTAGAGCCGAAGCCACGTCCGGCTGACGAGAAGAGGGTGTGCGTGCATGCGAAGGGCGCCGGAAGAGCAAAAAACGACTATCAACATCTGTAAGAAGCCATGTACTAGGGGACCATGAACTGGCACGGTTATAACCCCCGGACACGATGATCCAGACCACGGCGTGAGAGGGCGTGGTAATCGAACATCGTATCCTCATTCAAGACAAAAAGCCTTTCGGCCGTCTTGAAAGATGTTACTCCCACCATGAATGCTCTCCATTGGCTGTAAGCCACCATGTCAGACGGTAATGCCAATTGGCCGATTCCGATTAGTCCATGCTGGCGCTGTGCAGTGGTGCCGAGGGTCGACGGAAAAGACGGGTATAGCGGGATCGGGTGTCGCTTGTGAAGGCATAAATTCATCTAATACCCGGTCGGCCATAAAAAAAGACACCTTGTTGAGACGAATGATTGGCGATTCCACAAGTTTCGCCATATTAACAGAAATGATGTCAGTAGGAGTCACTTTTTGTGTTCGGCAAACAAACGCCCTCGCCTTTTTGAATCCCCATCTGTATCACGTGGGATATTTGAGTCCACCTGGCCGAAATGAACTGGCAACATTTGGATCTTCAACTTGACTGATTGAGGCAATAGAAAATCACCAATGACCACATGAGTAGATTCCTATTTTGTGCACCTTTCAAGGGAGCCTCTTTATTATTTCGGTCTCTTCTCAAAGTATTTTCCATTGATGAGCTTGGTAATCCCCCCATCACAAAAAAATGCCTTCGGATGATGAAAACATGATCACTTCGCCAAGAACGCCTTCTAACAACACCGCACCCCTCATACCAATGAAGATCTTCCCCGAATCTAGCTTTTTCAAGGAACGACGCGCACCAGCACTGCCATCTCCAGACGAAATCCGGGGCATGAACACGGAGTCGGACGATTTGTGGGACGCAAATTTCTACCGCGCACCGCCTGTCAGGATCCCGTCGCTGCAACTGCTAGTCAAGTACGGCGCCGATGTAAAAGTGAATGAAGCTTTAACCCAAGTGTGGGTGCGCGAACAGTTACTCGGCAAAGTACCTGTTCCCGAAGTCTTTGGGTGGATTGAAGACAAGCGACAGACGTTTATTTACATGTCCCTTATTGAGGGCGACACCCTTCAAAACCGATGGAGAGATCTAGAAGAGAGCGAAAGAATAACCGTCTGCCAGGAACTCAGGGAAATGGTACAAGCATGGAGAGGATTGAAGCACGACGAGGATGGCCCCTATATCGGTAAGCAAGTACCATCAAGCATAGATGTCCAAGAAAAACTAGCGCGAGACTTTAATTTACATTCATAGGAGGCCTACACAAGCAGCCGCTAAACGAAATATTTCTTTCTGATCATTCAGACCTAGCGGGACCATTCGAAGGAGCAGATGCAACCCAACGCTTTCACCATGGCTGTGGGATTGACATTCGCGGCGAGGTACCCGTCGTGTTTACACATGATGATCTCCTCGCAGTCAATATCCTATTATCGCCGGGTCTGAATCCAAAAGTAGCGGCGATTATTGACTGGGCTCAGTCGGGGTGGTATCCCTTTTACTGGGAGTATTGCAAGGCGCGATGGCCAACAGTACATTCTGAAAAGTTCGACGAAGCTACCCAAGACGAATGGAGGGCAAAATATCTCCCAATAATGATTGATCCCGTAGATGAGCCGATGTATTATCATCCGTGGCTGTACTTTGTCTTGTCCAAAGGTATCTAGAGTCCTGAATGGGGCGCAGGACTGTTTCCAAGGTCCCACAACGATGGTCGATATACCATTAGAGACGTGTCGCTTTCATAGAGTTCGTTAATCCATGTTTCCGGGTTGGCTTAGTTTTCCGATATTCTAAAGACTTCAAGCTCCGCGATACCGATACCGTCGAGGCGGAGATTGGGGTCCCTGGCCGCAAAGGTCACCGGCGATATCTGCAGTTGATTCCCCTCTCCCGCATCTATCTGTGGTAGCCTTATGGATAAGTTGCCGGGTTTTTCTTAGTGCCGCCGGTTCGGGGCTTTGGTTCTAGGTATTTGTCTTCAATCCTCAAAGGCCGACGGGTCGGGTTGAAGCCTCGTTCTCTTGCTTCCTTGATGATGCGTCGAACAGACGTCTGGGAGACATCAAATAATTGGGTTAGTCGTAATGCTGAATAGTCGCATTCGGCGTAGAGGGCTAGCATAGCAGCTTTTGTTGCTACGTTAATTTCGGGCATTTTGAAAGCTTCGGGAAAAGGCTCCAAAGGGCTTCGAGTTGGAGCGGCAGAGGGCCCCGCAAATCGAGGGTTTTCAGGGAGGTTGGAAAAGAGGGTTGACTGACGGGCAGGCCCCGTTTCGAGAGATTTCAGGTTGAACATGAAACAGCATCACGTGCAGGGTCCAACCTGCGCCAATAGCGTGCCTTGGGGGCATCTCTAGCTTACAGCATCAACGCACTCTTTTCATCCATGTTCCGCTGCGACGTTGAACAAGACACACGCACAAGACTGGACACTACTGCTAAGCTATGTGGTTTGTATAGATGCATCTACTTTAACCTAGGGCTGATCATGTTACGCATCGGCGTCCTCAGGCTTTTCGGGAGGAGCAATTACATGAGCTGCATCAAACGGCACCCTCTGCAGGCGCGTGCAATTTCCAGATGTCGCCTCGCCGTTGAACCGGGCATCCACCCAAGCCAACCACTCTGATGCTGCAGCAACAATCACGCCCGAGTGATCCAGCTCTGTGTACTCTCTCAAATGAACCTCGCTTTGGTCCTGGCAGGCCTGCTGCCATGACTCATGGGCCACCTGCGCAACGACGGCGGTGTCGTTGAGTCCCTGCACCAGCAGGAGAGGAGCCGAGGTGCGTCCTCCCGACGCCGGCGCCATCTTGTCCTGCCAACTCTGCAGCAACTGCAAATCCGTCTCGAAGCCCTTCTCATCAAGGACCTGCTCCCGCGTCAAGCCTACGCTGATGGCCCCCTGTGCGATCAAACAGGGCTGCGAGGCATCGGCAATAGCCATCCGCTGCCGCTGAACTTGGCCCAGCATGGTGAAGTTGTACGAGGGGGAGAAGCGCTGAAGCGCCTTGGCCACGAGTGTCAGGTAGCCGGATTTGAGGATGAAGTCGGTATGGTTTCGAAGCATGTCTGCAATCTTGAGGGCCGGGGCCAGAGACACAGTCCCGAGGTACTTGGAGTCGTCCTTGGCAAAACGACTTTCAGCCAATTTCCACACCGCGCCACCACCCTCGGAGTGGCCAACCGCCATCCACTCCTGGGTGAAGATGTTGCCCATGGCTTTCCTTGCTGCCACTACGGAGTAGACAATATCGTTGACCTGCACGGGGAAACTGCAGTACTTGTGCTCGGTCTGGTTATTCCCCAGACCGGCGTAATCCGTGGCCACGACGGCGTACCCTCTCTGAAGAAGCAGCTGCCAGCTATCGTAGTCGTATAGCGCCGGGCCGTTGGATGGAGCGCACCCTCGGTAGACGCCGCTCGTGCCGTGAGCATAGGCGACAAGGGGAAACTGATGGGACGAGGATGAGTTTGACGCCTTGGACTTGAGTGATGCCGGCGCAAATGGCAGTGCAATGAAACCCGTGGCAGGCACGGTACTATTGTCGAGATCCACAGAAGCGTACTGTATGCGGTATACCGTGGTGCCTTGTTTGACCTGTTCGCCCAGCATCTTGGGGTCCATGGCCTGCATCTTGAGCACGTCTCCGGGCTTGGATCCAGAAAAGTTGCTTGCCGTTGCGAACCAGTCAAAGTCAAAGTTCTGGCCGAAGATTCCAAGATCTATCGCATTGACTTTAGCCAACGTTGCTTGGCATTTCTCGTCGCAGCCATTTTGCACCGCGAATTCAGGCGTAATGTTGAAGTTGGAGCCTTGTAAACAAGTAGCTTGGCCAATGATGGCAGCGTGTAAAACCCAGTTGCGAATCCTCATTATCGTGGTAAACGCTTGATGGGTGTTTGTAAAGAATGTTGTAAAGAGAATATAACGAGCCGGCTAGTACAGTCACTCCCTGAATGTACTCAAATCGGGAGACTTTATTTAAAACCTGCTCCTCCCGTGTTCTTATACATATTTAAAAACTTACAAGTCCACCGGCCTGTGTTGCCAGGGGTTGGTTCAGTTGGGCTTCCGGGAACGCAGTTCATCTCGGCTAGTAACCTCCGGCTGCCAGCAGGCCAAGAACCTTCCGGCCGCCAAGAATTCTCCGGCCGCCAGTAACCCTCCGGCCGCTAGCGGGCCATGCTGCGACATTTCAGGAGAATCCGACCGGTCAATGTGTCACACATACTCGAGGGCTAAGATCACGTGACCTGGGGCAGAGACTCTCACAAGTCTCATCGACGACGACTTGTATAAATAATGAATAGACGTCTTTGGTCCCTGGGGACTTGAGGGAAACCAAGGGCCTCGGCACTCTACTACCAAAGACCTAAATTGGGTTACTACTCCAAGCCCTGGGAACATGTGGAGGTTGTGGAGATTGAGAGCTGTTAGTCGTCAACCTTGAAAAGAAGTCTGGTACCAGTGGGTCAAGGAAAATCCCGAAATTAAAGTGTCTGACCATCCTAGCAGGGGCTTTGTATGTATAAGCTATTCAGGTTTCATATGCGTTATACTCCGTACGTAGGTCCAAGGTGGATGCATGGCGAATCTTCGCCGGTGATGCCGTTGCGGCAACCCTTTTTTTTTACTTTTACATCTAGGATCGTGACATTATTCCTTGTCCATGCCTTTCACCTTGTGCGAAACTTCCGCGTGCTTATAATGATCCACGTGTCGCTCGTGCCGCGATCTTGCGATCGATGCTACACCAGCAAGGAGCGCTGCATCTGGGCTCCCGGCTCCCTCACATGCGAACGATGCGCTCGCGTCGGCCACGCCTGCCGGTCGAAAAGGCCCATCAAGAGAGTCGGCCGCCCGCCAGGAGGCTATCTCTCCTCATCAATGAAGCGAACCAGGCTTGGTACACAGAAGAGCGACATGTCAGCCAAAAGAAATAAAAATACGGCAACAACGGTGACGACGACGACGACGACGACGACGACGCTCGCTCCCGCCATGGTGGAAGGTTCAATTGGGCAGACCTTGTTATCGACGATCGAGGGTCTTGGTCAGCCGGAGCTCGATCTTCTGAATCGGACGATTCACCAGGACGACTTCACTGAGCAATTTGTAATCGGCCCCAGTTTCTACCATGGGCATCGCCAGAAGCTTGTATTTCATCTCTTATCCTCGCGACGAATTGTCCTGGACGCCTACCTGGCATTCGCCCTGTCCTGCGGCGACCAGGCCCAAGTCAATACAAGCTACAAGAAGGCTGCCTCGGCACTCTTCACCCTTCGCTCGATCCAAATCAAGGACCATCTCGACATCACGTCGTGTCTCATGTTGGGCTGGCAATTACTACACTTTGTTTTCCAGCTTGGGGGTAGAGAAATTCTCCAAGTGTGCAGCCAAACCCTGAGTCTTCTTAAACCGCATTACGCTGCTGGAAAGCACTTTGAAACTTCACACCTGTCATTTTTAACGAGCATTATTCTCACCGAGACTGCAGAATGTCTCATGATGACGAAATTGCCGACTCTAAAGCTCCATCACGCCGAAGCATCGAGTCACATTGATGGCTGCGTGGGTCTATGTACTGGCCTTTTGCTCCATTTATATGATCTTGCCGCGATAAATGTCGATATGCAAAACAGGAGCAGACAGGGACAATGTAAGACAAAAGGACTACCAGATTTGCCGACTAAACTGGAAGATGTGCGGCTGAAGATTAGGGACTGGAAACCGCAGCTTCAGACAAAAATCTTCGCCAAGTTTACCGCCTTGGAGGTGGCACATATGCTTTGCCAACATCAAATCATGCAGACGGCTGCCCTGCTTATTATCCACCGTCTCCAACACCGGTTTGGAAAGGAGGACGGCACAGCCTCCGCCCTGGCTGCTACGATATTGAGTCAGATTGATTTGACTGTTCATGTCACGGGAAAGTCTCCGTTATGCGTCGACCTGCCACTGATAGTGGCCTGTTTGGAGGTCGAAGACGATTCTGCCAGGGAACAACGGCTCCGGAGTCTGTCGGCCATCGGAAGACATTCTGCAGTCTTTTGCGACCGCATCAAGAGTATGGTTATGCAAGTTTGGACGGCGCGGCGGCAAGGCCGGATTGTGTTTTGGCACGATATAGGGCATCTTCTCTCTCGCTTCTCGTGAGGTGCAACGGCCGAGGAAACGCCAACCCCCAGCCTAAAGTCTGCGAAACGTGTGGAAGCTATAAAAATATAGTAGCATTTGTCTTAACTGTCTGCGAAGTAGTGCCGCTGCGACATGTGGATTCAGCACGAGTAAAGGGATCAACTGACTGAGACTGGTTGAACTTTTTCCGTGCAAATGCTATAGGGGTGCCGGTATGTTGTCAGATAACTCGTATTATAGACTGCTGGGAAGTTTGGCATCGGTTATTTTCATTATATTGACGCGCGACTGCCTTCTTCACACTCCTAAACTACATGGCGCCGGGGCTGGGATTGATTGCGGTCACCGTCCAAAGGGGTGCTGAGAGATACTGCTTTACATTACATATAGTAGGTGGGAGTTCAACATATACCAAATTTGCACCCCAGTCGCTAATCTGGAGCAATGACAGCGACGTACCTTGATTGCGCTGCTGTCTCGGGACGGCTGGGCCTGCGCTACGATTCTCAAACCTAGGGTCGTCTTTTGGGTACACGCCGATAATGAAGGAAGCTTTACGCATTACTATTGTGCAATTGCCCGAAAACTTGACATCAGCGTAGATCTTCCCAGTGCAGATAGACTGTTAGCTTTGCGAGATACGATCGAGAGTCTATCGAACTGATCGCTCGTGCTCGATAACGCCGACGATGTCACTTTATGCAGCGGCGCAGGGCGGTCGGGACAAACAGATTGCTGGGTCGCTTGGTGTCATTATCAGAGCTAGACTCACACATCAGTCAATCTTGGTTATATCCGCACAGGCCAGCGAGTCATTGATTCCCTTGTCGATCGTGACTGTTGCTTCCACCACCGTCTTGGGCGGCGGAGCCAGCAGCCTGCGAATAGCCTCAAATAGTGGCTGAAACAGACCTCACGTGAGGAGGCCTCAACACCAATTCAGGCGCGCGTTATCCATAGCTAGATGAAGAAAAAAACAAGCATCAATCAACCAGTTACAAGTACCCCAAATCCCGTGATAATTATCAGCCGAATAGAAGCCTTGCGCTTCCAACAGTGACTTGACCAGCATAATTATACTGTACCCGCCATTATAAACCCTGAGTGACTGTAGATTTCTCGAGAATACTTAGTGGTAATATCATTGAGCATATCACACGCGCTATCCTAAGCTATCTCAACTCGACCTTTGCCATGTGCGTCGTATCAACACCCAAGCTTCTGAATTCACTGACCAAAACTCGAAATCAGCCCGTCCCTAGCCTAATAGCAGCACACTCCATACTCGATGCCCTGGGCTTTTCCCGAATAAATGTCCTCCTCATAGACAAAATATTTTACCAAAATGATACTAGAACTCATCCGTGCACTTGTCCCGTCATTTGCTTGTCCTGAGTGTCTTGCTGGTCCTATTTGGTCATCTATCCCGCGTGATGGGTTCAAGAACCAGCGTGGTATAGGTGCGTCATGGCTCGGTTCCAAATGTCACTTTACCGGGGATCCAGTCCTCCATTAAAGGCAACACGCTGGTATTCAGCAGGTCCAGCTCCAGGGATGGCCCCAACTTTATGTTCGGTAGCAAGATCAAGAATTTGCGTAGCCAGAATCCTAGCTGTATCCTCAGCCTTGGGTAAGGGATCCATCTTTGCTAACAAGGTTAGCGCCATGCCGGCGACGAGAGGTGATGCGAAAGAAGTGCCATCTACGGCTCTAACGCCGCTCCTTCTATTGAGGACGGTAATGTTTTGACCAGGAGCATATATATCGACGAGAGGACCAAAATTAGAGTGAGGCGCCTTGTCCCAATTCTCTGACAATGAACCGACGGTTATGTGAGGACTGGAAATAGCCATTGGGTAGGGATACAAGTCCTGAGATACTTCTATTGCGTTATTTCCCGCTGCGAAGAATATAAGGACACCCTGATTCCACGCATCGACCATGACGTTCTGTAAACGTTGTACCGTATTAAGTCCATCCGCTGTTCTAATTAGCTGTTTGTTTATTTTGTTTAATAGATAAAATGGAATGCTGACTTACGTCCTTTTCTCGAAGTTATACTGGTGGCGGTTTCTGCTGTCTTAATTTTATAGGTCAATTGGAATCTCATTGTTCGCTGTAAGAGCAGTTGTTATTATTGAGAACAACGCTAGTAGAGCGATGAGGTGTTTATAAACATCCATGGTATAATAAGAAGTAAGTAAGTCTGTTAGTTTGAGGAAGAATCGATTGGTGAGGAGCAAGTTTATTGAGTGAACTTCTGCCAGCTTCTTATAGCTTCTCCTACTGACATCGAGCGGCTGATTCCTCGTCTTGGTCCGTGGTCCATGTTTTTTTTTATGCCGAAGGATGTCCTCCTGAGTCAAAAAAACCGGTTTTCAAATCGCCAACATGGATGTCCCATCATAAAACAAGTCAGGATTAGCATATGTATGAAGCCTCGTGGGAGCTGGTCGGTCTGGGTGGGAGTAGGTTACACTATCACGGACCTCGGTCACCTCATATCACCTTACATGATGATAGAAATGACATAACACAATAAAGGCTGCTAAAGTTTCACTGCGCAGTCGATAGTCGACTAAATGAAGCTGCGTGCATGAAGTGGCGTTCAACGGTGACTACGAGCACTAAATAGAGTTGTTACGGACGCCAGGCTCCGGATATCACCTCCCTAATGTGACAATACACGTCATCAATTCACGATTCCAGTAGATTGTGGTAGGTAAGCATACCAATGTCTCACTCTGTTACAAAAAAACTTCCATGCCACTCAAAAGCAAGCGCAAGATTCAATGCCGAGCATGGTTTAGGGTTTGAGCATGCTGGCATATTACGGACGTGTTATCTCAAGGGTACATGCATGGCAATTGCCGCGCAATTGCCGAAGTAAGGCAATGTGAATGCCTATTGAAACTCCCCTTTTAGCACCTTAAAACGTTAGAGCAGTTGCTTGGTACCATCTTACACACACTCTACGCGCAGTCACAGAGCTTGGTAGCTTACCAGGTGTTTGCTATAGATATTTTCTACGCGCACATCGCGTATTCGCATCAAGTTCTGAGGAAGAACAAACTCAAAACGTTGTGTACGGACTTATCCAAGGGAAGCCAGGGAGCTGAACAGCCACATCCCACACGGGAGCCACGGGCAATTATCATTATGCCTTGAAAGCTCGCCGTGAACACGGCTAGTCTTGTAGGTATAGCTCGTACGGTATTAGTAGCTTCCGAAAGCAGAGCTCGTAGCCAACCTCCCGATAGTGCTCTGCCACTCCATGCCGAGTCACGGCGTTCACCGAAGCTTAAAAACCTGGATCCTGAGACAATCCTCCAACAACCTCCTCAATGCGACATTTGGATTATGATGAGTCTGGTCAAGTTCTCTGCTGCTCTCAGAAAGACTCAAGTCGATAGCCCCCCCCATTTTAACGAAATAATACCTTGCCCTTCATGTTTGCACTCTGCGTGGATGACGCTGCAGGTTGCGTAGACTATGATGCTGATACTTGTCGCTATGCTTTATGAGTGTTGAAACTCTCGAGACACTTGTTGTTAACATTTTAATAGCAGCAATATCTTGGATAGAAAGTGTCAATGTAGGATTCATAACTCTCTCGCCACCACGGACCGCAGATACATATGTTTGCCGCCTATACCACGAATCCCGTAGGGATTGCGTCCCATCATGTGGATCCTCCCTCCTTGGCCAGCCAACCGAACAAACCTACGATCGGGTCGGGTAGTATACTCGGCTCGGGTAGCAAGCAGTGACGCCTTGCGACGTGGGTCATTGTTGTATAAAAATTGGGACCAGAAACTATTGACTTGAAAGTTGAAACCAGACCTCCATGCCCCCGGCCACCCCTGTTTATGCTGTGAGGTGGTGCAATATGGTTGCATGTGCACATGTGGACTCGGACCGTCTCCCCGCCGCCTTGTACAGATGAAATCGTGGCGGGCCGCCATCATGAGCGCTTGCTATTTTGTAACGAGCACCTAGATACCGAATAGCGTACGGCACTTGCTAAATATGTAGTCAGTTCGTCTCGTACCTATGGAGTACATGCACATGTGTAGGAAGTCGTCAGTTGTCACGCCGTCTCTGTCCCCTCTGTTAGGTGCGCGGTGTGACCCCTGACTATTACTTGGCCTGTGCATGTGGCCTGCCCACGGGCTTCAGCTTGAAGCTTCAGCGGTGCCGATTAGTTACTTTTACCATCCTATTGAGTGCGCGGAGGTGCGTTGGATGTACCAGCCGAATTCAGGTTCTGGCCAATTAAAAATCTAGTACTAAGAGGTATACTACCTTACTAGTATTTTATATAATAATAAAAGTTACTAAAACTTCTTAAGTTATAAGAAATACCATATATTATAGCTAAATTAGTAGTAAAAAAGGTACTATTTTAATATCGCAGAAAAGTGGGTCTAATACATTTAACGCACCTCCGCGCACTCAATGGGATACAAGGGGGGGCGCAGACTTTTAGCACCAGACCTTACTGTACCTACCGTAAATAAGCTTACCACAACCACCAGACCTCGACCATCTCCCGTCTCCAGCTTCCCGTCTTCAACTTGGGTGATTTGACACAAGTCAAAGGCGTACGGCTGGCGCCATGCCTCGTTGAATCAATTCTCCATACATACCACCCCTTGCAGCTGCCATAGATGGTCGTATTCCCCATCCTCAATGGATCGCAGGCCAATTAGCATGGCAACAAGCTTATGTTCAAGCACTCGAGGTGCTGCGCCTTTGCCATCGGCCCCCCACTCCGCCTCCAAGCCGCCATGTCGCTTGCGATTCGCAATTCGGGTCTTCACGGACGCTGTGGGGTCCAAAACGAGTCTTGGCATGGCCATTGAGGTTCGGCCATTGCCTTTGGCTTTTCCCTTGATCCTCCTCTTTTTCATATCCCACAAGATCAATCTTGAACTCCAAGACAACTGTGAAACCGACGTCCAGGTGCTTGCCCAATATGATCTGTCTCAACAGAGCTGACGAGGGCAGCCTTCGCCACCTCACCTACAATCAGAGCCCCAATGCTCTTGCAGCGAACCAAACTACTCGCCAGGATCTGAATGGCATATCGAATCTGCGCGAGTATGTCGCAGCCAGCCAAGACGATGCGTCTGGGGGAGGGACCGGTGGAATGCTGGGCGAAACACCATTGACCGACAAGTTGCGCCGCGAAGGGGAGCCACATCTTCTGGCTCGAGTGCCGGACGCAAGACGATGGGTTGGTGGTATGTATCGAACCGCCCCTTGGTGCTCCTCTCCCAGTACTGATTCGACTTGCCTAGGTTCGTTCTTGCGTTTTAAGGCGGTTGCTGGCTTCAATGGCCAGAATCGCCTGGTCTGGGTACACTCCGCGTGGTGCCTGGAGCGCCTTTGGAGCTGGTTGACCTGGATTTTATCCGTTCTCTTCTTCTCTTATATGATTTCTAGTTTGCGCATGTCGACTTACTGGGCCGGAAATGAGAAGCTTCTGTCCAATATCGAATCGACTGCAGCCAATTCGTCTTCCCTGGCCGATGCTTTCGAAATGCCGGAGCCTTCATTCCGCCACGATCTTCATGGCCTCAAGAAGCGATCTTCTTGCGCATCAGGTGGCGTTGACAAGGACCAGTACAATACCGGGCTTCATGTCGCGGCACTCTTCATCATCTGGTTCGTCTCGACATTGGGGTGCGCATTTCCCATTATGGCTGCCAAGTTTCCCGGTTTGCGAATTCCGCGACGTTTCTTCTTTGCTGTGCGCCACTTCGGAACGGGAGTTTTGATTGCAACCGCCTTTGTGCATTTGCTTCCCACGGCCTTTGTGTCCCTCGGGAATCCTTGCCTTGGGACCTTTTGGACCGAAGATTATAACGCAATGCCCGGGGCTATTGCTCTTGCTGCAATTTTCCTCGTCACCATTATTGAAATGGTGTTTCATCCGTCCAGACACGTCCCGCCCGCCGATATTGTTGCCAAACCGAGGGCCAAAGAGCAGGAAGAACTCGAGACTACTGATTCGGAGGGCCACCCAATCCGTGATATGGGACCTCTTCGTGGCCGATCTAGCAGCGTGGCGCAGGGTCTCTCTCAGCTGAATCAAGCTGCCATATCCGAAGAGATTTCGGCCAAGGGGCCTGCTGCTGATTCTGCAATTGCCAAATCAGTGTCCAACGATTGTCATGATGCCACGGAACACGGCGAAGGCGAACAGACCGTCTTGACACCGGAGCAGAAGCGTAGGAAAGACCGATTGCAGTGTATCCTACTCGAAATGGGCATTCTATTCCACAGTGTTTTTATTGGCATGGCTTTGAGTGTCAGTATCGGGAACGACTTCATCGTCTTGTTGATTGCCATCGTTTTTCACCGTAAGTTGAACACAAGCGCATACCTTGTAAAATATATACTAATGCTGTATTAGAAACCTTTGAGGGTCTGGCACTTGGCTCAAGAATCTCTGTCATTGAATGGGGTGACAAGACATGGCAGCCATGGCTCATGGCATTGGCATACGGTTTCACGTACGTACATCACCACATTACTCCTTCGTAACATATTTAACAAGTGATAGGACACCGATCGGTCAGGCCATTGGCCTTGCTACGCATATGCTCTACAGCCCCGATTCCGAAGTCGGTCTCATCCTCGTTGGAGTCATGAATGCCATTTCTGCCGGTCTGCTTACGTTTGCATCCCTTGTCGAGCTCCTTTCTGAAGATTTTCTGAGCGACGAGAGCTGGCGTCACCTCCGAGGGAAGAATCGCATAATCGCCTGCCTGCTGGTCTTCTTTGGTGCCTTTGGCATGAGTCTGGTTGGCGCCTGGGCTTAAGTATCCACGAATAGGAGTTACTAAGAGAGCGTTGAGAGAGCGTTGAATAACGCCACAACAAGTGCGCATTGGTGAGAATGCCACTTGAAAACCAAGGGGTCGGTTGACTTACTTTCTTTGTGGCCATCATGGCCATGCTAAATTTTGACGATCTTGCCGATGGCATTTTACAAATAGCTTGGGGATAGCTAGAACCGTCTTTAGACAATACACACTCCTTTACAACCAATCTGTCCTGGTAATTTCAACAGGTCAACTCCGTGAATGACAAAAAGACATTGGTATATGCATCATGGATCCAGGTATATATTGCGCATCATGATACGGTATTTTTGGCCACCACGCCTCTCGCAAACTCGCCAAACGTCAAATGGGACTCGAGATCCACCTCATCACCCAAGTTGGGCTGCGTAAACACAGCCAGCGTATTCCTCGCAATAGCACCACCACTCACCGCCGCCCTCACGCCCCTGACATAATGCGGCACAGCCTTGAACCTGCCCGCCGTAATGCGCTCCAGCGTCTCGCCCGTCTGGAAAGCTATACAGTCCCTCGGGATCTTCACCTGGCACGTCTCCCCCGCGCGAGACAAGATGTACAGCCCCGCCGAAGAATCAGGCGACGCCGGAAGTTCCCCCAGCGGCGGCAAAGACGCACCCGTCAACCCAACGTCCCCCGGCACAGCGGGACTAACTTTATGCTCGTCGATAAACATGGCCGACGTCAAGCCCGTAAGACACCCGTGGTCGAGGTGCGTAGCGCACCAGTCGTCTTCGCTTGTCCCGTCGTTGCTGTGCACATCCTGCGGGAAGTAGTGCAGCAATCTCGCCTTGGTGGTGTTGGACGTGCTCACCACGTGCTCCAGGTAGCCCTTTGGGTATCCCTGGATCTCCCTCTCCGCGAAGCGATCACACGCTCGTGCCACCAGCACGGCAACGTCGATGATGAGCCTGCACAGCTCCGTGACGGCGGGTTTAAAACCGGGTAGCACATTCTCCGGCGGCCACGCGTTGGGAGACAAGTACTCCGGGAACGTGTCGGGCGAGAACTCGGGCGTGGGCCTGGCGCACTCGAGGGCTGGGTCGACGTAGAATGCGCAGTTGGCGTAGTACGAGCCCTTGAAGGTGTCTGCCTGCCCGTTTTTGAGGGTTTCTTTGCCCAGCGACCAGCCTGTCAAGTATTTGGCCTTGACGTTTTCCAGTTTTTCTACAACCGCGTCAGCGCTGGTGTTTCATAAGTACATATGTAGAGCGGAGCAACAAAGTGTAAGTAGCTGTGGTACTTTGGCCGTACCTAGTTCTTCGGCAGGGAGATTCCCCAGGTACGAGGCATAAGAGAGCGCCATGCGGCGCAACTGCGGAAATTCTTGGGGCACATCTTTGACGACTAGGATTCCTAGGGAATCGGGTCCAAAGGCTCGCTGTAGGGTTTCGAAAGAGACGTTGCCTGTTGCGTGTAAGTTTGCCATGGCCTGTGGCATGCCGTCATGCGGCTTCACTACGCGAGAGCCGTACCGTCAGTTAGGTCCTTCAGGGACACTGTTACGGGCTGTGCTTGCGCTACCATTCTGCCCTGTGCATCAAGTGATATTCTAAGCTCTCGAAGTAAATGACGCAGAATTCGGATCTGCCAGCATCGAAGGGATCCGTGGACGCAAAGTACATTTAAACTTGCAACCCCAGCTCTCGACTCGGCCTCTACAGCTGATGATGGCCGCTGACCTAACAGGCTCTCGTCAATGGTCACCTGCGGGGGAGGGGCAGAGAAAGCCCGCTTACATAATCAAATGCCCTTTTGAGGTCCGGTAGGCTACAGCGGGATGGAGCTCGCCGCCTCCCGCTCGCGCGTCAGACGCTCATTGCTCACCGACGCCAACCGAGCCATCCCAGACTGCCCATCCCGCAGAATGGTCAAGCCATTGAGCTTCAAGGGCGACAAGAAGCCCAAGAAGCGGAAGCGCACTGCTGATGCCGACCGAGACGATGGCGAGGCCGGCCCTTCGCGGGTGCAAAAGCTCAACAACGACGACGACGCCGCCGCCGACGATGACAGCTGGGTTTCTGCGGATGTTGCGACGGACGTGGTTGGGCCCGTCATGATTGTGTTGCCCACCGAGAAGCCGTCTGCGCTGGCGTGCGACCCCAACGGCAAGGTGTTTGCGATGCCGATTGAGAATGTCGTCGACGGAAACCCCACGAGCGCGGAGCCGCATGATGTGCGCATGGTGTGGGTTGCGAACAAGGTATCCGGCACGGATAATTTTCGCTTCAAGGGCCATCACGGACGGTACGCCACCTGCAACCTCGAACTACGCAACTCGCCTGACGCTGCTGCTAACATGGGAAAACATCAGATACCTGGCCTGTGACAAAATAGGTTTCCTATCCGCCACGTCGGAAGCCATTTCCCCCCTCGAGTGCTTCAACGTCATCGCCACGGCCGACACCCCCAGCACTTTCCAGCTGCAAACCCTTCGGGAGACGTTCGTCACCATCAAGCCCAACACGTCGTCCAAGTCGACTTCTCCTGCAGAAATACGCGGCGACGAGGACAAAATCACATTCAATACGACCATGCGCATACGTATGCAGGCCCGGTTCAAGCCCAAGCTCAAGGCGTCCAAGGAGGAAAAGGCCCTGTCAAAGATTAGTAGGCAGGAGTTGGAGGAGGCCGTGGGCAGGAGGCTGGATGAGAACGAGGTGAAGGTGCTGAAGAGAGCAAGGAGGGAAGGCGATTATCATGAGCGTCTGTTGGACTTGAAGGTGAAGAATCGACATGACAAGTTTGGATGAGGAGCTACGTCGACCACCTCGACAAGTCGTCCACGTATGCTTCAGCTAGCCGGCGCAGGATGGTGCATAAAAGCAGTTCCGAGCCTCGCATGGAATCATGGCGAGTTCAAATTGCCTTGGCTGCGGGCATGTCGTTGGCTCCCCTAGAACGGAGCTCCATGCCAAGGGCACCTGTATATACATCAACATGCCGCGGTGAACAAACCACGTACTTGCCAGCACGTAGCGTTCACACACACCCAAGAGAAAGCATTGCAAATCAAGGGCCACCAAAGACTCAACGCCAGGGATATCACGAGCACACCATCATCACCCACCCCAGCCGGTCCCTAACCGCCCCTCCAAGCCTTGACGTTGCCATCCTCGCCCGCCGTAAACACAACCTGCGCATCGTCAAAGAAGCAAAACGCGCGCACGATATCCTCCCCATGCGCCCCGGGCAGTCCCACGCTGTTCTCCCGGTCAAACACCCACTTCGGCCCGTGGCCCTGATTCCTCGCCAGGAACACAAGTTCGAAGCCATGCCTCCTAATCCAAAGTCAGCACACGGCTACCACCCCCCCAAACCAAAAAAAAGACTTACTCCTGAGCGCCGGCGCCGATAATCGCACCGCTACCGTCCGTCTTGCCCATCACGTCCGCGACGTACTGGCAGCCCAGCACGCTCCTCAGGTCGCCCCAGTTCTGCGCGGCGTCGCCCCCCTCGGCCCCCTCGTCCACGTCATACAGCGCGAACTGCTCGTCGTGCGAAAGCGCCACGACCTCGGTCCCCGTGAGGAACCCAGCGCGGTGGACGGACGCGCCGTGGTTGAACGTCTGCAGCGTGACGTCGTCCTCGTCCGCGACGCGCGTGTCGTACACGTTGACCAGGCCGTCCGTCGAGCCGCTCAGCAGGAAGGCCGGCTGGCCGGGCCGGAAGGCCAGCTGCGTCACGTCGTCGCTGTGCACCTCCTGGTAGTGCGCGCGGGGGCGGGCGCCGGCCCTCACGTCCCAGGCGAAGATGCTCGCCGTGTGGTCGCGCAGCTCGGTGCCCACGGCGATGGTCTGCGTCGACGCCGAGCAGGCCACGGACAGGATGGGCGACGGCGCGGCTTTTTTTCGTCGACGCGGTCAGCCAGCTGCCCTCCTTAAACTTCGGGTGCCTTACCGTTGAACTGCGCCGCGCGGGCTTGGTCCCCGCGCAGTCGGAGATCCCACACGGCCACCGTGCCGTCCTCGCCTGCCGTGCACACCAGGGAGCTGCTCCCGTCGAATACGCGCAGGCTGGTCAGGTTGCCGTGCTGCGGCTTCCACGAGGCCACGGGGCCGTCGGGGAGGCGGGCCGGGCGCAGCAGCGAGAGGTGCTGGTCCGAGGAGATTGTGACGAGGCCGGCTTCTGTGCGGTCCACGTCGAGGACGTATGTTTCCTCGGGGCCGGAGAAGCGGTGCGTCGCGATGTTGGTGAGCGTGTACATGGTGGGTGGGTTGTGAAATTTTGCGACATGAGGGTTGAGCGGCGGGGGTTCGCGCACCAGGGTTCGGGAGACCAAGGAACAGTATATGCGTGGGTATTCGCAAGTGTAAACCAGGCACAGATGCCTAGTTTAGAATCAGAAGCGCATCCGATACGCCGTTATGTGCTTCACGGATGGGCTTGCGATGTGGTTTCAAGTGTATGGTCGTCAGTAGCCATTGCAGGGTCGTTGGTGGGTAAAGATTTGCAGACCCACGGAGACCTCACTCGCCTTATCACTGATGAAAGCATCTACGTCACAACACTAACCAGGCATCGGGCGCATTTTTGTTTAAAAAAAAAATTGAAATGCTGTTTAAAGTCATGTTCGGCCCCCCATTATGTCTATATATCCATGTTCACGCTACTAATAGTACACTGATTGTCGTTCGTATCCTCAATCAGAAACTCACGACGGAGATGATCTAAAGAAGCCGTAGAAGAGAGATTGGCCGCAAACCACCCGCTTTTTGCCAGTCAACGCCTACAAAATGCAAATATTTTTGTGTCTCAGAAAATGGCCACCCCTGCCCCGTGTATATGAAATGACCGCCTCAGTTGTCTTCCTCCCGCTCGCCCATGGATCGCTCGTTGACGCCCCGAAATACCCTCTTCCCAACCTCGTAGCTGCTAATCATGATGGCACATGCCGGTGCGACTTTAAGAACGCGGGGGATCCACCCTTTCCATAGTCCCGGAGCGCCTTCTGTCTTGAATATATGCCACAACAGACGCATCATGTTCTTTTCCTCGGCTGCGTGAGCTTTGCCGGCGAGTCCGCTAGGGCCGTCTCTAAAAACTTGAGTTCGTGTCTTTCCGACATCAAACGGTGTTGTTACAATCGAGGCCAAGGTCCCGGACAGAGCCCCAGCTGTGAAAGAGTCAACAAACGTCTCCATGTGATTCTCCTGGCTCTGGGAGCGCCGTCGAGCGCTCTGAAGGGATTCTGCTCGGTTAAATGGTCGCCCCTGACTGTCCTCCCGCATATCTGTCAACCGAGAGCGAATAGTTTCATAACCCCACCAGTAAAGGGCGGAGAAAGGAACATCTCGCCAAAGCGTCAAGGTGAGTCCTCTCCACAAAGACACATAGCCGTGCGTGGCCACCATGTCCCGCACACCCTGGAACGTTTCCACCAAATGATTCGTCGTTGATGTTCCATGGGCAGCTTGCATTCGCGTTCGAAATAGCTCGATGGGCCCAACAGCCGTGGCAGCAAGAATACGGGCTGTTGACCCTGCAACCAGAGGTGCGTTGTCGCTGGAAAGCCGAGAAAGTGGGCTGACTGGATTGTATCGAAGCCAGTCATAGCCGGTAAAGTAAATTATGTTGGCGGGAATGGTCATGAGCAACGTCGGTGACAGCCCCCTCCAAAGCGTCGTGAAGCCTTCGTTACGGGCAATCTTCCGCAGGCCATCAAAGGTGGAGTTATACGTCTTCTTTTGCACCTCGTGAACAGCGCAGTCGGCACCAGAAGCTACTGACGATGCAGCTGGTTCCACAATTCCTTCGCCTCTCGGAACAGCGATGCAAAGCTCTGCAGAATTGCCTTGAAAAAAGACTTCGCGACAGCATGCCGTAACTCCGAGCTCCGCGGTCTGTGCAGGCGTGAGGGTGGTCGTCCGTAGCGCGAGTTTTGAAAAATCGACTGCTGAAGTTGGTGTCCGTTGTGATTGCAGGCGAACTCGAACAACATCTAGTGGGGTAACTGTTTGATAGTTAGCATGCGGGAATCAACAGACTGTGCTGGCGTAACTCTCGGGCTCACCAAGCAGTGACGTGAGTAAGCTCCCGGACATGGCTGAGATCATCTTTTGCGGCGCGGTGATGTCTGGGACAGGACCCAGGCCATCGCCGCCGTTCGATGAGCCTACACCGGAGCCTCGGGTCTGCATGTTCACAGTGTCCGCCTCGAGCAGCCTGTCGTAGTTTTCGCTGGCAGAATTGAAAGTCGTGATTGAAGCCATGGCGGGCTCTCGGGCTATCGCCCGGTAATCTCGGAGAAAATCGAGCGCTGCTGCAAAGGTCACAGGCTCGGCAATTAGAGCAGAGCCAGTTCCTTGCAAACAGCAATAATAAAAAAGATGGCCCTCTCTGTCAGAAGAAGAGTGAAAATATGAAAATGGAGTCAGAAGTTGGGTGAGGGGGAATGGAGATCATAGACGATTGAAGTCAAGTACGTAACAGCCAACAACTCCGAGACGGCTTCCACAGGAGACCAGAACTTGGGGGATTTGCCCCCCGTAGCCGGAGCAAAAAATCGGGTCGAGCTCGTTTGGCTGACGTTCACAGGGCAGTTCATGGCACATGCCGCAGGTTGCCGCTGTGTGACGGCTAGTCATGATTGGCCGGTGTATGAAATCGATGACTCCATGCTCCACAAGGCAACATTGAGGACCTGGACGTATCGATAAGATTATCTCAGCAAAAAATCGGAGGCGGGGCCCTAGATCCTGACTAAGCCAAAAATAAAAAAAGTTATTTGATAACTCGAGTTTGACCGATACGTGCCTCATTGCGATCGTTGTAGCGAGCCTCGGCCATCTCGGGGTAAAGGTCTTCGTCGCAAACAATCCAGCAAGTGTGGTTATCAACTGCAAGGTTGCCAGGCAAAAGAAAGATTGCCAGTGGTCAACTCCAACACACAGGCCTGCATTCTATCGAAAATCCTTCACGATGCGGTAAGGCTCGCTTCTGCTCTCATTGAAGCGCAGATGAATTGGACTCGATTCTAACCCACGCACAGTATTGAGCCTTGTTATTTCTGCGGCAGACCTAGCTATCCCAGCAAGGGGATAACATTTATAAGAAGTGACTGTAAGTTTTGCCTTCCAGCCCTCTTTTGCACGAGGGCAAAATACGCCCGTCTTCGCTAACGCTCGAATCCCCTTTAGCCAAAGCATTTCGCTTCTGCAGGTGAGTACCCTTACCCCAGTGCGCCGAGTCACGGCCTTTTTTTTCCTTTTTAACAAAACCCAAGGTCAAAATGCCACAAAAACTTCAAGATGAAGCGTAACCCCCGCAAGCTCAAGTGGACAAAGGCCTACCGCAAGAACGCCGGCAAGGAAATGGTTGTCGACAGCACCCTCCTCTTCGGCGCCCACCGCAACGAACCCGTCCGCTACAACCGCGACCTCGTCCAGAAGACGTTGGGAGCCATGCAGCGCATCAGCGAGATTCGTGCCCGTCGCGAACGTGTCTTCTACAAGAAGCGCATGGCTGGCAAGCGCGAGCGTGAACTCACCGTCGCCCGAGAGCTGGTCGCCAAGAACGAACACCTGCTGCCCCGGATGCGCGGCAGCGAGAAACGTCGCCTCGAGGAACTGGCTGCCGAGCAGGGTCTCGATGCGGAGGAGTTGGCTGCCGAGCACTTGCAAAGCGCCAAGCACGACAAAAAATTGTTTGGCGGTGAGAAGAAGAGGCTCAGGGTACGGGTTGACGGCGGTATTGAGGGTGACGGGGACAATGAGATGGATATGGATTAAATACTAGGGGGGCAGTGTGACGGTTGGTGAAATTTGCGTTGTCGCTGCTCGGCTCGGCTCAGGTGTGTGGTATTTGGGCATCTGTACAAACCACGGGATCTGGCGTGTTTAGGGCATCTGCCGCACCTCGTTTGACTTGTCGTGGCCTGCCGCGGAGCATACTTTCTACTTGGCGTTTTGGGATCGGTAATCAAAATAGATGTTATCACATTGGTACTCCATACATCCACTTGACTACACGGCACTACGCAAAACCCGCACAGCACCCGAATGCCTTTTTATCAGTGCGCATGCTGTGCCCAAGGTGAAAACTAACAAAGGCATGACGAGGCCATTATAACTACCCAGGTACCTAGGTATTTATCTAACAGAATTGTACAAAAGGGATATTTCGGGCCGATGCCCATGAACCCCAGCCGAGTGTAGTCATCAAATCTCTGAGTGCAAACCCAGTACTAGACCAACAATGCCACATGCATATAAACATTTGTCCTCGTTTCGGGCAACCAAAATGGCCATCCAGGCTCCAACTCATCCGTCTGCCCTGTATTGCTAGCACCGAGTGAGTGTATAGTCGATCGTTGGCAATTCGGCCACCAACCCACTGTGGTAAGCACAAACGCTCACCCAATCAGGAAGCGGCCATGACCGACCGTAGTCATCACGGAGCAGAACTAATACATTGCATCACCGCAACTCAACCTCATCAAAACATCAAATAATCTAGGGACATGAGCCTACATCATGGCCCGCCTCAGAAAAGTACTCTAATACTCCTAGTCCCCAAGACTATTGATCCCTCAGCTCTCCCAATTTTTCTCCTCCGTATCACATTCACACTGCGATAACTCAAGTCTCCCTCACTCGGCCCTACCGGACTTTGGAGCCAAACGTCCAAGTCGACACCTGCCACACCATCTCACAGTCAACATGGAAGAATCAAACGGGCTGGGCCCAGAGCTCGAGTCCTTTAGACAGCAATGGCTGTCCGAAGTGCGCACCAAGAAGGGCGAGCAAAGCACTCAACCCCAACTACGCAACTCTGTCCCATCAGCCTCAACTGCTCCCCCTCCTCCAAGGAAGTCCATGGCGCGCCGGCCCTCGCCTGCAAAGAGTAGAAAGGCACCTCCGGCAGCTGAAGAGGAAGACGAGTACCTCCATGGCCGATCCTTCGACGACAGCCCTGAACCCTCGGGCAACACCATTGATGGGTCGGTCCGTATGCCGCCTGAGAGGGAGCTCGTTTCGGCGCTGGATCACTACGAGGAGGCCATGGAGAAGGAAGCCCTAGGCAACATGGGCGATAGTCTGAAACTATACCGGAAAGCTTACAGAGTAAGTCCAAGGAAGAGAAAATTATTTCGCATCACAGTACATGGCTCTGACGAATATAGATGGACCACGGCGTGCATCGCCGCTACCGCGAGAAGCACTTCCCACAGCATAAACAACCTCAAACCGCACCCACAGCGTCATCAACTCAAATCACATCAACAGACGCCACGCCCGCAGGAGGCGACGCACCCGTCTTGCTCCCCATCAAAGACCTCATCGCCAGCTTTGCCGGCCTCCAAATCGAAACAGCGCCCCCCGAAACAGACGGCACACCACCCGCGCCGTGCCCGCTCTCCTGCCTCCCCAGCGAGCTCCTCGTCCACATCATGCAGGACGTGGCGGCCCTCGACGTAGGCGACTTTGCGCGCCTCTCGCTCGTCTGCAAACCCCTCGCGTACCTGGCCGCCACTGAGGAGCGCACATGGCGCCACGTCTGCCTCGGCGCGCGGTTCGGCTTCGCAGCGATGCACCGCCGCTGGAGCAAGACAGTGGAATGGGAAGCCCTCGACGAGGACGACGGGCCCGCCGGCACGACGACCGAGGACGCAGCCGCCACGGCGTCCCTCGTGCCCGTCCCCTACGCCTCCTGGAGGGCCATGTTCCGCGGGCGGCCCCGGATCCGCTTCAACGGGTGCTACATCAGCACCGTCAACTACGTGCGCTCGGGGCAGGCGTCCACCAACCAGGCCACCTGGGGCGGCGCGCCGATTCACATCGTCACGTACTACCGGTACCTGCGCTTCTTCCGCGACGGCACCGCCATCAGCCTGCTGACGACGCTGGAGCCCACCCACGTCGTGCACCACCTGACCGGGGACCTGCTGCGCCTGCACCGGGACAGCGACAACGCCCACGCGCACCTGCCGTCGGCGGCCATGCAGCGCGCCTACAAGGGCCGGTGGCGGCTGTCCCTCGGCCCGGGGGGCGACACGGACGCCGAGCAGGCCGGTCCCCCCCGCGGCGAGGAGGGCGACGAGCAGCTGCGCGAGGGCGACGTGACGGTCGAGACCGAGGGCGTCGACCCCAAGTACATGTTCAGGATGGACCTGTCGCTTCGCACGGCCGGCAAGGCCGCGCGGAATAATAAGCTCGTGTGGAGGAGCTTCTTTAGCTACAATAGGCTGACGGACGACTGGGCCGAGTTTACGCTCAAGCACGATAAAGCATTCTTCTTTAGCCGCGTGCGCAGTTACGGCGTGGGCGAGTGACGTGCCACCGGCCGGGGGGGGCGGACGGATCAAGGGACATGGACGAGCCAAGATGTGAGTACAGTTGAGCCATGTTATATTTAGTTGCCATTTAGTGATGAAATATTATATGCCGGACTGTAAGAAATTTTAAATAAAAAGGAGAGGCAAGGCCTGGTATTGTCTTGGCATAATTTTATACACTGAATTGAAATTCCCAATTATATATTCCAAACCGCAGGAAGCAAGCGCATTTTTACCGCCCAATCCCACCTGTCGTAGATATATGTAAATGATATTCAAAAAATACCCTCTTGTTGGGAAACCAAGCCAAGAAGAAAAAACTGCCAATGAGAGACATGGCCAGCCAATAGCTCCATTTCGAAGCTTATCAACATCATGTCCGTAGTATGAGCTGCTAGATGGTATCGTCAGGTCGCTTTCTGCGAGTTCGCTAAATGTATCCAATAAATGTGTCGTGATTTGCGGGTAAAAAAAATAATGAATGGAAAGCAGTCGAGACCTCGCCCGTGAGGTAGATTTGTGCAGGCATATCTAGACAAGACAGTCGAGCTACCTTATCCTTCGCCCATCAATAAATTTGGGACTGTTGGGATCATAATAGCGATCCCGATATTCCGTTGCCTTGCGTGCTTCATATGCCGCCCTCTCCTCTTCATCCAAGCTGAACGCCTTCTTAAACCAGCCAAAAGCACTCTTCTTCTTCCGGAGCGTTGGTCCTGTCGTGTTTGAGCCCGAGGACTGGGTTCTGTCATCATCATCATATACTGCATTTGTTACGTTGCTCAGAGTGCTCATGCCACCGATAGCGGATGGCTGACTGCGCAGATGCATGTAAGACCCACGAGACCCGACAGAAGTGTGAGGCCGCTGCTGCAGTGCTGAATGTGGTGATGCACGCACGGGACGATAGTACTGCTGGTGGTCTGATCGAGGCGAGTGCGTAATGTGTGGCCGAGCAGGAGATCTTCCAACGTCTGAGCCAGCCCGCGATGCCGCCCGTTGGGTGATGGACTCTGAGTCCGAGCCGTACGCTGAATCCAAGGGGTTCGAATGGGTAGTTCGAGGTGTTCCAAGGCCAGGCGATGGCGGCCGGACAGGCCTCGGCGGAATCTGCATCGTGTCTGGGGAGTTGGTCTTTTGGGATACTTGGGGAACAATGGAGGACCTGGCCTGTGGAGCCCCCTGGCCATCGATACCAAGCGCATTGTCTTGGGATTGTGTTGGGTCTTGAGGTTTCGGTGAAGAGGTCCCGGCTGACTTTAACGCAGGGGATGGTGAAGGTTCCTGGGGTTGGGGGGTATATGTGCGAGGCTGGAGTACATACAGTGGTTCCTCGCTCGCGGATGGGCTTGGGCTGGGTGCATCCGCTCGTTTGCTCGCAGCCTTTGACTGAGGAGCAGATTGTGTAGGTGTCTGCGTACGAGAATGATTGCCAGGAGTGCGGCGGAGAGGGGAGCGATGAGGAGGAAGTAGGGGGAGTCCACCGGGAAGAGGGAATTCTTCCCCCAGGTCAAGGCCAATGGTGCTCGCGCTTCTCGTCGAGGTCGCAACACTCTGAACACTGGACTGATGCTGGTGTTGCCGCAGTGGTAGGTTGCGGGACTGCCTCGATGAAGATACAGACTTGGTTGTGTCGTTTGGTGCTTGAGAACTGGAAGTGGGAGCGGAAAAGGGCTGGATATTTGCCTAAAGACCACCGTTAGCAGTAGCGCCTCGTTTCTGCGAGTTCTTTTTGCGGCAAACTTACCCAAGTCCTACGACTGACTTCTCCGGCCTTCTTCTCCATCTCGCTGATGATGGTTGAGAGTCGCACAATGACATTACTAGCTTCTTGTACACGATCACTCATATCGTCAAAGGCACTTAACCAACCCTCCGTATTGCCCTTCATGGCGTCGAATATATCGGCCACGTCAGGACGCTCCATTCTCCAGGTTGCATCTTCTTCGTCGTGGAGCCAGCTAGTAAATGCGGCGGTTGATTGCAATCCAGCCTCGATATCCTCATCCCACTGCTTCAGGGCCGCATTCGTTCTGGAAAGTACGTGGTCAATTTTTTCATTGCCGTCGATAATCTCAAGACGGAAGTTTCGATCTTCGAGGAGCTCTTCAAACACCTGAACATTGGCCAGTGGGAGTTTCAAGTGTTCTATGCGCTCATTCAAATCATCGATTGCCTGCGCGAGGTCCTCAAGTGCAACTTCTAAAAACTCATCGACTTCGTCAATATGACCTTGTAGAATATTGACGACTTGAGCATTGCTGTTGGCCATGCCATTGAGCAGGAGATACACGCCAAAGGATATTTGCCCAATCAGCTTGACGAGTTCGTGTTGATTTTGGCCGGGTCGAAGGCGCCATTTCGCGTCGAATGGATCGTCGCCTCGATCCTGGGTGATTAGGGCCTCTCGACGTCCTCGGGCATCCAACTCTCTGAGCTTTGGCTTGTCTCCCGGGACCCCGTTTGTTGCTTCATCCAGCGACTCGGAGAATGCCTCTTGGAGAGCTGGGATCGGATGAATAGGTATATTATGAGGAGTCAGGGGTGGTTGTGTCAATTCGGTTTGTTCTAGTTCGTCTCCTTTTTCCGACTTGTCCTGGTCCGGATGAGGCGCTTCGGTTTCGACAAAAGGCTCGGGAAGTGTAGGTGAGAATAGGGAAATGCGAAGACCACCTGCTCCGAAATTGAGCGGCGGTAGCTGCGTACTCGTCATGGTAATACTAGATAAGGAGCTCATCAAGAAAATATCGGACGGGACCAGCCGTTTTCCTCGGGGGTATGTAGAGGGCGGTCTGTTCTATCCGGGCCCAGGATTGAATTCGCAAGCTACACTCGCGCAGCCGTGGGTGACGCAACAGCTACATGTAGAGGACCAGTCTCAAAGGACAGGGGGGCGAAATGCCATCCTCCTTTGTCGAGCCACTTCGGCAGACGCGTCGTTATCCGTCGACAGCGAAAAGGCGCTCGAGCTTCGAATGTAGGAGAGAGCTACGGCAATATGCCACTCTTGCGATTGAAAGATTGTGAAAGGAGTGAGACAACAGCGGGTGGGATAAGCGGCAGGGCCCAAGAAAGCGGTGCTGATTCAGCCTCCACCCCCATGCGATGTTGATGAGAGAAACTACCAGGGTGACTGGGGCGACACTGTACGAGAGAAGGACGAGAACCTTCTTAGCCTGTGGAGGTTCTAAACTATTAGTAGCAGAACAATGACGGAAGGCAAACGCCGACAAAGAACGGGATACCTGGTCGAAGCACGGGGCGAGGTGGGCGACGATGGGCGCATGGGCGAGGGAGACATATCAACAGGGGACCTGTCGACGTACTCGCTCGGCCTGGGCACTTGTCCACGAGCATGGAGTGGGTGTCCTCCGTACTCGATCCAACATATGAGCATTCCCGCCGTGTGGCATCGATTTCTGTCGAGGCTTTCCGGCCCCCCACCGCTCGACGCTCCAGGGCCATCAAGCCACCAACCGGGAAGAAGGGCAGTGAGAGCACGGCTGGCGAGACCCCTGGCGCTAGGTGGAAGCGCCGTTGCTACTAGTCCGGTAGTATTGCAACATTGAAGCCAATATAAATTGCTAAATTAGGCCCTCTTGTGGAGTGCAGAATTGGCGCAGCTTCTAAACCTTGCGGAGGACAAGGGGCGGCTCCTGGCTTCCAGACCTCGATCGAGTAGTGGCACTGGCTTCACGCAATAAAGATGGTGGGCAGCGGCGCAGGAGAGGCAGGAGAGGCAGGAGAGGACTCTGCGAGAAGGCCAAACACGGACAGGACTGACGGGGGTAGCGGGAGGTTCTCATGGTCAAGGGCTGCGGCCAGGAACACCAGACAGGAACACCAGACAGGATCTGGGCGAGGGACGGTTCGTCGGAAGCAGAGGCGACATGGAGCTCAGGAATGTGGTGCCATGTCTTGGTGAGCGATGCGGAGATTCGGATGGGAAGTTCCTCGGTCGCTCTTTCCGTCTTCCACAGCCCACATGCACACCAACTCCAGATATCACGGCTCGCGAGAGCAATCATGCTCCAGCCATCAAAAATGCATCTCCAATCCCCGGCTCTTTTGTGCCATTTCTGGCGCGACAGGCGAAGGCAATTGTACTATGTATGTATGTACGTATGTATGTACATGTTACGACTGTCACCTGCCGAGAACCAACCCCTGCTGGCACGTCCACCATGATTAGCTCTGACCACCCAGCGGGCCTCACGGGAAATACTTGGCCAAGGACGTACGGAGTAGTATTTGTTGGATCTGTCAGTTGATGAGCATCCAACGGATTCCATTGTTTCATCGTTTCCGTCAATCAAACGCCCATGAACCCGGCCTCCGCCTTTTGCCATGATCAAGAGCACACGACCAACCGCACTTTTTGGCCTTCAAGAGCAAAGCGCGACGTTGAATGCGCAGCCTTTCGTTGATGACGGACGGTGACGCGTAATTGACACCGCCATAGCTGCAGGTACGCCGTGGGACGGAACAAGCTATTGGTGGAGGGCGTACTAATGCTAATTCTTGTCCCATGCCCTTACAGTCCAATCGTCGGCCATACTTCGTGTGTGCGGAGTACAGTTGTCGTATTGCGATAAGGGCCATCGCTTGGCGGCAGCCACCTCACCTACTTGGCACAAACACCGCACAACATGCCGTGAAGCCATATTCATTGTCGCCTTGCAGGGCGAAACGGAGTCCGATGTGGTGTGATGCTGCGGCTTGTTTTTTATTACTAGTACTGCCACTATTATTATGATTCCGCTGGAACAGGTGGCTCTCGGCTTGACCCTTTCTGCCCAGCGCCCTTTTTGGGCTCTCGAGGCCGTCATTCGCCTTGATTTGACCACATCCATCGGAACGACCCTTTGCGAGCGGGCCAGGCCGACCGCATCCAACACGGGGAGTGAGAAAAGGTCGATATTTTCACCATGGCCAGTTTCAAATACCAGTAATTCTGAAATGCAAATTTTTTTTGTTTCAGAAAAAGTCTAACAGAGAGACTTGCGCTATGAGCTACCCATCGCGCACGGATAACCGGTTTTGCTTTCACGGGCTGGTCAAAACCTAATCTGGCCATCTGGCCTCGAGAGATTGTAGCCATCAATCCCTGTGCTGTCGGTCTTACAAAACACACCTCTTCTCATACCTCAGATTGGATAGCTCGACACAAGAAGAACGCCCTCAAAACGCCGGCTATCCCTTGCCGACGGACGTATACTCATTTCCTAATTATCGTGATAATTTCTGGACCAACTTCTTCAGCAGCTCAGGATGACGGCATTTTACACCACAAGGTACTCTTCCGGCTTATGATGACCTGGTCAATCGGTCGATTCAAATATTCATGTAGGACTTCAAATGGGGGAGAGACTCAAGGGTCTCTTCACCTATCCGTAACAGCGTCTGCCGCTTCATTCACTGCTTCCCCTAAGCCCAACCGCCATTATCGTGTGGCATGATTGGCGCCGCCGACTGTTGATGTTAATTGGTACGGAGGTTTCTTCTACGCTAAAACAGTTTCTTAAGCTGTGTGTGTCTCGGTGTAGTTTGATCGTGAGGCGTCGATCCACGGGTTGATTTCAAACCATGTCTGGACGGTGTTCAATGTCTCGAATCTCAAACGAATCCATCGGGTTGCTCCCGATACCAACCTCCCAAGATAGGATAAGAGTGGCCCCCATCTCTGCCAGGACAAGGCGAGCTGTCGCTGAACGGAAAAGCTTCTAAATGTTATTTTATATCAATTGCCTCGCACACAGTGAATTCACGTTGGTCCCTAGGGTAAGCGAACACCAGCATCTGTGGCTGACTGCCAGGGAAGCGTAGGGACAGACAGGCCGCGGGAAAACGAATAACCAATGGTAGTACAGCCGTTACAATCCTAATGCGGTGGAGCCAACTCGCGATTCAAACCTAGGAGCTACATGAAGCGTACGGAGTAGAGTGATGTCGTCAAGCTTGCATGCTGACAACGACCTTCGCGGCCACCGCCCCCTCAAGTGCCTGATTTAATGCTCGCCATGACTACCAGCCGCACTCCTTGAGGTACACAAAAAAAAAACGGTTCCTTCAAGAATATATATATACATAGAGAGAGCTCTTTAAAGGATGTGCAATTTTACAAACTGCAAAAAAAGAACAGCTTGAAGAGGTCTCTCCCGCCGGGAATTGAACCCGGGTCTCAAGCGTGACAAGCTTGCATACTGACCACTATACTACGGAAGATGAAATGGCTTTTAACCATCGTAGCTTGTGTTGCTGTGATCACATGACGACTTTAATTGATTTATAAATGTCTGGTATCCCGTCTTGCAGATATGCCATGGCAGTACCCTAGACTGACCACATACACACACGATACATGCATTACAACACACCCAAAAGCTAAAAATATATTACGCGATCCAATAGTGTAGTGTGTACACTCTCATGAAAATGAATATGAATGGCATTGGCGGGCTTCAACGATGGCTTGGATAAGCAGACAGTCTGGCGGAAGTGGTTAACAACAAATAAGACAAAGCTGCACTTGGAACCAAAAAAGTACCGTCGCAGCACTTTACAACCCGGCCTGATGCGGTGCTACGTGGCTGAATAATATGTATCCGACCAAATCGACAGCCTCATCAGGCTTTGACACACCATCCAAATACCCAAAGATCGTGGGGTTGAAGCTCTTTACTCTGCGTACTGTCAATATCACATTTTATGAACAATGGAAGGTCTCTCGGGGGCTTCGAGTGTCATCGCCATCGTTGATTTGTCCACACAAGGTTGCCTTGCTGTGCTTCCAGTATTTCAATGACGTCAAAAAGGCGAGGGATGACATTTCCAGACTACGCAGAGACGTTGCGAACCTCGAGCATGCCTCGAAGAGCATTCAACAACCCATCAATGGGCCACATCGTGCAAAGCTCGAGGCTTCTCAACAGCTATCCATTGCCATCCAGGACTGCCAATTGAGACTGCACCAGTTGCATGACAAACTTCGGCCAAAGACAGCCCGTCAGGCAATCACATGGCTTGGATCTTAAACCTTGAAATGGCCCTTCCAAAGCAAAGACGTCGAGCATATCGTCCAAGATCTTGAAAGATGTACGCGAACCATGCATTTGGCTTTGCAAGTTGACCAGACGTACTACGAAACATCTACGTAGTAATACTGCCAGGGAAAAGCACCAATTGACTGGTAACAGCAATCATCTTGTCGAAATTGATCGAAAGACTGTTCTCGACCGCCTCCCAATTGCCAAAGGAGCCTCTTTTGACTCCCACAAGGAAGAAAAATGGCCGGATTTACCTGTAAAATACCCGAGTAGATCTCCTCCAACAAGTTTCAGCATGGGCTGCGGACCCCAATAATCTTCTGGCTGAACTGCATGGCAGGGACTGGGAAGTCAACCATAGCCCGCACGGTTGCTCAAAACTTCACTAAAGGGCATCGCATTAGAGCCAGCTTCTTCTTAAAGAGGGGGGAAGCTGATAGACGGGACCTGAACGAGTTCTTCTCAATAATTGCGGCGGATCTCATTGCGAGAAAGCCAGCCATCTCTCTCCACATGAAGAATGCTATTGATGCCGATCCAGCTATCCTAAGAAAGGCAATGCGAGAACAATTCGATAGGCTTATCTTGAAACCTTTATCCATGATTGCGCCAGAGATCAGGAACGATCCCACCGTTGTTGTTGTCGACGCACTAGATGAATGCGAACGACAGGATGATATTACGCTTTTGATTCATCTTTTCTCTCGTACTAATATGTTGGAGGCCGCGGGACTACGAATTTTCTTAACCAGCCGGCTAGAACTGCTAATAAGACTTGAGTTTAGTAGGATTGAGGGAACATATCAGGACCTAGTACTCCATTACATACCTGAAACCATGGTTGAGCACTATACATCGGCATTTTTAGAGCACGAGCTTGCAAATATCCGAGACGAAGACAATGCTTCGGTTCGGGAAGATAGAAAGTTACGACAATCCTGGCCTGGTCAATCGACTATTAAGTTACTGGTTCGGATGGCGAGCCCGCTGTTTATTTTCGCAGCTACCGTATGCCGCTTTATCGCTGATCGCAACGACGCCAACCCCGACCGCCAGCTGCAGGAGGTTCTACACCTAGGTAGTGACATCAATTGATATCACAACTACATGTGGCGTATCTACCTGTCCTGAACAAACTCATCATGGGACTGTCCAACATGCGTCGGGACAAGGTTCTTCAGGAATTTGACGCATCGTCGGCGCCATCATCGTACTTGCAGATCCATTATGGACATCTGCATTGGCACACATTCGTGACATTCCACGCGAAACATTAATGACAGATTAGATATGCTGCACTCAGTGTTAAGCATTCCGCCATCAGCACAGTCAGCAGTAGGCTGCTTCATCTATCCTTTCGCGATATCTTATTAGACCCTGATAAGCGCGGAAAGAACCTCTTCTGGATTGATAAAAGAAAAGCTCACAAAGAGATGACTATTTATTGGCTATCTGCGTGTGATGTGCCATATCCGACAAGATATCTGTGGCGTTTAAGCTGCCAGCACACCCCAATCTACGATCAGTGCTCAGAAGGTAAACGCCTGCCTTTCGCCAGAGGTACAATATGCCTTTCTATACTTGGTATATCATCTCCAAGAGGCTGGAAACTACTGTCTATATAGCGAACAAGTCTATGACTTTCTTACCCACCATTTTCTCCATTGGATTGAAGCATTAAGTATCCTAGGGAGAGCTTCGGAGAGCGTTTGACTAATCACGGCGTTGCAAGCATTTGCTAAGGTAGGTTGATAAGGTATACGCTTAGTAATACATAATTTAGTTAACTTTGAAGTAGCTTCAAGAACATACCGAGTTGCTAGACTTGGTTGATGACGCTTTTCGATTTATTCTTGCGGGCATCTGACTTACTGACGCGGCTCCTCTTCAAATTTATCCCTCGCTACTCGCATCCGCGCCAAACAAGAGTACGGTGCGGTTGACATTTGAAAACCAAATTCCAAGCTGGATACTGCTTGGGCCTAAAACAGAGAGTGTTTGGGCCCAATACCTGCAGACTCTGGAAGATCATGGTGCCGCGGTGAATTCTGTGGCTTTCGCCCACGACTCAAAGCTCATTGCCTCGGCGTTCAGTGACGAGACCGGTACGAATCTGGCGCGCGGACATGAGCCAATGTGTACAGACTCTCAAGTGCCATGATAACTGGGTGAACTCGGTCGCCTTCTCACATGATTCAACACTTGTAGCTTCTGACTCCAACGACAAGATGATACGAATCTGGAGTATAAGTACGGACGACTGTATACAGACTCTAAAAGATCATGGTGGCTGGGTGAGCTCGATAGCCTTCTCGCATGACTCCGCACTCATAGCCTCAGCCTCTGATGATAAGATTATTCGAATTTGGTGTACGGCTACGGGCGAGTGTATACAGGCTCTAAAAGGCCATAGAAGTTAGGTTAACTCGGTGGCCTTCTCACACGATTCAAAGCTTGTGGCCTCAGCTTCCAACGACACGATGATACGAATCTGGTGTGTAAATACAGACACGCATATACGGACCCTTGAGGGCCCCAACGACCATAGCGGCGCAGCATGCTTCATAGCTTTCTCGCAAGATTCGACTCTCGTGGGCGCTGCTTCGAGCGACAAGATGTTAATCTGGCGTGTGAATGCGGGCGAGTGCACACAACCCCTAAAATACCCTAGAGGCAACAGCGGTGCGGTGAAGATAATCGCCTTTTCACAAGATTCAGCGCTCGTGGCTGCCTCTATAGATGACATAATAGTCATCTGGCATGTGAATACGGGCGAGTACACGCAGATCCTCAAAAGCCCCGAACGCCCGAGCGGTGCAGTGAGCACAATAGCCTTCTCACACGACTCAACTCTCGTGGCCTCGGGCTCTACTAACGGGATAGTACAGATTTGGTGGGTGGATGTGGGAAAGTGTAAGCAATCTGTCACGGGCCATAGTAGCTGGATAACCTTGGCTGCCTCCTCATGCGATTCAATACTAATGGCCTCAGTAACGGTAAGATGCTGCGGATATGGAGCGTGGAGACCGGCGAATGCAAGGAGGAAATCAGAGTTGGCATTACAACAGATGTTTTATCATTTGCAGCAGACATTACGCGTTTACTGACTACTCACGGCATTTTTACTATACGTGATACGTCTTCTGTGTCATGTTGTATAGATGCTCGAAATATTTCTCCACCTGAACTTACGCCACCTATAGCATTAGTCAGGATGGATCATGGATCACGTTCAATGGAGAAAATACACTCTGGATACCAGTGGAATTTCGTCCTTGCTGCTGGGCGGTGTCAGGATCTACCATTGTGATCGGATGCGAGTCAGGGAAGACTTTAACTATTAGGCTTTCATGCGGCATGAATCCGGATAGTAAGGAATGATGGCTTAGGTATCTACTTAATTCATGGAATTTACTGAGCACGTTGATTAAAGTATATTTATGATGAGATCAAGGGCGACTTATATCCAGCAGCTAGTTATAGTAAAATCGTAGCTACGAATGAAAGAGATTATTTGATCTCGAAGATGAGTGCGTGGTTTCAGAATTGACGAGAGTTCAAGAGCTCTCAAATGGAGAATATAGATATACCAATGCTGGGTGTTAGCGAGGAAGTGGCCTTGTCAGATCAAGTAGCGCAACACCAAAATGCGTAGTCCGAGGTCATTGTGTACCTATGGCGAGAAGAGTAGGGTACAGCTGGTTCAGCTTGATAGAGTAAACGTTTCATTTTTTTGGTGTGCTGTCTATTGTTGCACGATGGCAGCATGAACCTTTAAAGTAACCAACACATGCTTAGCATAAGGCATAGATGCACAAGTCATGTCGATTAGTTCGTGGAAATGCGTATAATAGATTCGCTTGGAATTGAGGCTGTGTGACGGCAATGCATCATGCCACAAGTACCTTAAGCTCCACCTGGCTGAGATGCACAGTTATAAACTTATAATGGAATCGTGTTTCATGTTATGCCACATGTCCCAGTCGACAACGGGACACCCTGAACTACCTTTATGCGAGTCTAGGATATAGAGCATGTTTACTAGCTCAAAACCTGCTTTTCTAAAAGGACGGATTACATGCTTACCGTAGACAAGTATACAGCTTGCTATACTACCACCACCCCTTCCTCCTCATCATACCGAGGGCTTGGGACATGCCGATGGCTGGAAGTCAAGCGAGTGGGCCGTCCTGTTTCAGACTTTACAAGAGCAGGGACCTTCACGGCTCGTGAGGCTCTCCCGTTCCTTGGTAATATTTCATCTGCATTGACAGTCGTGGCAATGACGAACCAGCCACTAGCGGGCTGTGTCTCAACTTAAGTCGTATCGATGGTATGCATGGCACCGCCACGGTACATGATACGGACTCATCGCCATCGTTTGTATCACGCAGCATTGAATTTATGCACGGAATGAAGATGGGCTAGTCCTGCACAATGCTCGCGGCTGTAGAGTGGAAAGCCAGTAGGTCGAGTATAAAAGGGCGGCCAAATCTAATAGGAATGGACGCTACATCTCTTCATGCTATAACAGCTAGGCCTCTACACTTATTGATTCCCTAGTCTCTATTATAGTCTCGGTTCCGACTATTGCAATCTCATTTTCTTTCCATTTTATAAAATTCAAAGAGACCCTGAAAGGACATTAAAAATGGTTCGCATCGCCATGGTAACACTTGTGGCCTGTACGTATATCCTCTTGTTTCTGAGTCCTCTTCGTCCCTTTGTGTGCGTTGGATGCGCCGCCATATCATGTCGCATGACTGAAACCAACGACTAACACAAACTCTTTCAAGTCGCCGCCTCTGCCTTTGCGTCACCCCATATTAGAGTTAGAGGTGGCGCCAGGGTCGAGCTTGCCAGGAGAACCCCCGCCGGGGGGGATCCTGCCGCCAAGCAACAAGCCCAGATAGTACGAAACTACGCGAAGCAATTGGAGCAATACGCTGAACAGTTAGAAAATGGCGGTGGCACCGAGACTGGAAATGGACAGCCTACTCCCAATAACCCGAGTGGTAATGAAGACGAGACGGGAAATGGACGGCCTACTCCCGATATCCCGAGTGGCAATGGAACCGAGACGGGAAATAAGCCGCCTACTCCCAGTATCCCGAGTGGTAATGGAACCGAGACGGGAAATAAGCCGCCTACTCCCAGCCGGCCGGGCTCGTCTCCATTATTTCCTGGTGCTGAGGATGATGCTACCGGTGCTGGGGATGACCCTATTAGTGCTGGGGATGACCCTATTAGTGCTGGGGATGACCCTATTAGTGCTGGGGATGATCCTATTAGTGCTGGGGATGATCCTATTAGTGCTGGGGATAATCCTATTAGTGCTGGGGATGATTCTACCAGTGCTGGGGATGGAACCGAGACAGGAAATAAGCGGCCTAATCCTAGTCGGCCAGGCTCGTCTCCATTATCCCCTGGTGCTGGGGATGATCTTATCGGTGCTGGGGATGGAACCGAGACGGGAAATAAGCTGCCTACTCCTAGCCGGCCGGGCTCGTCTCCATTATCCCCTGGTGCTGGGGATGGTCTTATTAGTGCTGGGGATGGAACCGAGACAGGAAATAAGCGGCCTAATCCTAGTCGGCCAGGCTCGTCTCCATTATCCCCTGGTGCTGGGGATGATTCTACCGGTGATGGTATTATCGCTTCTAAAGAGTAGTAGTATAGAAGCTTCAACGACAGCCACATGCTCTCTTTTAAAAAGCAATAACAACACGAAGGATGCCAAATCTGGCTCCCTACCGCGCCGATTCTTTTAGACAGAAAGGGTTAATCCTTCAAGTCAGAATGAATAATCAATGAATTCGAGGCATAGAGACTCCTGGAATAGAACCTTGGTACTGAAGTGTTGTAATAAAGTCAAGACAAGTAAACAACGTGACAATACGCCCTAGGAAAAAGTCAAATGTGACATGAAAGAAAAAGACAGACTGGATGAATTAAAAGTCTTGTAGAAATAATACTTGTTTCCAGTGCTTAGGAAGGACATGAAGACCCCCATCCTGCTGCAGGCCTTCTCTGGACACGCCTTTGTGGGAAAAGGCGCCGTTCATGCCAGCCTCGATGTTTCCGCAACCATGCGGGCTTTTGATAAGCGGATCCACGAGTTGACTGGCTTCCGCTTCCGCTTGAAAGGGCTGACACCAATCTCGCTGGCCAAGAATGCTACCATCTCGACTCTTTTTGCGCAAGTCCGCAAGGACGCTTTGGTAGAGTTTTGATGCTCTTGGTGGTAAGGAGAAGAAGGTCGCCTAGATCGAGGGCACGACTAGGCGGCTCGACGGCTACAATTATTTTTACTGTAAAGCCGGCCGAGATGGTCGAGTGGTTCCAGAACTACGCTTGGATGGTTGAGAAGCGTAGTAGCTCGAGTAAACCGGATCGGTAAATTATGAATAGACTATGAAAAACACGCAAGGGACCAAGTTGCTTTCACAACTACAAGAAGGGCCGCTATTGGTGGATCTTTTGGCCACGGCCTAACACTCGAACCCGGCAACTGCCGTGAGTCGTGGCTGTCAGTGCCCCCCCGCCAGTCAAGTATAGCTATCGGTGCACTCTCGTAGGTAGGAATCGCACGTACCCATAGCATCTGAAGTCATATAACGGCTTGAGGTCCCGCCAATCGCCCTATTTTGTATCTTAGTACAGGATTTTTATCATCTAGCTACTCCGTACCGTGCCTGCTCTCATGTACGCTGCAAGTTGACCTCCCGAGTAGTTGCCAGCCACTTGCGCCACACTCAGCCGCTTTGAGCAACTGTCAGGGGATGACCCACTCCACCTTTATGTGGGACCGTACTGATGATCTTGGCCGTTGATCCAGGAACAAAAAGCTTGGCTGTCTTGGCACGCCTCGTGGAAAGGAAACGAACCTCCCTCACAGAGACATGGTACAATTGTTTCCTGACATTGAAGCCATCACAAGCCACCTAAAACCTTTCATCACCATCTACTCCGTACTCCGCATACCAAATTTCTTCTGCCTCCAATAGCTCACATCCCACTTGACCACCCCAGTCTCGAGAAAAAGGGGTACAGGCACAAAATATGGGGCTTCGGCATCTCACATCCGAATATCGTCACGCAGCGCAGCTTGGGACACAAAGCACACAAGCCAGGGGCCTCTCTTCATTCCCAATATCCAAATGTCTGCCATTTTCCCCCTCATGTCGTCAACCTCTCGCTATCGGCTGCGTTTGCCAACAATCTCCTCCCTAAAATGCATCAGCACGCCGGTAGTCATGGTCCGCATCTTGCACAGCTGGTCAACCAGCTCGTTTCCCAAATTGCGCCCTTCTCGGGCCTCATTCTTACCATTGCTGCCTGCATCCTCGCCGCCATCCGCATCTACCTCCTCGACCTCGTCGTCATTCCCAAGTTCTACTCGCCTCGAGTCCTGAAGGACCTCACTGATGCTCAATTACGGAGCTTCGTGAACCATCACGTAGCGGCCGGAACCAAGATTTTGCTCATCATCGTGACGGCTTACCCACTGCTCGCTATTCTTGTCGGCTACGGAACACCGCACACGCCCTTCTCTCCAGGATCATCGACGACTCTTGGAGACGTCTTGATTGTCTCGTCGCAAATCTTTACCGTCATGTACATCTTTGAGCTCTTTTACCGCGATAATATCTCGCCCATCAGTTTCGCTCACCATGTTGGCGCAATCATCATTGCACAGTCAGCCATTGCGATGAGCATCGACTTTGATCACCAAAGCGATGCTGTGTACGAGTTTATTCTTTGCTTCATCTGGGGTATGATTCTTCCACCACGCTCTCCCCCAGTTTCGCTGCCGACAAAGCCCATTAACGCGAGCACAGGCACTTTCGATGTTTTGGCCGAACTCTGGCCTCACATCGCCATGATCATCTACCGCACTCACAACTCGAAGCACGTACTGCTCTCTCGATTATTTTATACTACCATGGCTCTGGAGCTTGTTGGTACCACAGTGGAAACCGTTGTTGTCATGTGGTTGTTTGGAAGCCTTTGGGACAAATGGAGCTTATCGCTCAAGGTTGTGACGCCCCTTCTGCACTTTTTATTTTCGGCGGCCCAGCTCTGGGGGGCATGGATCTTCTATAAGCTAGCCAAGGATCAGCGATTACGGCACGTGCAAAGTGCCAAGAATTGATGAGTAGATCAATGCAAGTCCTCCGGCTAAGACGTTTCAGAATACAGCCCAGCTCCATGATGCTACCGATTTGGACAGTCCACCTGTTTTTACACTTCTCAAAAACTTTCCTAGTTGTCGGATACGCTTCTCCTTCATCTCCCTCGCATCTGAATGGCCCGATGCTGGACCCTCGAAAGCATGAGGCAACCCCGAGTAGATATGGAATTCTGTCTCCATATTTGCGGCGAGAAACTTTTCAGCATATACTTTTTCCTTGACAAGTAGATGGAGCTGGCTAATATCCATATAAAGCGGAGGAAGCCCTGCTGCATCTTCAACTCGTGCCGATGCAGCGTGTACAGGAACATCGTTTCCTCCTACCTTGCCACACTATCCTCAGCATTCCCCAGCGTTGCAGCGCCTTGAGGGATAGATGCTTTATTCCGGTCGTCAAGCATGGACAGCGAAGAATCTGGGGCGCAATTTGCGGTTGTAGCTGACGACGTCGAGCGAGAAGAGTCAGTCCTCCAGCCAAGCCACCCCCTGCACCCCCGCCCATGACACCAAGTTCAAGGCAACCCGGCAGTCGTCCAGAGGTATTGGGTAGGGGCATTCGGGAGCCAGCCGGTAGTCGACGCAGAAAAGCTGCACAGGGGCCGTCGGCAAGGTTTCAAGAGTTGGCATGAGTGGTGTTGGTGTAGCACCGAATTCTTTGTTTAATTCAAGTCCTATTGTACTTACTGGACGGCACTTTTACTACAACAGTCGAATGGACAGCTGAGGCTAAGACTTATTTTAGTACTGTATAACTATTTAGACAGTCACAAGAATGAAGCATGGGAACATGGCAAGGCGCGCGCGTTGAAAGAGAGTCTATAGCCGCACCAAACTAATAGCGTACAGGAAAGAGAAAAGAATGCCGCGCTCCAACATGTGGACTCGGCCATGTAACGAATGTATAACTAGGCGCACCAAAAGCAGCAGCAGCAGCAGCTACGAACAGGCCATCTTGTTCCTAATATTGGCATAGCGCGAGTCCGGATAGTCGAGCAGGTTCTGCGAGGAGTCGAGCGAGCCCAGGGCGTGCAGGCTCGTGCCAATGAGGGATTGCGAGCCGTTGCGATCGCCCGACGCCTCCCAGAACATGCTGCCGCCGAGCCCCAGGCGCTTCACGTAGGCCACCTTGTCGCGGGTGACGGCCGGGGTATCGTACGAGATGAGCTCGCGCGTGCGGTTGTCGTAGCTGTAGACGGCCTTGGCGACGTCGTCGTACATCTCGACGGCCCCGGCCTTGGGCAGCTTGTTGTACATGTAGGTATCCGGCTCCTCGTGGCCCGGGGTGGGGGGCGTGGAGGTGAAGGGCTCGCCGAGGCCGGTGGTGTTGGGAAAGGCGCGTCCGTAGATGGGCATGCCGAGGACGAGCTTGTGGGGGGGGACGCCGCCCTTGATGTAGTCGCGCACGGCCGAGTCGGCGGAGCGGTTCACCAGCTGCGGGTTGGTGTACAGGTGGGCGAGGTGGCCGCTGGCCTTGGACCAGGAGCCGGCAAAGTCGTAGGCCATGAGGTGCACGTAGTCGAGGATGGCGCCGAGCTTGGCCAGCTGCAGCTTGTTGTAGGCGGCGGCGCCGGCGGGCGAGGCAATGGTCAGCTGGAAGCGGTAGCCGGGGGCGGAGCGGGCGGCGTAGGCGTCGAGCTCGTCGCGCAGGGCCTGCAGCAGGAGCACCATGTCGGCGGCCTGCTTGGCGTCCTGCGGGTACTCCCAGTCGAGGTCGATGCCGTCGAAGCCCCAGTCGCGGACGAGCTCGACGGCCGACCGCGCAAAGGTGAGGCGCGTGGCGTTGGACGCGGCCACGGTCGCAAACGCCGGGTTCTGCGACCAGGTCCAGCCGCCGATGGAGATGAGCAGCTTCATGTGCCGGTTGGCCTTTTTGAGCAGGAACAGCTGCTTGACGGCGCCGTAGACGTTGGCCGTGTCGGATTTATCCTGGGCTGCGCGCCGCGTGAGCTGGACTGTACATGTGTACCATTGATGGTGGGATCGGACTTACAGTCTCCCGGGTAGCGCCTCTCCGTGTCGGCGACGGGATCCGCAGAGAAGCTGTGGGCGGCCGGTTAGCTGGTCGGGTCGCCAGGGTACCCATTGATGGCAGACTTGACGTGACTTACACGGTCCCGTTGATGGTCAGGTTCACAAAGGCGTAGTTGAGGTGGGAGATTTGCGGCGCGGGCAGCGCGGCGGGCTGGTAGTTGGTGCCATTGTGAGTGCCCCTGTTGCGGCCGTTAGTCTGGGCGTTTGCCACCTATAGAAGGAGCACGGAAAGCGCACCAGTTGGTAAAGTAGACGGCGTTGACGTAGCCTGTGGAATTCTTTTTACCGGTACATGCAGCGGCGGCGCCAGCGGCGGAAGCGGCGAGCAGCGCGAGTGAAGAAGCGAAGAGGGACGGCATTTTCATGGCCACCGGGGCGTTGGACGAAAGGAATGAATGGTTCAAGTTGGATGATGGTATAGCAGAGGGAATGCCGGTCATACGGGTTTCTTCCTGGGTATTTATGTCACGGCCGCCGGGGCTGTTGAATCTGCACGGCGGGCCGGCTTGCATGACATGAGGCCATTTGATGCGCATGGCTGCGGGTGGAGCCGCGCTCCCGTGTAATTTGACTTTTGCCCATCAACAAACCTTAATTCGTCCCGCTCTACAAATCAAATGCGTCCAAGTATCTGTTTTATGGCCCCCGCTAGCACTTCTTTGTGTGTACTTCAAATTATTCTTCATGCGTGACCTGGCGGGGGGTGATGGAAACAGGTTTCAAGTACAACTCTTCAATGCTTGAAATTATATAATATCAAGGGGGATTATTATATCGCTTAGTACGGAGTAGTCAAGTAAAATTGCAACTCTCTCTTTGGCTGCCCAGTGGCTTATGCAGGCTCTTCTGCTGTACAGTTTTCTTGGGTAAGCGAGTCTCCACAAGCTACTGGGCAGCTGTACCAGGCCAAGAATAATAAGAGACCAGAACAAAGATATATATATAATACACCTTGAATCTTGATAGATTTGGGTTTTTATATTTTTGCGTTTCTACTTAAATATCAAGTATAATGTAATGGGCAACGGAAAAACCCAGGGTGACGAAATCAGCATCGGAGTCGACCGAGTTGAATTCATCTCCACTGCCGAGACGGTGATTACGGAAGATCTGGAGAAAGGAATCAAATTTGCCCAGGAAACGATTCATCTTCCAGCAAGAGATCAGCCACAACAGGATGCGAGCGCCCAAGTCGATCCTCCCAGCAACCTCGGCAATACTTGCAGCAAATATCAGCTGTCAGGAGACCGGGGTGATCTCGATGCTGTGGCCAGTGAGCTGGAGAACCTTGCTGTTTGTTAGTGAGGACGATGAGGAGGATTCGGAGCTTATTATTCGGCGCTCACGTTGTACGGTCTTTTAGAGTCACATTATAAATACTTGGTGTCGCACGTTTACACGAGGGCTATAAAGTATGTTTTTTACCGGGAAAACACAGAATGGTACAACTGTTTCCCAGCGTACGAGAGCTCCACGTCTTTTTTTTCTTGACCGCCCAGAGTCTTGGCATGTTTCGGGCGGCCTGTATTGGCCATGTCTGGAGGAAAATGCGTGGTCGAACAAGGACAATAAGACAAGGATGAGTTGATAATTTCGGCAGAATACCAGGATTACGGAGAAATATCTTGTAGAGCTAGACCGGCACGAGGCAGAATTCAATGCAAGACCTATACTCGATATAAATATGAAACTTTCGTGTAAACAACCCATGCGTGGAGTTGACGCGCTGCTGGATTCATCTGCTTTATGAGTTGTCCAAAGTTGCATCTGTCCAGAATAGACACGAGTACTACAAAGAAAATAGTCGAATGCTCAGCAAGCGGCACCCAGATTATGATATTTATTCAAATTGCCTCTTCGTGGTTCTGCGTACCCGGTCGGCTCGTCTACTATTTGACCAATTCCAAGTTGACATCCTTGAATTCCCGAGTAACCTGCTGGATAGCGACCTCTACCGGCAGCCTCTCAATAGAACTAGCACCGTAGAATCCATGAAGGCCCTCGACCCTTTCTAGAATATACTGCGCATCCTCCGGCCTGGCGATCGGACCACCATGACACAAGACAATAACATCCTCTCTAATAGCGACCGCCGCGTTCCGTATCTCTTGGATCTCGGCAACGCACGCCTCGAGACTCTTTGCTGTTCTCGCCCCAATCTTTCCCGAGGTAGTCAACCCCATGTGCGCGACGAGGATATCAGCCCCCGCCCGGGTCATGGCAACGGCGTCGTCGGCATCAAACACATACGGCGTGGTAAGCAGGCCCATTTCGGCGGCTTCAGCAATCATGGCCACTTCCCTATCGTACCCCATGCCCGTCTCTTCCAAGCCGAGCCGGAAATTGCCGTCTATAAGCCCGACAGTGGGAAAGTTTTGCACGCCTGCAAAGCCCATGTCTTGGAGCTGGCCGAGGAAGCGGCGCATGTTGACGAAGGGATCGGTTCCGCAGACGCCGGCAAGGACGGGCGTGTGCTTGACGGCGGAGAGAACCTCGGCCGCCATGTCGACGACGGTCTTGTTCGCGTTGCTGTAGGGCATGAGCCCTGCCAGGCTGCCGCGGCCGGCCATGCGGAATCGGCCGCTGTTGTAAATGACAATCAGGTCGCCGCCGCCGGCCTCGACGCCCTTGGCCGAAAGACCGATTCCTTGGCGGAGAAGAGTTAGTGTGCTGTCAAGGGCATTGCTATACATCGGGCGGGGTGGTCTGTTGTCATACCGGCACCGGCCCCGACAATCGGCCTCTTCTTCTCTATCTGGCCGCGGAGGCGCTGGATGATTTCGCGCCGATTCATGACGGTGGTTATGTTGGGGGGGCGGAATTTAGATGGGAGACGGGAGAGGTTCGGAAGGACAGCCAAGTCGTATAAGTATTGCCGTTTGATTGGGGGACATGATGACTCCATCTGTGGAAACAGGCTGGTTTAAGTACTTACTTCGTAGTCGATGATGTAGACTTTGAGCTTCTTTACCCAAGGACCTCGCGGCGCCAACAACCTGGGCTCGCAGTGGAAATGGCGGCGATGGCGGAGATAGCGGACATCGCGGACGTGGACATGGCGGACATGGCGGCGCTGCCTCTGGGTGACGTTTAGTATCAAATAGGCCTATATTTACCAATCGCAAATATAACAGTCACCAGCATAGTGGGCAATTGTCGCATTGGCGTTGCCGTATTCATTTCACTCGCTGTGATTAGAAGATAAATCACCTCCCGCATTCCCCGCATCCACCTCTTTCTCAATTTCATTTCAAGATGCCTCACATTGTCATTATCGGAACACTCGATACTAAGAAGGACGAGTTCATGTATCTTCGCGAGCACATCGCCAGCATATCTCAATGTCTCCCTCTTCCAACGCATATTACCCTCATCGACTGCGGCAGAGAGCATGTGACAAACAGTGCCATCAGCATATCTCGTTCCCAACTGCTGGAACAATATTCCCAACCCGGCCGCCATGTCCCGCCCAGGTCCCGCGCCGAAGCAATTGACGAGGTGATTCCCTGTGCGTCCAAATACATCCGCGACCTAGAACATAGACACAAAATACACGGAATCATCGGAGCCGGCGGCAGCGGAGGCACGAGCATCGTCTCCGCCGTCATGAGAGACGCAGTCCCTCTCGGCCTTCCCAAGCTCATCGTCAGTACCGTCGCATCCGGGGACACGGGCCCCGTAGTCGGAGAAACAGACATGTCGCTCATGTACTCTGTCGTCGACATCGCCGGCACAAATCGGCTACTATGCGAGATTCTCTCCAACGCAGCAGGCGCCATTGCCGGCATGGCCTTCTCCTACGAGCAGAGACTGGCGCGCGACAACCCACGCACCATGACGGCCGGAACGCAGAGAACCAGAATCGGCATCACAATGTTTGGAGTCACGACCGCATGCGTGGACACCGTCAGGCGCCATCTAGAGAGCCACCACGACGCAGAGGTGTATGTTTTCCACGCCACTGGTCATGGGGGCAAGTCGATGGAGCGGCTCGTCGAACAAGGCGGGCTCGATGCTGTCCTGGACCTTACCACGACCGAGGTGTGCGATTTGCTCGCGGGCGGGAACATGCGCGCTGGCCCTGAGCGCTTCGAGGCCGCGTTGACAAGGGGCATACCCAACGTTGTATCCGTTGGCGCGGCGGACATGGTTAACTTTGGGCCGCTGGAGACGGTTCCGCCGTGTTACAAACACCGGAGACTGTACAGGCATAACCCCAACGTTACTCTCATGCGAACCTCTGACACTGAGTGTGCTGACGTGGCCGTGTTTATGGTGGACAAGCTCCGTCGATTCGCCAAGGACGCCTCTATGGTGGAAGTTTGGCTTCCGATGGGAGGCGTGAGCAGCCTTTCGACTCCGTCGGGGCCGTTTGCGGACTCCCGTGCCGATGGCGCTCTGTTTGAGACGTTGAAATTTGGATTGAAAGAGAGTGGTATTCGGGTGGTGGAGGATGCTCGCGAGATTAACGATGGCGGCTTCGCGGTTGATATTGCTGAGAGGCTGATGAGTCTTGTCGCCAGGACTTTGGGTCAGTGATGTACGTCACTAGTAGTGTAGTTGATTTTCTTTGAGAAAAGTAGTATTTTCATTTGTCAAATCAAGTAAAAACGCGTATATTCTACTTCACTTGGTTACCAGACACACTAAAATTAACAAACGGCCCGCTCGAGATTTCGCTCTCAAAATTTCCAGTTGCACGAAAGTCATGTCTAAGCTTTGTAGTACGAAAAAGGTACCAAGAATTATTAGTTATGCAAGGTCTAATATCTATACATGATGTGTGGGGTGTTTCCCCCATGCTTCATAATTGCATAGTGTGTATTAGGATACAGATGTAGCCCCGTTCTCTTTGTCTTTTCATATCTACCTACAGGCTTAAACCTTGGAGTCTTGGCTCTCGGCAAACTTGCTCCATTTCCGGATAGTTGGCCCGGAGCAGTAGAAGACGAATGGGACCGGAACCAAAGCGGCGCTGATGCAGCCGAGGATCGTGAGCGTCCACTGGACGCCCATGTTCCGATAGAATGGAATGCCAACGACGGTCATTACACCGGCCGCGGCATAACGAGAGACGGTCATGAATGCCAATGCCGAGGCGGCATAGATATGATAGCAGTCTATGACGTACATGTAGGAGCTAATAAAGATGCAAATGGTACCAAGCCCAAAGACGGCCGAAGCAATAATCGGGGACCAGACAGAAATTCGGGCCTGTTACAGATGCGTGTTAGCACTGAGAATACCCTTCGTCTCGACCGCAGCAGCAGAACCTACAAAGTCAGTCCAGGCCATCCAAAACAGGCTGATGGGTATCAAAGGAGCTCCCAGCATGGCGTACCACAAACGCTGTTCGGGCTGGATATGGAACCCGTCGGAAGACCGTCCCTCGGTGTTGTCGCGTAACAGCCTCCTTGTCCAAATATAAGCTGGAGGGACGAGGAACGCGGCGGAAACTATACCTATAACCATGGCGACCCAGATGATGTTGGTCAAACCCTGGGACAGGCCGTGAACGTCGGTGTAAATGTAGGCGTAGCCATCCAAGAATGTGAAGAGCACGATATATACCACAGTCATGTATAAGGAAATCAGCAAGACAATCGGCTCATGTATCGTGATGAGAAATTGGTTCTTCATGGCCCTGCCAATGCGGCGAACAAGAGAGATGTGGTCGACATCCATCTCGCAGCGAAATCGCCCATCTCCAGTAGCAGCTCTGAGGTGCTTGGCTCTCCAACTCAACAGCAGTGGCGAATAGGTCTCGGGCTGAAAGAATACAATCAATACCAAGACGGCCCCGGACATGATTGTCACAATCCAGCCCGCCCACCGCCAAGAAAGTACATCCGTCTGGCCGATGTAGGATGCGATCAAAGGACCCATGGCAGGACCGCAAAAAGATATAATGGCATACATGGGAAAGTAAGTCGTCTTTTCCAACGGGTTCCACAGGTCTGCTATGGTGCCGCCCGCACAAGTCAGGGGCGGGCAGCCAAACACGCCAGACAGGAAGCGGAAAGCGAGCTGCGCGCCAAAGTTTGGTGCCAAAGCCGAGGCCATGACGAAGATGATGAAGAGCGTCAACGAGCTCACGTAGACCAAATTGCGGCCAAGAACTTCCGAGAGAGGGCCGCTGACGAGGGAGCCGGCTGCGAAGCCGAGAAGATAGATGCCTGTGAATGTTAGAGCACTGCCCTTTGGAGAGTGTATTGAAAACGTGGTTGCCTATAAGTGGACTGCGTACCGGTTACGAGGGATGCGGCGACTTCAGAGACACCGAAGGCTTCGGCATTTTGGGGCGCAACTCCAGAGTAGACGGAGGAGGCGACGCCGACAACGCAGCCTAATATCGATACGAGAAGGGTCGCAATCAGACGTCTAGCCATGGAAAAGTTTCGCGGATTCTCAGCGTCTTGGTCTGAGGCCCATGTGACAATAAAGAGAAGAGAGGATTCGGCATCTCTGTCGCCCGAGGTCTGTACGTTGATACCAGGAATGGACCCTTGGAAGTTGGTTCTGACGCCTAGAGATTCGGTCGGCAGGGTGCATGTATGAGACGGCGTAGGTATGCCAGGCGCGCCGGCGGCATTGGCGTCACAAACTTGTGCGTGAGCAGCCTTCCTGAGACGTCGATACTGTAGAAAAGACTGCATCTTGGCAATAGAATATTGCGTTTTAATTCATGACGCTCCAAGAAAAAAAGGCGTCCAAAAGAGAAGAGATTGCCGGGTATTATATCCATCTTATACACCCGGCTCGTGCATGTCCCACTCGGCCGTTTGGTGTTTTGCCGCGCCCGGTGCCGGCGGGAAAGGCGGAGACGGAGGAGGTGTGGGGCGATGGGGCGGTGTTCGCGGGTCGCACAACGCCGCCTTCTCCGCGCATCCGAGTGACGCTTCGTCCGTCACAACCACACACGACCCATCACTCCCAGCACCTACTGCCAGCCTTGCACCGCCGCGATGCCGAGGCAGCAAAGAAAGAAGCGCACTCCTGTCTCCTGCGAGGCGTGCAGGGAGCGAAAGATTCGCTGCACACGAGACGGACCGCCCTGCGCGACATGCATCCACAGGCGTGTTCCTCTGGGGCACTGTATTTATAGCGTCGGGTCAGGACATTCACCACTCCAATCTGCACCAGCACACGCTGCGCGTCCACCGGAAAGCAGTCACGCGGTGGACGACAATTCCCTAGCATCCAGGGTTGAGGCTCTGGAAAGGATTGTCCGCCTTCAACCGACGCCCGGGTCGGCGGCCGGCACGGCGTCCCTCTCGACGGGGGATGCGGACATGGCACCCGTGGCCTCCGGCTTAAAGGAGCCTTGCCCCGGCCCTTGCAACTCGGACCAAACCGGCACCCTGATAACGTCGAGTTCGGGCCATGTCCGCTTTCTTCCCGTCGCGTCTACTTGGAATATAATTCAAGGCGCGTCGCCCGATGTCTCGTTGCCGGATCAGGGAAATACCGTCACTGACACGCCGGGCGCGCCGTATCCCTTCTCCCGCCGCAATGCTGAGAGCCAGTCTGCCATCTTGGCCATGCTTCCTCCGCCGGAATTCTGCCACCGTCTTAAAGACGTCTACTTCCAGGCCGTCGGCCCCGTACGGTACACTTGCAACCTGACGCAGACCTGCCCAGTGCTAACGTGGCCTCGAATCAGATATTCCCCATCATCCACGCGCCCAGGTTCTCCAAGAGGTACCATCGATTCACCTCCGATGCCGAAGGTGCTCCGATGGAATGGCTAGCCCTTCTCTTTGCGGTGCTCGGAACAGCCGTCTTGGCCGTCGACATGGACAGCCCGCTGCTGCCTTCGCTGAGCCGCAAGGACACCGTCCTGGGCCGCGTGACGCAGCTCTCGGAAAGATACTACTCGGCTGCAATAAAGTGCCTAGACATGGACCACTACCTATGGCGTCACAACTTGACCACTCTCCAAACTCTCCTCCTGATCATCTACGGAATCCACCACAGCCGCGGGCAGACCTGGACACTGCTCGGGCTCGCATACCACCTCGCGCTCTCTGTTGGCTGCCACGTCGACCCTTCTGCCTTTTCCCTCGACACCGTGTCCTGTGAGGAGCGCCGGCGGTCCTGGCTCGCTCTCATGATGCTCCTCTGCAACCAAAACATGTCCATGGCAGGCTTCGACATCCTCCACACGGCAAAGTCCTTCTCTATCCAGTTGCCAGCGGAAGCGCTGGACCAGGACTTACCCGACGGAGCACACCCGCCCCCTGGGCAAGCCGGCCTCACCCCCGTCGGCTACTTCATCCGCAAATACCGCCTGTTCCAACTATCCTCCGAAATCTGCAGTCTGTCCCCGGCGAAGCAGCAGGCGGACCCTACGCTGCTGCGGAGGCTCGACGCCGCCCTCCGCCTCGAGCAAGACCGGCTGACGCAAATCCGCGACAACGCGTCTGGCGCATCGGACGTCTTCAGAAACCTGCTGCTCAGCTTCTCGCACCACTTGATCGTCCTCCTGCACTGCAGGGTGTTTAGGCGCCCTGCCCCGAGTGCCGACGACGACGCCTGGTCGAAGGAGTGCTGCTGGGACAGCGCACGGCAGGTCCTTGCCCTGCATGCCGACTTTGCCCGTTTGCCTGCCTTCAAGCCTCACAGGTGGTATATCCGCGGCCGGGGCGCGTTCCACGCCTTCCACGCGGCTGTCGTGCTGGTCCTGCTGGTGTCTGCGGACAAGCGCGGCTCGCCGAGCGCAGAGGTGATGCAGGCACTTGGGAATTGTTTACAGTGTTTGGAGTCGTTTGGGACGCAGAGCCAAATCTGTGCCCGGTCCGCAAGTATTCTAGGCCACCTGCTGTAAGTTGCGCCCTTGTGATGATGGTGCTCGAATTCGAAGGGCATTCGGCTCACTTACTCGGTGCAGAACAAAGGTTACAAACTCGACCTCGCCATCGCAGTCGCAGGGTGGTAATGTCGAGGCTGGAGTGCAGACGTCAAGCGCAGGACTTGTGCCCGTGGATGATGCGAGCTCATCAGGCGCGCAGGTTCGCCAACAGCCCGAGAGGCACGGCGGAGGGGGGCTCAGCATGGACGGAGTTGATTTGAACAACTTGCTTGGCAACTTTGCGCCTGGCCAATGGCTTGATGCTGATTATATTGATTGGCAACAGCTGGACATGTTTATGCCGTGGTCTGATACCGTGTAGATACTATGGAGGCATATGCTACTGCAACCCGAGCTTTGGACACTTGGTCCTGGCTAAAGCCCCCTAGAAAGTCTACAGTGGAAACTAAAACATCCGCCGTCTTCACTCCTTTTTCCGCGGGGGGGATTCGATCCAGGGATCGGTACGGTAGGCCTATTCATTACGAAAGTGTTCTAGACTTGTCAATAGCATCAAGTATGAATGATGGCCCGTACACTGTGGACCGAATTCCGAACTTCGTCCAAACTAAAAGCCGACAGTGATTTTCCATCCATCAGGGACACCGACAGTCGAAAAGTTGACCTTTCCCACGCAGTCACCGTACTCGTATGGCTTTCCAATAGCTCCGGCCCCCGCACCAGCCGTCTTGGAAGTAGGCTTATACATGGTGACGGACGTCTTAGGAAGGTCAGAGCACTTGTGGGTGCCCGAGTTCCAGGGGTAGTACTCGACGAAGCCAACCTGGCTGCTCTCGATGCCTCTCGCGCCAGAAGGCAGTGTCCAGCTTCCAATGTGGACGGACTTGCCCGTGGCGGCGTTGACGGCCGTTCCCTTCCACTTCGTTCCGCTCTCATTCTCCACGACAATATTGTATGTCGCGCTGTAGTCGCCTTCAAAGTCTACCGCACAGCTGACGCCGGGCCCGCCATCGGCGCCGGTGTGGCAGTTGGGGTCCGAGGTCGTTGTGCCTTTTTGGAACGAGGAGAAGACGCCGTGGACGATGCTCTTGCCGTTCTTGTTGGGGCGATTTTGGATGCCGCAGTATCCCACGTCTGGGATGCCGTTAAACTTGAACTGTTGGGCAAAGTAGTAGCCGGAGGTGTGAGCAGCGCCGGCCATGTTGAACGGAAACGTGACGTCTTTGAGGCCCCCGGCAGGCTTTCCCGAGAAGGACCAGCCGTTGCCGACGAGAGCTAGGCCAAGCTGGGGGGCGAGGACTGCCAGTGTGGCCAAGGAGTACTTCATTGTTGCTTCTTGGTGAGGGTTGGTTCTGAAGATTGTTGGATGGGGTTGTGTTAGTTGCTGATTGAATCGGAATATCAGGACCAACGGGGTTCAGGACCTCGCTTTTTATACATTTTCTCAAGTCTAGCTTGGTCAGATTTGGTGTTTACATTCATCAGCCAGCGACCCGTCTCCATGTAAGGCATGATCGGCGCTAGCTTCCGCGGGCTTACTCATTTACTCTGGGTTGATTGCCAGTAGTCTGAAACAATGTGTCAATAGTAGTCTCTTTTCTCAATCGTCCCGTCTGGACAAGGCATTATGTTACCTCGTGGCGGATTGACAAGTGTCGCCAGGAGGAAGAGGCCTTGTTCGCTTGATGATTGCAAACCTGGGCCAGCTACATAGGTAGGAGATGAATTCGTGGCCAGGACGAGTGCACTTCCGAGGAAAATAGTTCGTAATGGAATACAGTAGGCAATCCAACGACGCTACGGAATCCGACGGTCCCTTTTTTTCGAGTGTACCTTTGTGGCCCAAACGAGGGGCGTGGCCGTGCGACGGACTTGATGTGCACCATCCTGGGGTAAATCTCAGGTCCAGCATAAGCAGACCTCGGGTCCGGGTGGGCTACGGCTGGCAGAATCAGCATATATTTCTGGCTACTTTAGGCGAACGCTTATGGAGTGAATTAGTGGCATGTGCCAGGGATATGCTGAAGCCGCTGTTGGCATGGAAGCTGCTAACATTCTATTATACTGTCAAGTTTCAAATATCAACTTTCAAATGCATACTGTCCAGTTTCAAATGTCATATGTATGCTGACCAGTTACCGGTTACTTTGAGTGATGAGAATGTCGCACCTGACCTAAGATTTAGTGTTCCACCTCCATACACCCATGTACAGCGTGACAACCATGTGCGGATCGGCGGCACAGTCGTTACCGAATCCTTGCTAGGAAAAGAACTAATCATGAGGTCATTCGTGAAGCTTCAGTCTGTTTTTAGGACGCGATAATGCCACCGCAAAGGTTGGATCGCATGCGTTTGTCATGACTCATGGGTTGAGAGATGATCGATCGACTAGGCTGAGATGAAAAGGGACAAGGCGTAACTCTGTTTCCCGAGTTCCCAAAAAGCGTTAGTATGATAGTAATAGTAACTTTTCTCCAGCGGCAACCCAGCAGACACGTCAGTCTATTCTAGGAAGGTAACGACGGTGATCCTGAGCGGTGGTGCTGCTGGATGTCATATATCAGACACCACAGTAACTACTGCGTTCCTGTCAATTCTTTGACTAATAACGGTGCAGAGTACCTACTCACAAGCAAAACCACATTTCGGCGCCATTGAAAAAACGGATGTCTCGGTCTCACAACGGAGCTTGGTTTTATCTCCTATTTCCGTTGCAGCTGGGAAAAGCTTATCGTCCAAGTGCATCATTTGGCAAATCGACTTTTGACCTTCTTGCTTCATTGTGGTCTCCTCAATCTGAAAGACAGCCCCCAGTTTTGACCTTTGAATGCCGTCCACTAGTTTTGATGGGATCGCTCGGGAGATGACAGCAAATCTTCTATTGGCCCGCGCATCATGCAGTTCCATCACACTTGACACGGGCTGTTGAGACTCTGTGGCTGAGCTGAAAGGCTCCGACTCGATTGCGTTGTCCTCTTTTGAGACAGTGCAGTGACGGCAAGTGCCCGGTTGAGACAATTGAACAATAGCTGTAACCCTGAGGTCTCGTCGATTGTCAAAAGACGGAACGGGAACTGGAGTGCTCACATAAATCCAACAACTACTAAAGACTGTCCTCATGACGGGGCTGGTAATGACCGAAACCGCTCTCTTTTTTAGGATTGGTGCTCCTGAAATCTGGCTGGGCGCGGAGCAAAATACACCAAAGCGACTGTCTTGTGGCTACGTTGAGACAGCTGCGGAACTGGACAACTACAAACTCCATCAAGTCTTGGTGTGTAGTCGTCGCCATCATCTGGATATACTTTTATTTCTTGGTTTAGAATAAGGCTGCGCCCATAATTGGCCGCCCGCCGAATTTGTAGTGGCTTATGCTGATTCCTTTGTGGTGGCTATCGCTGGTCCAAGTGTGAGACTCCCGCAGGAAGCTAATAAGAAGGCTGTGCGGGACGTAACATTGAACCCTTCGGTTCTCAAAACCGAGCGGCCGACTCGCGGCAAGCTGAATGCAATGGTTCAGTCATGACAATGCCGGACCACACATTTTCACTCACCGGCCATAGGTGGTAAGTCCGTGTGTAGTAGACGGCATGACGACGTGGCAAACCTTGTCAGGGGTGATAGAGCCCAGATATTCGTATAGCCAATAAATAGAGTTGATCACTGCACCGTACTCTGTAACGTTGCCTCCGACTACATCATGTTTTTGTGCGCCAACAAGGGACTTGCCTCCTCTCCCGCCCGAGACGAGCGACAATCGTGTAATATTCAAGACCGAAATGGTATTCTCCTAGTCCCTCACTGTCACTGATACCTTCTGTTGGGTGTATCACCTGCGGCTTTCTCACGGTTGGCTCGCAGTTCACGGGTTGGAGTGGGCGCGGCTCAGAAAGCTGCTCTTCAAGGCACGAAATGCGGTATAACCCCGGACTCAAAGCCAACAAATCCTACATGAGGATGTACTGGGTAATATGAGGTCAATTGATTCCCCACCTTCTCCCAGCAAAAATTCAAAGCTATTAGTTCAAAGGCTCTGCATCTTGGAGGCAGGTGTTCAACTTGTCCAAGTATGGTCGCACTGGTCATAAATCCATCTAGTACAATATAATATAAAATTTGAACAAGTAATAAATTGACAACATTCAATTAAGCAGGTGTACCTAAAAGCCGCGACGCAATGCATCCCAATTAAAACCGTACAAAAAAAACATCCCCGCAGAATACACGGGGCACACAAAAACGGAAGCCAGGGTTAGGGTCAGCTACAAATCTCAAGCTTCAACTTCCAACTCGTCGAGTTGGCAAACGGCACGCATGTCTCGGCACATGGTCCGCACAAACTCGGTCCTACCGAGCGCCGAGAGCAATTGACAACACAGAATTACATATAGCCCCTGCCGTCTCCCTCCGCCCTCCCTGGCAAGAGAATAGGTAAGCGGGCGTCAACGAGGTCGTAATATTGACGCCTCCCCCGCATCGTCTCGCCTACACCACCTTCCACACCAAACAAGTCAACCCAAGTCATCATGAGTCTCCTCGGGAAAGCATTCATCGTCACAGGGGGCGCCTCGGGGATCGGCAAAAGCACAGTCAGGAAGCTGCTCGAGCTCTCGGCGCAGGTGCACGTCGTCGACGTGGCCAGCGACATCCCGGCACACGCAGGGCTCGCCGGCCGGCAGACGAACCACGCAAGCGTCGACGTCGCCTCGCGGAAGCACGTCCGCGCCGTGTTTGACAAGATCGCCGCACGGGCGCAAGAGGGCGTGCAGCTCGGCGGGCTGGTGCACTGCGCCGGCATCCTGCGCCCGACCGAGGCCTCGGAGGCGGGCGACGAGTACCTGCGCCAGCTCTGGGACGTCAACGTGCTGGGGACGTGGAACGTTAATACCGAGCTGTATCGGCTCGTCAGGGCGTCGCGCGAGGCGAGTGCCGGCGCGCGCGTCGACGCTCTTGCCAGCATCGTCAACATGGGCTCCATGGCGTCGGTCAGGGGCATTCCCGACACGCCGGGATATGTCGCTACGAAGCACGCGGTCCTTGGGCTCACTCGCTCCTTTGCGCAGTCGTGGGCGTCGGTCGGGCTCAGGGTCAATTGCGTTGCGCCGGGCGCCGTCAACACCCCCATGATTCAGGGCATGGTGCTTGAGGATGTCGCGCCGGCGTACAGGGGAGCTCTGAGGTCGCTGATTGAGCCGGAGGAGATTGCCGACACCGTCATGTTTCTCTTGGGCAAGGGCTCGTCGGCCATCACGGGGCAAGTGGTCGAGGTGAACGGCGGCTGGCCCTGAAGGCGGCAGCACGGCTGAGCTACGATGTTGCCTTGGTTGCGTGGGTTGCGTGGGTTGCGGTGTGATCAAAGTTTCGCGGGAATTTACAAGTAGGGCTGTATTTTACTCTCAAAAATGATCTGTAGTATATGCAGTTCTAGTCATCTACCAGGCCGTGCGATAAGCAAAGACAGGCAAGCAGTGCCGGTTTACAAGCGCGATTCGTCATCGTACCGCGAATAGTAGTAGTTGTTGGCCAGCGAAGCGCTACTTGCGTTGGAAAGACTCTGAAACGGGATCCTCTCGAAGCTCCCGCGCGTCACCGAGTTGCGAATGCCGGCATCTCTCTGAGACAAGTTAAGTATAATGACGCCTACAAAAGTGACCAGCAAGCCAAGCAGTAGCGACAGGTTTGTAACGACATTTTTGATGCTCAAACCACCGTAGAGGATAAGGGAAGCTGATAGCGTGGCCGTCGTAAACGTCACATAGTACAGAGGGTTGACTCTGAAGCAAAGTTGTATTTTCTCGCGTCAGTGTCTTGGCAGAGAAGAGGGCGATGGGCGGTACATACATGTTGGCCGGGAAGGATGCCAGCGCCTTGTTGAAGTAGTTCATCTGGACGACAATGCACCCCGCCGAGAGGAGCAGGAAGGCGTACGTAGACGGGTGGGTGAACTGGTTGTTGCCGGAAAAGGTGAGCTTCAAAGCCATGCCCAGCGCCTTGATGCCCATGATGGAGATTGAGCCCACGAGCGAGCATACGGAGAGGTAGACTAAGGCGTGCTTCTTGCCGTACACCGGCGCAACCTTGTATATTAAAAAGACGACGGTTCCAAGTACGGCCAAGGCATATAGCAAGAAGCCTAGGGGGGGAAAGGGGCCGCATTAGTCAACGATAACAAGTAAGCCAGTTTGAGCCGCAACATACCAGGCTGCAAAGCATAGTCGAGGATCTGATCTATAGTCTCAACCGGCTGTTCAGGGGGGGCGTGAATGATGACCAGCACGGCGCCAAGAAGGCAGATGGCAATGCCGGATCGACCAACCGGTCCAAGCTGTTCATTCAGCAGAAACGAGCCCATGACAGCGCCAAAGATGACACTCAGGGCTCCCAGCGGCGTTACAAGAATAGCAGGCGCAAAGGCATATGCGGCAAAGTTGCAGATCTCGCCGAGGACCACTATACAAATACACACGCGGTGAGATTAGGTCAAACCTAGGGTTCTGCGGGTGGGATACGAACAGGAGCAGATGCCCAGCCACCACAGCGGGTTTCTCAGGTACTCAAAGCCGTCGCCATTGAATCCCTGGTTTTTGCGCGCATCCATCAAGCCCTGAGGATTGCCAAGGTCAGCCGAGGTTCATGGGATGGACTCTGCCTGGGTCATGGGATGCAAATAAAACCTTTCTTGTGATGACGAAGCTTGTTCCTACAAGTAACTCATCAGTGAGATTTCTCATGGGCAGTGTCCGTGATGGCATGTACCAATGGCAGCAGCCGAAAAGGTCGCCAGGATCAGGCAGATATAGCTTCGCAAACGCATCATCAGTTGGGAACAGAGCAGGCCGGACGGGAGGGGCGAGACGTACACATCCTTATTCATAGTCGCAGCAACGGCGATTCCTGCTCGTCAAAGAAAGGCGAGGCTCATGAAATGAATAATCCAGCGCCTAGCGGAGCATGACAAGGAAGGACGCAGACAAACGGGCAACTTGTCTGAGCTCACGCCTTTTGCGGACCGACGTTGAAAACGGCTGCCACGCGTCGCTGACCGTGGAGGAAATGGGTTTTGAATGCGACTGCATTTTGTCCCGCGTAAAGTCGACCGTTTTTGCGGACGGCAAGCGTATTTCGCTAAAGAGATGGTAATTTCGGTACCTTTGAACATGTGCTGAAGGATCCGTTTCTAAAAAGGGGGAAATTGGGCGCGCGGGCAAATACCCGAATGGCTACCCGGTACTCGGAGCTCTGCTGCAAATCCAGAACATCTACATCAGCATCGATCGTGGCGGCCAACAACATTGAAAACAATGAAATCACGTCGACTTGGGCCCGAGTCTCGCGTCCCTTGGCAGCCAACACTAGTACAACGAGCAACTCCAGCGTCCGAGTCCAGGCATGGGAATACTCAACCAGCAGAGGGAACCCGCTCATTTGCGCAGCATGCGAGGCGTTCTGTGGCTTCAGTTCCGAGCGCAGCATGGTGCTGTTTTCATCCTCGCTCACCACTAGCACCAATCCTTGGAATAATATCACGACGCCACGTATAGCAAAGACCCTGAATGCCCGGCAGACAACCACGAAAATTCCCAACGATCCACCCGTGTCTCGGCTCAGCCTCACGTCCACGCCAAGACGCCATGACAAGTGCCGGTCCACGTCACGACCCCATATCCTCACATTGGGCTCCCAGAAAAAAAAAATCCCCCAACAGCCGTCAGTCTGTGCATCTACATTCTGGGAATTGCTTCAAACGACCAAACCACAAACAACCGACCTCGCGTCGCGTTGCGCACCATCACCACGTCGCGCGGCACCGCTGCAGCGCCAGGCCGGCGAGCCATGGCCCTCAAAAACGTCTTCTCGTTCGCCACCCAGCCCTTCGACCCCACGAACCGCTTCGCAACATCATGGCTGCTCCCGCCCTGGATGCTCCTCGCCTGCCGGGCCCTGATTGTACGCTCCTCCCCTCCGCGCCCTCTCGCGCAAGACTAACCCACACGTGCAGAGCGTCTACATCTTCACGACGCTCTTCTTCATCATGGGCTACACGTGCGCCCACGCCTCGCTGGGCGGCTGCCTCACCGTGCGCCGCTCCTTCTCCTACTTCACCGTCATCACCTACTGGGGCCTGGGCTTCTACTTTGCCGCCGCGTCCGTCCACACGCTCACGTACATGGTGCGCGGCGGGCGGCCGCTGCTCGCCTCGTTCCCGCGGCCCCTGCAGGCCCTCCACTCGCTCTTCTACACGTCCATTGTCACGCTGCCGTTTCTCGTGACGGCCGTCTACTGGGCCGTGCTGTACAAGGCGCCCTGGTTCGAGCTGCCCTTTGACGGGTGGCACAATGTCTCGCAGCACGCGCTCAACTCGCTGTTTGCGCTGTTCGAGGTGCTTGCCGCGAGGACCGAGGCCATGCCGTGGGTGCATCTGGTGTGGCTGATTGCCATATTGCTGGGCTATCTAGGGGTTGCCTTCATCACCCTCGCCACCCAGGGCTGGTACACGTATAGCTTTTTGGACCACGACAAGGTCGGCGGGAGGGGCTACGTGGCTGCGTATGTGTTTGGCATAGCCGTGGGCATCGTCGTTATTTTTGTCGTCGTGTGGGCTGTCGTTTGGCTGAGGAAGTGGGTGACGGAGGCTAAGATGGGTAGGATGGGCAGGTTTGTTGTCGAGAGGAGGGTGGATGTGGAAATGAGTCCAGTCAAAGAGGGCGAGTAGTGGCCCGAGTTGTACCAGATTTTATACACTATAGATACAATTGCGAGGTCCGCGTCGTGTGTGGTGATGTAGAAAATAATGAATGCCTGCTTGAGAGGTCGCCGGTATATATATCGACGAGCATACGGGTCGGGAATTTCTTAGGCGCCGTTTGCACACTTGTTGACAGTGTCATTATAAATACTTGTATTCTTGTATGGTACAGTCATATAGTTCCCATCTCAGCACTTCAACGTTGCTCCCTTGCGCTTCTCTGATTCGCGAATCTCAAACATGACCTGGATACCCACAAATAAACAGGCACACGCCACAGTCAGAAAGATGACGCCTAGTATATTGTCAGTAAGCAATTTGATTCCAAACAAAATGTCACGAAAGAACACGAGGCAACTCACCTGACCATTCATGCAATATGCCCGCAACAATGCTCTGCAACCCATCCAAGCCTACCGCGAAACCAACCAGATTGGCCGCCATCATCATGAGCACGTTCGCAACCGCACCAACACAACACAGCATGCGATACTCGGTAGGACGGCTCTCCCACTTCCTCTTGGGAAACAAAAATGCCGCCGTCCACTCGGGCACCATGAACAGGACAATCAGCCAGCCCCAGATGAGGAGGCGGAGCTGAATGTCATGCCACAGTGCCACAAAGGTGAACACACACAAGTACGTAACTGTCGACTGAGCCGCAGCGGCCCAGTTGCGGAAGGATGCGCCCCCAAGAGGAACGTACAAGTATCGAATAAGCCATCGGTTGTACGATCGGTGCCATGCGCGCCAAAACAGTTGCGTGCTATAGTTGTTGCTCACGCACCGAACCATGTTCTCTGGCGGGTCGATGCCATCTACCAACGCCCACAGGCGGAACAGTCGCCACGGCAAAAGGAGCTTCAACCAGATTATGTGGAGGTTGAAGAATGAGAGCAAGCTGAGTTGAGCGGCGGAATATTCCCCCCAAACGGGGTTGGCCAGGCTAATTGCGCCGACGTAGTCAAAGTGCAGGACGAGCTCCATGGCAAGCAGAACCAGCAGGAACCGAACACCATAGCGGATAGTACGTGGTTTCTCGATGCTGGCTGCCTTGAATTTGAGCTGGGAGATGTAATCGTTGAAGGTGAGAATGGGTCCCGCCAGATAGAGGGGTGCGTATATGGCGTATGCGATGTAATTGCGGAACGAGTAGTCGGCCGGCTCGGCGGATATCGTGATTCGATCTCGCTCAGACAGGTTGGCCGGGTCCAATTGTTTCTTCTTGTGTGCATTAGCGGCATTGCGGAGGAGGAATGGCCGACAAAACGGGGTTGAGGCGCACTTACCTCCAAGGAACTGGAAGCCTTCTTATCGATGCTCCAATAATAATCCATATTGTAGCTAATCAATCGCAGAATCGTAATGTTGAACAAAACCTCCCACCGTGGCATGATGCCTCCAAACCCATCCAACCACGCACCCGTCTGCATCAAGGGCGAATCCGTCAGTTGCCCAGTAGAAGCAGATTTGACCGGTGGCGAGATGTGACTCGCTACGTTTCGTAGGTGGTAGCCCTCACAGAGCTCATTCGCAAACAGAGTTGAGATGTTAAACACCCAGGTGGCAATGGGCACATATTTGCGCGGGAGTTTCCGCCCAATCTGAAAGTTTATGTACAGAATAGTGAGGACCTTGAATGCCGAGATGCCATGCAAGATGACCAAGAACAAAATCGCAAATGTAAAGTCGAACAAGGCGCGCTGCTCCAGCCGCGAGGAGCCTTTGGGGCCCCTATTGCCGTTGGCGCCGGTGTATACTGATTCCCAGACCTTTCGGAGCAGAGGATGGAATATCAGCAGCGCAGCCAGGTAGGGCAAGTTGCCTCGAAACGTGTGATACTGCGCATCGGAAATGTCGACTTTGCGGCCGGGAATCCAGCCATCGGAAAGAAATCGCTCGTACTTGTGATATCGCGGATCGGAGGCTATTCCAGCACCCGGTTAGCGGCTGGTGTCGACTCAAAGAAGGACAAAAAGAGCAACAAACAAGTCACATACGCCGTGAAACGCTATACGCAACCCAAAACATGTACGGCACCGCCCACAAAAACACAAAATAATACAGGTAAAACTCTGGCGTTTGCCATTTCGGTGGAGGTGCACGAGCTCGCGCTTTATCGGCGGCCTCCTTCACGGCATCGGGATCGCTGCGCGCCTCGATAACAGTCTGGTAGGGAACGGACGACGAGCTCATGAACCGAGTGTCGAGGGTGTCGATGTCATAGACCTTGCGGAAGAAAGAGAAGACGCCCATGGTGGACAGACGTCTGCGCCTTTTGTTCTGTAGGCGTGGCTCAAGGATGAAAGGGACGGCGGCAGGGTCAGCTCATTTTCGACAAACAGTGTCCGCGCAAGAGTTCAAATTAATGGTTCAAAGGGGCGCCGTCGACGTGCAGCGTTGAGGGGTCAGGTGAGTGAAACGAGTGACTGGTCAAAGGGAGCGGTAACGATGACGTTCAGGCTGAGACGACGTGCGACGTGTCTTGTCAGCAAGAATAGATGGCAAACATGCAGAGAGGGATGAGGATGGTGGATGGAGGACGTGGCATTCGACGCCTCGCCGCGAGCGCAAACGTGGGGCCTCGGGATCTACAGCCACTCAAGGACGCCGGAGATCAATTGATGTCAACCAGACTCGTCCCTGGCGGCACATGGTCGTATTGTGGGATTCACAGGGCTTGTGGAGTTGAACCCGCGTTGAACCGTTTAGCCCCTGAGACCTCAAAAGTTGAGACTGCATGTGGCTTCCCATCGCTTAGTCAGCGGTGAACGTGTCTGGCGGCGAGGTCGAGGTCCGGATGAATTTGACTTTAATTTACGCACCTGGACCTCGTGAATATCTTTTTAGAATACCGCAGAGTAGAATCCTTCCAACAGATGGGGTGCCTGGCCGACCTACTCTTGGATTATGAACAGCTTCATCCAGGTTCCATTCCTTGCCGCAGATTCACGTTCGTCCAACGAAAATGATCAGCATCAGGTCTGCACGGAATCACAGAATACAGCGAATTTGATACCCTTCGGCCATAGTTGGTTTATTCCGGTGCGGCCTGGCGTGTGCGAGAGGGCGCCGTCCGACACTTTTTGGTGGTTGTCAGAGCTTTTAGCCCCAACTTGAAGTACATTGAGCATCATACCCACGCGTTTAAAAAAAGAATGCCAGCTGAACATTGAGTGTAAGCGCGAGAATCTTGGACATGGTTTCAGAATCAATGACACTCGCCCACACATATTGTTCACTTATTCCTTGCACAACACTCGGCACATTTAACCCCGTGGCCATGGCAGAATGTCTTAGTGCAGTGAAGTTTTAAAGTACATCCATGCTTCACAAAGACCAGCCTGGTGCACACGGATTGTAAAAAAGACTGCGCCACGTAGCTACCCATGTAGTTAAACATAGCAGCCAGATGTACCCTGAACAAGGAAACGACACTTAAAAATCACCAAGAAGCAATGAATACCTGCTTCATTGCAGATTTCCTTTCACACACTATGAAAGGGCAGAGCACAAAAAGGGAGAAAAGCAAGTACGGGACGAGAAGAATGTATAAATACAGCACATCTTGTCTATTTTCAACCAAGAAAAAATAACAACAACAACAACAACGACGACGACGACGACGACGACGACGACGACAACAATAACAACAATATTAACAACAAGAACAACAGCCAAGATCAAGACATCCACGTGAAGACCCCTCTGCAGCATTCATCACCATGTGCGTCTATAACCTGGAAATTTGCATTACAACTGAGAAGATTACCAGTTACAGGGTCCATTATTGCGACCCTATTCTGCGGACACTCGACGATTATGGGGAGCCAGTGTGGACAGATCTCCCGCCCGGTGACGACCTTGAATGTTCGCCATTGGCTGGTTGCGAGGGAGTCGTAATCAAAGGCCCTGTTTGGGTACGTACATCCACAGATTAGTTGCAAACGCGGTTCAACGTGCTTCGAGACTCGCTGCAAAGGATGATGGGACGTCTGCTGCGAATGGCACCGGGGTTTTGGCCTCTGGCCATTTTCTCACAGACATAGAGGGCCATCGCCAGATCGCGAGTCATCCTCATCCTCCCTCATCCCCACCCCAACCCAACGAGATATAACCTTCTGACATACAATTCAAATGAAAGATGCTCGAAAACCCAACCCGGATCGTTGGTCGTTACCGCAGAGGTGATGATTGGGCTGACATGGGGCCATTGAACGGAAGGAAATATCCGGAATAAATGTCATCTGGTGACTACAGCGGTGATGGACGCTGGCATGCCGACGCAGGGTTGATGGAAATCATGATGAGCACGGTCTCAAAAACGGTTGGATAAGAGTGCTGGCAAGTTTTCAACAAACATGAAGCAAATCAGTAGTTAGAAAGTTCTCAACAACTTTCAGACAATGTTAAATGGTGTAGCCAGATGTTCCTTTTATGTGTACTCATCTCTCCATGTGTAAACTATCGCAACTAGACTGAGAGACGGATTAAGAGATTAAATACAGCCAAGAAAGTGATTATGTATACATAAAGCTGAGGCCTTTATATATAATTGCTTTCAATATATTCTCTTGGCCAAGCCGTAGCATTCTGACTGGAAATAAGATTGTCAGCGGCCATGGAGAAAAAGCCAAGATGTGCATATTTGTCACTTTACCTATCCAAATATTCATACAAGCGCTATATGAAGCCACATTTTCAACGAAATTATAAGGGTGTATAAATGCTGTTGAAGTAGAGCGCGTTCTTTCTGTGGCAAAGACCGAGTAAAACAACACCATTTGTCCGCTGTCTGACCGCACCTAAACCAGAGAACCGTAATACACCACGCAATACATCATGGATGCACGCGCCTCGATGCGTTAAAAGCTAGCAGGGTGGGTGATTCAAACATACCAAAAGGCTAGCTGCCGAAAATAAGCACCATCTGCTAGCTTTACCATGTCCCGGAGGACGTGCATACATATGTACTTGTAAGCTCAATATCGGGGATACTTGTCAAAGGGCCATGTGACAAGGGCAGGGTGACTAGTCCTGAAACGCGTGTTCAAATATCAATTCAATAATCGACTTTGAGGTATTCAAGGTCCTTGGTTTTCTAAGAAGCCATAAAGGGTCAGAGGTCTCTATAAATACAAAAAGACGGCGAGGGCTAGTGTCCGAGGCAGTCCTCGCTTATGACCTGACCCTGGGCTCTCCTGATACCGTTCTTTGTTGTTGTGTAACCTTTGTAGTCTGATACCTTTGTCCAGGTCTTGACCGTGCGACATAACACATCTCTATAAATACAAGAAATTGGTGGGCCTTAGAGGCCAAGGCAGCCCTCACCAAGGTCTAACCCCGGACTCTCGTGATGGCTTCCTTTGTTGTTGTGTAACCTTTGTGGTTGATACCCTTGTTCCGGCTGATGCCTTTGTTCTGACCTTTGCCGTGTGACAGGTCACCATTGCTGCATCCCTTTGTTCCATGGCCTGGTGGTGCGACTCAATAGCCACCCTAACAAAGATTCAAAGAAATGAGAGATGCTTGTTATTATTGGCAGCTATTATAGCTAGGAGGCTCTATATAAAGGGGCCAAATCTAGTCGGCTATCTGCCTAAGGCTACCATCTACGAATGCCTTGCACACATGGTCCGACTGACCCGTTCCGGAGCATAACATACCGCACTAATTACATGTCAAGTTATATTCTAGCGGGTCAGGTGTCAAATTCCAAGGCCATGTCGTCTTTGCAGTGACTCGGTTTCGTAAATAATCCGAACCGGAATCAGGTCATGTTGGAGACAGCTTGAGAGGCTGATGGATTAAGCAGCATGTCGACATCCCTGCAGTAGAAAGCGGCCCCTGGGCCGGTCAGCTGGGCCAGTCAAGAATTGGATAGCCTGGCTGCAAGTCGACCTTGTCTACAGAGTACCCTCTTTAGCCGTTCGCATCTCCGCGATACATGGTCGGAGTCACCGACTCCCTTGGCATGGGGCAGCAAATAGCAAGGAATGGCTGGGTCCGAAACCTATATATCGGCGTTATCGCCTTCGTTCTCGCATGTTAAGAGAGCGGTATTGGGACTGGCGCTGAGGCGTCATGTTTGCACCGCTGTTCATCCATGTTTGCAACCGAGGCAACTGCCACTGCACCAAGTTTAAACGGGGACAACTGTTCTGTATGAAACTCCACAGAATGAGATTCAGAGATCCCAACACGTCTGACGTGAAAGCCGAGTGTCGGAATGAAAACAAGAATATCTTGAGATTTAGACGACACCAGATACTTTAGAGCAGTCGCAGCTCTCTGGGCAGATGGGTGTCTTACACGCACCACGGCCTCGGACGTTACGCCCTCACTGGAGTCCTTGTCGAGGTATCATGCGCAACAAAAGTTTCTAGCATTTGTTCCCTACACCTTGATAATCAAAACCAATTTGGCAAGCAGCACGCGGGCGGGGCGGTTCGAAGTTTGTCAATAGGTCAATAGCCGGGGCCTATGAAGACGGGTCGTGTGACATGCGCCTCTCTTCCTGGCTCTCCGAAGAGACTGGCTGGTATCGACATCAACTCGAGTGCCATGGTCAGATCTTTCGTCACATTCAGCCCCTTTTCGTCCATGCAGGTGGCTGCAAAGCAACGGTGACTTAAAGTTTTCGGCTGAGAGTGAAAGCAATGCCAAGATATAAGCACACAGGAGAGTTGCAAGTCTCGGCTCTGGTCTAGCTGGCATGGACATGAGTGACTTGTCAACGGTCCATTAATCTGCAATTATGAGGCCATGTAATGGAGTGAATGCCGCCTACATATGTCCTGCAGGAGCCGCGAGACATTGGCGACGTAGCCCCGAGGCGGACGTGTGCAGATATCCGCACGGGCGTTGGATTGCATTCGACACGACGCCAGAGGCTGTCCAAGTAACATGTAATCACACGCAGCTGGTTGTGGTTGTGGTTGTGGTTGTGGTGGTGGTGGTGGTGGTGGTGGTGATGACGATGGCGATGATGGAGGCCATAAAGGCGAGAAGGCGATGCCACGCACGCAGGACGGACAGATTTGGAAGGAGCGGTCGGCCGGCACACCGTAACATCGACCTGGCATTTCGAGCTCTTGCCGCCGACTGATCTAGTGGCAGCCACTTGATTGGCCCAACCGTGAACTGAGGAGGCTCTCTCAAAGCAGCCTCGCCTCTTCCTCCGCTCCAATGTTTGTGCATGCTCTTCCATGTCCGTATTCCAAATTGCATATGTCCGTCCCCTCTTGCTTTTTCGTCGTCTTCTACTCCATCACACTCTGACTCGAACTGCCGATCTTTGACCATTCATCACAAGCGTTGAGGCACATCAAGCCACACCGCAATATGTCGCGAAACCACAAATCCGATGACGATAAAACGACGACGGACGGCCCGTCAAGAGACGGCGACAGTCCCTTCATCCATGGCGTATCACATCCCATCATCTCCACCATCTCCAACCACGCCGCACTCCAGACCAAAGTCTCCAACGCAAAATAGAAGTTTCACCACGTTGAAACAAATCGCCATTCCCTACGGAGGAGAAAGGTAGACGACGTTCAAATGCATGCATGTCTCGTAAAGCCTACCTACCATCTTGCAACAATCTAATATCAACATGCAGTGTCTGGCCAGTGGCCAATCATGCTTGCGGCGTCGTAGTCCTGCTGTCCTCCTGCCGCCCTCCAGCGAGGAATTTCGGCGCTGATGATACGTAGAGGACATGAGCGGCCGTTGTTATTACCACGTAAGATTCGTGGCATACCTGGTGGTGCGCGCAACCCTTCAAGGGCAACTCACCATGCGTCATTGTCGTCAAACCCAACAAGAATCAGCTCTCGAGCAATTCAGTGCTCCCTCGGAGGGTTCAAGCGGAATCTCTGGTGCAGCGATGACTGGCAGGTTGGATCAGTGAGAAGGTGGGGCAGCTAATGCCGCAAAGGCCACAGCTTGCATGGCTAGTCGTCCGCTGGCGGCGATTGCGAGACACCTCTCGGCCGTTGCTCGCTCGTTTTCGGCCGCAAGGGTCCTGCGACGCTCATCAGGGCGCAGTGTCCTGAAGAGTCGGCCCCGGAATCGTGGCTTTTGCTGACGTATTTGCCTGGTTTGGCTCCCAGGCTGGAGGTCTCGTGCCCTATTTAGTGCTTGTGGTGAAGCACAGTAAATATCACGGCCCATCACGCCTCTCCGCCATTGACGTTGGAAGTTTTTACCTCGGGACGGCTTCTTGCGGTTCTCTATTCTGCAATATCACCTCAAGTTCACCTGAAGTTGCATCCTCCATCGATTGACTTCGCGAGGCGGGCGGCAGACGGGACACTGCCGTCACCCTGAGCGCACAAATTAACAATGGGGACAATGCCGGCAGGCAGCCTCTTCTCCGCAAGTTTCATTTGCCGTTTTGCAGTTCATCAAACAGAATGCGTGAAACATCAAGTTTGATTTGATACGATACGCTTGAGCATTTGACGCGCATGCAGGAGTCTTGCTCGGGCATAATTGGCACATCATTGGCCAGAGGCGCCTTTGGCAAAAGCATCGAGAGGGGCGGCGGTTTGAACTTTGCTGTCAGTCCCGTCTCGAACTGTCCCCGCCGCAGATCCACCATTCAAGCAAAGATGCAGTGCGAAAGTCCAGGTGCAGAAGCCTCTGTCGTCGATGCATATGCGGTTTCGAGTCCGCATCCCCTGTCGCCCGTGATTATCCCTCCGGCCAGCTGCGTTTCTGATTCGGCGCGAAGTGAATGCGGCTCGGGCCTGGTTGCAAAAGCTTCATCATCTCTCGCCTGCTCCACCATGAGTCGAGGACTAGTCTGGCACCCCGTTCCATCTCGGCATGCAGTTCTACCTATTCGGGCATCTCACTACCTCGAGAGGGCATCTTTTGTTGTTGGCTCGCCCAACTTACCAGACTCCCGGGTCCCGACGAGTTGTTTTGGTTGTGTCTCTACGATTGTGCCTCGCCCGTAAGGCTATGTCCGATCCGCTCCATATCGCCGACTTGCACCTCCGCCAATGCTATTCAACCACATTGGGGAACCACATGGGGATCCCAAAGGGTTAAACAACGATGCCTCCACAGTACCATCCACAGACGGCGTTAGCCCATTCCCGCACCGGTTTGCCGACTGTGCTCCCCAGGATCCCCGGAAGCACCTCCCCGTGCCACTGGAGACACGGTGAAGTGAAGAACATGTTGACTCTTTGTGGCACGCCCGAAGCGGCCCAATTCGATGCTACCGTACGGCGTACTAGACATTTCATCCGGGCCTGTGGGCGCAACGCAATCTTTATATCATCCGTATCCCCTCCTCTGAGGAGCGTCATTTCTGTCTTCTTTCCGTCATTGCCATTGAAAACTTGGTCATCTCTTTGCAAGCAGTCAAGAAGTTTGCCTCTCCGCCAACCTTGAGCACTTCCTCCACCGGCAACCCCCCGTTTTGTTATACCCATTGGTCTTGGGACGACTGAATTATTTGCTGCGGTGAGGGACGTTGGAGATTAGCCATATACTCGGTACTGTTTTCGCAAGCTCTCACAGCGTTTGAGGTTGGGATAATCCCGCATGTTCAGCGTCCTTGACAACTACGAACTGCCCTAGAGTGAATCGGCGGCCATTGGCAAGCTAGCTGCCTTGCCTTGTGTGACTCAACCTAGAATATTGGCGTATACGGACGGACTAGGAGTATTGGGCCTCAACAACCGCGATACACCAGTGTTCATCTGGTACTGTGTCTTGAGCCGTTCAAGTGGATTGTTTGTCAACTAGAAACCACGGCCGAACACATTAATATCCTCCAACATGGCGTCTTCCCAGGATCCTCGCGACCACAGGCCCTTTGTTGGGATGGATGATGCACCTGTCAGATGCCAGATGGAGTCGTCATTTCTCTCCATCTTGCACAGTGCTGGACTTGAAGAATGGGCTGCCCAGCAAAGCGAACTTGCCAACTGGCAAACGGGGGAATCGGCTTCGTCATCCGAACGAACCGGTAGCAGCAGCAGCGCGTCGGAAGGCAAGTCTAGTAGGCGGGCACCATCTTCTCGGTCTGCCCAGAAATCATCATCTGCGAAACAGAATGGGCGGTCGCGCAAGAGTAAGGATCACAGTGACAAGAGCTCTCGAGCTGGGCGGTCAAAGCACAGGGAGCAGATGACGGAAGAAGAGAAGGAGGAAATGCGGCAACGAGCAGCGAGCTTTGTTCCTGATTATTCCGGCTACAACACCATGGATGCCGAACTCAGTATTATTGGACAACAATTGAAGAGGATGCGGGAGCATCCGTAGTCGCCTTTCCACAGGACCCCCTGGGGCGACCCCCTCGGGCTTGAAGCACATCAGCGTCGCATTTGATGACAGAAATTTGCAAGTCACCTTGACAATGTCTTTCATATTGACCTGTTTCTCGGTTTTTTTTTTTACAATTCAGCTCTGGAAGCACGTTTGTTCTGCATGAAGCGGTTAGGAATTCTTGCAAGAAGATGCGGTGACGGTGTTGGACACAAATGCTCTCGCTTTTTTTTTCATTATCCAACCACATATCCAGGAGAATGAAAATGGGGCAACGGTGCAAGACAGACATGACAGCTGGATACAATTGAATCCAACGGCAACGCAGTGTCCCGGGTTGTTTAGAGGCGATGACTATTGGCCTTTCGTAAGCCACAGAAAGACAGAACACCTGAGAGCAAGAGAAAGTAGCAGAAAGACTATTGATGTAGCAGAAACAAGGCATTATGGGAATTTATGACTAATGAATATAATGAATGAATGGCTGGCAGTCAAACGTGCTCTTCGCCCCCGGACCCAAAACACCACCAAGTTCCATCAGCCTCCCACGACGGCCATATATACCAGCGCTTCATGCACAACTCGCAGCTTGAGAGGAGACCGTGTGGCCAGCAAGCAGTATGCCGATAGTAGCAGAGAACCGGACTGACTGGCACGGCTACGTGGCACCGACTCACCGTGCCCCGCGGACATGGTTGGCATCAAGGGCCAATAAAACAAGTAACATCCTAAAACCCGAGCACAAAAGTAAAAGCCAGCGACAGCCTACCTCGGCACCAAAAAAAAACCATCACGCACGGACGGATCAAAACACAAGCGGTCGGCCCAACAGACGTGAAAAATCGTACGACGTTGTCTAGTACAAAAAAAAAGAGTCTCCAGGGCGTGATTCGAACACGCGACATTCTGATAAACTATAAATCTTACAGTCAGACGCCATAAACCAACTAGACTACCCGGAGAGGGGAGGGGTGTTACCCCGCCGGACCAATTGATTCGCTGGTTGTTGACGGGCACGAGGTTAATTTATTTTATAAACCCTGTCCTGGTTGACAGTATAGGGTAGTGGCATTGGGTCCGTCCGAAAAACCGAGTGACATACATACATGTGCGATGTTCAAACTTCCGACCTATGTCTGTAATTTTGTGAACTTTTCAGATGAGGAGATTTGTACAGCAGAATCTTCAGGGTGTCTACTGAAACGGGCGCGTCCTTGCTACTCTCGATGTTTCGCAGAGAGTGCTCGTTACTCGAAACAATGCCGCTGTACGGAGTACGCTGCACATTCAATCATATTTTGAAGAGCGTCCAACGACAATTTGCTTGCCTGTGGCCTGCCTACAACTAACTGCACATCATGATATACATTCGCACTGGGATTTTCTTCACAGCTTTGGCAGTATCTCTATAATAAGTTGGTAATGACGACGCCGCCACGTGCCCCTCTGATATTAGGCTTGAATCATAACGTAAGTTGTTTCTTTTCTTAATTTCCCCAAGCGGTCCCATATCCAAGAACCGAAAATATGACCCGGCGACATTAGGACAAAAAGCCCAAATGATCAGGGCGACAAAAAAAAACCCACTTTGATTCTTTGGAACTTCCTTTCCAAAATTGCTGGCTAAAAGATATATGCATTCCGTCATTTCCATACCAAAACTCCATTTGACAGTCAAAACTCCATCGCTGATAACAAGTGGATTTCGTAGTACCACATCAGAATCCCAGTTCCCAGCTCCGTTTAAAAAATCCCAATATGTAGGTGTTTTCTACATGTGCTGCGCTCGCCTGGCGCGGGTATATCGCTTAATAACTGAAATCAACCGTCGCCATCGGTATCGCCTTATTTTCATTGGATTGCCTTGCTTGTTGGCCTTCCTCGCTATGGTGTATAGTAATGGTTGACGACCCTGAGTCGCCAAGCGTCGTATCCGCGCTGCTTTGTGATGCTGTAGTTTGCAACTCGTGTTCTGGGATGCCACTTGGCGACCAGCCCTGGTCGAGAATCTGCTGAAAACTCCAGCTCGGCTGAAAGGTTTTGCTGTTCCATGCGTGATTGACGCGTTCGTACATTTCGTCTATCTGCTCCAGGCTGATCTTGCTGGTTTCGTAGACCATGCACCAAACAAAGATGAAAGCGACGATACAGAATGCACCCCAAATAAAAAATATTTTCGGCCCAAAACTAGCCGATCCGGGACCTGATTCAACCATAAATGGGGTGGCATAGGCGATTCCAAAATTCAAAATCCAGTTGGAAGCGGTAGAGAGCGACATAGATTTAGCTCGTACTTTCAAGGGGTAGATCTCTGATGTGACGACCCAGACAACTGGACCCCAAGAAGCGGCAAAAAAGAAAATATTGAAGCAGCAGAAAACAACAAGGATCGTTTCCTTGATATTCTTAAAACCCTCGCCGGCAGCTGTAGTAAATGACGCCATGAACAGTTGGCATGTCGCCATTCCCAAAGCGCCAGTCATGAGCAGGCTCCGCCGGCCCCAAGATTCAATAATGAGCAAACCAGGGATGGTGGATACAACGTTGATGACATTGATAATTGTAGATTTCGTGTACGGACTGTTGACCCCAGCGCCGTTAAAGAATGTCGTACTGTAATACATGATGAAGTTGATGCCGGTTAATTGCTGAAGCATCTGCAGACCACAGCCCGTGAATGTCCGGCGACCAAGGTGAGGAGTCCCAAAGAAGGCGTCCCTGTAGGTTGAAGGACCAAGACTCAGTTCGTACTGGTGGTTTGCGATGATTTCCTGCAGCTCTTCGATCAGTGCGGGATGTGTAATGTCCAACCGTCGAAGCCGACTCAAGGAAAGGCCGGCAGCCTCATTTTTGCCTTGCTTGACGAGGAAACGCGGGGTTTCAGGGAGCACAAGCAGACCAGCGGTGAGAATGAGGGCAGGGATAATTTGCAGACCCAGGGGAATTCGGTATGCAGAGGAGTCGTCGAGCTTCGATGTTATGATATTGATAACGGAGGCGGACAGTAGACCAACGGTGATTGAAAGTTGGTATGCACACACTAATGTTCCACGAATCCATTTCGGGGCCATTTCTGACTGATATAATGGGACCAAAACTGAGACGGCGCCAACACCAACGCCAGCCAATGCCCTGCATCGCAGTTAGCAAGATTGATTCGTACAAGCAGTGCGTTCATTAAAGAGAAAGACGCAAGACTTGGATATGACACACCTGCCGACAAGCAAAAGGGCAGTCTCGCTGGCGCAGACTTGACAGATGGCACCGATACAAAAAATGCCTACCGAGATGAGGAGGCTGATTCGTCGACCTAGTGAGTCTCCCGCCGGGGCGGCAAGGAGTGCTCCGATAGCTGTGCCGGCGCTAAGGATGGCAACGATGAGAGACGCATCTTTGGGACAAATCGATAACGAAGAGTCGCTTGTTGTTGTCGAATGGCAATTGGCACCAAACTGCGTCTTGAAAGCATCCATGGCTAAGATGCCATTTATGGCTCTAACAAGTGAGAAAAAGATATTAGCACAACATATTGCTTTCCACAAAAACGCAGCAGCATTCCAAGAGATTGCGCGCGGCGATCCAGTTGGGACGTATTGTTCCTTGACCGCTCCCAGCGCGCCCCTAGACTAACAAGCACATGGTTTAAGTTTAAACTGTACTTGCACCACAAAAGCGACTTCAACGCATCCTAGGTCGCGGTCCCAGTCTGTACTAAACGGCTTTTAAGGGCCAAGGCAGGAGGAAAGAACTTTGGTTGACGCCTACTTACCCAGTATCATAACCAAAGAGCAATCCACCAGAAGCGACAAAAAGCCCGACCATGATGGCCGGCGCTGACGAGCCAGCGACATTGTCGGGCTTCTGCCAGCCCATGGCAATGGCCATGGTTGCGGTTGTGAGGACGTCAATCCAGGATTAAGGCTCGCGCTGTCGGACTTGCGGACTTGAGAACGAATAGAATGATGGAGACACGGGGGGTATTACGTCGCGATAACTACTGCTGTGGGCAAAACCAGCCCGTATATCTCGGTGGCGTGTTGATTGCTCGGCCTGGGTCGGGGCAAAGGCTGGATATTGTTTGGGCGGATTCGTCTGGTGGAACGGGATGATTTCGTTGGTGAACGGGGGATAAATGGACTTGACAGCGATGCTGGTACAACGGGAATAAGAAGTCGTCGCAAGCCGTCGAGCAGGTGTCGGATATCGAGAACGAGGTCAAGGGCGAAGACTTGGGATTCTTGGGTCGTGAGAGGAAATTTGAGTTGCAAGCGAAGGAGAGTAGTGAAGGAGAGCCAGGGCAGGAGACGGTACGAACTAGTACTGTGGGAGGGTGGGAGCAGAGTAGTAAAATCTGGGGGAACGACGAGGAGCGAGAGAGAGGAGAAGAATGATGACTGGGCCAGACTTGGCTGGACTTGGCCAGATGGACCTGGCTGCATGGCTGGGCTGGGGGCGGGTGGGCGAGCGAGGACTGCCACCGCGTGACTGCGAGTGCCCAAGCAGTTTTGCCCGTCGCCCAGATGTCGCTGCGTGGCCTGCGTGGCCTGCGGACAGGTACTGGCAGCCGGAGCACGAGAGAGAAGGCAGCACAGAGGGGCGCGTGCCAAAAGCGATGTGAGTTCACCCATGCCGGGAAGGCGCCAATCCAGCACGAGCGGCGAGCCGAGAATGACCGCTGATTGGGTCGCCTGTCCAGCACCCAGCGCCCCAGCACCCTGGGCGCCCGGGTAATTGAACCCAGTACCTCAAGGTACCTTGGTACCTACGGGCAGCCTGGAGGAGGATCTCGAATACCTGCCCTGCAAGTGCTTGTCCTGTCGTGCTTCACCGCAGTGTTGGATGTTGGGCCAGCCAACATCAAGGCTTCTGCTCGCGCGCCGACGGCGCCGGACAGCACCGACAGCTGTCTGGTGGCGTCCACTGGTGTTGTGCTGGCGCTGCCTTGTTGCCCTTGTTGCTCTTGCCTCTCCAGACGAGTACAGTACTCTCCGAGGGGAGGTGGGAGGGACATGACTGATGCTGGTTGGCTGGATGTCAGCCGTTGGTGGATCTTCCCTGGTAGTTTAACGCTAGTCCAAAGATGGCATAGCTGATTTGTTTGACTGGCTGTCTGACTGGACTGTCTGACTGTCTGAGCAGGATTTCTCGCCTTTTCATCCTGGGGGACAGTGCTTGAATGCTCAGCCCGCTCACGCCAAACGCCTCATCGAATGATGAGTCGCCCACGATTGTCGGCGCCATGGTTTGCATGGCATGACCGAGGATTGGTGCGTGGCAGACATGCCGTACTGTGTTGGGCTAAACCGAGTACATACGAGCAGCCTGTGGCCATTGGTCGATATGGACGGCCATATCGAAAGGCGTCAGACTCGTCCTCAAGTCCACGGTATCATGGGTTGGCTTTGCTCTTTAGCTCGCGACAGTCATCCGGGCCGTGATACATTTCCAACGTCCAACCAACGGTGCCTCCTCACGCCCCATGTCTCACCATGCGGCTCCCTTGCCGTGCTGCCCCTGGAGCCGAACGTCTCTGTCTGTCCAGCTCTCTGTTCACGGTTCTTGTCGGCATCAGGCACTAGTACGGAGTACCACCTGTCCGTCAGAACCGATACTCCTGCCAGGCAGTTGTCTGATGGAATCCATGACTTTCAGCTCATGGCCTGATCCGAGCTCATTCGTCGTCTGCCGTCCGCCACTGAAATAACACAAAGAAAGCTTATAAGCCACGACCCGGAAGGTTGTCATGTCAAGTTCCAGGGAGAGTACTAACCCCGTCTCATCAAGCCTCGGCATTGGCATCATTCTCGATAAACTGTAATTCTGCACATTCAGCAACATCGCCAAGCAAGCCCGGCAGCCAGCCAACAAAAAAAACAAGCCCGAAGTACCGTGGAAGGGCCTTTTCTGCCATCGGAGTGCGGCGCCATTCAGGAACAGAATCGAGACTTTGTCACGACAGGTTTTAGTCTTGATCAAGTCTCCCACATGCCATTTTGCGGACGAGCAGTGACATGCTTATGTACTCTTCCCTGGGTTGGTGTGCAAACAGTGCGCGCGGCACTGTCTTCCAGGGCTGCCATGCTCCGCAATCCTTGCAGCTGTCATGCCCAGCCCCACCTCAATTACTCTGAGAGCTGCAATGGCATCCTGAATTTTCTCCCCCAAGTCCCCGATGTTACTTCGAGGCTACAAATCTGGAGCAGCAAGAGGTGCAGCGGTTGGTCCGAGTCGTTGGAAACCATTTAAACTCTGAGTACCGCTACGGCCCTTGTGACCTGCCTGCCGCGAAGGCCGCGAGGACTAACTTACCTGGTACTTACCTAATATTATAGGTGCTTAGAGTTTTTAGGATCTGCCAGCGCTTATTAAGACCAGGAGACCTGGCATGGCAGGAGTCTATGGAGTCGGAGCCATCCTGACATGTTCCATTGTCGAGCTCGCCACCTCGTGTCGAAGTCTTCAAGTCATGATCCTAGACAACAGGCCGTATGTCGGTACCAGCGTCGTATTGCACAAGGCTTTAGCACCAACTAACTAGGGCTGAGCGCGATTTTGAAGCCAACGTTTTGAAGAGGTCGACGAAAATGTGCCACCCAGCATCGAATCTGGCACCCGCCCCCATTTCTCGCCGCCGCTCTCGGAATGGAGGGAAGCCAGCCGCAGAAAGCTTCAAGAGCTTGATCTAGGGCAACACATCAGACATCCCTTCTGCCACGGAGTGACCGTTTATTCAGAACCCAGTCAGCACCCAAGCAGCCAGCCAACTGGGAAACGCTAACCATGATGCGGGGATTGGCGCCACCTCATTCTCCAAGGACCAACATGTTTAGTCTGTTGCTGCCCTTCAGAGCAGGTAGCTTAAGGTATGCCCATTCCGTAACGCTTTTCCCTGGCAGTGACTCAAATCTCAATTGTCTTTGAAACTGCATGTAAACTAATGTTGTATCTTTACTAAAGCTCGGACTACCCAATTGCGAAACTGCCACGGCGTCATCATTTACTTTAGTTTGTGAGGCGCTCTGTACATCACCAGCTGTTCAAGCAGACTATTGAACAGGCCGGCCCGCGCACTAGCCCATTTTTGAGCACAAGCCGTCCAGCCATTGTTATGGCGTCCGCATTGGCCCCCATGCAGCATATTGGGGAGAGTTACGACATTGCTGCGTAAATACCGTGTTGTCGAACAAGTGCCGAAGGCTGCCACAGGAAAAGCAATAATCGAAGCTCAGCCATGGCTGTAAGTGGCAGAGCCAATGGCACAACCTCCTGATCACAACAGTTAGATGTCTGAGGGATTTTCAATTTCAATTAGTTTCAACCTTGGATCGGCTTGGCCTTTACTGGGATGCAATCCCAGTCAGCATATATGCTGAGTGGAATCACTGGATATGGCGTTCTCCGGTTCGAACGATTGAACGGCGGCGGCGAGAGAATAGGCCTCGGATGCTGTCGATCGGGCGAGGAGCGTCCTAAGGTTTAGAAAACAAGCTTCTCTTTTCGTCCTGGGGCGTCTGTGATGAATTCTAGTCGAATAGGCTTCTGAGAACTGTGTGGATGCCGTTCACGGGTAAAATGAAGCTTCGCTTGGATGGGAAGAAGACTTGATCTTCTACACGCATTATACAAAGCAAAAGCTTCAAACTGCGAATGGCCCTGGTATATATATTTACGGTTTGTGAACGGTTGTGCATGGAGGCAGTGTCTGTGAATCCTTCGGCACCGGGACAGGTAGGCCTTCGGGTAGATCGTCTTCATGTGGACCACTCGGCTCTTTAGTTATGTGTCTGCTGCAAAAGGATAAGAGAGAGACAATTATAGGCATGCATCTAGCACGAAATACAGCAAAAAATACATACAACACTGGGTATTCGCTGGTCGTCACCGACCCAACTACTAATCCAGCGCTCACTAGGTTATCGTACAAGATCGGACGGGATACCGCGTCCGAAATGTGAACTCGCCCGACCTTTACCCGAAACGCCCGTCCGGACCCGCTTTTCCCGTCCTCTCCGTTTCCCCATCCTGCCACCGTTTTGCTTCTCTGTCCCCGGGCTTTCCACTCCGATACCGAAGCGCCGGGCAATGGACGAGACCGCACGCCGCGTAGTAATACACACCCTCATGTTGCCTGTTTTCGACCCTGGCCTTCGCATGACATCCTCGCCAGGCTCGGGGGAGGCGCCCGACGCCGCCACCCCTTCCTCTCCCCCTGGTTTTATCGACAAGTCTTTTTCTCCATTGGTCTTGTCGCAGGTCCATGTTCAGTCCGCCTGGCGTCAATGTGCCGTGTTGGTCAGCTCGTGATTATCCCACCTGAGAATGCCTACGTGTACTGCAGGGCCCCGTTGGCCTTATTGAATTCAAGTGATGGGCTGACTAGATAAAATGCCCCTTCTCCCCCTTTCATTTGTCCTTGGTTGGTTTGCCGTCCATGACATTCAGTCCTCTGCCCCCTTTTCTCATTCACCTGTACTGCCACTGAAGCTGCCTTCGCTCACTTTATCATCATGCCCCGAGATACGAAATCTTCGCTTCGCTTTGCCCGCCCAAGTGTGCGTCAATTTAACAAAGATGCCGCTAAGGCGGCGGTGCAAAAGTATCAGGAGAAGCCGCTGAGTGAGGTTTGCCGCCTTGACCCAAAAACGAGGCAGCGTCGCGAGAGGATCTGGCAGAACTGGGAAGAGTGAGGCATCCCCCTCTTATCTTTATTCCTAGGCAGTGAGCTATTACTGATTTTATTCCATGTAGATTTGCCGCTTGCGCTGAAGTCGACCCGGTCGATATATGGTTTGACCTTTGCTTAGGCAAACCAGAAGTTCAAGCCATCTTCCAAGGATTTCTCAGACAATACTGGGAGCAGTCTGTGACGTTGCGTCCCTGCCTTGGCCCTGAGGAATATGAGGAAGTACACACGATTAATTGCGCGTCAACAATAGAAGATGTATGGTGTTTGCTGGTCAATCATGCAGACGATCGGATTATGAAACCAAAAAGGCTTCAAGATCGCGAGAATGCCGGAATCTGGTCATTGAAGTATTCTTCTAGGAGGACTTCATCGACTTGCGGTCCTACTTATGAGATAGCTCGTGTGAGTCCTTGGCCCCTCTCCTTATCAACAGACTTCTCTAATCCCTAATTAACTATAGTGGATTCCTGAGTTCGGCACAGAAGTTGGATTAAACTTGGGGCAGACTTTTCAAAAAGATGGCGCGACTACAGACGATATTTTAACTATTCTTTCCACTTTGTGGAATAGAGCAAATGATGTTAGGTGTTCACCTGACGATAGACTCTCTTTCACTATGTATGTTGTTGAAATGGGTCTAGGAGGTTGGCGGCCAGGAGCGTTAGAACTGAAGAAGTATAATCATGTAAAGCTCGCGTGGGTTAGAGATCCTGTTAACCCATCTGTTACGCGGACTATATGCTGGTCTACCGTTGATCATAACAAGCTTCGACGGCTTAGAATCGAGCGAGAACAACGTTCAAGGTAAATGATCCCAGTAATTTATTCCATCACTCATAATTGATAAATAAGCTAATAAGCGGCTCATATAGCTTGAGCTACGCACTCTCCGTGGTTCCAACGTTAGTTCTATGCTTAACTACCATGTTCACAATTAGAGCAATAAGAGATAATGCCTTTGAGGCTGGGTTTACGTCCTGTGATGAGGTGCTTCACCCTGAAACACTCGAGGAGGGCGTTAACTTTGTAGAGTTGCGCTGGAAAGAGGAGTTTATGAGTGATGATAAGTATATTATGCCAATGAATTACCATAAATTTATTAATCTTTGGAACGAGGTGCGAATGGTATTGGGATCTCGATCTAGCCTCCGTCCCTACTCAGTTCGTGTTGGCGCGGTGGGTAGATTGGATGGTAAGCTGCCTCTGAATTGGAGTACCTTCTTGCCTCTAACCGTTTATCCCTAGGATGTCTTCAACCGGCACTTCGAAACTTTATAGTATCTCATTCCACCGAGGTATTTGAGCGAAGCTACCAACCAGTTAGACTGCGTGCGAACCTGGCGAATATCGCATTCGGCGATAAAGCAAGGCATGACACAGCGCTTTGGGAAGCTATCTCTAATAGCCTGCATAATCGAGACCCAAACGCGCCTACACGTCTAACTAAAAAGGAAATTGATCAATTTGAATCAAGAAAAGATATAACAGAGCTTCGCAAGGAGCTGAAATACATCACAGCCAAAGAAGGGTCATCTAGTCAAGAAGCAAAGAAAGTCTCATCGCGAATCAGATATACTCTTGACTGCCTAGAGAGACTAGAAATTCAGGAAAAACGCCGCAAGTACTTTGAGGAAGCAGATAAGCTACGTGCAATGAACAAATCAACGGCACATCTTAAACAAGAGGTGCAAAATTTAAAAAGAAAGAGGTTCGGAAATAGCAGTGCCTATGCCGCTAAGCTGGCTAGTCTTTTATTCCAAACGAATATCACTTCCGCTCTAGCAGATCGTCTTGTCGCTTTTATAAGCGGAGCAAGCGTACTGAACGAGATTGGAGATGTTCATCATTTCAGGAAGGAATCGAAGGAACCCGCGCGATGTCTCTTTGGCTGTGGAACCTTCTTTAACACGTCAGCGCTCACAAGACATGTTCGCCATCTACACATGCATATCTTTAAGGCCCGGTTCTTGTGCCCCGAGTGCAAGCGGATGAACCTTGGAGATGTGGTGATTGAGGCGAATCCCTGTGCCTGGAGTAGTCATGTTCGAAGAGTCCATGGCGCGGTTCACACCCCAAACCTAGAGTCTCTACCGGATGTTCTCTGCCTCTTATGCGACCAAGAATACAAACAGAGAGGGTTCTCTCGCCACCTGAACACTCATCATGAGCTATTTGACGAGCCAATCTCATGTCCAGCATGTCTACAAGAGGGCAGGAAGGTCGAAGTCGAGGGAATGGGAGGCTGGATCACCCACGTAGCAGACGTTCACGGAGGTGACAGAGTTCTCGGAGCCATAGAGGTCTACAAGACCTCATGTTCAGATGCTGAAATCGCTCCAATAGACATAAACCCTGCCGAGGCGCAACACAGAAAAGAGCTTGCGAGAAGACGACAAGTGGATCGCAAGAGAAAGGCAGGTAACGCTGTACCATCGGCTCCCCTCCCATATAAACGGGCGAAAACGGCCTTATCACAACCTTACGCACATACTAGTGGTGACTCGGATTGGGAAGTCTCATCACCTGATCCTCACGCGGATGAAGAGTTCTGGGTTGATGGAAGGGAGTAGTCAGCCTGGCCGTTTTGAAAGAGACCAGACCCGTGACCAGAGATGGGTGATGAGCATAAAAGGGACCGTGCCCGCCCTTGAAGCTTAGCAAGAACTCAAACCTTTGTTCAATCTTACCTATAACTTATCATTCCCGGCCTACCTTTGCTTAACCGGCCTTCCTTCTACTCTTGTCAACAGAGCACTCTTACCCTTCCGTCCATAAAGGGAGCTTGAACGTCCCTACCGGACTCCCCCCATTGTTTTTCGCGTTCATCGTCTTCAGGCGAACGCTAACTTCACGATGGTGAGGATGGATCGAATTACTTTAGAGAAGAATTATTCCTGGCCGTCCCCCACTCGCCGCTGTTCATTGCTACGATCCTTTGTATCCGCAAAGGAGTCTTTCGCACCCCCAGCCAGTTCCTCACCTGTCAATGCAAGGCACTACGATTCTGTCCCCGGCAGTGACCCGCAAAACTCTCGAGAACGTCTTCAGTCCGTCCTTGAAAGTGGTCTCGGAGGCTCCGACTTGGATTCAGGAGATATGACATCGCGAACTGTTAGCCCAGAGGCCGACTTGGAAGGTGCTACAATACGTGTGGCGGACGATGAAGAGACCACTGGGAGAATCCGACGGAGTAATCAGAAGCGAAAGAATAATACAACGAGAACTACTGTCTCTGGCGAACATCTTATTCAGAAGAAGCGCGCCGCGGTTAGCAGAACACAGGTTTTTGAGTATTCACGCTTAGGAGCGGTCCGAGAAGGTGTCGGCGGACGCATTCAGTTCAAGATCTGTTGGAAGCCAACTTGGGGCACCCTTGAGGACCTCTGGGGAACTCGGTCATTGAAAGAAGCCGAGGAGCTCATCCTCAATGAGTACGACGAAGTTACGTGGGATGAGGAGATGCGTAGGTCTGGTCGTCTTGCTTTAGCTACGAGATCGAGTAGATAACATTAATGAATAGCCTGTTAGGCGCTATCTTATGTTTTTGACTTGGCCTTCGCAGACAGTTTCTCCTGCAGTTGCTGTCGACCTACTTCATAAGCCGCTTTTCACAACCAGACTGACCAACAAGCCAACAATCGACTCACGAGCATTTGGGTGACTTCCTAACCAGTTTGGGCCTTTCAAGAACCACGTGGAGCGACTACATGGCGTAAAGCTGCGAAAGTATCCAGCGTCACGTGAGTCCTCTCCGAATATCACTATCAATTACCTATATGTTTAAAATTTCTGTATCAAATTCTCCCCTTTATTCACTTTTGTTTTTGCTTGCTTTCTTAATCTCGATCTCGTTTGTCTTGATACAGGTAAAATGGGTCGATCTAAAAATATGTGTGCCTGTATGTTTACAGGGATGTGCAAATTAATGAACTACATTGTCTCCAGTTACCTTGGGGCGTGTAGAAGATGATACAATGATTTGAGAGGCCGTTGTTAGTTTTGAGTGTGAGCTATCGTGATGATGTCGTTCAGCACTTGGATAGATGTCTCGAACCATCTCATCCAGTAGTCATGACAATTTTTGGGCATCGGCATTGTCTAGCTTAGCAGGCCATAGCTGTGACATGGTTTATTGCGCAAGAGAATTTGTAAACGCCTTCTAAAAAAGCTTGTTGTGGCGTAGGCGCATTTCTTCCGGTCATGCTAACCACAGGGGCGAGTTCGCTACTCCTGTTTTTATCATGGGTAGATAGCATAGCTCACAACACGCCAGAGAGAGTGTGTGAAGGTCTGAACGTTTAGATTATGCTTTGTATGTAGTCTCGTCTAACAACTACATTCTCCCATATGCTTCTGTAAGCAAGTCAACGGATAACAGTCTTCTTGGGTCATCATGAGCAAGTATATCACTCTCCAGAGCCACAATGCGTCCAAGCATCTCAATCGCATCCTTAATGCGTCCGTCATCGAGGTATGCGCTTGCAAGTGCGTGCTCTGATGTTAGTCGAGAATGGTCCTTCTCATCCAGCGTCTCCTTTCGAACTCCCACCACACGCTCTAATATCTCAATCGCATCCTTAAAGCGTTGATCACTGAGGTATGCCCTTGCAAGTTCGTGCTCTGATGTTAGTCGAGAATGGTCCTTCTCATCCAACGTCTCCTTTCGAACTGCCACCACACGCTCGAATATCTTAATCGCACCCTTAATGCGTCCGTCATCGAGGTATGCGCTTGCAAGTGCGTGCTCTGATGTTAGTCGAGAATGGTCCTTCTCGTCCAACGTCTCCTTTCGAACTGCCACTACATGCTTGAGTATCTTAATCGCATCCTTGATGCGTCCGTCATCGAGGTATGCGCTTGCAAGTGCGTGCTCTGATGTTAGTCGAGAATGGTCCTTCTCGTCCAGCGTCTCCTTTTGAACTGCCACCACACGCTCGAATATCTCAATCGCATCCTTAATGCGTCGGTCACTGAGGTATGCGCTTGCAAGGTTGTGCTCTGATGCTAGTCCATTATGGTCGTCTTTGGAAAGATGGTCTTGTTGCCACCGACACACGGCCTCGTAACACTTCGCCGCTTCTTTAAATCGTCTGTCGTTGTAGAAGCAATCTCCAATTTCCCCAAACAGATAGTAGGCATCATCTGTCCATTGCTCATCATTTTGATACAGAGACCGCGTCACATGTGGTAGGTACTCTCTCCTCAACTCATGGTTAGCACGGTTGTTTGGAGGGAAGATCCTTGCAAGATGACATATCGCGTCGTTCACCACCTCCTCCCTCCGGCCCTGCCTCTTGACCCATTCTCGCGTCGCCATGTGTACAAGACTGTGCATGTCAAACGTGCTACTATCTTCCCGACGAACCAGAAACGAGTAGCTGCGAAGCGTGCCAACCGCCCACTCCATCTGCTCAGGTTCAATATTTGATAATATCGATTGCGGAATTGCCTTCGGCTCAATGCATGATATAAATGACAACAGATCGACCGCGACCGGGTCCGACTTTTCGATCTGGTCGAAAGTCACTAGCCATGTTGTTCCTACGGCGTTTCGGGAACCCCTGTACCGGGTGCTGTCCTTGAATTCTCTACCCAACAATCTGGTAACGTCCTTCTCAGCACCTCGCAAGAGCCCCAAATAAGTTTGAATAGGCGCCATGGTCACGTTTAGATATGCTGCAGCCTGCGTGATAGCCAACGGGAGAAATGTTAGATAGGTGAGCAGCTCGGTGACAAGGGCTTCGTCCAGAGGCGGCTGATCTTGAACTAAAGATTTCTTAAAGAGATTCGCCGCTTCTTCTTGATTCATTTGTTCGATGTCGATCACATCAGCTCGTGCGAACTCGACCGCGACTTGCCTAGATCGGGTCGTCAATAAGATTATGCCGTTTTCATTCTTAGGCAAATACTCTTCTACACCTGGCTTGTGGGCGGATCCAAACATAAGCTCTTGATCGTCAGCGTTGTCCAAAATAAAGAGCCATTTATCAGCTTTGCACAAGCTGAGATATTGGTAAACCATGTCTTTCATATCCTCGTTGTCACTGCTCTTCTGCAAATGAAGCTTTTTGGCAATTTCTCTGTAAGCCCGCTCCACGCTCTCATGACCCAGAAGTGGCACCCAAAAGATCGAATAATCCGGTCGCTTTTCCTTTAATTGATAGACAAAATGCAAAGCTATTTGAGTTTTGCCTACTCCGCCGAGTCCGGCGAGCGCAATCCTTTGGCTTTGGTCCTTGCCGAAGAACTTCTGCTCAATCGCCTTTAATATAGAGTTGCGACCGGTAAATTGATTGTTCTTGGCAAGTTCAATATGATAGCAAGATTTCTGCGTCCTATCTTATATTGAGTTAGTGAATTTTCCTGAGCTAATGGTGCCATACACACTCTAGCACGCGTCCTATCTGGTTGTAGAACTCGTTCAGCCAGCACGCTTATCAGCATAGTGTGGCAGCAAAATCGACTTACCAATACAACATTCTCGAAGGTAGTTATGTGCTCTTGTAGCCAGGTCCACGATTGCTTTCTTGGCAACTAGATACCCTGGATCTGAGGGGCCGGAGAATTTCTGGAGATTGTAATGATGACGTTCCAGAGGATACCGTTCTATGCTCTTGGATGGATCTAAACATGCTGATTCCGCTGGTATGAGGTACCCCTGCAATACGATTAATATGCCAGCTGTCAAACAGCTACGACGATTGACTTACATCTTTTATAGCACTATTTAGCAGTGTCTTGCCTATCGGACTTGGCTTAGTCTCGTAGAAACACCAAAGTGGTATCGGATGATCGCAGCGACGTGTTTCTGTAAACTGATAGACTATATTCTGAAGATAGGGATTCTCTTCAACAGACAGCGCCATCGTTTCTGAATAGATTTGAAGGTCCGGATTATGTTGTGCAACTGCCTCAATAATTTGAGCTAGCGTAAGGCCTCTCCGTCCTCGAAATGGTGTTCCAAAAAATATGGCACCAGCTGTAAACCGGAATAGATGCCCACACTTATTCGGATTGTCGAAGGAGCGTCTAAGAGCCTGCATAAGCACAAGGCCACCGTAACTATGTGCGATAAATATTATCGGCCGAGTAATATCCTATTTACTCCTTAGCACAAGGGCAGGCGCTCATAGATTCTGGCTTACTTGGCGATTGAGTTCCAGCTGTTTGAGCAACATTTCAGCTACGTCGAACACGTGTGTTTTCTTGGGCTCGTCCAGTTTAGTGCCGTACCAGGCGGATTCATATCCAAAACGCATAATCCGGGCAGTAGGTACCGCCTTAGGGAGCATTCCAGAATCCGAGAGCCAACTGACTCGTTCCCCGGCTGGCCCCCGCCCAGTCCAAGTTTTGTCCGGGTCGGCTCCAATTCCGTGAATTGCGACTATACTGCAGAGCGTCAACAATGTGTGACTAGTCCAGGATGAGAGCACATACTCAATTCCGTCATCGTTCTTGTTGGGACTGCCTACTTCTTGTTCTGCAGGCTCAACCAAGACCCTGATCCCAGGAGCCGAAGCTGTGGATTGACCACCACTGTTCATTTGTTCCACAGACGTGGAGGGGTCCAAATTCGTCACTGTTTAAATGCAGATATTCAGGGACAAATAAATCTGAAGACGAATTTCTCAATGTGTAAGAAAAATACAAGAATAAGGCCATTGAGTGGTAATAAGAGCTGCGACGCAGCCTCACTTTGTCGACCCCGCTTGTGACTGATCCATTTTCTGTCGACATAGCCACACGCATTCGCTGCCTGACACGACCTGCCAGCGCTGATGCCCAACTGAAACCTTAAACCTTCAAATACACCAGCTTTTATTCGAATGCATTTTTAAGCTGCTGAATATATTTAGTGAAGATTTGCTCCGGCTCTAACTTTGTTTGTCTACCGGGACTGAGCCCTTACCTCCACGTTTCTCTTCGGGTTACACCAAAACGTGACATCTTCCGCGATGTCGGGGTGGGAATGGCTTTCTTCCTCTCTGGGTGAGGAACCAGAACTCTTTGGCGAGTTTAACCAATGCCTGGCCTTTTCTTCAATCCTTCAGGTTCGCAAATAGCAACAAACTCACCCAGGAAATAACTCGCTGATCTAATTATGCCATTTTCCGCCAGGGTGTAACAGTTGGCCCTCCAAACCCGACGAGCTCAGTTCCTTCCCCACCGAAGAGGTTCACGTTTGACACTGAAAAAGACGTGTATAGCTTTCTTGACGATAACGATAAGGCACACTCTCTGCTCGATCATCATTATAAAAATCTTCCACTAATTGTTTCCTCTACTAATATACAGTCAAATATGTGTATATTGTAGGTATTTGTACTGGTCTGCGAATTGGTGGAACACGGGTAATAAAACGACAGGGCATTCACGAATCGCACGAACGAACGTAATGGAAAACTACCTCTCCCAATCTCCAGAACATTGTTTCAGCATACGATGCAAGTCTTTGACCTGCCCGCATCGTTCTTAACTGCCCTGAATGCCGGTCTGGCAATGTATGCCGACACAGTTCCGGCCAGCGGCACAGAGGATGTTTCAACATGCGAAAGTATACGTTCGTAAAACTATTACATTTCCTGCGTCAAGAAAGCTACTTAATAACAGTCCAGAATACGTTATTCAGCAGAACGGGGCATACTCTGCGTTCTCGATAGCGATGAATCACAATGTTAGGACCCTCAAAACTCGTGTCCTGATACTTGGAGTGGAATCTTCGACACTGCTAGATCTGTTCGAATATGTCGAGTCAATGCTACCCCGAATACACGGGCCAATGCTGATTCCCACCATAGCTATGGAGCTGCAAGCTCATAGCCTCAGCATGACCATTAAAAACTGTAGGAGGCACATCCATGCTATTGAGACCACGACTGGGATGAGACAGTTCAATTATCCGCATGAGAAAAGGGGCAACAACGCTTCAGATTGGAAGAACCTGGATTTGATCTCAATTACTCGTGAACTTAGCAGCTTTCTCGCTCGATTTGCCTTCATCAAGATGCAGGCAGAGACTGGAAGGCATCTTGTGCAGCAGATGATTCGAAGTACTAACTTACTGATTATGGATAACGACCAACGAGAACTTGTTTACAAACTCCAGCATATAGATAATTGGTTTCTAGGGGTCGCAGCGAATTGCGGCTATTTGTCAGAGCGAGCTACAGCGCAAAGCCAAACTGTATGAAACACAGCCCACTCAGAGAGCCGCAAGCTAATTAGTGCAGGTCTATTGCCTCATTGCGTCCCAGGATAGCTCAACAAATACAGAAATTGCTCAGTCGTCTCGCGAAATCGCTGAGCAAAGCCATAAGGAGAACGGGGCCATGAGGTCACTTGCAGAGCTCGGTCGGCAAGACAACGAGCTGATGATCCAAATAGCAAGAGACTCTCGGGCAGTGGCGCTCGCAGCTGCACAAGACAGCGCAGCAATGCAGGTGATTGCTGCGGTCACGATGCTATTCCTTCCTGCCACCTTTACAGCTGTAAGTTACCAAACCAAAATTTTTAAAATACGAACGTGTTTACTGACAATGACTAAAGACATTCTTTTCGATGACCTTTTTCAATTTCTTAGACTCGGAGAAACCACGGGTGTCTGCATGGGCCTGGATGTATGTCGTAGTTACGGTAGTACTGACGATAGTCGTGCAGCTGGCTTGGGGAGTAATGTCTAGAAGAAAGAGTTCAAAAATTACACAGACGACCACGACGGAGTTATGAATTCCTGTATTTTAATGGTTGACTCATCTACCCCTTCTTTGTCTTTTTGACGTCTTGTTTCTCTAGGTAATCGAACACAAGGTATACCCAAAGATAAGTGCGATGGGTCTTCTATCGTAGCTTTGCCTCCAGGTGACACCTGATTTGGTCTGAGAGGCTTTTTTCCTTCGATAGCTGATTAGCCCGGTATGCAATAACGCGACTTACCTCCCGATCAATGGTCTCCGACTCTTCCTCTGCTGGTATACGGATATTTGGGAAAGCTTCTAACCGGCTGTCGAAATTGGACACGATTTGGTGATACGGGCGGCTCGTAAGATACTTTAACTTGCCACTGCCCAACCGGTCGCTGCTGAACTGGCTGTCTATATTCCACACCAGGTCCGAAAACTCAAATTCAGCGCATTCGTCCAGGGCATCGAGCTATAATTACGGGTCCTGCCCAGGGATCTTTGGTGGCGTTTCTTAGGATCTTCCAGAGCGATTCTGTGGGGTGAACCAACCCATGCCCATTTTACTGAATTGTGACACTTGCCACCACCGACTGGCCCTGACATCAAGTCATACGACTACAAGATATTGACAGCCGTGGACAGCAGCCATACAACTGGAGGCTGATTTAGGAGACCCGTTGTGTGAAACCTTTCCCCCTGGATCGTCTTGCCGAAGTCATACTGGAATATGCCGCCATTTCTATTCTCAGGAGCACTGACCACGATGTCGCCTAGTCGGACATCTTGGTATGCAGTCGGCGCACCACCCCCGATGCCTACCATTAGACCGATTCTGACATTAGGAAAGCTGTGCAGCATATCTCTTGCGATGACTGCCGCAGAGGATGTACTGTACTCCCCATCTGGGAAGACAGCGATAACAACATTGTGTTTCCCCATCCTGCCCATTGTGCTAATTGTTGTTGTCGGTGGATGGGAGAGATTCCGGTCCATCATGTCTCTCATCTAGGAAGGCCTGCGGGCAACGTACTCTGTAGTTATAGCACAGATCCAGCCAAGTGTAGTCTCCAGGGTAAGGCATACCGACTCATGGAGGACCTCAACGTGGATAGGTGAGATTGTAAGTTCTTTAGTGTACGGAGAAGGCTTGCAGAAGAGAAGCATCCCAATGAAATGACAGATTTAGCGTCGCCCACAAACCCAACACCCAGAGTGACTGGGAGAATACCTAATTAGGAGAACATCGGAGATCGGCTGACACTCGTTGGGCTCCAAATGTCGGAGAAACCAGGGCTGTCACTTGCACAACGCAGAAGGAGGGCGACCACCGCCCTGCCGGTCTATGCGGGTGACAACCATTGTTCTTGACCAACGAGCTGGAAAAGTTGGAATATCGCGCCGTCTGTGCAACCGGAGTGTCGTCGCTCCGCGCGGAAGCATTGGTCAGAGTTGATGTTCATATCTTGCATCTCGACCTCGCAGTCTCCCGGCCGTTACTCCCTTAGTTCGCACGGGAATCAGGGGCCCCGCTGTTAAACCCTGAGAAACCAATCATTTCACATTTTTTATGACAGGACAGCATCTACCAGACAGTATGACTGGAACAGTGATTCAACCGCCGTCGATGTGAATGCGAACTTTCTCGAGTCGACCGGGAATGAGAAATCACTAGTCAGTCACAACTCCGTCCTCTCAGTTGTGTGAGGTTATCTCAAGCAATCGCCATCATGCGACGACATCACAATGGTTTACCAATCACGGTGGCTGTGGAATGTGAGCCAGGGGACATCCTGCTACCCCTCCCGCAGAGTCGCATCTGAGTCGAGCAAGTGGCTGCGCTGTGTCGTGACATTTATCGCCCACTGACCGGTTTTAACCGCGCCATTCAGGGCCAACCTTTCACCAACGCGTCGCGACACGACCGCCCGCTCATATCGCACTCGCCCGTCTTGTACCTCGCGGAGCAGGGTGACTTAGCTATCACAGACTGTCAAGTCACGACCAGCATCGAGAAGGAGCTTGACTTGAGGCAACCAGCCTACATACACAGCTCCAAGTCATGGAGTTTTCCATGCGGTCGCGCATGCTCCCTACCAGCTCGTGTTCGGTGGGGAGATCATCGTCGTAGAGCCGCATCGACCTACCTATTGTCTCGACACCTGCTAGATGTTCCACAAGCTCTTGCCAGGTTTTCTGCCTGAGTCTTGCTTCCAGGCCCGGTATTTCGCATGCGAAGTCGTCCGCGGTTTTAAGATTGGCAACCTTGGATGCACGTACAAATGAATGGGGCCTTTGGCGTCCGCCGGGTATCCTCGTCTCCTGCGCCGCGTTCACATCCTGCGAGAGCGGCTTCCGCATCGACAAGAAGCACATACCACCGCCAAAAAAAAAAAAAAAATGCAATGGCCAGTGTGGCAGATCTTTGATAAGCAGCTTGAATACAGAGCTAAGCTACCCAGCCCACTGACGTGCAATTCCGCCACCGCGAGCTAGGTCTGAGCCGACTTACCAAGATATGCCGTCCCGAGCATTGACTGTCACCGACAGAACAGTCCCCTTTCATATCTGAGGGATCTCGACCTTGCCCATCCGTCTTACTACCCTTCCTTCTTCCCATTTAAGTGTCTTCAGAACATCCCTCCAATATGAGAAATGCCAGCGGAATACATTTGGACATGGCAAAGGTTTATCGCTGGTATGAGGATTATCGAAATCCAACAGCTGAGCAATCTCAGGTCTAGTCAAACGGCTCCGCATCGTCGGACCAGCAGCCCCGGTTGCACCAGGAGCGAAACGCTGCAGCTCTATCGATAATATTTGCCCAAGCTACTCTGACACAGAAGATACTGATGGCTCTGAAACCCCTTATGACTCTACAAGAAAGTTTGAGGGCCGTTAGCCTGGAACTCAAAGAGAATAGTTTTATGCGTCCTATGGTGTAAGATTCAACGCCTGAGGCTGCCAACCCTTGCTATTCTCAGCCTGCAATTGACGTAGATCGGAGTGTCACATCAGCAGAAAGAAGTCCTTCACGAAGGAAAAAGCGGAGCGATAGGAAGGGGAGGAGAACATGCCCATTGTTGCTAGAGGTAGTAGCCTGTCCCATGTCGAGAAGAAACGCGCTTCAGCCGGTAAAACACCAAGGCGCAAATTTTTGCGCGGTCAGTTGCTTTTTTTCGAGAGGAAAGGGAAGTATAAGCGAACGTTTGAAGTACAAAGCCGTTTAGAGGCCGATCTGGGTTGCTGTACGGAGGGATGAAGAGACGCGCGATTTGGCTTCCAGTGCAGGCAACTAGGCAATCTAGTCAGAAAGTTATCAATTAGGCAGCTTGCTTCATCTTATTTATCTAGCATAACGTGTTCTTGACCGTGCTGTACATGCTATGAAAGCCAGAATCGTCCACCAGCATCTGGTAGCCGGCTTGACCATGATATTCCTGTTCACTTAAGTTGGAGACAGCAGCGGAGCGGCAGGCAGGTGTCGGCACTCATGGTCATGTCCTGTTCCTGCCACAAAAGACTGCGCTAGTCGCCAAGCAGCCATCGAACGACCAGGTAAACGGCGATGGCGCCATATCCTCATGAGGAAAGATATTCGAACAGGCCAGACCCTAGACTCCTTTTCAAGCATGCCCTCCATGATCAGTCCTCTTCGGCGCTTCGGCATTCCGGCGACCCCACTCCGCATCCATCTCGGCCGGCCACCCACTTTTCTCGGCCACCCATCATCTGCAACGCCCGGAGATCCTTGAGCAAACTGAAGGCTATGCATGGGCGGCGCTTAGAGTCGTAGCTCTTCAATGTCCTAAAAATAGAGAGAGACGGTCTAAATACGACGAGGGGGTGAATAGGAACCAAGTCTCAGGGCTATGGTTGTTGCCCACCCTACAGGTGTCAACTTCCCCGTGGGACGGCGCTTACCGGTCGCCGGTCATTGGTACACTCACTCTCGGGGCCGCGTAATCAATCCCATTCAAGCGGCCAGTTTGAGGTAATGCTTAATACAAAAGGGAAGCATGATCCCCAAGCAACTCTATGTACAAACTTCAGGAGCAATATCACCATTCTCATATAACTAAGCCCATACTATCCTACCTATTCCTCCGGCACAACATGGCTCCTAACCTTCGCTCTCGCGATGTCTCAGGTATTGGTCATGTTTGGGACGTTGGGACACAGATGGACCCCAAACGGCGCACTCGATCAAAGGTGAACAAAAATTTTCAGGTGGGCAAAAAAAATCGTCAAAATGGGTTATGCGTCAAGGCCAATACCCTTTTCCGGCGCTATAATGTTGACATAGCGCTTGTCATGAAGACATCAGACGGTTACATTGGAGGGTATGAGTCAAAACCTGGGCTGGCTCAAGAGCTTCTTCGGAATGAGGAGGTTCCCTTACTCCTACCGCACATTATTGAAGAATGCAATTACCAAAAGCGACGGCTACGCATGCCCACACATAGTCAACCATCCGTGTCGCCATCATCTTCTGTTGCAGAAAGCCACCAAACGTTCTCGCCACACCCTCCAACAAGCTCAGTCGCTGCATCTGATAGCGCAGACAGTCGTCAAGGCAATACATGCCATGGCAGCCAATGTGACAAGAACACGCCCCTGGATTGCTTGGCAGAAGCTGCACTCCTCGCGTCATCGCATGCTGTTTCTGCGCGGGAACAACGAAATTTGGTACTCAAAGGGGACACAAACCTAGACGTGGCAGCTCATCTACTTGGTAGCACCAATGGCGATTCTAATGTCAATAGTCTCGGGCCACTCTCCCCGGCGTCAGATGAAGTCTGCCAGCCGACGTCGGCTCCTGCTGGGAAGAGCAGCTTCATATGGTCTTGGCTTGGAAAGTTTAGTCGATAGTGCGAGAAACACAAATCTTGTTTAGTTTCTGAATAACTACTACATTTGCGTGAATAACCTGCCGTAATAAAAGCTACTACCTATGCGATGCGGACTCAGAAGAGATATTCATCATTAGTCTGCTTTTATTCTTTTCCGGCACCCGGCACAAATTGATATCCATATTACTTTAATTTGGGATTGTTTCCTTCTAAAAAATAAGGGCCACTTCGTATATTATCACATTCGCACATACTGTGGCTGCTTTTGGGGCGACTGAGCCAACAGAAAATAGTATCTGAAGCTCGTGCTGGGCCTTGTATGCACTGTGGTATGGATCCTGGACCACGATTGCCTGTTAAGTTGTTTCACCCCCTAAAAACAGCCAGGCTTTAAGAATAGCTGATGTGATGCGGAATTAGGCCTTAGTTGGTGACTCGGCCTGTATGGTAGGCCCCGCCCGTTACGACGCCGAGCACCGTACGCCCATTCTTTGTTCCCTCCCGGCAGCCACCCCGCTTGACGGTCTCGGCCGGGGGCGTAATCTGCTGTGCTTCCTCTCCGGCTATTAATAGATCGCAAAAGAGTATAAATTCACGCAATTCCACATTACAAAACATCGACCAATGTACAAGGATTTACCAGTCTATAAGTTTACGATGTCTTCTCATGTCAAATCTGACGCCTTCTGCCTTGTCCCTCTTCATGACAAAGTATCGGTTGTCGAAAGCTGCATAATGCTGCTTGAAGACACAGAGAAAGCGCTCCAAGCAAAACGGGAAGACATCAACTTCCTTATGAGCGAACTGTCCGATATTGAGGTCAAAACATCAAGACTAATCACCCACTTGAGACTTAACATTATATCACTTAAAAAAGAGGTACGTGCAATAAACGTTCAATCGATACGTGGCTGACCGTTCAAAAGCTGCCACCAGAAACTCCTACTACTCCGACCGCTCCTGTTGCGCCATGGCGTGCTAATGGTGGGACGGCCAAGGGTTGGTGATTAGGCTAGAACAGGTATTCAATGGGACGCTATGTTGCGGGCTCTAGGAAACCGACAGTTACACTGGAAGCAGGAATGCGAAAACAGAAGGTCAAGTAACTAATTAAACATCAGTCTGTCTGCTATGAACGCATTTTACCTCCAAAAAAATAATTGCAACTTTCCTAAGTGAGCGACATATATTACCAGCTTAGTTCAACTTCAGCAATTTTTGCGACCGTGCCTTTGCCTGCTTGTTCAGCTCCGCCTGACTGAACTTCCGCCGTATTTCATTGATTTGATCATCAGCAAGCTTGCCCCATTTGGCCTTAAAGGTTGACCGGGAATAGAGCGAGGGCCGTTTGTCCCCCTTGAAAGCTCCCAAGCAGTAGCAAAAACGGCCCTCCGGATCCGTAGCTACACTCCACCAGATGAAGTCGGTCATTTGCTTGCCCTGGAGATTTTCTCTTTGTTTTGCTCTCACTATCTCCCCACCGTTGTCTTCATATTTCCGTGCCGCTGATGGGCAATCTGATCTTGGAATCAGGTACCCAGGCCTCAAACAGTCGTAACCTTCAATTTTCCCCTCCGGGTCAATCACAAATACGTAAGATCGAAATTGAGTTATTAGCATAATCTCCATCTCATATTCTTTACGTCGATCGCTGAGCGGTTTGTTGATGTCGGCTGGGTGACAATCCACCTCAACTCTGTTCGTGTTGGGATCATCTGTGTCATCAAAGCGCCTGGACCATTCGCAAAATACGTCAAAGCACTCCTTCTGGTCTTCAGATTGATCATATCGATCTGAAGGGCCATCTTTACCATTTGTCTTGCTGTTCTTTAAATCTTCAATTTGTTTTTTTAGAAGAGCAACCTCCATGCTCTCATTATCAGATTCATGCTTCGGAGGGTTCTCAGGTGGAATAGGCGGCTGTGGTTGAGGAATCTCAGGTGGATTAGGCGACTGCGGTGGAGAATTCTCAGTTGGATTAGGCGGCTGTGGTTGAGGGTTCTCAGGTGGGTTGGGAGGAGGATTAGGGGCCTTCGCTGAGTCGTCCTCCGTTGGCTTGCCAGCGGGTTCACCGCTGGCCGTGGAACCTGTCTCCGCGAGACTTTCTTTCGTCCCGCCCTTCTCCCAAATATGTTTGTCCTCCGGTGCTATCCAGGACTTTTGTTCACAACACTCATCAACCCAGTCCTCATTAAGGATGAGTATTTGTCTGTTGCGAGCGTCTTCAACTTGCTTTACCGAGTTGGTATAGGCTGCTTCTGTCGCAGCAAGGATTGTGGGTGCCTGGTTTTTGGAGGAGGGCTTTAGACCCCATGTTTTAAAATTATTTGCTAAAGTTTTTTGACTTTTTTGGAACGAACCAGCAAGAGACAAATATTGGCCTTCTGGGGAGTTGAGAGGAGACATGATTGTTATGGTTGAAGTATAATGCTACGGATCCAGATGTGGTGGACAGGCGGAAGTGTCGACGAATATATACATCAGCATAGCCGCGACACATTCCATTTTGAGTTGCCGCCGGATTAAGATTAATCGCCTTGTAGTTACGGGGTTTCTGGGTTGTACTTTCGTGCACTAACTTTAACGTGGGGGGTTCGTCCAGCAGAGCTTCCTAAAGGCTGTTTTCCCTGCTCCATTTGGGCTGACGGCAAACCAAGCATTCACTGTAAAACGGGACAATTTAAGAGTAACTAAAGACAGCGTACATTTATCAAACTAGCCCAAGAACCGTAGAATAGCTAAGATGACCTAAAAAATGAATTACAACTTTACAGAGTAAAAACTCCCCTCGGATACTGGCGAATACGTTGTTTGTCTATTATTGGCCATATTCTGAAGCTCTAAACGCTCGGTATGCCCTCGCAGCTTCTTCCTTTTCCGTGGGTTCCCACGGCGGGGTCCTTCCACTGAGCTCACTCGTACCAAAGAACGACTTTGATACTCGGATTCAAGAAACTTGACGGGCTTGTCCTTGAGGATCTTGATAGTCCCGTCTCGCATCAAGGCCGTAAAATACGCATCGCCGCAAGCTGTACATGTAAGCCTTGTGAAGAAAACGCGACTCAGTGACCTGCATACCAAAAACAGTCATTCTTCCGGCCATGCGCAATCTTTCTTCCTTTATTTTGATTGGGATGAGTTTCTCAAATGATGGTGTTGCACTTGAGTCTAAGCACATCCAGAAGCGAGATCGGAGGTCAAAGGGATCATGACCAGTCCGCAAATCAGGATAACGACACCAAACCACGAGTAGTTTCTATGCTAGTCAATAAGATGTTATTTTGGGGAATGAAAACTTACATTATGGGGGTCCATCTCTTGAAGCCACTTGAGCTGTTTCTCAACCCATTCCATCTGAGAATTGCATTCTAGAGACCAGAATAAGATGACTTTTTTGGTTGCGTCACGAAACAGACGCATTGCCTTTACGTACGCAATTTCTTTTAAAAGCGCTTCATTATTACCTTCATTTCCGAGTCTTTCTGTTAAACCTTGGATTCTTTCTCTGATGCGGTTGTCATGGTCTCGGCGTAGCGCGAGGTCTGTAACCATCGGAAGTACACCTGCAATACCCATACCCTTCGCAGCCAAAATTAATATATCATCCGTTGCCAAGTCTACCTCTTGGCCGTAAGGTCCATCTAGAAATAGAAGACTTCCTTCATGGAGCATTGAGATGGCCGTCCCGTGATTTCCATGACGGGAGAGGAGGAAGCTCACAGTAGACACTTGTCCGCTTTTGTCGGCCGGTGAATTGTACTGTGCAATGGCCGTAAAGCTATGAAGAAAATTGTATCTTATCCACACCAATGGTGGCCAAGTCATGGGGAAGAAAATGTAGAAATAACAACCGGGTTTTAATAAGATCGGATGGTCCAATCTAACGTTGACGAAGACAGCGCCCGCAGTGTTGGAAACGTATGTAACTTCGGCCGTATGTTTATAGTATAGCATCTTCATAACTCGTACCGCGGTTGTAAGGAGCCATAGTCCACAAGAGGAACAGACTAGAATCCGAGCACGATTGGACGATGTCGGTAAGATATGCAAGAGCAGGGCAACCATGGCTCCGACTGACGTTGCCCTATGGGACCATTGAAACCATTTCCCCAAGGATCGTTTTATAATTGGTATGGCCATACAAGAGGATCCGATGATCAAACCAAACACCTGCTGTTGTCAGTATGCCACTGCGCTCTCATTTTGCGAACACCTACAGCCCATCCAAAATTCGTCATCTGCCCGGGCTTTGGATGATGTGCCAAGGCTATGGCTGCATGGCATATTCCCTGTAATGTCGCAATGACACCCAAAGTGAAGTGAATGAGGGTATACCAACGGCGAGGGACATTAAGAGCGTCAATAACAGGTGCTCGTCCTCCTACACAAAGTGGTGCCAAATTCACTGCTGCGGCTAGAGCGGCACGCTGTTGAAGCTTTCTCCAATCTGCGAAGAAAGAAGGAGCCAAGACTATCGCGCAATTTGATAGCATAAAGAGAACCACAGTTAATGCTTGTACCCGCGTGATGCTGAACCAGCCTTTGGGAAATACCAGTGGGTATCGGAAATGGCGAATGAGGAAGAGTTTCGGGTTTGTGACGGTCTTCTTGAAAGTCCACACGAGTACAGCTAAGCAAATGAAACTGAAGAGTGCTACCATGTACCATATATTCCAGTCGTCCATGGTTTCTGTTATGATTGCAAGGGAAATGAAATGTTACCGCACAATGTTGGATTGTTGATGGGAGAAGAAGATCAAGGCGTGGTTAAGGATAGAACGGGCCGAGTGTAGTGCAGAGGAACTGCTACAAACGCCGATAGAGATTGATGCCTGCAAGTTGCCATACTAATAATAGAATGGCTATATTTAATAGGCGCGTCCCCGTCTAGGAGGCGGTTCTCATGACCACTTAAACACCGGGGTCCTGACTGCCGGCCTGGCCCACCATCTCCGGCACGGCGCTTCGGACTCGGAGCCATCAATCATTGAAGGGTGCTTTGCCGCCGGATGCTGAGCCGTCCGGATTCAATCGAGAGATAGGAGATGGACAGAAGTCTTGATAAAGGAAGACGCATGCCCACCCAAAGTACAACCTTAGATTTCACCACGCTCACTTAATACATAACGAGTCTTATTGTGCATCTCAACACAGCGTCCAAAATGCCCCGGAGACAGCGCTCAAAGGTCAACAAGAGACCAGAAATCGGCACTTTAAACTGCAGCTGGGGAATGTTTTCCAAAGCCAACGCCTTATTCCGACAGTACGATGTCGATGTAGTGGTCATTGCAAGGAGACCCGATGGTGGTATAGGAGGCTATCAATCGCGTCCTGGTCTAGCTCGGGACTTCCTACAGATCAACGAGCAGGATCTGCTTGGGCCTCATGAGGTGGATCCCTATATGTCCAAACCAAGCAAAGGGGTCGCGGTACTAAGAGCTATGAGCTCGTCGAGATCCTCGTCATGTCTCGACTCGACAGAAAATCGCTCGTCGAGAGCGTCGTCATCATGTGTCGACTCGATAGGAACCGAAACATCACCCGGCATCATGGAGGAAGCAGAGCCTGGTGTCGCGCTTCTGAATATTGTACGTACTCCTCACTGTGAGGAGGGGGAGGGGTTCATGGAAGAGCCCTTGCATCCATGGGCTGAGGTTCACACCATCCCAAATGCCCAGCGCTGTGCCTCCCCAGAAACCATTTGTCCCATTCGCATCACAAAACCGGCCAAGGAGGACATTCGCCAACCAACTCCTTTGTCTAGGATCAAGAGAGAGGAAATCCTAGCACTCATCAAGAAGTTCGAATGATCTCAACAGCCTTTGGCCACTTTGCATGTTTTGTCTTATATCATTAGAATCATCTTTTTTCAGTTGTGTACAATTAAGCTATTTACAATGTCAATCTTATTACCTCTATAAGTCGGTCTAGTTCTAGTTGTAGTGCACTATTACAGCTCCGCTCCCAATTCTGCGGATGTCCTTGGCTATTGAAGAGCCAGCCTTGTTCTTGATGCTGAAGAAGATGACCCAGCTTATACGGAGAGTTACTGACATGATGAAACCTTCCTTCAATGGGGCCTAACTGCATTTGGATTATGGTATCCAGCGAATGTGCAGCAATAACTACCGTTCTGCAAAACGGCTGCCCTTCCCAGCATTTCTGTAAGACCTCGGCCGTGCAAAGCACTGCTTCTAACGTACTAGACTGATGGCCTCTGTACTTGATGTGGATTCGGTTTACATGAAGCCAGGCTAGAGTTCTCGTGAGAGCCGGACTTGGATGTGTACGGCAAAGAATTTTGACCACGCAGTTGTCTGGAGAGGCGTAGAAGTTTGGTTTGTGGCTCAATTCGATGTAAAAAAGTGAACAGAACAGCCTCTCCGCCGTGTTGTACAGCCGTGGTGCTGGGCAGCCCAGCTCCAATTTGCGGAGTCCAGCCGTAGGCGGGTTCAGCACAAAAGTAGTACGATTTGGTTGCTGGCATAAAAAGCACAGTGGCGACTGGTAGTGGCAAGGTTGTACAGGCAAGCAACAAATGGCAACACAATAGTCGCATAGTAAGTGGCTGCAATCCATCATGAAAACACCGGCCCTGATGAGACAGATTGAGCAAGTCGCTCGGAGTTTCACGCTCGAAATGGGTCTCCAGCCTTGCAGTCTGGCGAGATGTTGTACCCTAGGTTCAACCACGGGTCCGATCGTGTATTTGGCGATGTCGACAAACGCGCTGCGGACCCGGTCCGTTAAGCCCTTGCAGCCTGCCTGCTGTTCAAATGCGGCCAAGTGCTTGACATATAAAGACTCAAACGTCAGGTTCGGAGGAAACGCTAATTTGCGTTAGAAAAGATTCGGTTGTAGTGGCAGATTACTCACAGTGTAATCCTGGGTGAAATGCGTTCATTACAAGTGCGGACGCAATGATGGGGTAATGGTCCACAGGCTCTGGAGGGCAAGCCGCCAAAAATTCTCCAATGTGGTGGCCCAGTTCTTCAGGGACTGGCCATGACGGGCGGGATGCGGCGACCAAATTGAATGTCTCCATGGGTTTGGCAGTATAATGTGCAATAGCGGCGCGAAGGAGTATTCTAGTATCGGACCCAGTGAAGTGAAGCCCTTCAGCTTGTCGATGGTTCCTGAGACCAAATAGCTTTACTACCAGGCCAGGGCTGGCAGAAGACTCGTTAATAACGCTGAGCTCTGTATAATCACTTATTGTTCTTTTTACACTCGCCACTGATTGTGTCCACTGGTCTGCCATCATAGTAGCTAGAAGTTCAAATTGAATGTCCTTTAAGCAGTATTTGTCAGTTGCGACAACAAAGTGAGTCCGAAGCTTGGGTTTTTGCAACTGTCGGCGCAGGACCCAAGAGCATACAAACGACAGGACCCGTTCAAGTCCACCGAAATCCGCTACAGAGATTAACACTATGTCGCTGAACAAAGCAAAGACATCGCAATAAACTCTGTAAGCCAAATCTGTCATGGTTGCGGGCGGCTGTTGCACCAGGTGGTAACAGTAGTTGCCTGGAACGGGCCCCGCTATGATGCGAGGTATGGCGTTGCCTGGTTGCTTGTGCATGTCGCACATCACCACTAAGTTACACCCTTGACGCTGAAGGGCTATGGCGAATTTTCTATATGGGAATCTCATGGCACCCTTGAGACCATCGCCTTGCTCAGTACGCCCCTGTATAAGAAGAATGGTCCGTGGTTTTGCTTCGCCTATTTTGTCGAGGATTTCGTACGGCGCCATGTTTTCTTGCAGGTATGGCCCAGGAAGACCAGCTGCACTAGACCGAATGTGGAGGAGGTCGTTGGGCTGCATGCTTAGGGGATTGCGACGGCAAGATTGTGTGTGTCGGTGTGCGGGAGACGGAGTCCACTGGAGCCTGGGCGTTGGGTATTATTTTTAATTTTGCCTTGTCCGATGGGGCACTGACACCGGGGACCGGGAGACCGGTTGTTGTGGGCTTTAAACAATACCCTTGTATTATATATTTCTTGGACTGTATTAGATTTAACTCTGCAGGACAAATAGTAGTACCCATTTGTATAATTACTCTGGCTTGGCTAAACCATCAACAAGAAGTTGCCAGTAACCACAGAAGATGGAGTCTAAGTATCTAGAAGGAAAAGCTCGAGTTCCTTTGTCGAGTCTGAAGAGCGAGGATTTGGATGTTGATTCATCGTCATTCCCGATCAACATCATTGAGCATCTTCGTGATCCAGGACATGCCATCTCAGTTCGGATTACTCCAAGGACCCGAGATGACATTCTACGGGACTTGAGCTACTCACCCGAGCAATTGTATGCGACGCTTGAATTGGAATCTAGTCCTTTGATCAATGATCACCAAGTTTTCTACGCTGCCAAGGACTTCGATCTGGACAGAGCGAAGGCTGCCCTCGGAAGGGATCATATTTGCAACGTACGCTTGTACTGCATTCCAGGTATGTCATAATTGAAGATTACCATCGAAGCGTTTGGTCACGTTCTTATCAATATGCTAGTACAACCTCGCAAGATTTGCGATGGTGCCGTCTTCCAGAACGTGCGGTATTACATGGCCGGGTCTTGGAAAAAGAATCGTGTGTCTGTTGCCCAAGCCTGGATGGACAAGCTGTCGGGGTCCAAGAGGAAGATACTGGGTAGTCTATTGAAACATCCGGATATAATAGCAGCTATGGATAGCATGCTTTGTTTTCCTGGTTATTGGGATGGACTTCAGCTTGGTAACTGGGCAAAACATCTGGCCGCCCGCATCAATCCGCTCATCATCAACTATTGGGTGCATATTAAGAACGTCGCTTTGAAAATAATGGCTGGACATGAAGACAAGCTGCATCTATTTGATGCAAATACAGTTGCAATTCTTCAATATCGGGCGCCGTCGTGGAATTCGCAAGACCGAGCACAGATCTGCGATCTTTTTGAGGACGGAACACTGTTTCCTGGCATTTTATCAAAGAGTGCTCGAGACAGAATTAAAGACAACATTCTTGAGCTCCCGGATTCAATACCTAGCATCCAGACCTTTCATGAAAACATGAGATATTTGACGATTGGAGCTAAAATCCTTGAGAAACACATTGAGAACAGGCCGTCAGAGAGCCGGGCTGATACAATCGAGCCCATGTGTTCCAGTCTTATTGAGAATTTAAAAAAGGACTGGAACAGTCGTGGGGCTTCGATGGAAGTCGGCCACGGTCGCATGATCCAGGTGAATGAGCCAACTGCCGACGCTGCAGTCATTCAAGCATTTCTAGCCGCATTGCGCTACTTCCCTTACTTGTCACCCGAGGCGCCTCTAAGGGACTTTGACAAGAGAGTGTGGATGGCGGGCAATTTTGATAATAGCGTTCTAAGCCGTCTCTGTGTCACTCTTAAAGATTTAGGTTTCTCTAACGCGAATATTGAGAAAGGGCGTCTTCACCCGATTGAGAACCGGCACATATCGTACACCCAGCCGAAGAGGAGGAGGGACTGGCGCAGTGGAAAACCTTGCCTCGCGGGGTACCACATCCTACTGCAATCGTCTTTTTTCCCACAACTATTCGCGGAACCCCTAGATGACAAGGTGCCACCAGAGCTACGTGTGCAAAGCGATATTTTGCAAGCTTTTTTTGGGGGTAAACCGAAGGTTCCATCACTGGCATCAGCTGCATCTCTTCGTGCTGAAATGGACGTGGATACAACAGAGCCAAATGAGGCATGGAGGAGTGAGGCAGAGATAAACGAAGACACAAGGCTAGGTGAAGTATTAAAGTTATGGCCAAGGGGCAATAATGAAACGCGCCCCAAAAAGAAAGGAAAGGACAAAATGCCTCGAGGTATTGCTCGGTCTGCAACAAGTCGCGACAAGCCGCGCGTTCGGGGCAAAGGGCCCAAGTTCACATTCAGGCAGCAGAATGTCCCAGACATCCCAGCGACTCGGGCGTCTGATCTCTACGTTGGCCCACCAGTAGATCCAGCGGGTATCCCGACTCAAGCGCTGGCGCACTTGACACCCCCGACTAAGAATCCAAATCGGGCCAAAGAAAAGAAACGCAAGCATGATGAAGTATATGAAGCAGCAGAAGTGCCAGAAAAGAGGAATAGGAGGAAGGACCAGGTCGGGGGGATTCAAGCCGTGGGAGAGCAGGCTGGGGCAGAGCAGGTCACCCAAATACAGCCGGCCGAGGAGCTAGGACGAGCAGTAGTGCATGATCTAGCTAGCACGTCACAGGATGTGCGCTGGGAGATGAAGGGACCCTTGGAAGCACCCGTTGCAACGCCTGCGCTACCGCCCTCTATGAATCCCCAGAATTCAACACCAGTAGTTCAGCGAGGTCCCGAACCACTTTCGAAACCTGCTCAGCATGTCCATCCCGAAAATAACCCGCAAATTCCTGAAATTAACTACGATGAGGCCTTCTCTCCTCCTCACCTAGAACAGGAGGCTGAGCTTTTGCTATCGGGGACTAATTGAGAGTAGAGCGGGTACATTGATCTATCATCTCCCTAGCTAGAATCGACTTAGGGCTCAAGTGCTGTCTTTATTGTATAAACGCCCTCCGGGCTGAATTAATTTAAATGTAGTTAGCTAGTTACCCGATTGCCGCAGGCTTAATTCACCAGATAATAAAACGCAAGCCCCACGAGACACACCAGCTAACGCGTTAAGCCAACTCTTCTCTCACCATGAAGAGGAATGCATTTGTGTGCGCCTCATTGGCAGCCTTTATCACAAATACAGTAATTACCGCCATTATTCGACACAGTTCTGCATTTTCTGACCGCGGCCTCATAGTTTTTCAGGTGTGTATCGTGTTACGAACAATGTCAGCTAAGACTGATATGCTCCGTAGATACCCAAACAAGATGCTCATGTCTCAACAAACTTAACCATTGGAATTCGGGGCTCCTGTGTTAGCTTGACCAATGAAATCCGGTGTGTTCGCTACGACGAAGCAGTTCTAGCAATGTCAACGAACTCTACGAATCGCATTATCCAACAGATATCTACAATTCACTTGGAGTGCTTGTCCGAAATTGAGATGTTGCTCGCGGTGTCAGCAGCGGTAATATGTTGTGCACTGCTCCTTGCAAGAAAACCTACAATTTGGGTTAGAGTTGGCGTCTTGTTTTGTATCATGCTAGTGATAGCACCTGTTACCGTGGCGGTCGTCTCACTAACAAATGCGACGAGAGCAATCACGAGTATGGGGTTCACCGCCGTGATAGGCCAAGGCGTGATCTATGGCTGGGTGATTTTTGGCGCTGCAATATGCGGATTCTTTTCCATGGTAATCGTATTAGTTTACAACTTCAGACAGGAATAATACCAGGAGTTCTCTCACTAAACGTAGACCATAATCCGCGAGCTATAGCGTGCCAGATGTGTGGTGGTCGGGACACCAAAACTTCCTCACATGCCAAGCGCGCGGCAAACTGCAATGCTAGGTGACCTATTTTTAAGAAGCCCCGAACCTCTATGGCATATACCCTGGCAGTAGCAGGTGTACTAAAGTTAAAATTGGCAACTGGTATAGAGGTTACGAGTAGTTAGGGATTAGGCCTCAGCCTGCAACAAGGCACGAGTGAACCAACATGACTTGCAATCAGCAGGTTTTCCACACCAGGTAAAGTGATTATCCAGCTCACGTCTTTTAGATGTTTCGCAAGATTCTCACCGTTTATGGGGAACGAACTTGCACGGATATATAGCGATCATATAATGTGCAATCCATCAAAGGATTGCCGACCGGTCAGAATCAGTGACCTGCAACGGGTACAAAAGAACCGATCCAGCCGTTTCTCTAAGCGGAGACGGAATTTTCTGAAGAAGGTACACGATCAACAGAAGGACTGCGAAGTAGATGTTTACCTGTGCGTATGCAGCAGAAAGGATAACAAAATCTGGCAATACTCCAGCGACTTCACTCCACCTTCACACGATGAGATGGTATGGCGTACGAGGCAATATGTGTGTGACATATTTCTAACCTGCTCTAGGCTAATATGTACCCTCTGCCGGTTGTACTCGGTCCAGATGACTTCACCAAGAAGGAATATTGCATGGAGAAGCTATCTGGCTATTTGGTGCCCCAGGCATCTATCGCTTCCGGTGTTGCTGGGCTGGAGGCAGAGTCGAATCCCTCTGAGCTATTCGCAACTTCGACTAAGCCTGGACTCTCTACGTGTAAGTAGCTAATGTGCCATGAGAAAGAAGATACATAAATGCGAACCTCATTGTCTTTCAGTACTTGGATATCTCCTGTTATTTGATGCAAACGCTCTCGAGTCCGATGTAACTCGGCACGTAATTCCTGGCTGAAATCATAGTGCTCTTGTCGGGAATTCAGCATGTCTTCTTGTAGGACATGAACCTTCTCCTCCAGAACATACATCTTGGTCCGAAGTTTGTGCATGTCCTCTTCGTGCTGCTCATCGCACCTTGCCATTTCATCCTGAGACGCACTTAGGCTTGCCTCAACCAGATACATTCTCGAGGTAACTTCTTTCACATCCTGGCTCCATAGAGCATGAATGGCCCGGCAAGTATTGGACGATCCTGCGTTTGCTTGCTCTAGAACCAGCTTGAGAGAAGATGACGGGCTTTGCCGAGGATCACTTGAGCCTATAATCACATCCTGCTTTGTTTGGGCAGGTCGCAGTGGAAGCAGACGGCTGTCAGGCATTATCAGATGCTTTCAGAGGAAATTTGCAAGTATGCGTAAAAGCAAACCAGGCGGAGAGGAAATCGATGAAGTATGTATTTCAGTACCTAAACTAGCTCAACAACACGTCCGACCAGAGTCTAATATGCACAAGCTAAGATCCATTTATGCCTTCCCTGTTGCGCTCCCTGCTGCGCAACTAACCGTTACGGTCCGCAATAGTGTCGTCGTCAAAAATGTAGTCACCGCAGAGGTGACAAGAGGGGTGGTGACCTTGGAAGCGCCACTGTCAAAGACTGTGTCTGTTGTCACAGGCAAGGGAGATGTGGTTCTAACAGTTCTTCCGATCATATCGGACCGGGGGATCTCCACTCGAACGGAGTCAGCAGCCGGAGCCCGGGCGGCTGTTGTGTCCGTCCCCGTTGGATCCTTGTTCATCACTGTAGATGATGGTGTTGCCACCCCAGAAGTGACCCATGACTGGGACGGGAGTGTGACTGTGGGTGATGTCTCCTGTGATCTAGGGAAACTAGTCGTTGTCCAGGTAAAGACTGACACTGCAGTTTCGGTTGTTGTACGAGTGGACATGGTTTTGACAACAAGGACACTGGTTGTTCTGAGTACCTCGTTAATGCATCCAACTTGTGCCTCCCTATCAAGCTGCATGGTAGGATCAGATGTGCCATTCGTTATATTCGCCTGATAGCAGTATGGAGCCAGTCCGGCGCATTGCCTACCACAGTTAGTCGACCTGTTTGCAATGGAATGGTTATTGTGCTCACCAAAAGATATCTGCTTCCCCATTGGGGACCTCCGCAGGGGTGGTAAATTTTGCGATCAGTTGGCCTTCACATGGTGTGGTGGAGAAGTTGAAGCGCAGAGGGAGGAAAGAGGAATCGCCAAAACTCATGGTGGCTTGACATCTTGTGGACTGAGGAGCGTTAATGCTGTGTAGGCGGGTTAGCAAGTGTCCGCGTCATGGTCCTCGGGATGCAACTGACTGAGCCGACAAGACCGATTGTCCAGCCTCAAGGGAGACGACCGGGGAGGTGAGGCACATGCTATGGATTGCAGTGGCCGGCCATAGCAGGCACGCCAGAATCGAAAAGACGTCGTTGCGATACATTTCTTTGCCGTTAATTATTTCTAGTGATGCTGTTGGCTCGGAAGCAAGAGCAGTCAATCGGGCCATTTTGTACCCAAGAGACGTACCTATTTTTAAGTCCGTTTATATTTAATTGTATCCTGGTGTGATCTCTAGGATTGCCTTACTTTAACGGGCGCTTACCAGGAAATCTGTGCAATGTGTGTTTATTTAATTGCGGCCTTGCTCGGAGATGGCGCAAACGTCAGTCAACTCCTGTTTGTCCAACTCCTCTCATGCAACAGCATCATGTCTTACTTCACCTTCAATATGTCAGCGAGCACACAAGGGCCATCAACGCCCAAAAATCCACAGCGTAGCAGCGTATCCAATTCTGCTGTTCCACAGTTGGATCACGACTCGTCTACTCTCCCCATAAACTCATCAGCAACAATGCTCTGCGAGCCAACCGTTTCTGGGCAAACTGCACTTAATCCAGGGGCACAATGGTCTGGATTTAATAGTAGTTTGCTTCAAGTTGATGGGGCATTCAGTGGGAGTGCCTTGCCACCCTACGATCAATCTACATTACATGCCGCACTTACCACCAACGACGATTTGAGATGGTAGGTCCTTTCTAACGACATTGAGGATGGCGAACTCGCATGCTGACCTAGTCACCACTCAGGATGTTGATTGGGATGAACGAACGTATGGCCAACTTGGAGCAGACCGCAACTGCTGGAAATAGAACCATGGATCAGATGGGCAACCATGTTTCCGACATGCTTAGTCGCCTGGCAGTCATTGAAGGCATGATCAAGGTAGTTGAGGACCTGAAGCAAAGTCTTCGAGACTTTACCAGGGGATTGGTGCCACACATTCTTGGCGTAAATCTCGAGGAAGATCTTGAGAAACAGGGCTAATGCGCAACCAACGGACACACGGGTGGGGGTTGAGCGGGGCAAGTGACAGAGGCTGCATGAACGTTGGAAGGTAATCCGTGTACGATTTTAGTTTTTTGTGTGAGAAATTGATTTAAGCCGTCATACTACTTCAATGTCCATCTTGCCTGCATACGTGGCCATCCAAGTGCAAACGAATCGCCGCCGATTCACCATGGCTAACTACACGTCCAAAAAGCTCCCATCCCTGCTCGAGCAAGCCGACTTGAGCGAAAGAGGCATACACCACCCCATTGCCAATCGTCGTCTGGTCTTACCTGGCCAATCTGCCAAGAGCCAAGACACTGCCAATGCACTGAGAGGACAAGTATCTCAGCTTCAGAAACAAAACGCCGGCCTGTGTATATCTCTTCATGAGGCAGACAGCCAGAATATCGCGCTACAACAACAACTTTCTGCCTACAGGCAATACATAAAAAGGCAGGATGATGGGCTAGCCCACGTTATCAAATACCATTTGCTCTGCGTTCTAGGGTTATCGAGAGACTGTGGTGGAGGCCACCTGGGACGCAACTGCAGCGGAAGACGCCGTGCAAAGCGAGATGAGAGGCGCAAGGGGGTCGGTCTCCTCCGCAATTTTAGCCTGTCTAGGGATGATTATTTCTCCAGTTTAAAATAAATACACGACGTTGTCCTTATACTATTGATCCCGGACACGCGCAAGCGCCCAGGTGCCGAATGCGACTGGACATGCAAGTGCACGCCCGAGAAACCAGCACTGCCCATATCCCCAACCCGCCGCCCACACCCCCAAAATCTCGAGTGAAGGATGCAACATTGGCGCAAGAGAACCGGCCGACATCACGGCGGTAAGCCGTAAAAGAGTGGAGACGGCCCGGGGCCTTGCAAGCTGGTAAATCGAGAAGCGGATGAGCGTGGGACCATTAGATCAGGTCCTAAACCTCGTCCCGCACTTGAAGGCCAAAATGACAGATTTAAAGTAAAGATACTCCGTAGATCTTGAAGATCGTTAGCCGCCGAAGTTCGTTGAGGCGAGATATATATACCAGTGCAAAGAATCATAATCAACGGAAACTACCATAAACGACAATATGGCACCAATTACCTGCAAAGTTGTCGACGCCAACAACCGTGGACGGCCTGGAGTCTATGTGGTTCTGGAGTGCAAAGACCAACTGCACCGTGGCATCGCGACGCTGGAATCACTGACTGATGAAGATGGCGGAATCAGTCTGTGGTTCCCAACACCCTCACCCGGGCGAACAGACGATGTGGAGCCACAGATCGTTGACAGCAGCAATATTCCTAGAGTCTCTTTGACTTTCTTCCCTCATACCGTGCCGTCAACATGCCCAGGCCCGTTCTTGTCTATCCACACGGACTTGTACCTCCAGGGGGATGAGTGCCACGGAATTACCCTGTACCTTGACCCTCATCCACGACTAGAGCACTCCCCTGTCCCGGTAGCCAGCCCGCTCAACAGGTTCGCTGCCGCAGCTGTGAGCACGCAAGAGCCGCAGCGAGACCTGTCAACCCCTTCCCCGTTGCTGCTGCCTCCACCAGTCAGCCAGAACAGCCGACCATCGCCGATGCTTCTGAATGGTATGCACTGCCACAATGGGAGTCGGGGTCAGAAACGGAAGGCGGAAGACTATCCGCAATCACCAAACAAGAGGCGCTAATTCGGGTGGCGGAGGTGGGACAGGGGGATTCGTGAAGAGAACTTCGCCTTCTTATTGGAGACATTACGAAAGCAAATTGTCGATTCTGCAATAGTTCAACACTAGGGCACGGGATGTATATGGCACTTGAATAATAAAAACTGGGGCTTTCAGGAGATGTGCACATGTGGCCTGTTTTTTGTGAAGGAAGCCTGTTGGCCAAATGAAGACGACGACTGGCGTGGCTGTGACTATCGCTTTTAGTTGGTTACCGACGGTACGGTCCGCACTATGTGGGCCCCAATGACAGACAATGAGGCCTACGCTAGTAAGCCTCACAATGGCAGACGCCAACCCTACCGTTCATGCTTCAGGTGCTTCAGTATGTGGAGTTGACTCCCCCACGTCTTTCCTCCATGGCCAGATGCACGTCCCACCTTCCGCCCAACCTGTGCGATTTACCCTGGCTGGCAGGCTGCACGGGCCGTCACAATCACAAAATGGTGACACTGACTACTAAGCGAAGGGCAGCCTAAATAATGTCCGTATAGCTCGGCGTTCGGCATTTTTCATCTATTCCGAGAAGATCCAGTGACTCGTAGGTCGAACCTCTCTAAGAATCATTATCTGGACATGTACATTGAAGTTATCCCAAACTGTTTTGCGGTTGATCAAGAGTCGGCAGACTTGGTCGTTCAGCTCAACCTTTAGTCTCTTAAAGTCACTCTCATCAACAGTAACTCCCCTAATACAAAAACCAGGTCCAGTGAATGAAATTCTTACACCAGATGCGTCACCCGCTCCAGGTAGTTCGCTCATGAGCTCTGAGAGCGACGTGACTTTAAACTTATGTGGAGGCTCCCACGTTTTATAGCTCATGTACCCATTGAAGTCTTCTCCTAGGCTATATTTGAACTGGAAACTGCCAATGTGGCAGGTATTTGTCATATAGTCAGTAATGATATCTTGTTGGATTATGCTATTAGCATTGTTGTTTGTCAAGAGTCTTTCGAGACTGAAGCCGTCTCTAACATCGCGACTTCGGCAAGAAGGCGTCCGCCTCCAGCGCCGAATTTCCTCAGCAAGGCGAAAAAAAAGATACCCAACAAGTGTCTGGATTCTACCTGACGTGTTAACTAGAGTCGTAATTAATGAGATACAATAAAGAGCTTACTTCTGGAGATTGGCGGCATACACAAGGCCAGCGTCTCCAGTTCCTGGCCAATAAATATCGCCGCGTCCGAGTAGGTCTAAAAAATGCCGTGCAAGCCCATGATAAACCTCAAGCGTAGCATCGTAAGATGGACAATAAGTGAATTTCATAGGATTTATGGCATTCAAAAAGACCAGTATGTCATGGACGAAGATCGTTGTCTGGGGGTGACCGAGGTCACCATACCCGAGCTGAGCAAGGAGCTGGCGAAAAGTGGGCAACGCAACGGGCATTGTGAGGAGTGAAAGTTAATTTTAAGATGCGCCGCTTGAAACACAAGCAAAGGGCTGCGGCGCTTTTTATGCAGCTCGGATTGGGGTATACGCACGACATGGTGGCAATGACAACCGAGAAAAACTGTGGTGGGCTGAAAGCGCCTAGATCTGCCAGTTGCCAACACTGGTCCAACACAATGTGGAAAGGTTGCCTAGATTGCCGCAAGCTCTCTTCGATTAAATAGAGTTACTCTATAAAGAGGCACAATGTCCCATCGTACAACGGCAACATAGATGCCACCCAGGATACATTGCAATCATGACTCTCGTCAAGCTTTCAGTTGCCTTTGCGTGCGCTTATGCCGTCACCAAACTGTAGGGTAACCAGTAAGTCTCGTCAATATTACATTTACTAAAGCCACAAAATGGACTAGACCGGATTGAATCATCTCGCAACCGTCGGTCTTCACGCCAAAGTGACGACTTTCGAACCAAGAGTCGCCGGGGAAGGCGGGGGCGGACTCACAGAAGATCACACCCTAAGCCTAG